TGCTTCAGGTTAAGAACTTTGCTTCAGGATGAGAACAGAAATTGTGCTCCGGCGGCGCAGCAGCAGCAGAAGGCTCCATTAGCTAAAGTGGTGCTTCAGGTTAAGAACAGATTCAGGCTATGTACGGACCTCCGGAATGAATTAAGTACTTAACCTGAGGTACCACTGTACTCAGCTGTCTTGTTTCTTCTTTTACGAGAGAGATTTCAAGCATCTCATGTCCATGTTAGAGTGACAACCCTAATTCCATTGCCTTCTAGCTACAGTGGTACCTCAGGTTAAGAATTTAATTCATTTTGGAGGTCCGTTCTTAACCTGAAACTGTTTTTAACCTGAGGTACCACTTTAGCTAATAGGGCCTCCCACTGCCACTGTGCGATTTCTGTTCTCATGCTAAAGCAAAGTTCTTAACCTGAGGTACTATTTTTGGGTTAGCGGAGTCTGTAACTTGAAGTGTCTGTAACCTGAAGCGTCTGTAACCCAAGGTACCACTGTATTTATCTTTGCATCAGTAGACTGTGTATGCCTTGCAAAGGTTTTTCTTAACAGCTGTGAAAAACAGGGGAAAAATTACGAGGTCACCCTTCCAGCAACACCTACTTGCCCCCATTTCATCTTGAGGGTAGAACAGAAATCTAAGAAACAAAAGAATTTGAAAAGGTCTATAGTAAGAGAACATTTTCCAGATACAGACCTGACATTTCCCTACCACCACCACCAACAAGCAAAAGAAAAGGAAGTGATCACAGATGAAATCATTGCTTCCGGTAAAGGCAGACAGATGGAGAGAAATCCCAGTCTGTTTCCACTTTTTGTCTTTGGGGCATTTTTGGAATTTCCTCCAGGAAGTAAAAGGTTGCGACCTACGAAACCTCTTTTGGTTAGGCAGCGCAGTTTCCCACCATAAACGTTACAGAGAAATGACACAGCGCCTAAGAAGGTGAGGATTATCTTTGCAACCCAACTGCATCCTGTGCGTCTCAGTAAAATTCCAAGGCATTACCTAGAGAGAGGGAAGTGGAGGGGGCAGGAAGAGAGGAAACGCCAACATATGGAGAGATACAGGACCAAGAGATCGAAGTCCAAATCTCCGAATCACTGCACAACACATCTGAAGCAGTTTTACATCTGCTACAAAACCTGTTTCAGATTGACATCATCTTGAGATGCACAAAATTAAAAGTTTGCAGAAATGTTTTAGAGAAAGAGAGAGAGAAAGAGAGAGAGAGAGAGAGAGAGAGAGAGAGAGAGAGAAAGAAAGAAAGAAAGAAAGAAAGAAAGAAAGAAAGAAAGAAAGAAAGAAAGAAAGAAAGAAATTTGGCTCTCAGAAACTGTTCAAGTTATCCAATTAATCAGGACTACTGGATATTGCTTGGACATTAATCATTTGCAATCAGGAAAATGATTTTTAATATAATTGTGGTGTTTATGATTATTGAGGCATCTGCAATTAAAGGAACAGTGCTGTCCTATATGTCAACTTTGAAGCAAACCCTAATGAAAGATTGCAGTCCAATTTTATGAGAGAAACAAAAGGGAATTGAAAATATTGTTGTTACATTTAACATTATTGTGCAATACATTATTAGCATTATGATATATTCTGCATATGTATTTTTAATTAAAAAAATTAAAACAAGATATTGAATATTAGTGCTCTCTGCATGAAAAAATCGGGTGGGGGAATATTCTGATCAAGGTGTCAATCCTACACACCACACGTTGGAAGAAGAAACTGTTTGCCACCACTCCTAGCACAGGCAATTAACATAAGTGTCTGTCGTTGCTCTGGTTGTAAGGAAGCAAGTCTGCACCCTTCTTCCCTTGGCTTAGCACAAAAACAGGGCTGGGGGGTATAAGGGAGATCATGCCTAACCTCTAGCTTCCTTGCACATTCTTATTCCAGAGCACTGATATATCCATGCAGCAGAACCATGTGCTAGCCTTCCCAAGAATGAACCTTTCAGATGGCTGGCAAGGGCTGCTCTTTTGATTTTGTTCATTAGCAACTTTCAGTGCTGATGTATTCACAAGATATCCATCTGTCCCGTCTAATGAAGTGAAAGGTCCACGTGGCTAGAGAACAAAAATCTACAGGCAACAGAGGTGTTGTGATAGGGAAACGGGGACCAAAAGATTTTCCTTAAATATGTCGGGATTGGAGAGTCACCGGGATACTGAAGATTCAATTCCAAAAAGTTGTGTGTGTGTGTGTGATTTTAGTAGTCCTTTTTTTTATACCTCCCAATTACTAGAATTGGAAGTGTTCATGAGAAACAGTGGGGCGTCCTTTGAAATGGGTTGCTTTCTACCCTTCATTACCTCAGACCCGCTAATGAGCAGCTCTTCGACTTGTGCATTTTTCTTGTGTTGCCTTTTGCAAGCATGGTTGAACAAACGTTCGCATCGCGAACAGGTTGCAGCTCAGAAATCGCCCTTCTCCTTCTGTGTGCAATGAGGCTGTCCCTGCAACTCCCACCCTGCTCTTTCCCAAAATCTGCCACTCAGCTTATTTCTCCAGGCCAAACTGAAGCCATTGCTTCATCCGATGTGACGTTGGCCTGTGGCACTCTCTCTCTTGCTGCAGATGCAAGGGAAACAATTCACCTCACAGTCATCCCCACCCCGGTTTTAATGTCTTCAGTGTGAAAGTCTGCAGAGAGCGTTTGCCTGCTTCTTGTGCTTTAATCTGAACCACAAACACTTCCCTCCTGCTTGAGGCCAGGACATGTTGAATGACCTAGGTCTGGCACTGTCGCATTTAGGTTGATCTTAATTGCTGCAAATGTATTGCTGGGAAAAGGGAGTTTAATTACTGCAATTGCTACCTGCCCTGGTTTGAATGCTGCCTTGTTGAACCGCTGACCAGAATTTGCTGCTCTTGACAGGTCTTTTGCATCTACGTGTTCTGTTTACCACACAAATATTAACCTGCCTCTTCTGGGCATAGAAATACAGTGAATTGTAAATTGTAAATTGTCCAAAAGCCTGTTGTAAGAATAGGTACAGATAAAAATGCGACAGAAGGAATGTTCACGGCAGAACTTGTACAAAACCCTCAGTTTATTAATATTTAGAGGTCAACGCAGCTATGTGCAAACTGTACAACCAAAGTCAGAATCAAGTTAAATTCTATTTTTGTTTTTACAAAAAGAATTGCACTAGGAATACTAGAAGGCCAGCAGTCTTATTAAGAAAAAAAAACACCACTTATATATTCAACCAATATTTGTACATTAATGCATTGAATTCAACAGTCCTGCACAATTACCACAGTAACACTCTCGGACAACAACCTTCAACCGTTGGGTCTGGGCCCACATCACTGAACACCCCACTGCCAATTTCTTTTCAAGGTTTAGATTTGGAATTTTCGGCACACAAAACATGAGCTCTGTAACTCAGCTATGGCCCCTCCTTCCCAAAGGAGGAAGAGAGTCACTGTGACTTTTTAACAGCTGTGTAACAAAAGTAATTTCAGGTGGCTTGGATTTTTGCATCTGCACAACCTCCTGAAATTTCTTTTCCTACACAGCTGAAATACAGCAGCTCTGCTATCCTCCTTTGCATCCAGTCACTCTTTTTGGAGAAGATGAGGGAGGGGGGGAAACTTGAGAGAGGCACCAAATAATTTAAACGAGGGACTCAGCTACATTCGTAAAGATAAAGGACTTTATATGAGTTATAACACTGCGACACCAGGTGGCGCTGTGGAGTCTCGTTTTTCACCAACGGGATTTCCCACTATGAAGTTTACAACACGTTTAACTGAATCTTTTCTTTGATGTGTTTAGAACCAGCCCAGGTCCCATGAGATTTAAGGCGATTCCCAAATTATTGATACAAATGGAAAACTATTACTCTTATAACAGGACAGCTACTATCCTGGTTAGCTTCTCTACACACTGTGCACACAGAATGTACATACAGAATGTGTACCCAATTAACTCGGGTCAAATATATATTTATATATATATATATATTTACACACACACACAGCCCAGCAATTGATGCTGTGGCAAATTACATTCAATTAACAGAACAAATACTTTCTGTGGACATCGGCAAACTTATAAACACCTTTTAAAATTGCAAACGTTCTGGGATCTAAAAGAATCTGGGGTGGAATGCAGACCATTGGCTTCATCCAAACTTTATCCAGCTTTCAAGGCTTCAGATGCCTCCACGAGTCATCGCTCGGCCTAAACTATGATAGGATTATTCCAAGAATAAGTGAGACAATAGTTTGTACGGCCCCTCATGCGCCGAGGTGCTATCGAAATTGCTAACAATAAATGCACCTTGTTATCGAGTGGCACATTTATCAAATCAATTTAATGCCAACGTTCAAATGAGGCTCCTTCTGTTCCAGACATCCCCAGCCCAACTCAAGCATAGTCCCATTCAATTCAGGGGAATTCAATGGCAGCATGCAGTGAGAGGCAGTGTTCTTCAAACTAACCATTGAAGCCCTCCATGTCCCAGTTCCCACCAACTTTTAATTGAAAGTCAAGTGGCGCTTTGGCCAACCTTGAAGCAAAACACTCAAATTCTCTTTAGATTTCCCAGAAGAGAATCGACAGGCAGATTGGCTCCCCTCGCTGCTCAGTAAGGTGGGGAGGGCTGTTACTCAAAAGAAGAAAGAAAAACCCAATAAGCTCTTTATTTTATAGGTTCACATTTTTTCTGGAGAGGAAAATAGTATTTTCCACCCCCCACCCACTCTCATTCAACAGGGGTTTCAGTCTTCGGAGTTATATAAGGCACGAACACTTCCAGCAACCCCAAGTGGCCTCGTTGCAATCCCAAACGACACACAACAAACTTCCAGGGAGGAAATGTTTTCAAGTCACACAATCTGTCCCCGCTCCTCCCCTCGCAAGTGCCACACAACTCCCCTTCAAGCCTATCCTTTCCCTCATCTTGGCGGGAGAGAAGTGATCAGAACCATTCCACGCGTCGGCCTTCGGCGGGCCCACGCCTCCCCCATTCGAGAGTTCCTACGATGACGAGGTGACATTACCCGAAGACACAATAGTTTCTGGAGAGTCCCCCTCGTCTTTCTGCGGGTGGGAGGAGTTGTCGGATCTGCTTCGGCTGAACTCAATTCCCCCAATGATGGGCCTCTTGAATTTGGTCCTGGAGTCTGCAGTGGGACATTTGCAGCATGACATAATCTTGACAAAAGCTCGCCGCATCTCCTTGTTCGTTAGCGTGTAGATGATCGGGTTAGTGGCCGAGTTGAGAACCGCCAGTACTAAGAAATATTCGGCCTTGAGGAGAACTGGGCAAGTCCGGACTTTGCACCGCACGTCCAGTAAGAGGAGAATGAACAAAGGAGCCCAGCAGATAATGAACACACTTAAAACAATGATCACCGTCTTGAGCAGAGCTAGAGACTTCTCAGAGCTCCTGGTGGCTTTGGCCATGTTCTTCCGGAAAGTCAGCTGACGGCTCTTGGTCCTTACCAAGATGTAGATCCTGCAGTAAAGAACCACGATAGACAACAAGAGGCCCGTGAACACCGAGGTGCAGAAGAGGATATAATACTTGTGGTAGAGGGGCAACACGGTGGAACAGCTTTGTAGACGTTGGATGCAGTTCCAGCCCATAATGGGGAGACCTCCTAATATCACAGAGATGACCCAGCAGGCACTGATCAAGAGGAAAGAACGGGAACTGTTGCTGCTGTTGTGAAGCTTCATCTTCAACATTGTAATGTATCTCTCAATGGCGATGGCCAGGAGGCTGAACACAGAGGCGGACAACGCCACAAACATGCTCCCTTCCCTAAGAAACCACTGGGCAGGGGTGAGGGTGTAGGTCTTGTGTCCAGACAGTAAGAGATTGGCAACATAAGCCACCCCGGCCAGCAAGTCAGAGAGTGCCAAGTTGCCAATGAAATAGTACATAGGCCTGTGGAACTTCTTTGTTTTCCAGATGGTCAGAAGGACAAAGATGTTCTCCAGGATGATGAAGCAACAGATGATGATGAAGACCGCAGAACTTGCTTTGATCCCGGTGTCCGCCTTTTCATTGAGCTTCCCCGTGAAGTTGTAATGTTCTATGATGATCTCATAGTTGAGATAGTCGCTGACTCCACCGAAGGCCTTCACGTGGGGGTCTTTGGTGGAGTCCATGGTGCCAGCCTGAGTTGCAGTTCACCAGACGGCCACCAAGAGGCGATGTGGAGCAGGTAGTTCAGCAGCAGCACCGGGCTTCAAGGTCCAAACGTCTGCGGCTTCCAACGTCTAGATCCTTCTGGGTAACCTCAGTAACCACAGTCCTTAAAAGCAGGAGACACAAGAAAAAAGACGTTAACTTAGAAGTGAGTTATTGTTATTATACTATTGTTGCAAGTCCAAAGTGAACATTCTGAAAACCCAAACATGAAATCCTGCAAATTTGCCCACTGGCAAGTAAAATGATGTACCCGATGGGGTATATTATTCAGATTTTATTGGTTAACTAAACCTCATCCAGCTTCGGTTGAAGTGTTAACAGCTTATATGAAACTGTTAACACCTATATCAGGACATAACACCTAACCGAATAAAGGTGTTAGCACTTCAACTGATGGCAGATTGGGTTTATTTAACCAATAAATAACACCTCAGTAGCACAGGGGAAGGCAATGCGTAAAAAAAGCCACACTGACATCCTCTGCTTTTGACACATGTTTTTGACACATGTTCATACATTCATGCTTATAGCCATGAGGCCGAGAGAAACTCTATCTCATTTTATATAAAAGCTGCCCAGATTTCCATACCGAAAGCCAAGTCATACCGTTTGCAATCAGATCACAGCAGCAAAGTGAAAACTTCTGTCCTTTTTTTTTAAAAAAAAGGCTCACTCTCAACATGACCGAAATCTAAAACTGCTGACTTGTCTCATAAAACCCGGGGGTAATGCATAAAACAAACTTGACTTTTGAAAGGATTAAATAGAAGGAACCGGATAATCTATCTGCTGCACACGCCTACCCAGAGGTAAGCAAGGAGGTGTGTTTAGGATTGCAGTGGAACCCACCCTAAATTAGCTTTGTAAGAGAGGTTTAAAGGAAGGTGCAATTCGGGGGTGAGGAACCTGCTCCCCTCCAGAAGCAATTGGATTCTCATCAGCCACTGGGGAAAGACTGAATTTGAGACGTGTGTATTGCATGCAGACGTCTCAAGTTCAGTCCCCAGGTATGCTCCAGAAATACTCATCTGAAACGCTGGAGCTGCTGGTCAGTGTAGACCAATCTTTTCAGCTGTTTTGGGACTACAATTCCCACCATCTCTGACCACTGGTTCTGCTAGCTAGGGATGATGGGAGTTGTAGTCCAAAAACAGCTGGAGACCCAAGTTTGGGAAACACTGGTATGAACAATATTGGGATAGGTGGACCCGTGACTCAGCTTCCCAGGTTCCAGCCCCAGTCAGCATGGCCCAAAGTCAAGGCTGATGGGAGTTGTAGTCAAGCAACATCTGGACGGCCACCACTTCCGCATCCCTGGCATAACTTGCAAAAAAATGGGGAAGTTGCCCTCTGTCACGAACAACAACTGAAGAAAGTGTGGTGTCAGCAAAAATAAAAATCTAACAGAAAGCGAGGAAATAAAATGCAAGTCTCCCGGGACTTTCTGTTTGGGAATTGAGAAGAGAGAAAAGAATGGCTTTTGGCTACTGCCTTGCATGAAATATGGAGATTTGTGTCCCGTGGATTCTAGTAGCCCAACTCGTATCTGTGCAGGATTTGCGATCTACAATTAAGTTAGCAAGAGGGGGGAAATAAGTGTAAAAGGAGATATGGAATTGAGGATTAACAGAGCACAGAAGGCATCCACAACATTGTGACCACACTATTGATTGTGGTCAGTTAACTTGACAGAGGAAATAAAGCTAAAACCTTCACTAAGGCTGCAGTCCTGAACACACTAGTAAATCCCAGTGAAATTAGTATTATTATTATTATTAATTGAATTCATATACCGTTCTATACCCAGAGGACTTAGGGTGGTTCACAGAACAAAATCAAAATATAAAACCACAAAATATATAATCAAAATATGCTTAGGAATGAACTACAAGCTTTTCAGGAAAGGGAAAAGTGAAGCTCACTCTATTCATTGGATACCCTTCATTCAAGGCTGAATAATACTGACTTTTCAAAGGGTGAGTATCATAACAAAGTCCAAATCACACAAGACCATTCCCATTGAGTTACAAGACATACCAGTTTAAGTTACACACACACACACACACACACACACACCCAATCATCAATTTCAAATGGCACGTACCTTAAGCCTAGAATCAATGGCTGAACAGGCATGGTGTCATTTAAATGTGACGTACCGAAGTTTCAAAAGTACAAATCTGAGTCAGGCTTGGAACCTAAGCAGATCCTCACCTCCAGACCCAGAAACCATGCAGCCCTCTACCAGATTGCTATCCCTAGAAACACACCACATTCAGGAATTGAAGATAATTGGGCTCTTACATAAGCCCTGTGAACGTATGAAAGAGAGGGAGGAAATCAGTATTTTCTGCATCTTCTTCAAACATCAACACATTCCACTTAAGTTCTAAACAGGACCTAAGTTCCCACAAGTTGCACGCACAGTCCAGTAAAGCTGCCTCCTCCAGAGTTCCTAATCGCGCAATGCGCACCGATGCGCATACAGCTAGTACTTTGCCCAGGATGGGTAAGTTGTGAGAGGCGACAGCTAGCAGAGTTGAACCGTCCCTGCTTCCCACACGTACGCCAGGCACAGGGATACCATACGACAGAAAGAGCTCTGAAGGTCATCAGGTCCCATGGACTCAAATAGGACCAAACCCTTTTCAGAGTCGATGAGTCCATATGATTGAAGCCGATGGCTGAAGGGGCCCTGGCGGACTTTGGACAAGAGCTGCCGATTGACAAAGTAAGATGCTCCCACATACGACGAAGAGGAAAATAAACCGAGGGCATCGGACGAAACCAACAGGGTGAAAATTGCTTACTGTTCCCAGACATGGCAAGGTTTTAAACTCACATAGCTTGAGAACAAAGCTCCTATCCCTTGGATCCTCCAGTAAATTTATGTCCTGTTCCTTTGACGTCCGCTCTCAAGTTTGCCTCCCTGCAGTCCCCCCTGGGAGGGGGCGGGTGGAGGAGAACACCCTCTTTTAAAAGAAACAAATAGTTGTTCTAGTACCTCGGTTGCACTAAACCATCCACTAACCACTTTCTTGTTGGAGTCTGCCATTTCTAACTCGATACCCAAGTATGTCAGACAAGTGTTCTAATCCAACCAGGGAGCTCCCTTCGGAAAGGTTTCCATAGAAAGCTTTCAGCAGCCAAATCTTTGGTTCCTGAAAACCACTCATTTTTTGTGCATTAAAAAAAATTAATTGCACAGATATACTTGGGGAAATCTCCGTCTTATGAACATTTCCCATTCTCGAGGCCAGCATATCAACTTCTACACCATCATCAAACTCAGCAATGCACCCATACCTCTAAATAACAGGATGTGGCTTATGCGCTGCCAATATCTCTAGTACATCTTATTCATTCATTCCGATCCTCTCCTGTGCCTCGCTTCATAACGCATGGATCCCAGGCATCGCCTCCTCAGTGGAGTCTGCACTGCCAGCAGTGGAAGCGCGTGCCATCGCAGCCCTTGGAAGTTAGCTCCCGTAACTGAAGTTAGCTTGTCGCCAAACAAATGCAAGTTCGTTCTCAGTTGCCTGCAGTACCAGCCGCTGACTGGCATGTGGCAAGGAGCCTTCGGGAATCAAATATACAGATCAGACCCAGAACGCTTCCCAGCAGAGGAGACCAGGACCTGCAGGACCAGACTAGAGGCAGTTTGCATGCTCAACTGCTAGGCACTAAGTATGGAGAAAGTTGAGAGAGGAGGGAACCAAGTACACAAATCACAACATCCCTGGGGGCGTTTGCTGCTTCAGCTTAACACAGTTTATTCCTAACTTTCTCCATCAATTCAGGGGGGCAGGCTGAGGTTTTCTGGCGAGATCCCAGCAAAAAGATCCAGGCCACAGCCCCCTCCCCAAGCCCCGATACCCATATAATTCCACGGTGTCCCTTCCAACTCTACCATTCTATGATCCTGCGCATGCTTTCCTAGAGCCTCACTGAACACAATGGGGTTCGCTTGCAAGTAAGCCTGCATAGGGTTGCATTTAAAAATAAAATAAATCACAGCCAATTCCACAGAACGCCCCCCTCCCCGCCAGGCCAGTCCATTCCCCCACATTACGGAGACGCAAAGCTGGGGTTGCCGTCGAATGCACGCTGGAGAGCTCACTGACGCGAGCACTTGCAAACGCGTGTCGTTCTTACATTCACACGTGCACCCAGCCAAGCCGGACCTCGCCGAGACCCAGCACCCACAGCCAGCCAGTCCCCTTCTCCCAAATCTTACCTCGCTCGGGCAGGACGCGGGTCTCTCCGGAGGCGGCTGCGCTTCGCATGGCGCGCGTCCCGCCGGCCGCCTCCTTTGCAGAAGAAGAAGAAAAGCCGGACAGCTCATGGAAAAACCTTTCCCTTTTTCTTTTTTTGCAAAGTGGCGCCCACCCCTTCGCAGTTTCCTATTATTGTCGCGCTTCCCCGCCCTCCCCCTTACTTACGCGGCTCTCCCGCGTTAACTCTTGGCAAGCCTGGAGCGCACGGCGCGCCGACAACGCGGAGGCGCAGCGCTCGCTCTTCGCTTGCCAAGTCCCGGGCAAAAGTGGCCGGCGGCTCTTGGGCGGCGGCTCTTAAAGGGAGCGCAGTTGCGGAAGGGTTAACACCTGTTTCCTTCCTTCCTTCCTGCTCGCCCCCACCTCCCCCCAAAAAAAGTTCGCGTCTGGCTCTGTGCGGGGACTGCGCGCGCGCGCGCAGCGGGAGAGGCGGATTTCACACGAGAGGGAAGTTGTCCGCGGACCACGCGGCTGCCTCTGACCCCCGCCGCCTCAGGGTTGCCATCGTCTGGTTGCAAACTGCTCCTGTGCCTTTACAGCCTCCGGATTTGCAAGACTGAAAAGGCTTATCTGCATATCTTGAAAAGCTTTTCTTTCTTTCTTTTCTGGAGGCTACACTCCTGCACCAAACCAAGAGCCGGATTTTCCCTCCTGGCCAGATGGGAAAACTCTTACGTGGATCTGCACGTGTTTCATAGAATCCTAGAATTGTAAGCGTCATCTAGTCTTAGAATTTCAGCTAAATCATACATGACAGATGGTCATCCGACTTCTGCCTTTAAACCTCCAAGGAAGGATAGTCCACCACTTCTTGTGGCAGTCTGTTCCACTGTCCAACACTCTGTCACTCTGAGTTACTTGTTTTAAAAAAGCAACCGATAAGCTTAATAAACAAGGCGAATCTTTCTGCGTCACGTTCACACCACACTTTTAAAATACTTGTGTTCCCCCAAAGAATCATGGGGATTTTAGTTTATACCTCCCAAAGCTAGGATTCCTGACCATTCCCATGATTCTTTGGGGGAAGTCATGTGCTTTAAATGGATGGCGTGAATGAGACTGCCTCCTCAGCCTCTCTCTCCCTCCCTCCCTTCCTTCCTTCCTTCCTTCCTTTCTTCTCTTTCTTTCTTTCTCTCTCTCTCTCTCTCTCTCTCTCACACACACACACAGTGGAACAGCTTGAAAAGGCAGAGTGAAATCAGCTCACCTGCCTGAATTTGATAAATTCCAGTATTTCTTCAAAATCCAATGATTCCTTGAGTTTCTTGAGGACTAAAAACCTTGGTACCACACTATTTTCACCACTATACAATTGCATTATCATCTTCACTCATCTCCTCCTTACCTTCAGCCTCTTCTTCATCAGACTCCTTCTCACTTCTTCTGGCAGAACCAAATTCCTCCTTCCCTGCTTGGTCTTTGGCTTGATCCGGCATCTTCAGGAAGTCCTATAGGAAGGTGACGCGGCCTGTCGTTTCTGACTCTGCTTTGATCTTGGCGATGATCTCAGAAATTTCAAGGCACCTCCCACTTCCTTCAAATTCCTCTCTCTCATCATCTGGACAGTCTTCTTAGATCACTTCCCAACAACCTGGTTACGTCTTGATCTGTTTTCTGGCAGGTCGGAAGATGTTGCACCGAGCAAATGTTATCCCAAACACTCTGGTGCCTTTTCCTCTTGCTTATCGCAAAAAAGCCCCCAAAATATTTGAAAAGCAAGTTTGTTGGGCAAGAGCTCTATAATAACTTTAATTGCACAATCTGTCTTTGCCAGTATGCAATTGAATCCCATCCAAAAATAGCAGCGGTCTGGACAGGCCCTTAATATCCATCCTTTTTGTGCAAGGTCTTGTGAAGAATAGATTCTCAAATTCTGTGGAAGTGCAAGTTGTCTTCAGGGCAACTCTTCAGCTGATGGAACCACTGATAAAGGAGATCAGAGGTGGATTGAAAAGTTGGCACAACCACATCCAGCGAAAGGAAAGGGTACGATGTGCTTGTTCATGCATGCATTTGTCACTCGATGGCACACGTGAACTGACTCCAGTGAAAAGTATTTTTCTTTAGGTACCATTGGTGACTGGGAAGTTCTGGATGTGGCATTGGAGCTAGGACTGGTCAAAGTCATCAATCATGTCTTGACAGGTAAATATTGCCATTTTATCACACATGCTTTAATATATCTTCTCTCTTTTCCTCCGGAAAAACAATCTCTCAAAGGACCTGTTGATGGCATTTTACCATTGTACTGTTGAGAGTGTATTAACTTATGGTCTGTGTGTGTGGTTTGGGAGCTGCACGGTCAGGGGGAAAACAATGCTGTCCAGGGTTGTAAAGATTGCGGAGTCAATAATTGGATGCACTCTTCCCACCTTGGATCAACAAATCTATGCTTCTAGGTGCCATAAGAAAGCTGCAGAGATAGCGCAGGGTAGTGCGCACCCCGGAAAGATCTCTTTCAGCTTCTGCGTTCTGGAAGAAGGTACAGGGTTATAAAGACTAGGACAAGCTGCCTGAGAAAGTGTTTCTATCCAAATGTGATTTTGGTTTTAAACACAGTGTAAGGAGTCTCTATGGGAGTATATTGTATTTAATTATGGGGTATCAGAGTTTTTAGGGGGCTAACCAGGTTGGGATAGCAGGGATAGCAGGCTTGTTGGTTTTTGAATGTCTTATGTAGATTTTTTCAATTTCGTTGTTCTGTATGGGACAATGACAAAAACAATTATTGTATCGTGGTTTTTTTAATTTTAAAAATCCTCTTTACTATTCAGCATCAATGAGATATTCCACTCTTCTTCTTCTTCTTTTTTGTAAGATATTTATTGAGATTTTCAAAATGTTACAAAATAAAAATAAAAAAAAGAAGAAAATACAAAATAAAAATGGCTACCAAAGTAGAAAAGGGGAAAAACAAACCACTTCCAACAATATGAATACAAATTCAAAATAAGAAAAAAAACAGAAAAAAACAAAAATACACCACAGACATTTAAGAACATTTAAAAACAAATTCATTATTCTCAAATCCTCAACTGTCATTACCTTCTTTCTTTGACCTCCTCCTCCTCCCTTTCTTTGTATCCTAGTTATTAATTATCCCAGCAAATCCTTTCCATATTTCATAATATTCTGTCATTACATTACCTTAAACTGTTTTAATCTTATCTTTCTATATAAAAAAAACAACCTTGAAACTTAAAGCTTAAATCTTATCCTTACCAACTTCTCATAACCATAATATTCTTTCATAATTCTTTAAACATCTTTACTAAAGCCGAGTAATTTCATTCCAACATTTTTCTAACATTCATCAATTTTATAAAACAGTCCTAATAGTAAAAAAAAAATACAAACAGATCCAATCTTCATCCAGCGTCCCTTCCTCCTGGTCCCGGGTTTTGTCAGTCCTTATTATCCCATCGATCTAGCGCATTAACCTGGCAACCTTATATCCGAGGCCCTCAAGTCTCTTCCATGTCCCTTCCGCAGCTCTTCTTCATATTTGTAACTGTATTTTCCCTTGTCTCCTGCTCGTGGTAACTCCAGCTTGGCAATATTTTTGACCCTTCTTGACAGATCAGCCCCTTTTCCATATTCAACACTAAATTCCATGTGGTATTTAAAAACATGTTTCAAAAACCCTCCAAAATTAAGAGCCCCCACAATCCCAAACATCTCACGGCCCATTGCCAGATTTGAAAAGTCCAAACATCCCAACATAGGGGGGTCAATCCAGCCCCCCATTTCCAAGCCAAACCAAACTTTTTCTTTCCAAATCTGGCTTTTTCCAAGTTCATTTGTCAAGTCCGAAAGCTCATATTCCTGTTGGGCCTGTTCTGTCAGGACACACTCCTGATTTAATTCCTGGGTGGGCTCCACATATTTTCCCACTGTCTGTTCAAAATTTCCCACTGCCTGTTCAAAATTTCTAGTCGAAGTCGCCATCAAATTCATCTTCTCATGTAACTGTTCCAGTAGGGCATTTGTTTTATAGAAAGCACACAACAGAGCTTCTGAATACATTGTCCTGCAAGGTCAAATGTCTATTCCCACGATTGTAATCTGTAACAGCTGCCGGCTCCCTGGAATTGGTTACAGTTTCACAGTCTCCCCCTAGAGGGAAAACTTCTATTTGTTCTTGCAACAAAGTTTTCCTTTTTGAGATATTTTGTCAATATTTGTTCCTTTAAAATGCGAAGGGAAACAGTGGAATCACTATGTTTCTCTTCTTTTAGCTATCTGTCAAAAACGTTTGTCTCTGGTCAATGAGCTTCAAACGTCAGTCCTGACACCCCGCTCCAGGATCAGGACGGTGAAAAGTTACTTTACTTTAAACTCACTTTAAACAGTCCGAAAAAGATCCCCTTCTTCTCCTGCTGTCGAAGGGGGGTTCCACAATTTTAAATGGTGAAATCCAATCCTTTAAAGGCGATTTTCTGAGCTCTAGTTTACGTTGTCTTTGCTTTATTCTGTCTACAAAAGAACAGAAGGCTGACTTCCTGTTTAGACCTTCCTGTTCAGTACCAAATTGAAATAAATTTTTAAATCCAATTCCTTTCTGCTCGCAAGTCCTTATTTAAGGTCCAGTTGTTCAAAGTTTAAGTACTCACGGGTGCTTATTTTAGAGTCCAAATTGTCCCAGGAAAAAGGCAGCGCTCTCCGGCAACGGCTATGCGGCTTCGCTCCACGGAAATAGCAGTTGACTCACAGCACCGCGCCACTTCCCCCTCTTCACTTCGGAGCCCGTTAGTGGGTTCCTTTGCGGGTTGGGGGGGCGCTAAGGGTGCCCGCCGAGTCCCATGGTCACAGGCTTCATCCGCCTGTGATTTTTAAAAGGGTCCCCGCTTCGCCGTAGCGGAGAAGACCCGTTTCACGCGGAGCTAGTCCCTCCAGTTCAGAGGGAGTCCGCCATTGCCGATGGCGCCACCCCGGAAGTCCGAGATATTCCACTCTTCTTCGTGGGCTGATCGAAAGGCTAGCTGCAAATACTTTGGTGGGTGTCACCCAAGGAACCCCATTGGTGGAAGCACTCCTCTCCACCCCCACAGAGCCCCCAAATTGGCTCGAGGGGACCCCAGAACAGCATGCAAGGGGAGGAGCAGGAGGGTCATCCCATCTGGCAATGCTCAGATTAAATGTTTATAGTGCTGTGGCCCTGAATACCACCTTCTGCATCTATCCTGTTTAATGTACACACCACACACGTGAATCGGATCTTTAAAACCTAATGGGATGGTTATAAAGTACGTCTTTCAAAATCCCTGTTGAAAGCAGTGGGGGAATGGTGCTTAACTATTCTTCCTGCTCGGCTCCTGTTTGCTTTGGCTTGCTCTCTCCTACATCGAACAAGGCCCCTTAAATGTGTGCACATCAAGTTGGATGCACCCCCTTCCTCTCCATTCTGAACAGAGGAGAGGTGCAAAGCTGCTATGTACACATATATCAATGTGGAGTGACAGCCGTTCCCCTGAACCCCTGCTAGCACAAATCAGAATTGTCCTCACTCCGCCTACGAGTTTGCATAAAGAGTGAAAATATCAGGCGTAGGAGTGGCAAAAAAGTATTCTGATTTATCATCTCAATTTGCCAGACGAGGTGGTGAACAGGGAGGTAACAGGAAACTACTCTGTACTGTCTTTGGCAAGCTCTTCTTAAGGGAGGTGTGATAAAGCCAGGGAAATTTCTTGCAAACTTGCAGACACAAATGAAGAGGATCAGGTCTTCTACCAGCAATTGCCCAGTAGGGAGCAACTTCCCATTGGGATGGGTATACACGTGAACCTAAAAGTCAAACGCCCTTCCTTTTTCTGGCACCCTGCTCCACCAGCTTAGGGGGATACTGATTCACTGCTAGCGACTGTACTGGGATCTGCACCTTATTCTGGGCCAGCCCAGTTAAAGAAAAGAAAGAACGAAAGTCAAGATGAAGCAAAGGACCAGGACGACTTTTCTACTCCTGGCCTCGTCTGTTATTCTCATGATCACTGATCCTAGCTGATACATAGTGGGACTGCTTCTCTAACTATCTCTCCTCAATTTGTGCGGAGAATGCATCAAAAGTTTATTTCCTCTTGCCTAAAACATCTACACGCTACTTACCACTTCATTTTGTAACAAAGTGTAAATATTTCCTCTTTCATTTTTGCATTGCTTGTTGGTTGTGCCACTCTGATATGGTCCCATATCTGAAAACTTTAATCAGACTGATGTAATTTCCCCTTGTCTCTGATAATTGTTGAAGATCTGTAAGATTATATTGGCATTTTGTGTAAAGGAGTATATGATAAAGTGCACAAGATATAGGAGAAATAGGCCTTTATCAGTTTGGGGTGGATTTCAGGGGGTGTTCTTCAATATGATGTTGGAGAAATTATAAACCTGCTATCAATATATTATTCCATTTATTTTGAACAAAGGAAACAATAATGATAATCTCCGTTGCTGGAAATGTAATTGGAAGGGAGGTCTTTGGTTTGATTTCATTAGGTATGTATTGGGAAATTTTTAATGCCTCATGTTATACCATTTTTAATATATGTTGTAAGCTGCCCAGAGTGACTAGGGAAACCCAGCCAGATGGATGGGGTATAAATAATAAAACTACAGTGGAACCTTGGTTTTCTAACGTCTCCGTTGACGAATATTTCGGAACCCGAACACCGTAAACCCAGAAGTAAATACTTCCGTTTTCAAACGTGCCTTGGAAGTCGAACTTCTGAGGCAGCTTCTGTTTGGAGTTTTCCTATTGTATTGAGGCTTCCGTATTGAGTTTTCAGTTTAAGGATGTTTTGGAAATCGGACGGTCCCCCAGAACAGATTATGTTTGAAAACCGAGGTTCGACTGTATTATTATTATTACCCAGAAGACGGTTTCAGAATAAGCCGCCATTGAGGTCTGCTACTGAGTTGGAGGAGGGCAATGGGTCAAGATTTGCCTGTGCCATACCAACCCAGAGCAGGATTCAACCGGTGGGGTGTGTGGGAGAGACTCCCAAAGGAAGTTCTTGATTGATACCTTTGATCAATGACTGGCCAATAATCACTATGAGTAATTATTGAAGGAACATCTGTTGTGCCTCCATCAACTAACAAGCTTGAGGACTGGGGACGTGCTCCTCATCAGTCTCAAGGGCTTTGACAATCACTGGAATGTGTCCTGGAACGCCTCTCAGAGGACAGAGAGGTGTGCATGTGTGAATGCGTGTTTAGAACCCTCTAGTTTTTGTTGTGTAGTCCAAATTGTACAGTACAATTTGCCTCTGGCCTCACCCACCGATTCCAAGAACTATGTGGCCCTTAGGAGGCTAGCCATGGGGGAATGCAACCTTTGGGCTGAAGAAGCTTCTCTGCCGCTGGTTTCTAAGACCCGAGAAAGGAAACATTCCAGCTTGGCTTGGCGTAAACGGTGAATATGATCCATAACCACAGGATACTAATAATCACACGGGGGGGGGGGGGATTTCTGTCCTGTTAAATGGAGCTCTATCCTGGGCATTTTTCTCGGCAATTACAAATTATCAGGGAGCAGAACAGAACACCTCACTTGTGCACTTACTTGCGTGTGTGTTTTGCAAACCATCCGTTTCAATTGCCGCACGCCTGTTTCTGAATGACTCAGATAAAACTGCTCTGTCAATTCCATCAGCCGTGGAACCCTAACACGTTCATGTTTTGAGTTGATAGACGTCGGACATAACAAGAGAACCGTTAAATTGCAACTGTCAGAGAGAAAGCATGGAGAATCACATAAGGAAACCCCTTTGCAAACGGCCTCACGGCTACAGCCCAGACATATTTTGCTAATTTATTGAGACAACTGAAAGGAAGTGAGCTAACGGAGGCTGAAAACAAACAATATGTTCCTTTCTTTGTGAAACTTGTTCTTATGTATCCTACTCGGAGGGATTTGGTATGTCAGAGTAACATTACACAATCGAAGGGATGGAGTGACTCAGAATGTGTGGTAATAGGATATAAAGGTTTCATTTTTAGATAATGTCATGATTGGAAGCCTTCTGACGCCATGGCAGAAAAGGCATTGGTTCTTGTGAACAAAAGCAAACAAAACAGCACAAGATAGTCCTGCAGGAGTAATTGGATGACAAATGGGCACAACCCTGTACACGTCTACTCAGAAGCAAGCCCTGGAGAGTTCAATGGGGCATATTCCCATGTGTGTATAGGATTTTCTCACTGCTGTTCACACAAACAGCTCCTTAAATATAACATTTGAAATTCTGCCTTAACATACTTAATTTCTGCATTCTGAAGCAGGGGCGGAGGAAGGGGGGCAGTGGGGGTGGTCCATCCCGGGTGTCATCACATTCAGCGTGAACCCTGCCTGCAACTCCCAAGCCTACCCCAAGCCGCTGGGGCAAGGAGAAGAGCTATGCTGCCTTGCCGGCAGCCTTCCCCCCTTCCCCCTTCGTTTTGACAGCTCGGGGGAGGCTTGGGAGTCGTGGGCAGGCAGTGCGCTGTTGCCCCCCGCTCCCGGGCTGCTTCCTGGGGGGGGGGAGCCTCCCCCGAGCTGTCAAAAGGAAGAGGGAAGGGAGGGGAGGAAGGCTGCTGGCAAAGCTTTGCGGCTCCCTCCTCCTTGCCCAGGAAGCAGCCCGCCATGGGTGGCTCGCTCCACCCCCTATGGGCAGCTAGCTCCTTGGGACGCTCACCGTGGTGCCTTCCTTGGACGCTCGCTGTGGGCGGCACCCCCTGGGATGCTTGCCCCGCCCCCTGAGACACTCGCCCCACCCCCGGGTGCACAGCTTGTGCGCCACTCCAGGGGCCGAAGCAGCTAGCTCCACCTCTGTTCTGAAGAAAGAACCAGAGGATGGGTTAATAGTTAAAGAGCATATGTCCATCACCAGTCAACCATAGAGAGCATGACTGCACTAAAGGAAGCAGAACCAAGCAGAACCTCTAGTTCCTAGGATGTCCTCAGAAAACATGACTTCAGTGAACGTTATTCACTTGGGAGGAAAGGACAACAGGGTAAGACACCTCTGTTCAAACCATAATAGAAAAGTAACAAGTTAAGACATGTACAAGGTCAGCGGTTCGAATCCCCGCAACGGGGTGAGCACCTGTCCCAGCTCCTGACAACCTAGCAGTTCAAAAGCACGTCAAAGTGCAAGTAGATAAATAGGTACCGCTCTGGTAGGAAGGTAAACGGCATTTCCGTGCGCTGCTCTGGTTCGCCAGAAGCGGCTTGGTCGTGCTGGCCACATGACCCGGAAGCTGTACGCCGGCTCCCTCGGCCAATAAAGCGAGATGAGCACCGCAACCCCAGAGTCGGTCACGACTGGACCTAATGGTCAGGGGTCCCTTTACCTTTTTAAGATATGTACTCTTCCAGTAATCCCACCCCCACCCCTTTGGGAACCACTGGTCGATAGCCACTGCAGGCAGAGTGAGGCTTATCTACATGCTGCCTCCTTGTCTGCACCTTAACTAAGTGAAGGATCTGTTGCTTACAAGAAGTCTGAATTAAAAGAGCTTTCATGAAGCAAGGACTACTATTTGTTTAAAGATATTTATTGCCAGTAAAACGAGACTGTGATGATCTAACAGGAGCATCTGGTTCTAAACTGATTTAGTGGCTTTCATGCAAAACTGTATGTGGGCATTTTATTAAATTAACCAGACCAGCTCATTTCCACTAGCATCCAATGGCAAATCCCGTTTGCCTCGCACGTGGCAAGAATCACAAGGCTGTTGCTGTCTTCTATAATATCATTTTATTTCGATTTAGTTGGGATGAAGTATGACTCATGATTTCCCGAAAGGTATTTTAGTGAGGTAGGAAGATGGGAATATTGGGCTGTCTAAAATAAATTTATAGCAAGACGGATCTGTGTAGTTCTGATATCTTCATGATTTGAGCCATTGCAATGTTTTAAGATTATCCTTTCCATAATGGGTAGGTAAGGTGAATCAGTTTTCTGTCAATATTCATGGAGTTTAAAAATTCCATATCTTCTTTTTTCAGACTAAAGTCAAAGACCTGAAAAGAAAAAGATGCCAAATGTTAGCCTGTAAAGTTATAATACTCTTGGTATACTGCTAATGCAACCATAGCAAACTCAACCTTAGTCTTGGTTTTGGTTTCCCTGCAAATGGCCTGGCCCTCAAACACTCTGCACTTCAATTGGGAGAATGCTGCACTCGCAGAGCTCAGGGAATGCTGGATTTCGGCATCACTTGGAAAGACAGGCAAACTAATGCCAGTGTAGTGGAAGAAGCAAAGATCACCGGTGTCAAAGCAATGATTCTTCAACATCAACTCCGTTGGACTGGTCATGTTGCTCGGATGCCTAATTATCGTTTTCCAAAGCAACTACTCTATTCCCAACTTAAGAATGGAAAATGTAATGCTGGTGGTCAACAAAAGAGGTTTATAGACACCCTCAAGGCAAATCTTAAAAAATGTAGTATAAACACATATAAATACTGTATGTTCCCACTGTGGAAGGACATGTGGATCCAGAATTTGCCTCTACAGTAACTTATGGACTCTCTGTTAAGGCCGTGTTCATGGAAGACAATCTTACTTGGCTACGAGTGATCGCCAAAGAAGAAGAAGAAAAGAAGTCATGTTTTATACAATCTACTGCTACTTAGGCTAACAGGATCTGCATGGTTTCAAAAACCAGCAAAACAAATCTGACCAAGAGAGAAAAAAGTTGGCTGGAATAACTGTATGGAAATGACATGGGATTAGCAAAACACTTCTCAAATCACTTCCAATTCACTTAAAAACAATAGTCTGTATCCAGCTTGTCTGTAGTAACCTTGAATGCCTATAGGCCAAATGACCCAACATACATACATAGATGCATACATACTACTAACTTTAAAAGTCAATTTCATTTTAGCATAGGCACTGTCAGAGCTTAATCATGTTTCAGATTGCGAAGGTCATTATTTGGAAACGAATTTGAAACCATTCTCAATACCCCCCCCCCCCCGTTTTTGTTTTTTTTTACTTAGACCAGCACAAGTTGATGCTTTCCTTTTGCAAAGGAATACTGTCAGGTGGAGTTATTACCTTCTCTAAACCCAACAGATGCACAGGGAGGGATGTAACCGTGCTCCTAAGGTGCCTGGGTGAATTCATAAGTGTTCTCCAACACTTATGCCTCTTCAAAAGTCTCATTATGCTTTCATTCACTGAGAGTGAGAACCTGAGGAATTCTCTCTCCAGAAGCAGGAACAATGCAGTATGTGTCGACCTCAGACCGATCAGTGCACAAACTGTTCCCTTAAGTTTGCATCACAGTCAACACTGGACACTGCAGAAGAGCTAAGTTTTTTCTCACAGAACTTCTTAAGCATATGCAATTCCACCCAAATAGCTGACTAGAACTCAATTCATATGTTATCAGCTTTTGGCAGCACCCACACCCCCAAAGCTAACATAGTAGCTGGTGCCAGAGGAATATGCTTAGATAGCAAAACAAGTATCAATCCTTAGAAAGAAGGATTCAGGCATGCATGGATGAAATTTGTCTCCAGTTAGATAGAAGTGGTCACTGATCCAAAGGATGGAAATTTTATTATTATTCTGACCCCCTCCTTTGGCAATCCTCACAGAACTCTAGCCCAATGGTTGCCATTAATCTGATTTGAACTGATTTTATAATGAAATGATTTTAGAATGTTGTATCATTTTACTGTTGTTAGCCGCTCTGAACCCGGCTTCGGCTGGGGAGGGCGGGATATAAATAAATTATATTATTATTATTATTATTATTATTCACAAACAAAATCATAGAATTTTGTTTGACCCACAAGGGTCATCAAGTCCAACCCGCTGCAAATATTCAGATGAATCAACTGAAAAATAACCTGAATAAGCTAAGAAACTAATGACTCTGCAAAGCAACATCTGGGAAATAGTAAAAAAAAAAATCCCGAAGAGCTGCTCCACCATGGGAAAAGGATTCACGGCAGAAGCAGATAAAATGATCCTTCAGCTGTAGAATGAAAATAGGGGCGAAGTTTATAGTAGAATTCCCTCAACTTAGAATTGCATTATTGTCCAAACGTGAGCTTCTTTGATATCTCCCAAGCCCTTTGTGACTGAGCCGCCTTTTTGATCATAGAATCAACGTGCCCTACGTCAAGAGAAACATTACACACAGCATCTTGTGATTTATATTATATAACGTCCCACAGAAGTGGATGAAATTTGCAGGTATATTAGCTTCTCCAGAGTAGATAAAGCCTGTTAAACTACAAATATCTCCAAAGGCCGTTCTGCTGGAAACCTTTAAGGTTTTATTTTTTATTAAGGAAACGTCTTAAAACTTTATTTTGGGGTAGAACTGGATGAAATTTGTAGACAAGATCACCCTTTTGGAGGTATGACTCCTGTAAAATCTCAGGATGATAACTGCAGTAGTTTTCCTGCAAGGGCAGCAGTCTCAGGTTTGGAATAGGTAAAATAGAAATCACTTAATCTCCCAATCTGTTTTGTGGGCAATTGGTCTGAAAATTGCAGACGTGAGAGAAACCTGCCAAACTGCAGACAAGCAGGTCTGCGAGCTTTCGTGATAGGCACCTTTAAAGATGCCTGTGCTTTTCTTTTGTCTGGAGCAGGGGGAGGAGAACTAAAACGGATTACTTTTCTGGGTGAAATCAGGAGTGCTTATGCTGACAGAACAAATGCCATGAATACCATCCTTTATATATTTCCCACTGAGAGGTTACTGGAACTTTGGGAAGTAGGAAACAGATTGGGAACAATGGGAGTGGTATGCAGTATACTTTGATGTACGCTGAATGCCAACTTTGGGTATTATGTGGTGAAGAAAGCAGAGAAACTGCAGTCATATAGAGATGGCTAAAGCAAGCTTTCAAGGGAAATTTAACAGGATCTCATGGCAAAGTTATGCCAGCAAATTCATTCTCTCTCACAGGTGCAGAATTTCATAGAAGCCTGAGAAGTGTGCTCAGTAATCAGACATTGGCTTTCCAAATTGGAAGTCTTTGTTGGAGTCATAAAGAGTAAACTGTTTAACTCCCGCGGGGCATTTAAAAGAAGCATCTTTTACTCCACCAATATCCAACATACAGAAGAGATCTGACAACTCGCAAGCCTTGTTTACTTCAACAAGGGAACTTTCATCCAAGAGCAGAGCTTTGAAAAGGCAGAGCTCACGTCACCCTGTTGTACCACTTTAAAGGGAAGCAGGCGGGTGTTTACTACAGTATATCAGGCCCATAGTACATATATTTTGACTCTGAGGCTTCTGAACGTATAATTTCTGCAGCCTGCTTACTGCCTATAGAGCGGTGACATAATTATCTTCTAGCTTAAGTTGTGGGCAAGGAAAGGAGCCGTAGTATCTTCAGTTCTCTGCAATCAAATGTACAGCTTGGTCAGAAATGCCTTATGTGTGGATTTTACAACCACCATTGGCATTTCTCAACTGGAGGGTCTGAGCTGCTTTTCAGTCATATAATAAGCAAGCTGCAGTGAAGAAGAAAAAAAGACTGAACAAAAAGTGGAGATTAAACAGTCTACCCTCAGAAAAATCAGACAGGAAACTCTGTAGCTGGGCAGCCATCAGCCTCACCCTTCCCTTTTGACTTTTTTCGTTGTTGATCTTTCCTCTTTTCTTTATTATTTCACAGCCATTTCCATTCCCCCACTGATCATCAGAGCGGTCTAGCAAAAGATGCTATGTTGTGGCTTAAAAGTGTTCAGGACTTCTGACCAGGTGTGAGGACCCAAGCTAAGTGGGATTTCCCCTGAAAGCTGATTTTTGCTTATCTGCAGAAATAACTCTCAATTTCACTCCTGTCCTAAGTAAAAGTTGTGATCGAGTGCAGTGGACTGCCTACAGTTTCCAGATGAGCAAAACCTAACCTATCTAGAGTGCCAAACTTAGTATCATAAAGTCATGCTAGGCTGGCTCCCAAAAGTAATTTATTTATTCAGGGGGCGCCCCACAATAACTTGCATTCGGTGGGGGAAAATAAATCTGAGCTGAAAGTTCTCATGGGGAAATTTCTGACTTGAACTTGCAATAAGAGTGCATAGCAAAAATGGTTCCCTGAAATCCAGAGTTAGTGGCAGCAACTCTCTCCCACCCTTCCTTCTTTCAAAAAATGTGTCTAATTCTGCCATCACAGACAGTGACAGTCCAGAACCCAACCACATGGTGGGTGGGCTGGACTCCAACTCCCATCAGCCCCGGCCAGCATAGCAAGTGGTCAGAGAAGATGGGAAGACCAGCCAACTCTGCCTTTAAAACCTGCAGGGCAGGCTCTGCTTGTGATCCTGCCTGATTGGCAGGGACATAGGCTAGGGTCTTCTCTGTGGCGGCCCCTCAGTTATGGAAATCCCTCCCCATTGAGCTGTGTCTGTCGGTCTCATTGGTTTTCTCCCTCCCTGCCCTCCACCAGTTGAAGCACACACTTGTCTGTCCAAGCCTGTTTGGGAAAGGGCGATTGGGACTGATGTCTTTATCATTTCTGCTAGCTGAGAGGTTCTGTTGTTTTACTGCAGTTTTTGCGAGAGTGTTTGTAGTAGTTTATTCTGTTGTAAGGCTGGATTGTATGCACGCTGCCCTGGTCTCCTTTGGAGTAAGGGCCAGGCAAATATATAACAGATGCAGAACAACACCTATATTACACCAAACATCCCCAAATATGTTCTGCCCAGGATGTTTCAGATAAAGAGTGAAAGAAGCATGAGTGATTTGCGTGTTTCTAGATCTTGACTCAAAGGAGATACATAAATGCATCCCCTGAGGAAGGATGCACAATGGGATAATGGAAACCTGTGGGGAAATGTACATTTCTATCCACTGGGCAAGACCCAAATGCACAATGAGAAGCCTTCCATCCCGCTGCCTTTTTGGAACATTAAAAGAAGCTTTAAAAATACTGTTTAAGGTGCATCACTCTTGAATATTGACCACAGAATAAGTAACAACTACAAAAGCCATTTTTAAATTGAAATGTATGTTCCTATCAAAAGCACTTCTTTAATTCTATTGACGTGGGAAACTTCAATAGCACCACTTGCGTTTGTGAAAACAACTTTGGGGTCCCATCCTATGAACTTATGACTCAAAGGTCAGCCTCATTTGTTTTACTGATATTAACATTTCTAGGCTGTGACACTCTAGCTTAGTCCAATGGGACTTGTTTGCAAGTAGGCATGCACAGAATTATAGTATTAATCTGCTTCATGATGAAAATCAGCAAACAGTTGACAGATGCATGGGGAAGTAACAGAGGAAAGTTACTAAGTGCCCAAAGAAGGAAATTAGGAATGTTGTATTTGTTTTAAATGGGTACAGTGCATTTCTTAATTATCTCTGGCACTGAGGGATACACTCTTGGGTATTGTATTAAGAGGAAACACGAGGTGGGGCTCCATTTGTGCTTCACACACTCCGAATTGTCTTTCGAAACAATTTCTTTTGGTCAAATGTTTCTGTTTCTAATACAAAAAAGGACATGCACGAGTGGTATTGAAATTTGAACAGCGGCACCATCTGACACTCCTAACATAACTGAGCAGCTCTTTCTTCCTCTTTCTTTTTAAAACACCACTTTCAGGTCACTCGAGACATAGATAAATCAATCAATCAACAGTCAAGCTGCTTTATTGCTGCTGCTATTTATTAGTCTTATTTATGATCATCATTTATACAGGCTCAGCTTACAAAGATCCATTAGCCTGGTAGCGTGATCAACTGTTTGCAGGTAAATCACACAGGGGTGTTCTCTAAGTTGGGAAAGAGCTGGCTATGCCATGGCATCAGCTGGTGTTGGTCCACTGTGCTTCATTAAGTCCAGGGTCTACCAGGAGATTTTGGAGCACTTCATGCTTCCTTCCACAGATGAGCTTTATGGGGATGCTGACTTCATTTTCCAGCAGGACTTTGGCACTTGCCCACACTGCCAAAAGTACCAAAACCTGGTTCAATGCCCATGGGACTACTGTGCTTGATTGGCCAGCAAACTCGCCTGACCTGAACCCCATAGAGAATCTATAGGGCATTGCCAAGAGAAAGATGAGAGACATGAGACCGAGCAATGCAGAAGAGCTGAAGGCTGCTATTGAAGCATCCTGGTCTTCCATAACACCTCAGCTGATAGCATCCATGCCACGCTGCATTGAGGCAGTAATTGATGCAAAAGGGGCCCAAACCAAGTACTGAGTACATATGCATGCTTCTACTTCTCAGAGGTTCAATATTGCTCTATTTGCAATCCTTGTTTTGCTGATTTCATTTAATATTCTAATTTTCTGAGATTGTTAATTTGGGGTTTTCATCAGCTGTACGCCATGATCATCACAATTATAACAAATAAAGGCTTGACATATCTCGCTTTGCAGGTCATGAGACTATCTCATATATTAGTTTCACCTTTTAAGTTGAATTACTGAAATAAATGAACTTTTCCACGATATTCTAATTTTCCAAGTTTCACCTGTAGTTCTAAGGTTGACAACTTCCCTTTCCTTCTTCTTTTCTTTCTGCTCCCGTACATTTAACAGCAGAAGTTCAGCAGGTCAAACGTTTCAGTACATTGAGCATACCTGGAAAAGATTTAACCTGATTTTTGAGTGTGTGTCTAGCCCAAGAATGGGTCCAGTGTGGCAGAGTGGGGGGGGGGGGAGAGTTGGCAACTTTAGCCAACACCTGCCCTGTGAGGTTGTGTCAATATTATTTTATTTGCCAGGTGGCGAACTGAAATGGATAAGTTTGTGCCCATCACTGTCTCTCAGTCTAATATGCCTGACAGTGTTGTTTTGAGGATAAAGCAGAAGAGAGGGAGAACCTTGCACACCACCTTTAGCTTGCTGGGAGGGTAGGTGGGGTGAAAATGTCATTTATAAATAATACTATTAGAAAAGCCAGGCCTTGAGATATGCTGATAAAAGCGTGTTCTTTTGCCCCAACAATACAAGTAACACGCAGACCAGTATACTAGATAGCACTGTAATTCTTATTGCATAATAGACATGATTTAGTAACAAAAACAAAATGTGTGCACTTGTAAATTCTCTAATATATTTGAAATGAATTGAGCACACCTCTGTCAATCTTTGGAAGTCCGTAGAAGTATAATAAGCCTATGCTGAAACAAAGTAATAGATGCTATCCTGTGGGCTAAGCGGTAAAACTTTTTAGGCTGCCTTTCGCCCCAGCTCTATGAAAACGTGCCGAAACCATCTCCGAAAGCAAAAATTTTCTTCTTTTCAAAACTGTTTATCAAGCAATATGAAACTTCATAGGCCAAAGTTATTTCCTGGTCAAAAGAACCAAGAGCAGGCTTTTCCTTGTTTTCTAAATTCAGCAGCATGCCAGAAAGCTCGAGAAAAATTCTCTACCAGTTAATGGAAAGCTACAGCAAGCAGAACACAGGAAGACTCCCAGTTTATATGAGAAAATAGTGTTCCATTCCTGCGATGCTGGGAGGAGGCTTTCTTGATAAGTGTAACACATTTTGTCTGCAAGGAAGGTGCTGTGGGCCAAGTTGGGATCTGCACTTGTGCTTTGCACATTGTGGTATAGCAAGTCTTCAGATCCTCAGGGATCCTCACGGTTTTTGTCCAGCACTTTATTTCTAGGGATCTGCTGAACCTGCGGTGCTAACTTGTACAGCTGCAGCAGAAGCACCATCCTTACTTTTGCTAATGAGCAGTGCCATTTTGCACTAACGTCCCAAGTTTGTGTGCTCTCTCTTTAACCTTTGTGATCCAGTAACTGCCATGTGCTGCTTAAGAACTGAGAAGGAAGCACTTTGCACAGCCAACTTTCCCATGTATAAATGCTTAAACCTTCACACTCGATCTTCTGTGGCACATTCTAAATGCAACAACCGATCGAGCTGGCAGTTGCACTAGAGAGGGCTGGGCCTCATTTTTTCTTCCTTTAGGTAGCTTTACTCAAGAGTTGCCCTCCCTCTGCACTGTAAGCAAGTCAAACAAATAGTTGCCAGGAGCAGCAATGGTGGTGAAAAGCTTTGGGGTGGGGGAGAAATCACAGAACATAACTGTTACTTTCAGTAACTGTTCTTTGAAAGGAAGTGTGCTTTCACACAATTTCCATGTACTGGTTGCACCTGCCATTACACCCTCCCCACTGTCAACAAATCAGCTTTTTAAGGCTAGAACATAAGGTCAAATGGTTAGCTGGATCTAATCTCCAGCCAACTCAGGCTTGCGCTGCAATAATAATAATAATAATGCAGAAATACTCAGATGTACCGTATTTTTCGTTCTATAGGACGCACATTTCCCCCTCCAAAAATTAAGGGGAAATGTGTGTGCGTCCTATAGAGCGAATGCAGGCTGCGCCGCTAAGCCCAAAGCCAGAACAGGAAGACGAAGCACTGCGGAGCGCTCCATCTCGCTGCTCTAGCTTGGGGACGGCTGCGCGCAAACCTCTGCAGGGCAGCGGGGTGCCTTCACCCCGCTGTCCTGCAGAAGCTAGCAAGGCTGTTCCCAAGCCAGAACAGCGAGACGGAGGGCTCCGTCTCACTGCTCTAGCTTGGGGAGGGCTGTGTGCAAACCTCTGCAGGGCAGCGGGGCGCTGCGCTCCAAAGGCTTCAGGGATCTTTGAGGCTGGCGGTGGGGGAAAGCAGCGCTTCCCCCCACCGCCAGCCCCACAAGCTCTGGTGAATGTACCTTGAACGCACCTTGTTTTAGAGGGGGAGAACAAGAAAAAAAAATTTTCCCTGTTCTTCCCCTCCTATGATCCAGTGCGTCCTATGGTCCGGTGCGTCCAATGGAGCGAAAAATACGGTAGCTTAGAGAAGCTTCTGCACTTTTGCTGTAGCTGCACTGGTGAGTCCTACAGGAAATACAAATGCCCATTTAAGAGGCTTACCCTGGCTTAAAAACCCCAATTCTGTGATGGATGTGTGGCCACATTTGCACATCTTGCCTAAAGTACAAAAATGTAATGTGTAGCACACAGTGTGTGTGTGTGTGTGTGAGAGAGAGAGAGAGAGAGAGAGAGAGGGAGGGAGAATCAGATGAATCTTCTCCCTTAAGAAAGAGGAGAAGGAGGCACAATCTGCTCTGCACATTGTGTTTGTTTATTGTAGGAAGCATCAAGGTTGCCATAGAAAACACAACAGCAAAGAATATAAGTAGCTCCTGCTTTCCAACAAAATAGTAATAATAATAATAAACCTCTTCACAAATTAAACTTCTTAGGTATACATCTGAAAATCTGCAATGCATGCATGTTTGCAAGTAATTTTAGCATATCACTCATCAACGTGATCTGCTCTTAAGTACAGGTAGGTAGCCGTGTTGGTCTGCCGTAGTCGAAACAAAATAAAAAAATTCCTTCCAGTAGCACCTTAGAGACCAACTAAGCTCATACCAATAACAAACTTAGTTGGTCTCTAAGGTGCTACTGGAAGGAATTTTTTTATTTTGCTCTTAAGTACCGGTACACACTCCCGAGTCAAACCTTAGTTTGCAGTCACGTAGCACGTGAAAAAGCCCAAACTTTACTGGAAGTGAGAGATGGACCAACGGAACCCATAGGAAAAGTGTCTCTTAAAAACATGATCAAATGTAATTTAGGGCGTGGGCCTTAAGGCATCGCGTCAAAATGTTTTCAGAATCTCCCTCAGGAGTTGTAATCAAGGGGAGAAACTTTGTCTCCGCTCAAAGTGTTAGCAACAAAACTTCAGGGACAAACAACAATACCAGCTTGCTACAAGCTGGGATGATAAAAAAGCAAGGAACTTTTGTTTTGTGATACGGCTAAAACAGCACAGCAGTGGGAAAACTGCTGCAGGAAGTCCTAAAACAATATAAATCACAGTCAGACTTTCCATACACTTCTAGACACAGGAACTCTGAAAATATCAGACCATCATGACTGCATACCTAATGCCAGGCTGATAATTCAATGGGCAGAGGCTCTGTCTAAAACATACACTACATATACTTTAATGCAAGTTTTAATACTAGGTTACAATGTCAAGTGTATAACATCATGTTTACCCCGAAATCCAACCTAGATGAAAACTAAATTAACTTGTAGTGAAGCTGCAACAAACCCAAGAATCAAAACTTCTAAAGGCTTACTATTGTAAGCAGGAGCAGTGGAAGATTGAAGAGCAGTTAAATCAATGGAGTTCACCCTGAGGGGCATTTAATGGCTACCAAGATCTGCCTATCAACCTCCATACAGTCAAGAGGAATAGCTGTGGCTGAGGATGAAGAAAAGAGTCCTGGTGAAGTAGATTTGGCACGATCAGCAGTTAACCCAGTCTCCTAATACTGTAGAACCAATTGATCAGATTTACCAAGGACATTGGGGCCATCAGGTGAAGAAGGTGATACCCACTTCCTATCCCTTAATCTTTGTTTCTGCATCCCCTGAAGCATGAGCATCACATCCTGAAGACCCTGAGTTGAGGCTGGGCTGCTGAATATTGTTCTCTACTATCTGGAGATGGGTTATCACGACTACCAGAATCTTCATGAAGACCCTGGAGGAAGAATGGCAGGACCTCATGGGGATAGTCTTCATTCCCATAGCTGAGCCTCAGGAAGTGATATTGCAGGTAGGCCTCTATCGAAGCTAGAAAATATCGCTAGATCTATTACAGATTCTCTATACTGAAGGTATTTTTCTTTAGAACTCGTTCACACTTATTTGCATAAAAATTTGCTCTGATGTCCCTTGACTTTGGGGTGGAAACAAAGATGACTAGCTCTATGGCACTTCTTATTGCCATAAGATGTTGGATGGCCTTGGCAAGAAAGGCACAATTTTCTGGGGTTGCTTGAGTGCAGAAGAACCAAGCAGAATGAACTAGAGAATTCAAAATAGCAGCTGCCCTTCTCTTTTTGCAGAATCTATGGATCTGAGGCTGTTTCTCTGCAGATGCTTGCAAATGCTGAAATTTTAGTCCCCACTGGTGTCAAGGATAACTAGTGTCAGAAGGAACGGGGCACTTCTTACTGGAGTTCTGGAGCACATCCTGTGCTGGCATGCATGGAAAGGATGAGAGGGATCTAAGGAATGCTTCATGCCAGAGGGCTGTTTCTTAGGAAATAGTGCAGGGGCTTTTTGCATCATGTTTTCTTGGAACAGACCCGTTGACGGAAAAGAACATGACTAAATTAGGCCCAAGGGACACGGGTGGCGCTGTGGATTAAACCACAGAGTCTTGGACTTGCAGATCAAAAGTTGGTTCGAATCCCTGCGACGGGGTGAGCTCCCGTTGCTCGGTCCCTGCTCCTGCCAACCTAGCAGTTCGAAAGCACGTCAAAGTGCAAGTAGATAAATAGGTACCGCTCTGGCGGGAAGGTAAATGGCGTTTCTGTGCGCTGCTCTGGTTCACCAGAAGCGGCTTAGTCATGCTGGCCACATGACCCGGAAGCTGTACGCCGGCTCCCTTGGCCAATAAAGCGAGATGAGCGCCGCAACCCCAGAGTCGGTCACGACTGGACCTAATGGTCAGGGGTCCCTTTACCTTTACCTTTAAATTAGGCCCATGAATGTAAAGTCTATACTCAAACTTAGTTGAATACCACCCATTATTATTACAGTATTTTTTTAAAAAAAAAAGCTAGATACAAAATGACAGGGCTTTGCTGGAGCAGAAAAAAGAAGTATCGAACTTGTTGGGAAGGCTGAAGAGTGACGATGTCAAACTGTAAGGGCTTGGCGGAGAAAAGTGTAAATTCTACATTCTCTGTTATTAAGCTACATATTACCACACCCAAATAGGTTGTACAGCTAATTATCAAGGCAATATTTAATTTCATTTTGCATTACTGCATGAGAATACATTACAAAAGCAGCATTGTCCCTTCAGATACTATGGAACTTACAACAACAATCCAAGCCTTGGCATCTAAACAACTGGGGTTGGATCCCAGGAGACATGTCTCCCATCATGCATTCCATTCAGAATTGCAACATCATCTTCTGCTAGGGAAAAGTCAAAGACCTAAGGGGAATGTATATGTGGTTAGTGGAACACATACAAGGCAATAATAAAAACCAACTGCCTGCTTCTTAAAAACACACCGGCATCCTGAATCATAATTTTGGTTCAAGAGTTTGTATCTACAACCAGATAGTTAGAATGTCATAGCTCTACTTAATTTGGAAAATACTTGACTTCCTCTCTATGATGTGTCTAGGCTCGCATATTTGATCTATTTAGACTATTTTACTAAGCCAGGGGTGCCTAAACTCTTTTCAAAGAGGGCCAGATTTGATGAAGGGAACATGTGTGAGGGCCAACCAAAGTTGTTCTTCAATCCTTTTTTTAGTTGTTGAGCTTTTCTTAGAGTTTAGGTTTACCGCAAAGTTGTTGAGCTTTTCTTAGGATTTTACCCCAGGACCCCAGGACATATGCCACCAGGGAGGCTGGATTAAATCGATTGGGCCCCTGAAACGGACTTTGGATATGCCTGTACTAAGCCATTTCTCGTCCATCACTGTTTGTTCCCAACTTCCCACACTCTCAGTGCAACATAAACTGAGCAGGAACGTAATGTAGGAACTTAAAAAGAGGCTGCTGGGCACATTTAGTCCTGCATTCTGCTCTCAAGTGGCCAAACAGATGCCACAAGCAGGATCTGAGCACAACCAGTGCGCCATCAGAATGAGTAGCCAATGGTAGCCTTATCCGCCATGAATTTATCTAATCCTCTTTTAAGGCCACCCAAGTCAATAGCCATCGATGACTCTTGTGGGAGACAATTCCACAGCTAGCCCTGAAAGCAATGTGGTTGGACCCTGAAGTCTCATCTACAGCTATAATTCCACGATCTGTTCCAAAACCAAGGGATACTCACGAATACCTTCTGTTCCTCTCTCCCCACACCTTTTTAAATCACCATTAACGACTTTGGGAGAAATGGGGGTCAAAACACCAAGTGAAGGAGAACTTGGGAAAGAAAACCACAAGGAAATACGCTTTCAAGACTATTTAATGAAGCCAGTGTTCATTGGGGGGGGAAAACGCAGTGATGACATAATATACACAGAATGTTGATGAGACTAAGAGCTGCTGGGAGAAAGGGGATTCCCTGGCTGGGAGGTTTTTTAAAAAAATCCCTTCTCCTAGCCAGACAAAGAGCTATGCCTCCTTGTGAATATGCTTTCTGAGAAGCACAGGTTTAGTTCCTGGAACACACCAGTTGGCACGTAGAACTGCTAGAATGGCTCCTGGGGGAGGATAGACACAGGCTGTAAGGAAGGGACTCTTTCCTAGAGTTTACGAAGTTCGATCACAGGCGGTGCATGTCATACGGTGAAAGGCCATTTCCTTGCCTGCCTCCCCTTTCCCTCGCTTGGTTCCCTGAACTGGGAATTCCTGTAAGCTGTGTGCATGGATAAAGGCAGAGACGGCAGCATTAGATGTGCAACTGTTACGCTACGCACCCGGCATATCCTGAGCAAGTCCTTCTCTTCCCTTGGCTGTCTCAGAAGAAATAAATCCCTTCTTCCCCAGGACTACCTGAGGTGTGTGTTTTTAGCAAAGTTTTTAAAAGGACGGGATTGCAAGCATTTATTTATTCAAACTGGTAGCTTAGTTAACTAAAGCACTGGTTCGCTGTTTTAACTGGTGAAGACCAACTGAAATAACTGTGGGACTGTTCATGGCAAAATGTTCATGGCATATTTTGCCAGCCCATGCTTTCTGTGTTGCCTCCCCACCACCTCATTTGTGCTGATTTTCTTTGGCGAGGGGGGGGGCACTTAAATAATAATAACAACAATAATTTTATTATTAGTACCCCGCCTATCTGACTGGGTTGCCCCAGCCACTCTGGGCAGCTACCAACACATATAAAAACATAATAAAACATCACACATTAAAAAGCTTCCCTATACAGGTAAACTGCATTATCGACCGAAACGCTTAAAAGCACAACTGCAACGCCCGGTTGCCAAGTGTGAACTGACAAGCTAATCAGAACCCTCATTGCACCTTCTCCTTCTAATTGCTTCCTGTTCAGTGTAGCATGGCCTTAACAAACCCTAATTTTAGTTGCTTTTATCTGCTGAACTTGCCTTTATTTTATCTGTTTCGGCTCATATGCTGATTGTATGATTTTATTGGTTCAGTCACTGTTAGCTGCCCTGTGTGATGCAAAATGCATCAGAAAGGGTGGAATATACATTTCCTAGCATGTAAATCAGGGTTTCCCAAATTTGGATCTCCAGATGTTATTGATCTACAACTCAAACTACAAATAAATGTCATGACTTCTCACTCAGGTGACCCATAACAGCTGGTCTATGAACGCAGAGGTTCCATTTAACTATCAAGGATAATTTTATCTACTTGTTTATCTATCTATCCAGCTATTTCCCAGCTTTCACCCTAAGGTCGCAGTAAGACTTACATGCATTTGCTAAACCCCTTTTAAAGCCATCTAAGCTCTTGGTCATCACAGTCTTGCGTGAGTGATCCTCTGTCTCACTGTGTACAGTGAAGTTCATTACCAAGTAAGTGTGCAGCAGACTGCAGCCTTAGTTCTTCAAAAACCTTTCCAGAAAAAGTGGTTCAGGAGCAAGTATCTACCCAACATCTCCCATGCTGAAAACTAACATTAAATAAGTTTTGTGCTTCCCTGCAATCTTCCTATCCTCTTTCAATAATACTTTCGAATCATTGCCATCAAAGAAACCAACCGCCTCTCTCTGGCTGATTTCCTGCTTCTGATATATTTAAAGAAATGTGTTACTTGTGTCAGCGTTTTTAGCAAGGTGCTCTCCAATTTCCTTATCATCAACTGACATTTGTTTTGCCAGAGTTGGTGCCCCTTTTTATTTTTCTAACTTGGCCAAGACTTCCACTTTTTAAAGGAAGCCTTCTTGCTTTTTATAACCTCCTTGACTTTGCTCACCAATCACACTTGCATTCTCTTGGACTTGTTTGTGTATTTCCAATTTGTGTTCATCATTATATCTGTACTTCTGGTATTCTGGTATTAAATAACCTCCAATTCCCCTGTAGACAATTGTCTCATGAATGTGCCTTTTAGCTTGCTTTCAACTTACCCTCATTTAAGTTCTGTCTTTAGACGGTTGCATTACATGCAACCGTTTTGGACACCCAAAACAGCTTTCCATTCATTGCACAATTCAACAACACATAGGGACCTTCCAGGCTGCCATATTTTGTGAGTGGGATTAAACTGCATACTGGCAAATTCAGGCTGTGCCATTAAAGTGGGTGCGAAGCTCTTGCACAACAAACCCAATTCCTCTCCCTTCAAAAAAATCCAGACTTTTTGCAGTTAGGGAAGTGATGGGAAAATGCACTAGAAAGTATGGGATAAAACTCCCCCACTGTCAGGGGACTGCCATTGGAACAGGGAAGGGAGGCAGAGGGGCAGCTGGGATACAGGGAACCTCTGAAAATCTTGAGAAGCAGTTTCTCTTCCTGCGGTGGGGAAAGCCACACCTCCAGTGGGGAAGAGGGGAAGGGACCAGAGGAGGATGCTGGGAGCCCCTGTGCCACACCTTGCCAGTCTGAGGGTGGAGAAAGCCACACCTCCAGGGGAAAGGAGGGGAAAGGGCTAGAGGATGCTGCTGGGAGCCTCGGCACCGCTCCTTGCCAAGCCCACCTTGCGCAGAGGCGTAAAACGCAAAGAAGGAAGGAAAAGGCTGGGGGTGACTAAGCTCTTATGTTGGGGGAGGACCTGGAAACGACCACTCCCGGATTCTGCTAGCGATTGAGGCAGACATGAACTGGTGGTTCTGCACTGTAAATAGTTTTGCACCAAAATAAAACCTGTTAAAGACAGGTCGGAGTCCAGCCTGGTTACTCACAAGCAACCACCACTAACATTTGACACCCACAAACAAATCAGAATGACTGCTCAATAAACAGCTGATACTGTATATATCCTGTCCACAAACTTTATGCAAAAAAACCCTCCTCAATACATGTACTGTCCGGAAGCAATGTTAAGGGTACAAGGGTCTTAAGCCCCCGCCCCCCACATTCTGATCTGGTTCACTCTGCTTCCCACCCCACCCATATTGCAAACATAATTGCCCTTAATCTCCTTAACTGCAGGGGAACTGTCCCCTTCTAAATCTACACTTGAGTGTTAAATATTTTCTATACTTTGGTCTCCCAAGAAGCTAAGCTTCATTCTACTCCTAAGCCAAACTTTTTTTCTTTTGTTTTGTTTTAATTTTGAATAAAAAGTTTTTTTAAAAAAAAAATTGTTGTGTGGGTGTGGGTGTGTCTTTTTGGGAACAAATATTCTTGTGTTCTACCCAGAAACAGACAAAGAGAACAATTTCTCATAGTGGTAACTGACAACATCAAGTGGAGCAAGCAGAATCAATTAAAAAAAAAGAGGTATCTAATACTTTACCTTTAGAAATGTTACTAAAATCACGATTTTTAAACTTATACAATCAAATTCAAATTCCTCCTTTTTACTGCCTAGTGAAAAGAGGAGAGATATCCCCTCTATAAGGAACTTTGAGTTTCAGCAGGCGGAAGAACGTTTAGGTTATTATTTTAAAACATGCAAAATTAGCTTTATCCGTTTCAAATTTAGCTTTAGTCTAGGTTTAACTGGGAATTGCTGCAGGATTTATTTCCTCTTTTAGCACATGATGCCCTTAATACACTATATTACATTTCCTTAAATAATGCAGCGATTATACTTTTGTTCTTCTCATGGAGGTGCCTACGTCACCTGGCTCCTTGCCATTTTATCAATGTTTTGTCACTGGGATTGTGATGTTTCGGATCAATCAATAGCTTTTTAACTTCTCATTGTTTCCTTACACGTGTGCTTGCTAAAGTTCTGGTTCATCCTCATGTTATTCCCAAATATTCCATCTTATGTTAATAGACATGGCACGGCGGAAGGTAAAGGTAAAGGGACCCCTGACCATTAGGTCCAGTCGTGGCCGACTCTGGGGTTGCGGCGCTCATTTCGCTTTATTGGCCGAGAGGGCCGGTGTACAACATGACTAAGCCGCTTCTGGTGAACCAGAGCAGCGCACGGAAACGCCGTTTACCTTCCCGCCGGAGCGGTACCTATTTATCTACTTGCACTTTGATGTGCTTTCGAACTGCTAGGTTGTCAGGAGCAGGGATTGAGGAACGGGAGCTCACCACGCTGCGGGGATTCGAACCGCCGACCTTCTGATTGGCAAGTCCTAGGCTCTGTGGTTTAACCCACAGTGCTACCCGCATCCCATGGCAGAAGAGGAGTGTAAAATAATGAAAAGTTATGTCCAAAGTACAATAATTCATGTACATCTGGCACAAGGCAATCTGCTCTTACCTGACAGTTTTCCAGGACCCTCTCTGGTTTTGTAGACTTTGGAATAGTGACAATGCCATTCTAGAATGAAAAATAAAAACAATTTATATATTCCTAAAGTTCTATTCTTAAAAAGAAAACGGAAAGAGGGAGTGGGAGAATGAATTAGAACTATCTCACCCAAGTCAATGTGTCTCATTAGTGGAAGTTGTCAGTGAATCATCTCTTTATAAATGTTAAGTTAACCTGAAACAATTCAGCTTAGTTGAGATGATAAGCATGTGTCTGGAATGTACCAGGTGGGGAATTCTAATGACTGAAAGCTCTTCCATATAAAAACCCCTGCACATGGAAACTAGGTGTCAGGGAGAAGTATTTTAGTCTACTCTTCTCCCTGATGTGCTCGTTTCCTATGAACCCTGTAAACCCCTATCCTCAGTGGTAAAGCCCACATACAGGTTTACTCCCTTCACCTGCTGTTTGGAAGCGCTAGGCCAGGCTTCCTCAACCTCAGCCCTCCATATGTTTTGAGACTACAATACCCATCATCCCTGACCACTGGTCTAGCAGCTAGGGAACATGGGAGTTGTAGGCCAAAAACATCTGGAGGGCCAAGGTTGAGGAAGCTTGCACTAGGCCAAAATACCTCCTTTAGCAAGATCTCTGCAGTCACTTTTGGGTCCTATGTGTCTCCGAATATAACAATATTAGAAGTCTGTCTATAAAACACTAATACTGAAATGACTTGAAAGTATATCTATCCAAGGGAGGAACCATGCACTCATCAAACACAGCTCTGCAGGTCAAGTTTGGGCACAGTGGCATTGACAAAGAATTAATCCACACAGCACTCTACTTCTTGCAGGCCAGTATTTCAGCCGCTGTAGTTCTACATTGACAGAAGAAGAGGATGCTCAATCTTTGGATCTCTTCCACTAACAGACTGCTTGTGTAACACTGGCAGGAACAGCGAAGCTAAACTTAGTCCCAGGGAAGAGGTATCTTTCAATCTCTCTACCCAACAATCGTCTAGACTTCAAGCCAATTACTTTAAATAGCCACCGAATAACCTTGAAACCTTGGCGTACTCCTAGCACTGAAGGCACTAAGAGACACACGAGATATGTCTACTATTACTGGGCATGTTTTATGTGGGTGGGCAGGAAATAAATTAATGTTTAATAGGTTATTGTATTTTAGAGTTTTATTGGAAGCTGCCCAGAGTGGCTGGGGAAACCCAGCCAGATGGGCAGCATATAAATAATAAATTGTTGTTGTTGTTGTTGTTACTATTATTATTACAGACATTTTTTTAAAATAGAGATGCATTCAGGGACGCTGGCTCCTAGGAGCTGAACCCCTTTGAGCACCCCCCAATATTTGTTAGCAGGGGGCTAGGCCCCCTCAATGTTTGTCCAGGTGTGATGCTGTACATGATGCTATCACATGAGCCAGGAACCTGGTGGCTCCTCCTCTTTCTGCCATGGAGAGGAAGTGGTCCCCAGCCTGTGACAGCAGCAGGAGATGGAGGAAAAGGTGGAGGAGCCACTGGAAACAGAAGCCAAGCTGCAACACAACGCACGAACATCACATGTCACATCCAGGTTTCACACACAACATCATGTGTGACGTCAGCCCCTTCCCCCAATATCTATTCGGATTCCTCCTGGACGGGACCAAGAATGCTGGCAACTTTAGAACTTACCTGTATGCTCCAGCGTATACATATTTGTGCAGGAGTTCTGCCATATTTCTTTGCAAGCTGAATTACGTCTGGATGACTAAGGGCTTCACCTTTAGCAAGTGGGCAGTAGCCTTCGAAAACAATATTCCTGCTTTGGCAGTAATCCACTAATTCTTGAGGCCTATGGAAAGGGTGGTATTCAACCTTTTATAAAAGAGAAGAAACTTTGCAGTTAAAACCATCGCCAGCTTTTAATCTATCACAACTCAAAGGTCAAGCAACTGAAGTGTTACTTCTTATTTGGCAGAGTGCTATCAGTTTTTAAAAAAAGAGGAAAGAAGAAATTGATATTGATATTTTCTCTTCCCTTCAAAATGCCAGGAAAAAGTCCCTTGGGTGGAAACATGGTACTCTGGAAAATTTGTACGCTGGCTGCCAACATCCTCAGAAGTTACAGAGATGAACCAACTCTTTGTAGTAATGTTTGAAGCAGTTTGCTGGGTGCATTAGAACTCAGTCCCAAGACAGCAATCATGCAAGGTCATTGCCTCTTTCTCCTCCTCCTCCTCCTCCTCTCCCACGTTCCTATGAATAAGAAACTGAAAAGAACAGCACAGCCATACATGACCTGCCTATCACCAAAATGCCACTATACAAGTACCTGCCTTCGCCTCAGTTGTACAATTCCACCTCTTTGTAGAGCAAATTCACACAGTTGCTCTTCTACCATCATGAAATGATCTCAGCACATGATCTATGTGGAGATGAGTCTTGCAGAATAGCCTGGCAAGTATTCACCCAACCCATATGATCAAATTTGACCTCATTTGTAAGGCTTTCATCAAAATCTTCCATTAGGTTAGTTGGTTGTGCATAAATCTAAACAGAGGGTTACGGGAAGGAATCCCCCCCCCCCAAGGTGCAGCACATTAATAAATCCTACCTGAGGGACAACTTGGGGAAACATAGGCTTTCTTAAACAACACACACAGCATGGCTGAGGTATCCTTAAAATGGAAAATCCCATTAATTTAAATTTGTATTTTTTAAAATTCTTACTTGAAGTTTCTTATTTAGCAACTTATCTAGTACTTAAGTATATATATTTTAGACAGAGCATACGTGTCTCTTCCCTCCTGACATATATGGACCGGTTACACAGTGACATTAATCTAGCCAATATTCTGTAAACTCTATGGTATAAAGCAAACAAAAAAGGTCAGGTCCAAGGAACTTAAACAGTCAAAGGGGGAGAAGTGAAGGAGAGTGGTGGAAGAAGATAGAGTACCAGGAGCATGAACATAGAAAGTTTTAGAAGGGATGGGGAATTGGGCAAAAAAAGTGTGTTGGATGCTGAGGCCAAAAATGGTCCCACTAGGGAAGCTGGTCACAACCTAAAAAGAAAGAAAGAAAAAAGGAAAGGAAAGGAAAGGAAAGGAAAGGAAAGGAAAGGAACAGGACAATATAGTCCTTAATTTCTCATTAATCTTAATTAGGCTTGTGATTAGTGTGTATGCATGCACACACACACTTTTAAATGAATAGATATGGTGAAATCTCCACTGGTGGTTATGACTATGCAACCCAAGTGTTGTTAGGGATTAGAGCAGAATATAAAAGTTTACACTTTCATAGACTGGGATACAGGTGTCACAGTATACCTGGTCAATGCTGACATAGAAACCTGTCCTTTAGTTACAATCATGGGTCAGGAAAATGTGGAGTTTATTTAAAAAGGAGTGTGGGCAGAAGAAAGAAAGAAAAAAGGCATTTAAGTTAGCTTGCTTGCACAAATCATCTGTGCAAGGAGCTTTGCTGGTGTGTTCTGTTTGTGTGCCCCATCCAAACCGACGTTATTGGTTGCAGTGGCTCAATGATGGTGTCCCACCTCTCAAAATCAACAGTCAATTCCTTCTGAGGAATAGGAGAATAGGAGGAGGTGACAGGCAAGAGGAAGAAGGAATAAATATGTATGAATATGAGATGAATACAACTGATATAGGAACCCAAGATTCTCGCAAGAAGTCATTCTGCGGCAAAACGTAATAAAACGTGAACTATTCTGATGTTACCCCTCCCCGTAATGGAAGCATGGATGATTAAGCAAATCAAAAAAAATGACACAGTTCCTGGACAGAAAAACACAACCCCTTCATGTGCACAAATCCAACATAAATTCTCTGGAAAAAAAGCTGCTTTAGCTGTCACACGTCTTCCAGTGACTTAACCGTTTTGCGTACTTTTGATGGAGAAGACGACACGATATCTTAGTTTAGCACCATGACATCAACACAGGGAATGTGGAAAATTTCGTGCACCCCGAGGAGGATGAAGGACTGCTTCCTGTTTCTCATCTTTAGTACATGTTGTCTTTCCAAGCAACAATAGTCAGGAACAATAGCCTGGCATCTGCTCAATCCAGACTCTGAAAAAACCAGGCTCTCAAAGGCTAGGCTGAGTCAGCCTAAACCGACTGTGATCAAAAATGACGGGCTGGGTAAGAGACAAGGTTCAAACAGCAGACACATCCATCCCTTCAACCTTTGAAGTTTCTTGACCTCTCTGTGGCATTCAGCACCGCATGTTTACAGTTTGCAGAGACATGATGGAGGTGGCTCATTTGCCCATGCTGCTTGCACCTGAACAGGCTATGGGACATGCCCAGTATTTACTGTTGAAGACTCTGAGGAAGAATGGAGAAGCAATACTCCACGTGGAGCTTTCAGACTCGCTAAATGCCACAGAAGTTAACAGTGTGTTATTTCACAAGGAAGAAATATGCTGGGGAAAAGTGCAGAAAAAGTCAACCAATCAGTATGTTGGACTACCTTGGCGTGTGTGTTTTAAGAAACATGCAGGTTATGGAAAGGATGGGATAAGAATTTTATAAAATTATGCATCATATGTAAAAAGTTGATAAAGAAGCTTTCCCCTCCTCTTATAGTATTACAGCAGAACCCCTCGTTTGGAATTACAGGGGTACCTCGGGTTACAGACGCTTCAGGTTACAGACTCCGCTAACCCAGAAATAGTACCTTGGGTTAAGAACTTTGCTTCAGGATGAGAACAGAAATCACGCAGCGGCGGCAGCAGGAGGCCCCATTAGCTAAAGTGGTACCTCAGGTTAAGAACAGTATCAGGTTAAGAACGGACCTCTAGAATGAATTAAGTTCTTAACCCGAGGTACCACTGTATTCAATGAAACAGATTGTCAGGAGGTTCAGGTCTCCTGGCTCTCACTGGATGAAGGACTTGAACTTTGTGTACAGTTTCTGCCCAAACCTTTAATGCCCAAATCAGTACAGTACATGGACAAAATAGGTGCTGTACGTGGCTAGCAAGGAATATTGGTCCACCCCTTGGGTTCCATTATATAGGAATGGGGCAGGCACAGCTTCAATGTGAGACTGAGTAGCGGCTGTTGCCTTGGGATTTGCCCTCACTTTGTTGGGTGTGTGGTGCTGGATTCAAGTCCTCTCATGCTCTCCATCATCTGCCCAAAACACGAGTTTCCTAGTCAAAGCCTTCTAACCACTATGCATAGTATACTCACCTGGTTAACGTGCGGGGTTACCTGGCAGTCTTCCTTCAGTTGTTCCAAATGATCAATAAGAAAGTTGCTTACTCCAATAGACCGGCATAAACCTGAACAAAAGCAAAAAGGTGCTACATGTTTATAACATTCTGTCATGGTGGGAGACAAGAGAGGGGCCTAGTGCACACATTATAACCAAGTGGCCCAACTGAAAAGAGGGTTGGGTTTCACAGTGCTTCAGCCTGTTAAACATGGAAATGGGGTCCACTCCCACATACAATTTCTGTAGTCACTCAGGGAACCCCTGCCATCAGTGAACACGTAGAGCCGACAGACAATTGCTGACACCATGTGTGTACTTTACCATTTAAAATCTGAATACTTTTGGTACCCAAATTTAAGTAGTAGAGCATGGCTTGGCTGTGTCCGAATGGCCCTGTGCAAATAACCACCTCTCAGCATCAGTCAGCTTTCTCATGAGATAAGAAAAGGTTGTTACCTACATACAAGCTCTCAGAAGAGGGTGGGCTATAAAAATAAATACATTTCAGGAATGATGAAACGGTCATCAAGTGAGAGGAAGATTACACACACCCCAATTTATGCATAACGAGAGTTCTGAGTAACATCATAGGGTAATTTTTAAAAAAGAACAACACTGAACTTGCAGTTTGACAGCATTATCTGAGGACACAATTCAATCAAGATCCCTTTAGGAAGCAGTTTTATAATCTAAACACACAGGGGGCTCCCTGGTGGATTAAAGCTCCGGGCTAAATTCTGGGAAAAGCTGGTGTAGTGTAAGCAAAGAACAATTGGACTTTGCCAGGTTGAAAAGGAGGAAATGGTGTTCTGAACAGTCTGCCAAAAGCTCAAAAGAAGTGGAACATGCGTAGAAGACTAATAGGGTGTAAGAAAACACAAGGACAAACAATCCAAACAGACTTCTGACTACTTTCAGGTTATTGCTGCAAGGAAGACATTCGGTAAAATAAAACCCACAGAAACTATACTTATGCAGTCAGGAATTAAGAGCACAAATCTATAGCTGGGTTTTGCATTTTCTAACGCTGCCTGCCATCAAAGGGCCGTAATTACATGCATGCAGCTCAGCATGCTTCCACAAAATTATGTGTGTATATGGAACTGAACTGTGCCAATAGTCCCAGAAACAGCTAAAAAGAAGGGGGAAATTTGCCCTAATTTGCTAAACTAAAGCGATTTTTGCCTAAGTGGTTTCATCTGCCATAGGCAAACTGATAACGTCCATAAAGTTTAAGGCAATCTCTTTTCTCTGAATCCATCTCATGTCTTAATTGGCAAGGGTTGCAAGCTTTCAAACTGCACATAACTCTTGTTTCAGAATGAAACTATTATATGGGGCAATTATCAGCCATACTGATTTTCTCGTGCTTCACGGCAGTGCTAGATTAGTTATCCTGTGTATTCTACAGAATACTGCAATGGAAAAGTACGAAGTCATCTTGCTTCCTTGAACAGTGGAGACAAGGGCGGTTTCCTCCCTTCCCCAGAGTCCTGACGAACAAGGGTCAAGCTCATTGATGGAGGAAAATTTAAGACATGGGTAACAAAACATGGAAGCTACTTAGACAGCCCAAACACAGCACAAGGGGCTTGTGAAGACAACACTTGGGCAGGGAACAATGGGAGAAAGGAATAACTCTGAGCAGCGATCAAAATGACCGGGCATTGTTCTTGGCTAAGAAGCAGCCATGCACTAATTTTGATTTCTGTTTTAGAGGGCACATTATGGTAAAGTGAGCAAGTTCTGGTCCCTTAACCCTACTGGCCTAACAAAAGCTAATGTTTAAAAACAATTTCCAGCACTGTATGGAACCTACCCAACAACCTTCAGTTAAGTTCACCCTTGAATAATTCTGAATGGTGTTCACGCTTCTGCCACTGTAGAATTCCTGGGAGAAGAAAGTTCTCCAGAAAAGGTTTGTTCAGAGAAAGCCTCTCTCTTAACCAGAAGCTTCAGATGAAAAACAGGAGGTGGCTAGTTCCATCACACCCTAGTTGTGAGCTTACTTGCAGTACCTCTTTATCGGGTAAAAGAACCGGATGGACCTTTCATCTGAGGCAGTACACAAAGTATTATATTTTTTATGAATAGCCAGGGACAGACCATTGGTTCCAAAGTTCACATAGCTCACTTCCCCGAGAGCTCAGGGTAGACAACAACATTTTACTTCAACGACCGCTCTATTATAACAAATATTATAAAGCTTTTAAAACATGAAGTAAAAGTCTCTCTCTTTCTCTCTCTCTCTCTGTGTGTGTGTGTGTGTGTGTGTGTGCGCGCACACACACCAAAAAAATGCCATTAGGATCTCCTAAGATATGATCCTGTTTAATAAATTGGCAATATGATCACTCACAACTTATGAACAGACTGCTTACCAACTTAGACTTTGCTTGGATAAATATGACAATATTTGGAATGAGTTTATACAAAATGTATAATAGGCTATTAATAGTTACATATGTATTCAGATAAAAATTGCAACTTTAGAAAAGAATGTATGGGTTAGGGTATTTTTTCGCACATGTCCATATATTATTTCTTTCTCTACACATTTTTGTGCCTTTTCATTTTTCTTTTCTTTCATTTTTCTTTGTATCCCTTCATTTATTTAAAATTGAAAACTTTTCAATAAAATATTAATACCAACAAACCCTTAGGAGCCAAAGGAAACAGCAGAAGGTCAAAGCTGAAGATTCCCAACTTTGGAAACCAGAGTGTACGCAAATTCCGAAAGATACCTTCAACCATGCCATGAAAAAGCTCTAAATCCATATTCCGGCTGAGAGAAAAGGGGGCTTTTTCCAATGGCAACGTTTGAATAGTGAATGTCTTGGCCCACAACAACAGCCTCTTAACTGCTGCATGCACTGCATTTATGGACATGATAGGCTGGATCTTCTGATTGCTCTTAGGGACTGCGATATGACACAGAAAAGGAGTCAACCTTAACATGTGATGGGGCTCAAGACTAGCAGCGCTTTATCAGGGAAGGCCAGGACTTTAATGTGTTGCTGCACCGAAGCTTGAGGGAGCCGACAGCTCCCAGAATGCGGAGGTAGCATAAATCCAGCAACCTCTCACTCGTGAAAAGGTGAAAACGGAACAGACACAAGTTAATCTGAAAAATACAGCATGAGACAATTTCGGAAGGATTATTAACATGCTAATGAATTGGCACACAGCCACCCTATGCGTGGAATCACCACTGATTTGTCTTGTCACGGGAATCATACATAAATGGAACAGCTAGAGGGAAGGAACTCCTTGTCCGTCTCAAACAGCTGTGTTGTCGAGCCCAGCATGCTTGCATAATTCCCATTAATGCTAATAGGATTTGGGGATGTATAATGGGGTGGACACCTACCTTGATCTGGGATTTAAATATAAATTTATATTAACATAAAAGGAACATTTGCAATTCAGATGCAGCGCTCACCATACCATTTGCATGCTAGAGAGGAGCAGCAAAATATGGCAAAGCATCAATTTTGCTTGGTCCTGGAAATGAGGCCATTTTTCCGAAATGTCAGTGTTCACCATGCACAACCAACTTACCCACAAAAGTATGAATGTACCTGCAACATACTTCAATGATGAAACACATAAAAGCATTCTTCATTGACATATATTACAAGTATATCGTCCATTGGGGGGCGTGGTCTAATCATTGGTTGTGCATAGGCCTGGCCAATGCCTTGATACATCATCCTGCGGACAGCCTCACCAGAGTGATGCATGATCTAGTTATCTCCCGCTTGGACTACTGCAATGCGCTCTACGTGGGGCTACCTTTGAAGGTGACCCGGAAACTGCAATAAATCCAGAATGCGGCAGCTAGACTGGTGACTGGGACTGGCCGCAGGGACCACATAACACCGGTCCCGAGAGATCTGCATTGGCTCCCAGTACGTTTCCGAGCACAATTCAAAGTGTTGGTGCTGACCTTTAAAGCCCTAAACAACCTTGGCCCAGTATACCTGAAGGAGCGTCTCCACCTCCATCGTTCTGCCCGGACACTGAGGTCCAGCTCCAAGGGCCTTCTGGCGGTTCCCTCATTGCGAGAAGTGAGGTTACAGGGAACCAGACAGAGGGCCTTCTCGGTAGTGGCGCCCACCCTGTGGAACGCCCTTCCTTCAGATGTGAAGGAAATAAGCAGCTATCTTCTTTTTAAAAGACATCTGAAGGCAGCCCTAATTAGGGAAGTTTTTAATATTTAATGCTGTATTGTTTTTAACACTTGATTGGAAGCCGCCCAGAGCGGCTGGGGAAACTCAGCCAGATGGGCGGGGTAGAAATAAATTATTATTATTATTATTATTATTATTATTATTATCATCATCATCATCATCATCATCATCCAGGACCAGTTTGAGGGCCAGAGCACAATGGTGCCTTCACCCTGCGGTATATCATGGGTGGTGCTTGCCTGCTGCCCAGCGCCTAACCTTCCTTCTCCAGCTGCCTCGTTCCTCCCTGCGACGGGCGCTGGTGGCAGTGGGAGTGGCAGCAGTGTCACCCCAGCACCTCGCAGAGCCGGGGCTGATGCTCCTTGCTCCTCCCTCCATGCACCACACGCTGGAGGGAACTGCGGCGGTTTCGCCCCGGCACCCTACACGGTTGGTGCTGCTTCCTTTCCAACACTGCAGTGTATCGCTATACACTGGTGATACATCACAACGTTGAAAAGCTAATATCACCCAGCCCTAGTTCTGCATGTTATATATGGACCCTCACTGCCTATTGCACAGCATCCACTACACCTCTGTTGTCAGACATATGCTGACAAATGACAAAAAACCTCATACACAATGACAAATGACAAAAAACCTCATACACGTCAACATTTGCTGGTATTTTTTCAAGTGTTTAGAAATTCAGAAACTTCACCTGCCAATGTGCACTTGTGATCCTTAGTTTAGACACAACTGCATGCCGTCAATGGTACTCCAGCTTCTAAAAATTAGTATTTTAATAGATAGCAAAGGAAATCTTTGCAATGTGGCTTTTTACACAGTTGTGTTAATATCAGCACTTTTAATTAAACTGTCCTTTACAGGTTCCTACCCAGAGGAGCTTATAATCTAAAGTGAGACTTAATTTCGCTTCGGTCCCAGCAACACAAAGAGCCAAGCGAAGGGCAGGCTGAAAGACAATGCTGTACAAAACCCGGGGGGAGATGGAGATGTCCTAATTCTTGGCTTCCAAAAGGCATTTGGAAAGTAGACCCGTTAATCTTGAGCACCGGGCTGTTTGACAACTTTCATTTAAACTAACGATCATGTGCTCAATATGTGTCCTGTTAATTGGGTTACAACCCACGACGCAGCAGTTTGCATAATTTGAATTTAATCTGCGAGAGCAGGTCAAGCTCCCAGAGTTGAGGCCTATGGCGGAAGAGAAAACAAGTAAATAGATTCACCATGGTCCACACAACTAATAAATCAATATTTCAAAAGAAGCCTGGAACAAAACATTACTTCCAATTGTAATATGAAAGGGAATGGGGCAAAGATGTTCCACTTTGTATTGAAAATCTTTAAAATGTATTTTAAAGTGTGGGTTGCTGGTAGATCACTGTCCTGCTCTAAGATCAGAGTTTAATTCCCCAAAGCAGATTATTTTTCAGTGGTCTGCTCATTTTAGTTTCAGGTTTCTTAATGAAAGATAATAGTTACATCTCCATCCTTTTTTAAGCCGCTAGTTTCTCATTTGTTTGGTTTCAAGCTGGGTTTCCCAAGTTTGCTTTCCATTATGTCAAGAATGCAACTGGTTCAAGCCTCCCCAGACCCAAGCAAAATGAGGTTTGTAGTGCTCAGTGTGGGCACAGGACTGGTTTCATGGAAGCGTAGAGTTGGAAGGGGCCATAAGGGTCATCTAGTCCAACCCCCTGAAATGCAGGAATATTTGCCCGACATGAGGCTTGAACCCACGACTGTGAAATTGAGAATCTCATGCTCTACCAACCCAGATGGGTTTCACAGCTTGCGGAAAGATTTTAATTTCCTTACACCATCCCTCACAATTATGGTATCACATGAAAAAACTTGAATGGGAATTGGATGGGGGAAATGGTTGATGGATACTGCATCTCCCCCTCCAGGCCACATTTATTTGGGCTGAATCTTCAAAACCCCAGTGTGACATAAGAACAAGTTACCAAGTTAGCCAAATGCACAAAGAAAATCAGGGCAGGAAGAAAGGAGGAAGATCAAGATGGAAATAGCAAGGGTGCATTGGTACAGAAACACATTTAAGGCATTTGATGTAGGTCCTAGAGTTGCCTGTGTCACCCGCAACCAATGTCAGCCTTATCCACGGTTAATGATTGTGTTGGGAACAACTTTAAACATGGTTAACACCAAACCGACTGCATTAACAGCTTCAAATGCTGATGTCGAATCCTGACTATGCATAGAGCCCATGCATGTGCAATCTTCATGTATGCAGGCATGCAGAGATAATCTATTGCAGGGTTTCCCAAACTTGGGTCCCCATCTGATTTTGACAACTACAACTCCCATAATCCCTAGCTAGCAGGACCAATGGTCAGGGTTTATGGGAATTGTAGTCCAAAACCAGCTGGCGACTCAAGTCTGGAAAACCCTGATCTATTGTGAAGCCAACTGTTTCTTTCTGGATAAATTGTGTCAATATCACCCTGTTCTAGTTCATTCACAGTCCTTAGAATTGCTCCCATCAACATTTTAGACAAAGCTGCTGTTGTGAAACAACTCAGTGATAATACAGTGGTGCCCCGCAAGACGAATGCCTCGCAAGACGGAAAACTCGCTAGACGAAAGGGTTTTCCGTTTTTGAGCTGCTTCGCAAGACGAATTTCCCTATGGGCTTGCTTCGCAAGACGAAAACGTCTTGCAAGTTTGTTACCTTTTGCGTCACACCGTTAATCCAGTTGCGACTTGACTTCGAGGAGCAACTCCTAGCCCGCAGTGTACATAGTAGCCCATTTGTGAGGTTTTTAAAGACTTTGGTGATTTTTGAAGCTTTTCCAAAACTTCTTTTGCAGCCATTTGGTATGTTAAGCTTTTAAAACTTTTTTGGGGGGTTTGGATTTTGGGTTGGGGTGTTTGGAATTCAAGGACTTGGTGTTGGGGAGGGGTTTGCAAGAATCTGGAAGCTTGTGTGGTTTTTTTCTGCATTTTTATGATTTTCTGTGACCATTGGGCCACTCTGCTGTTTTTTAAAAAAAATTCTGGATTTGAATTTCTGTGTGCTGGGTGGCTGGGGGAACAGTTGGGGAGGGTTTGGCAAGAATCTGGAAGCTTGTGGTTTTTTTTCTGCATTTTTATGATTTTCTGTGACCATTTGGCCACTCTGCTGTTTTTTAAAAAAAAATTCTGGATTTGAATTTCTGTGTGCTGGGTGGCTGGGGGAACAGTTGGGGAGGGGTTTACAAGAATCTGGAAGCTTGGTTTTTTCCCTGCATTTTTATGATTTTCTGTGACCATTGGGCAACTCTGCTGTTTTTTAAAAAAATTCTGGGTTTGAATTTTGAAATGCTCTTTACAGTATGTGTGACTTTAAAGAGCACTTAATAAACTCTTGTTGTACCAAATTTGGCTTTGTTTGGACTTTTTTGACCATAGGAACGCATTAATTGATTTTCAATGCATTCCTATGGGATTTCGTGCTTCGCAAGACGAAAAATTCGCTAGACGAAAAAATTCACGGAACGAATTAATTTCGTCTTGCGAGGCACCACTGTATTTCATATGTACCTATATAACAGTGGTCCTACTAAGGAGATTTTGATTCATTTGTGTTAGAGAAGACTTGGTAATGTCTAATAAAAACAACTACCGTATTTTTTGCTCTATAAGACTCACTTTTTCCCTCCTAAAAAGTAAGGGGAAACGTGTGTGCGTCTTATGGAGCGAATGCAGGCTGTTTAGCTATCACAGCAGCCAGAACAGCAAGAGGGATTGCTGCTTTAACTGTGCAGCGATCCCTCTTGCTGTTCTGGCTTCTGAGATTCAGAATATTTTTTTCCTTGTTTTCCTCCTCCAAAAACTAGGTGTGTATTGTGGTCTGGTGCGTCTTATAGAGCGAAAAATACGGTAATTTTCTTTTTAGCAAGTATCCAAGAATACTGATGATTTCTATGCTTCCAAAAATACAAGTACCTAGCTGTCTACTATCAGGGAGATCAGTCATTTGGAGCTGAGGATCTATTTGGAACCTCTATTTAAATATTAAGGTGTTGTTTTTAAGAGCTTAATTTAGATTCATTTTTATGAGGTTTGTAGTACATAATCCATCTTTTATCAGGAAAACAAAATACTTTATCATCAAAGTTGAGAAGCTCTATGTTCAAGGGGGGAAAGCACTGCATACTGATATATCAAAGGAGGATAATATGCAGGTCTTACAAATTAATTAGGTTTACATGACGATTTATGTTCACCTACTCATTTCTTATTTGATTTAATGGGTATTATTCTTGGGGAAAGGGGGGCAATTAAGCAGCCTCTTTCCAAATATGACCGGCTTCCTGCAGAGTTTTCCAACAGCGGAGACTATGAAATTGGAGTTACATCAATATACGTGCAAGTCAAGTATTGAATATACAACTTCAGGCCACCTTTGGAGTGATTTATTTGGGACTTCAAAAATATCCCTGCAGGATCACTCTATTAACAGAGACTGATTGTGCTTTGTTATGAGGTTGCCGTTAATGGATTTATCACAATGGTTTTGTTTGAAAGTGCCTGAAGTCGGTGATTTGACAAAATAATGTTAATGTTCTTCTGATGGCTGTGGATGGTCCCCTGAACTGGCAGGGATGGGCACAAGATGAGCGCTTAAATTTCTATACAATTCTGGTAGTTCTGTCCCTATAATTCCCAAATGAAAAGTTTCTGGTTTATTCATTTTTATGCGACTACAGCGGTAAGAAGGTTACTCGCTCCAAAATGGAAAGAAGCAGAAGACCCAGCAAAGGAAGAACAGATACAAAAACTTATGAAATATGCAGAAATGTGCAAAACTTATTGGAAGAATTAAGAAATCAACATAACAAACTTTTCATAAAAGAATGGAAATGGTTTATTGAATATTTACAGACAAATTGCAAACGGATAAAAATGTTGGCAGGATTACTTAAAAACCTGCAGTTTCATAAAAGTATATATTTAGATAATTAAATGAGCAGATTAAATGAATTTGCATATGCAGAAAGTATTTTTAAAAATTAATTTAAGGAACTGCAAAAGGGGGGAAGGAAGTCAAACTTTGAAATGTGAAAATGATTGTAAAACTAGTGAAATGTATAAGCCTGGTGAGTATAAATAAAAACTTTTTTTTTTTAAGTTGAGTGCTTAAGAACTGCGTGCGAGAAACTGCAGCGTTGCTGTTAGTACACAATGGGCAGGCTGGTGGCAAGAGACTGCAATATTTTTCCCCGTGGATTTGATATGGGTTAGCAGTTCTGCAACTTGAAGCTATGTCTCTGCGTCCATTTATGTTATACTTATAACTAAAGGAATATCGAAGACACAGCACGTTTCCATTGCTACTACGTCTGGAACCAACCAGGAAAGCGAGGAGAGTGCAGGCAGTGACCATTCTGTGCACATCCAATTGATGTGTGACCGCCAACACCCAAGTCCTTTCGGAGCCGGAAGAGGGCAGAACAGGGGCAGAACAGGGGGACAGAAAGAGGGCAGGGCAGAACGGGACAGGGCTTTTGCGTGCTCCGTCAACACATGAGTGGGCCAGGAAATGTGCAAAATGGTCATCACGTGTGTAACAGTATCACTGATGGATTATCAGCACACCAGCATTCTGTAACATTCAGTGGTTTAGAACTTATGTACTTTCGACGGGGTGAGCTCCCGTTGCTCGGTCCCTGCTCCTGCCAACCTAGCAGTTCGAAAGCACATCAAAGTGCAAGTAGATAAATAGGTACCGCTCCGGCGGGAAGGTAAACGGCGTTTCCGTGCGCTGCTCTGGTTCGCCAGAAGTGGCTTAATCATGCTGGCTACATGACCCAGAAGCTGTACGCCGGCTCCCTCAGCCAATAAAGCGAAATGAGCGCCACACCCCCAGAGTCGGCCGCGACTGGACCTAATGGTCAGGGGTCCCTTTACCTTTTTACTTTTGGGTGGACTTGGTTTCAGCGAAGCAGTAACAGGGCCGGTGAGGAAGTGCAAGCCAGGGAGCGCATACCATTAAATGCGTCTGAGAACTGTTGGGGCAGCCTAAAATATACCTGTGTGGCCTGAAGAAAAGCAGAAGTGAGGAAGCCTAGGCCAGAGAGCACATACCATCAGTTCCAGACACAACTATCAGCTCAGAGAACTCTGTTGGTGCATTTTGGACCATTTGTTGTAAAAACTGTAAACGGCCATAGGTACCATGGCAGGAAGGAGGTATATAAATGCAGTCATTCCATCATTTGACGGCCGTTTACTCAATCTGTTTTTCAAAATACCAAATCAGCTTCCTTTTCTGTCAAAGAGGAAGTTGAAACGTACACGTGCTGCTGTGTTTCACATCTCAAAACAGCCTTTTAGAGAATAGCCTTTGGCAACTTTTATGACTAGCTTTACTAAATACTAATAATAATACCCACCCATCACAATAGGGTCCCAGGTCATGTTATAGTAATTTAAATGCACAAAATTAAAAACAGTTTCAAGCAAATTCTTGGGACGGATTGGGCTGCTGGGGCATGCTCTCAATTGCTCTTCTGATTGTTCAAATTGCCTCACAGGCATGAAAGAGATGCAGACATGGATTCTTCCACCTTGCTCTTTTCCCCATCCCATCACCCACTCTGACCCGCTGCAGGGCAGAAGGAGAGTCCTGCTTGCTCCAGAGGGCCAGAAAAAGAAGATAGGGAAGGGGACCAGGGAGAGAAGGACAGGCTGTATCAGGTACGCAGTTGCAGGCAGGCTGCAATATTTTGGCTGCAATCTGGAAACTCTAGTGACTGACAGACTTATGTTAAAGACGCTCTCGAGCCAACATCATAATTGTCTGAGATGGAAGAATGGTATTAAAAATAATCAACTGAAGCTTGGGCCTATCTTTCAAATCCCCACTGAGCCATGAAGCTTGCTGACAGTTCTAGGGCTCATGAACTCAGCATTGTAGAGTTGGAAAGGACCCCGCAGGGCATCTGGTCCAACGCCCTGCAATGCATCCATGACAGATGGCCACCTGACCTCTGCCTAAAAAGCTCCAATGACGGAGACTCCACCACCTTCCAAGGTAGCCCATTTAGACAAAGGTGAAAAACTTCAAAAAATATGTGGAGCTAGATCCAACATGCATATAGAGTCATACCTTGGGTTACAGACGCTGTGTTTTTTCGGGTTGCGGACCGCAAAACCCGGAAGTACCGGAATGGGTTGCTTCTGGGTTTTGGCAGTCACGCATGCGCAGCACTAAATCGCGCTTTGCGCATACGCAGACACGCCAAATTGCAACCCAAACATGCACAGATGTGCCGCTGTGGGTTGCAGATGTTGCGGGCTGCGAACGTGCATCCCGCACGGATCATGTTTGCAACCCGAGTGTCCACTGTATTTTGCTCATGTTCAAAAAAATCCAAAGGGGCGGCGGAGGTTAACCCCAAGCTAGTGGACATTCATTCATTCATTCTTTTTTTTTATGTTGCTTTTCTACACCCCCCAAACGCTCAAAGCGGCTTACAACAATACATCTGAAAACCAACTGCAAAAAGAATTTACTAATGACATAGCAAATCACAGTAGCAAATATTATAACATACAAAGAAACATTTCAGAACTGTTAAGTACAGTATAACAAGATTACATAAACTACACAAACAACACCCAGCATCCAATAACAAAAATAACAAAAAACTAAAAATAATTTATGGTTTCACCTTGGTCCCAAGAGCTCCCCTCCCCTGATGTTGCTCACGGTCCCTTTCCTGGAGCAACTTGCAAGGCTTCCAATCACAAGGGGCAGTAAATCTGGAAACAGACCTCCCATGATGTTCCCCCTGCTGGCCACATGCCATTTCAAGAAATCAGATTTGTTAAGTAACTAATTTGGGGGTTTCTCAGTCAGGACACACTCTGCAGGCCTCTTGGAAGAGGTGGGAGCGTGCAAATCACAATTTCCCCCAGACTGCACCCAAATTTCCAGGGTGTTCCACGACAAGTAGGAAAGGCAGCTCCACTGGGATGAGTTTGGGAGTCCACCAAATTGCCTGACCTCACCCACCTCCTTGGGTCAGCCCTGCAGGAAATGAGGCTGAAGACTTTGAACGCTGCCACACTGCATTTTCTTGCCAGAAAAAGCTTCAAAACAAACTCCATGTGAAGATTAAAAAGAAAAAGGAGGAGGGGACCTTCAGAGTAAGATGGACAAGCTGATCTCTTACCAGCAAAGAAATAAGTAAATAAATGGTCTCAGCACCCGAGCTTTGTTTGATTACAATAGCTTGCCTTATCTCTCTCGAACACTGACATGGGTGCTTTTATCAAGGCTTTCAAGCCTTAACTGTACTAAGTTCAGACATCAAAACACTTTTTAGAACTTTTACTAGCTCTTAACAATTTCCTTAGGCGATGATGCCTCCCTCATCGCAGGCCAAAGCAAAACATGCCGCAGAAACAAGCTTTGAATTTTGAGTCATCACTTTTCTCCTGGCACAGGCTCTGTATCAAAATGAAGAATAGGCAGGCATTCAACAGGTGTAGCCTTTCCTGAGATGGGGATTGTGTGTGTGTGTGTGTGTGTGTGTGTGTGTATGTACACTGGGCAAATTTCTGCATTGTATGCAACTGTAAACATTCATGTCACACAAGAAGTCATGCAATTCAAACTTGTCACAGGATTTCAATTTGTGGGACTGCATAAGGAAACTTCCAGCAGAAAGAGGGGTTCTGCATGGCAACAGAAAAAGTCACCAAAGTGAGAAAGTGTTGAATTTTGCCTGCAAAGGGAGAATCAAGAGTGCAAAGTGAACTTTTTCCTAGGTTTACTACGATGATAGTGTAGTGTAGTGTAGTGTAGTGTAGTGTAGTGTATACACTATGAGATATTTCACATTAGGCAGCGGCATAACTCCTGTAGAAAGGGAGAGATTATACAAGCAATCAGTTGAAGGAAATGAGATGTCTACCGTATAGAGAACTTGTTTTTAAAAAAATAAAAAGTATTTTTTTAAAAAAAATCCATTATTGTAAAAGGTGCCAATTGGACAATTCACACTGAAAAGTTGTGCAGAAATCTTTTAATTAATTGCCTGCATCTTTGCTTACAAAAATGTGTAGCTTCATGTCATGCTTCTTAAAAGCTACTTTGCAAATCATTACTGTTTAAATGAATGCCACGTGAGACTTGAGTTTGTTTTCTTGAAGAGATACCATCATACAGCATCCCTTATCTGATCAAACAGGGTGTGGTGCAGCGGATATCACTCATAAACCACCTCCAACCACAGGAGGAAGCTCTGACCTACATGAATCTCTATTGTAATGTTACTTAAAAAAAAAAAAAAGGCGAAAGGAATTCAAAAGTTAGTCCTGTGGCCAAAAAAAAGCCCCTGCTCCCTCACAGGAATGAGCGAGCATCCATTGCTCAATTCCAAAATAATTTGGGCTGCTCAAATCAATTTTTTTATGAGCATCTGCAGCCTCCCCTGCCAGTCCCTTGCCCTCCTCACCCAGAAGAGGAAATGGGACATCCATCAAATGAAACTTCGCCCCACCCCAGCCCTGTCCACAATGGGGACACAGGACAACTCAAGTAAACTGGCCTATCTCACAAGCCTGAACCTCAAGGAAACTCTTTCCATACCAAACCGCCCTCGCCCAACAGCGGCCGAGAAATTAAAGCGCAAGTTGTTGCTGTTTATTGCGGGTATTTACAGCCCAATCTTCCAGCAAATGTGCAGGCCTGTTTAAATAGTCAGAATCCACAAAATCAATTAACAGAACCCAGCAGCCACATCCATAGGACAACCTTTGGATTATATTCCTGCTGTTCTTCTCTCTGCAACAACCCATCAACAGTGAGCAGCTCCAACAGCGGCTGTGGGTTTGTAGCCCAACCCTGAGAGTACAGTACAGTCATACCTCGGGTTGTGAAGGCTGCGGGTTGCGTGTTTTCGGGTTATGGACCGCGCCGAACCAGGAAGTACCGGAATGGGTTACTTCCAGGTTTTGGCGCTCACGCATGCGCAGAAACACTAAATCGCGTCACGCGTGTGCTCAGACGCAGCGCTGTGGGTTGCGAACGCTGCGGGTTGCGAACGTGCCTCCCGCACGGATCATGTTTGCAACCCGAGGTTCCACTGTACTCAAAAGGTACCAATGGTACCTTTTTGAGGTTGAGGGGCAGGCAGGGAAGTTCATGTTTGGGCCACTCACCAGACTTGATGGTCCAAGAAAGGCTCCTTAGCTATAAGGACACCAGAGTGGAGGGAGGTTAAAGTCCCTCCCCCTGTTTGCCTCCTTCCTGCCACTGCTGTTACACGCCAAGGTTAAACGATTGCTTAAATTACAAATCCCAAAACTTCAGAAGCTATCAAAGACCATCTTCCCTAATTTCTCAAGCAGGCAGGCGCATGGGGAGACGCTTATAAATAGCTTGAATTGCAGCTTTTATAGAGAACATTCCCATTAACTTTTATGGCTCTTAAGTCACATTCTCATTCTGTTCTTGGAATGCCCCATTCTTTTCAAGCATAAACAAATGGAAAACCCTTTAAATAAAACAATGTACGCTTAGAACACAGTTTTTGTGACAATCAAAATAAACTCCTACAACAACTGTGTAATAAACCATAGTGGTTGATTATTACTGTCTTTTTTAAAAATAAAATAAAAAACCTAGAAAGCGGGAACAAGCAGATTTAATAAATGCATTTCATTGCTTTCACTCAGTCTTGTAATTTTTGCTCCTGATCAAATGCCTCCTCTTCCAGTGTTCTTTTTAATAACTCCACATGTTTTAATTTTGCTAATTGTTCACACTTCTACAGTATGCTTTCAAAGGGTCAGTGAAAAAGGTTTGAATCCTTGTTTGAGGTACTGAATAAAATAGGGATATAACTGGGCCTGCATGAGGTTGGTTGTTTGGACAGTATGGCTCACCAAGTGAGTCTACAGCTGGGGCGAGACTTGAAATAAGTTCTTCCCAGCTAATCTTCTTACAGCACAATCCTGTGCATCTGTACACATAAGTTGTTCTACTGTAAGTCAAAGAGGACATACTCCGGTGTAAGTAAGTTTAGAATGTAAGCTTGGTCATAGTGCTACACAAGCACTCAGATGAGGAAAATAAGTGAACAATTAGAAGGAACAATCCTATTTTTAAAAACTGCTTCTAAACTCCAGGCCAGGACCATAAGTCAAAAGGGATGATTAAGCATTATCTGAGTGTCAACTGAAACTTTAGTGGTTAACCATGCAAGCAAATTATTTAATCATTTCTTCCCTCATGGGGTACTGCCTATAAACCTCCAAATTTATTAACATTTGCATATCACTTCAGAAACACATGGCCAGAGGTTCAAAATTTCTGCATTGCTTGAGGCAGAAAAGGGGTGATTTGTGGGATGCAGGAGCCGATGGACCAGATAACAAAAGACTCAGGACAGAAAGGCTACTTTAATTGCAATGAGATTTACGTGACGTTAATTTAAATAATGTCGCTTAGGGTGGAAATTGTGTTCGGCATCCATAGGTTCTGTAATGAAGTTTCATGCAGGGGTGATAAATCGAGGATGTGCCTAACATACAGTTTTAATTCCTGACATTTCGCTCGGCCTAGGTGCAGATAAACAGCCAAGTTAAATTAATGCACATGATGAAGGAAACAGTAGAGAAGAGGGGCACGAGTTTGGGGGGGAGGGAGAGATTCAGTTCAAAAATCTCCCAAAGAGATGCTTTGTAAGTTAATTAACCTGGGGGTGGGGGTGAGGGAGAGAGAGAGAATCAAGTTTCAATTCCTCATTCAGGCAGTCAACTAAAACCCTTGCCCCAAACCACCAACAGAAAATTGTTACACCAATAATATCCCCACCATCACCACAAGCGCTCCTTGGTCCCAATTAGTATCAGCTTTGAACAGTATTGGTAAGGCTCTGAGAATCTGCAACCAGACCCACAAACCCACTGTAACAAGACTACTTAGGTTTGATGCCATGACACAAAGCTACTTCAGTTCAGCGGCCTAGCCTTTTTTTGGCATTCAATTCCATTTGAAAACAACGACAAGACTCTGGTGTTTAGGAAAACGTTTCTTGAGGTTGTCCCTCCTCTTCCCGATTACAGTCATAGGAAAAAGAAAGAACACCCTCTTTGAATTCTGTGTTTTTACATATGAAGACATAATAACAAACCTCTGTTCCTTGGCAGGTCTTAAAATTAGGTAAATACAGTGGTACCTCAGGTTAAGTACTTAATGCGTTCCGGAGGTCCGTTCTTAACCTGAAACTGTTCTTAATCTGAAGCACCACTTTAGCTAACGGGGCCTCCTGCTGCCGCCGCGCAGCCGGAGCACGATTTCTGTTCTTATCCTGAAGCTAAATTCTTAACCTGAAGCACTATTTCTGGGTTAGCGGAGTGTGTAACCTGAAGCATATGTAACTCAAGGTACCACTGTACAACCTCAGATGAACAACAACAAATTACATATTACACTGTGTTATGATTTATTTATGGCTCTAGACTTGGGGTATCCAATGACACTGAGGTGGGCTGTTCTCTTGATAACCCACTTGGTCCTTCCCCTCGGCTCTAGGTCACCACCTCCCAATCTGCTGTGTCCCACTCCAGGGTCAGAGTCCTTCAATGGGTCCTGCTCACGACTTCCCTCTTTGTTGGGCCTGTCCCACATCAGACACCTCCGATCCCCAATCTCTTCCCACTCCTTCTCCCCACTGGACATTTCCAGAGAGCTCCGGACAGCGACGCTGCTTCTCTTTCCCACCATCCCCATCTTATAGAGGCCTATTCTGAAAAGACCATCTTTAGGCCTCTTCTTCACTGGACCAAGAAAGGAGCAAAGTACATCAGGATTGCTAAATGTTCAGATGTTTAAAAAGCATTGCAGGGAAAGGGTAACAAAACTCCAGAGTGGAGCACTGTTCTGTGACACTTCCGAGGCCTGGTATGAATGACATCAGATCATAGCTGTCAACTTTTCCCTTTTCTTGCGAGGAATCCTATTCGGAATAAGGGAATTTCCCTTAAAAAAAGGAAAACATTGACAGCTATGCATCAGATTGCCCTAAGATACCATATTTTTTGCCCTATAGGACGCACTTTTTCCCCTCCAAAAATGAAGGGGAAATGTGTGTGCGTCCTATGGGGCGAATGCAGGCTTTCGCTGAAGCCTGGAGAGCGAGAGGGGTCGCTCCGGGCTTCGCGCAGCTCCGCGCACCGATCCGGAGCCCGGCGCAAAGTCGTGCTGGGCTCCCGACGGCTGCGCGGAGGTGCCTGCAGCCCCAGGCTTCGCACAGCTCCGCGCAGCCCTCCGGAGCCCGGCGCTGGGCTCTCGACTGCTGCGCGGAGCTGCCTGCATTCCGAAGCCTGGGACGCGCTGAAGAGCGTGCTCGGGCTTCGCGCACCTCTCCGCAAGCCTGGGGAGACCGGCGCGACTTCGCGCCGGGCTCCCTAGGCTTGCGGATAGCAGGCTGTTCTGGGGGCTGGGGTCGGGGGAAGCTCGGGCTTCCCCCGCGCCAGCCCCGCGCCTGGGGGGGGAAATAATTTTTTTTTTCTTTATTTCCCCCCCAAAAAACCCAGGTGCGTCCTATGGGGCAGTGCCCCCTATGGGGCGAAAAATACGGTATATCCCGAGAGGAAAAGATGGTGAAAATGCCCCTCTATGTGTCATGATATCCCAACAGTAACACTCTCTGCACTTTTGCAACTGTGAAAAAAATCAGCAGCAACTATCAAAGTCACCCCACCTTTCTCATACAACTCTTCCATGGCTCGCCAGGTCTCTGCTCTGACTTCTCGATTGCTTTTACCGGGGATGTGCGTGTCAGGCCAATGCACCAAGTAAAGATCTAAAAAGAAAAAAGAAAGAAAATCCAATGTTGCTTTTCATGAACAAATCACACCAAACTTATTTTAAAGAACCATAAAGCTCCCAATGAAAAAGTAAATCAGCTGCTGAATTGGGGAGTTGCAGTCTCCACCTGTGAACCACTAGTACAGTGGTGCCCTGCAAGACGAATGCCTCGCAAGACGAAAAACTCGCTAGACGAAAGAGTTTTCCGTTTTTTGAGTCGTTCCGCAAGACGAATTTCCCTATGGGCTTGCTTCGCAAGACGAAACGTCTTGTGAGTTCTTGCGAGTTTGTTTCCTTTTTCTTAAAGCCGCTAAGCCGTTAATAGCCGCTAAGCCGTTAATAGCCGCTAAGCCGCTAATAACCGCTAATAGCCGTGCTTCGCAAGACGAAAAACCGCAAAACGAAGAGACTCGCGGAACGGATTAATTTCGTCTTGCGAGGCACCACTGTACAAAACACCGAATGGTGCAACCTCTGCTAGTTTTAATGCAATTTCAGTGCAAAAGTTCCAGTGAAGCAGCCTTAATATGCAGGTAAGCCCAGTTTCCTAGTTGCTCAAAGACACAGCCACTCCGCAGACAAAAAGCAGTATACAAAAGCAGTTTTGTGCTGAGCTTGAGAAACTGCAACATCCCAAGCAGAATGACTTAGCAGCCCTGAGAACTGCAAGACCTCTGGCCTGTTCCAATATGTGGAGCTTTCATCCTTCCTCGAATCAGTGCCTCCACGATTCTGCATGCAAGCTGCATCTTGGTCGTCATTGGTTCTTTCAGTGCATACATTCAAGTTGCATTTTGCAGGGTAAATATATACAAGTGAGGGGAAGTATACTGGCAGTAAAAATCACATGCTCAATTACTGTACAAAGAGGCTCTTCACCTCAGCAGAACAGAGAGTATCTTAAGCATTAAGTTTGTTGGGTTCCTTAGAAGTCCTTTCAGGCACCGGCACACCAGAGATTGTCATAATTTGTGCAGTATTTATACAACAAAGCGACACAACTTTGGATGTCCCAAGATGAACATGCTTATAAACCCCTCCCTCCCCATCTTCTTGTAATACCTGGTAGAAAAAAACAAACCGGGAATCTTCTTGGGAGCTTCATTAACTATGAATCCCAAAACTGAAGATAACCTCCCAGCTGGTGCCAAAGTTTTGTAGTCGTTTTGTAGCATGAACCCAGCTTTAACACATTTTAATCTTATTGTATTGGATACTCTGTACACTGCTTAGAGACAGATGTGATTAAGGAGTATACAAACAGTTGAAATAATTACAGTGGTGCCCCGCAAGACGAATGCCTCGCAAGACGGAAAAACCGCTAGACGAAAGGGTTTTCCGTTTTGAAGTTGCTTCGCAGGACGAATTCCCCTATGGGCTTGCTTCGCAAGACGAAAATACCTTGCGAGTCTTGAGATTTTTTTCGCTTTCCCCCTTTATCTAATCTGCTAAGCCTTTAATAGCCTTTAATAGCCTTTTAGCAGCTAATCCCCTAAGCCTTTAAGCCTGTAATAGCCGCTAAACAGCTGATAGCGCTAATAGCGCTAATCCGTCAATGGGCTTGCTTCGCAAGACGAAAAAACCGCTAGACGAAGACTCTTGCGGAACGGATTAATTTCGTCTTGCGAGGCACCACTGTAATAAATAAAATCCCCATCATGGGATCTATTTCGTGGTCATGTTAATGCCGAACCCAAAGGGTGCTCATCAATGGTTCCTCTTCATCCTGGAGAAGAGTGACTAGTGGGGTGCCACAGGGTTCTGTCTTGGGCCCGGTCTTATTCAACATCTTTATCAACGACTTGGATGATGGACTCAAGGGCATCCTGATCAAATTTGCAGATGACACCAAACTGGGAGGGGTGGCTAACACCCCAGAGGACAGGATCACACTTCAAAACGACCTTGACAGATTAGAGAACTGGGCAAAAACAAACAGGATGAATTTTAACAGGGAGAAATGTAAAGTATTGCACTTGGGCAAAAAAATGAGAGGCACAAATACAAGATGGGTGACACCTGGCTTGAGAGCAGTACATGTGAAAAGGATCTAGGAGTCTTGGTTGACCACAAACTTGACATGAGCCAACAGTGTGACACGGCAGCTAAAAAAGCCAATGCAATTCTGGGCTGCATCAATAGGAGTATAGTATCTAGATCAAGGGAAGTAATAGTGCCACTGTATTCTGCTCTGGTCAGACCTCACCTGGAGTACTGTGTCCAGTTCTGGGCACCATAGTTCAAGAAGGACACTGACAAACTGGAACGTGTCCAGAGGAGGGCAACTAAAATGGTCAAAGGCCTGGAAACGATGCCTTATGAGGAACGGCTAAGGGAGCTGGGCATGTTTAGCCTGGAGAAGAAGAGGTTAAGGGTTAAGGGGTGATATGATAGCCATGTTCAAATATATAAAAGGATGTCACATAGAGGAGGGAGAAAGGTTGTTTTCTGCTGCTCCAGAGAAGCGGACACGGAGCAATGGATCCAAACTACAAGAAAGAAGATTCCACCTAAACATTAGGAAGAACTTCCTGACAGTAAGAGCTGTTCGACAGTGGAATTTGCTGCCAAGGAGTGTGGTGGAGTCTCCTTCTTTGGAGGTCTTTAAGCAGAGGCTTGACAACCATATGTCAGGAGTGCTCTGATGGTGTTTCCTGCTTGGCAGGGGGTTGGACTCGATGGCCCTTGTGGTCTCTTCCAACTCTATGATTCTATGATTCTAATGCATGGCAAAACATCAGGAGCGTGTTATGGAATGTCGGGAACTGGCTTTTCAAATTAATAAATAGGAGAGTGTTTAACAAGTCTTACACCTTGCTCACCCTAACAGCTATGAGCAAATCGTTATTATTTTTCTCTTTTCACTGGTGAAGGTCTGAGGGTTGACCAAAGCCACCTACCCAATTTACAGGTGAACTCAAGGTCCAAATCTAGTCCTCTACCCACGTGATCACAGAGGCCCAAATGAGATGACCAGAGATTTTCAGTGCATTGTTTCTTATGGGCAAAGTTCATAATACCCCCTTTACCGCCAGACAGGAAAAACAGCCCATTAGTCACATGAGAGCTGGTGGAGGAGTTCCATCATGCTTTTAATAGCAATAAGACACATGCACAAATGGATGGACTGAGCTGAGGAGTGAATGGAATCCTGTTCTGCTGCTGACACTGCAGTAGTGTGAGCAAATGCTTAGTCATCATTTGGAGTGGCTTAATGTGCAACCTCAGCAAACAGCATTAAAAATATATTTTTTTGTCTTTAAAAAAAAAGGAGGGGCCACTTCTCTTGACTTTTTGCCCTGTCATATGTCTAGCAATTATGACATATGCATACATTCCATCAAGAATGAATGGTGTGGATATCTGTGTCCGCGCTCCTCTTTAGAAATAATTCAAATATAAGCGAACCCACTGTTAAAATAAAAGGGGAGCACATTAAAAAAATGCACGCAGCTACTGTTCAGACTTGACAGCAGCTAAGGGACAGCTAAGGGATGCACACCCGAGTACAGGAAGTCAACTGAGAATTGGCTCTAGCACCACTGACCAAAATAATAATTTCAATTCTGCTTTATGCTATGAACAGGCTTTGAAAAGAGTCCTGCTGCAGGTTAATATGCTGTTTTTGTTGCCCTTTGGGGTTCACTATGTTGTTCTGTTTGTTCTTCTTAATGCTGCCTTTTAGGTATTATTTCAACTGCAAGCCACTTTTGAAAGCCTGAAAGGTGGGTTATCCTCTGCGGAGCAATAATTGTCTGAAAAGCAGGATAAAAATACAGTAAATAAATATACAAACCAACCAAAATCCTTAAAAGGAAACCATGATTCTATACAAAGTTAAGCAATTCTCGACTTTGCAATACTTATGCATATGTGGCAATATGATCCACTGAACTCAGTGGAACTTATTTCCAAGTAAATGCACGTCGGATTGAACTGTAAGTCCCACTGATCCCAGTAGGAATTATGTTTACCTCTCCTACTGAAATCAAGCCTTAGAAGGATCATATCTACATGTTTTCAACCCCAGCATTCAGGGTGGTTTTTTAAAATATATATATATATTTGAAACTAAGCTTTAAGATTCAAGTGTTTCCTGGACTCAGTATTATATGCAGCAGAATAAAAATGCTATTTCACTGTGCAAGTACTGTAGCTTTTAGCCCAACACAACAGCTATGCACCAAAAAGTGAGAAGGAAGCCAACATTATTCAGACACGCTTCTTCTGCTCACTACAGGCGATCAAATTAATGTTACATGGTGGCAAATCAGAACCAAATGCCAAAAACACAAAATAACCTAACACATCTCAATGTATACAGTATTTTGATACGGTATTTTGATATACAGCCAATTCTGCTATTGCAAGTCAATGGCCATCTCATTAATTTTCTGTTGTTGTGCGTTTCCCGGGAGTCGTAAAAGCTTAGAAGAAAAAGTTCCATTCAAAATGCAAGGCTGACTTTGCATCGTTAGCAGTCACCAGCATGCTTGTGAGTGGAACTAATATTTGCAATTCCATCCGAATTCCCAACAGAGTAAAAGGGAAGCTGTTAACAAAGACCAGAAAGTGAGTCAAAACACACATGGGAGAGAATAAAACAGATTATACATTCAGCAAAGCACTGACCATAGTCAGAGTGATGGAGAGTTATCTGCAATGAACTTTCCAAACAAATCCCAATGTATGCAGCCTCTAAAGCCAAAGCCAGAGATTTTATATTTCTGCAATTTCATATTGATTCAGTTAGGATGCTCACCATCAGAACATAACTCTTATACGGAAAAAGTGAAAATCATAGTCCACACACACACACACACACACACACACAATGTAATGAGTGGAATGTATCTGTTAAAGCCCTGTTCCACAGCTAAATACAAGACACTGTAATTGGTCGTGAGTTGGACACAAAACCTGCAGATGGCTTTTGCATGCAGTCACAGTTCTTTAGAAAAACTCAAATGCAAAATCAGGAAATGAGAAAACCTGCAAAAGTCAGCATGGGCCCAGGTGTCACAGCAGCTCAATGTTAGACAGGAGACATCTTAGTGCAGCCTGCCATTTTGTACCAACAATTTGGAAATGATCCCAGTTCCAAACCCCACCGAGATCAAAAGGTTTCTGCACAAATGTACAACTGGAGGCTGCCAATTTGCTGAAGTGGACACTCGTTTTAGCTCAGGAATTATCCCCTGGTAGATTGTGCATTATGATAATTAACAGGTAAGCAAATGAATTCTTGAGATCTTACAATTCAAATGATTGGAGATTTGGTGTTTGTTTGTTTGTTTGTTTGTTTGTTTGTTTGTTTGTTTGTTTTTAATCCAATTTCTGCAGATACCCCCACCTGCTCCAATTGCCCCTGAAAGTCCTCCGCCTTGGAAGTCTCTCCTTGGCTGCCAAGGATCATGTGGTTTGTAGTCAGAAATCAGGCGCACCGTGTGTCATGTGCTGCCAAGGAGAGTCCCTGCAGAGGCACTCCTAATCCATTCTCAAGTCCTCTGCTGCCAACTACTTCTCCTCCATTTCCCAAAATAAGAATAGGAGTGGAAGGGATCTAGCAGGAAGGGAGGAAGCAAGGCGAGTTGAAAGTCCCATTAAAAAATGCAGCCCAGCTTGAAGTGGGCTACAATATGAGTGGGAGGGAAGCTGCTTTTTAAAGGCACCCTGTGCCTCAATACTTATCATGCACCTTATTTGAGCTTGCATGAAGTAATGCCTTAATGCACCTCACTCATGCATCCAAACTAAGGGCAGGTGGCACCCCCTCACTATCTACAAAGCCATTGGGGTGCATAAGTCACAGTTCATATTGCACAGCGAGTGAGGATAAACATCTCTTTATACAGCTCCTATTCATCCTAATGGGACTTGGGGAGAATTTCTCAGTAGCTTTTGCCTCTTGTGTTGCCCGAGATGGGAGATTGGCAAGGCAAGTTATTTCGAGATGACTCTGAACTACCATGGGATGCAACAGCACCAAGTCCCACAGAGTGAAAGAGGAAGAGTTTCTGTAGTATAAAAACCACTATGGAGGACATGATTATGTGAACTGCAAATCAGCAGAAAACAGTTTTACTGTGGCAGGTAGGTCACAATTGTTGGACAGAGTAATTAAGAACACTGTACTTTGAAACACTCATGAACAAGTTAAGTGGCCATCTGTAACTTCTCCTGAAGCAATGGTGATGGGAGGAAACCAGCTCATCCTTAACTGGGAAAGTGCAAGCAGAAATGTTGCTAGACTACATCTCCAATCAGCTCCAGCCAGTATGGCCAATAGTCAGGGGCACTGGGAGTTGCAGTCAAGCCACATCACATTGGCTGCCTCTGTTTTAAACCAGGTATCAAGGCACATGCTCCTTAAGGTTCTATTGGGCAGCTGGCTCAAGGACAACCTCTGCCATCCGGGGTGGGGGGGATATATTTTTGCATGGAAATACTTCTGAAGCAGCAGATCCAAAGATGATGAGGCATCTTTGAAGAAATCCCCCAAACAAAATGCAAGTGTTCAAAGAGCAGCAACAAAATTTAAGGAAGTAACAAGAGGAGGTGCTGTGTCATTGTGAACTTAGTTCTGCAGAGCTATTGCAACAGCATTGCAGACAAACACAAGTGTCGGGATTCTGGGTCATGACACACTGCTAGTTTTCTTACTAGGAGCCAGTGCTGATGTAACCGGGGCAATATCTTAACCATGGTAAAGGGATTGGGTACTGGACACACAACACACATTCCTCCAGACTGAATTCTTCCCTTCTGCCTCAACCATTGATGTCAACAATGGTTAAGGCTAAGCGGGTTCCCCACTTAGCTGTCTTCAAGAGCTGGTTAAGGTGGGAATCAGGTTAGTCTTACCCATCACCAGGGCTTTTTTCAGCTGGAACTCACTGGAACACCATTCTGGCACCTCTCAGGTGGGCACCACTGCCATTCTAAGAGAACAAGGAAGGCATTCACGGTGAGTTTCAGCACCTCTTTTCCTAGAAAAATAGCACTGCCTATCACTAATGCTTCTCAAGCATATTTACAGTTAAGGGACACATGAAGAATTAGCTTTGAGAGGCTGTGAAGAACCAGTGCATGATCCCACAGCCCACTCCTAAGCTCTTTTCCATGACTAAGAAACATCTCCATGATGAAAAGCCTAAGTTTAATATAAGAGGTTTGGTAAAAGCATTTTGCTGCAAGGACACCAGCCGGGCAAGCAATGCACGTGCTAAATATTAATCCAGATTTCCTAACAGGATACTGCAAAGAGAATTAGGGGGAGAAATGCCATACCTAGATACTCAACACCAAGTCTCTTGCAGGACTCTAAGCAGGCTTGTTTAGCGTTCTCGTAGCCATAGTCTGTATGCCAGAGCTTGGTAGTTATCCAGAGATCCTCCCGTTTTACACCACTTTCCTTGATGGCCTCCTGCAGGAGCGATTCACAGCCATATCTCTTTGCCGTGTCAATATGACGAATGCCACATTTCTGAAGTGCATACACCACAGCATCATGGGAGTAGCCACCATAATGGGATGTTCCTTGAAAACACAAAAGGCAAAATTTCCATTATTTTATGAATCCTTTTTTTGTATTTCAAATAGGACTGCAACAGTGACGTGGGGTATTTTCAGTGTTTTCTTTTCCCACTGAAAATCTTCCATTGCATATGTCCATCAGCAAGAATGAAAGGAGGCCAACTGCAAATAACTGTTAGGCAAGCCTGGCAGTTTGAGAGTTTTTAGCTTTGTTTACTAAATGCAAGTAAATGTAAACATGAAAAACCAGATCACTCGTATAAGATTTTCTGGTGCCACTGATTCCTCTCCCCCCCCCCCCCATGCCAATTACCTCAATTCCAGAATTTTTTCCAACACAACAAAATCTGGAAAAGCCCACATCGCTGGGAAGCAACATATAACAAGTGAGATGAAAATAAAATGAAAACAGATCAAGTTAAAAATTGATACCCAGGGATAAAATCCTATATTTCATTATTTTGGGCACATCTGTCACCACCGCTGTTAAGTTACAGCACACTTCACAACCTGCAATTTTTGCAAGGGAACTGACGATTCTCTATGAAAGCTGTCTAGCTTCCTGTCTGTGGTTTCCAGGTTTCATTGGGAAGTGTGAAATAATTTATTTTACATGGATTGTGCTTGCAGTGTGGAATGTTGTCAGTCAAAACAGGTCTAAGGTGCCTCATTACTAGATGAAATCTAGTAGTATTGATGTATGACTTTCTTTGCATCCTACACTGAAAACTCAGCTTCTGCTAAGAAGGCATACCCCGTGATGTGCCTTTCCATGTGAGACGTTTGTGTGAAAGGGATCCAACAGAGTTTTGAGTTTGACTGATCTGATAGATAAACTCAACCCATCCCCAATGGCTTCTGCCGGCCTTTGCTTTCCACGCAGGAAGGAAACATGCGGTTTGCTTTCTCTGTGGCAAACTATGCTGCAATTGTGATATGCGCTGGGCAAAAGTCATTTGAATTGCTCATCTGTTGATGATTGGCAGCTGCGTGTTTCAACAGATTCCAATGAGGTGACATTATAATAATAATAATAATTTATTATTTGTAGCCCGCCCATCTGGCTGGGTTTCGCCAGCCACTCTGGGCGGCTTCCAACAAAGATTAAAAATATATCAAAATGTCACACATTAAAAACTTCCCTGAACAGGGCTGCACGGACGGACATGACAGTTCCATCTATAGTTTTGGGCCTGTGGACAATCCATTTACACACACAAATCACCACCTGATGATTAACATGCCTGTATGAACCACTCCAATATGAGAAAGACTGAAAGTGTCTGGTTTTCCACAACGCTACAAACCTAGAAAGTTTAGAAGTGTGAGCAAGTTGTGGGAAGGCATGGTTTCATTCAAAGAATCTATCTATAGTGCACAGAGAAAACTAGTGAGGGTAGGGTTACACCTTTTTTACCAGAAAAACCTACACATACCCCATGCCTCTAAAGTGGAGCGGGCAAGCACACAGGCAGGCTAGGAGCCACGGTCAATTCATTTCCAACAACAGTGCAAATGAAATTATAGTAGCAAGTATCCAATTCAACTCATGTGCTGTTTTTAAGGTTTTCTTCTGCCTTCCAAAAATCCAAGTTCTGTTGCACAGATGTGCGTCCATTTTGTTAGTTCTGCAAAACTTATGCTTTTTTCATTATTCATGTTTTCAAACAGCTGAGAACTGTCAACAAAGGAAGGAAAAACAAAAGGAACTGAAAGTCATTGTGACATTTTGAACCTCTCTTCTGCAATCATAAGAGCTAGAAACTTGTATTTTTAAAACATAAAGCATTGATTGCAAAACACATACAATTCTCTGGTTCTTAAGAGCAGGAAAACATTGTTTGCAAACCCAAGAATGCAAGTGATTTTAAGGGTTCTGAATAGGGAATGACGTTCCTGGCAGCCTAGATGCATGGTGGTAAGGTGACAATATGCAAGCATATTGCACAGTACACATGCCAACAGGAGAGGAAATGGTTAGCCGGAAGAGCAATTAGCAGGTGGACTGCAAGATAAAGAACATGTACCCTTGCGGGTACAGCAGGGCCTGCGTTTATCTCATAATTTCTGAGTATCTGTTTTTTCCTGCCTACCGCCCATCTGCCTACCAGCACAACAACTTGAGGAAGAGCCCACTCAACTCTCAGCCTTCAGTCAACTCTACACTAAGTTTCCAAGCTCACCCATTTGATATGCTAGTTCTGTGGGGCCTTATATATTTTTCAGTTCATGCTAAAACTTGCGCATGCGCTTCTGAATTTCTCCATGCAATCTTGCACCCTTGAATGTGATAGAAAAATACCACATACTGTGAAGGCTCTTCCATTCTTCCCAGCAGCAGCTACAATCGAGCCTATGGCTGGTTGCTCACCATGTGCCCTGCCCAGTTCAAACATCATTCTCCCCATGATCATTTTCCACATACACCATCATGTAGATATTTTCTGCCATTTGAACGAGCCCAGAGAGATGGTCACGTGGGTTAATTTTGTTCTCATAACCTTAGTACATTTTGTTCTACTGCCCCAGTTCCTGAGATTGTTTAGTTCACTCTGTATAGCTTCCTGACCCTTCTCTGTATTAACAATGCTTTTAGTCATCTGTAGTTTTCATTAAGTAATCTCCCCTCTCCTCCCACAGGCTGAAAAGTAAAATACTGCAGTGAGGGCAAATGAGATATCTCAACTAGATAGTTTACTCATATGTCTTTTTAAAAACTTGTTTTCTTCCCTTTAACCAGTGTAGTAATAGTAATAATTATTATTATTATTATTATTATTTATTATTTATACCCTGTCCATCTGGCTGAGTTTCCCCAGACACTCTGGGCAGCTCCTAATCGAGTGTTAAAAACAATACAGAATTAAATATTAAAAACTTCCCTAAACGTCTTAAAACAAATGCACAGATATACAAATGCAAGGGAGCATACAACTCTCTTGTTACAACAGCTCCCTGGCTACTGGTCCGTTTCCGGACAATATTTAAAGTGGTGGTTATGACCTATAAAGCCCTAAACAGCTTAGGTCCAAGCTATTTGAAAAACCACATCCCCTTAGGGAAACTTGCCCGATTTTTGAGATCTTTGGGGAAGGCCCTTCTCTCAGTCCCGCCACCCTCACAGACATGTTTGATATGGCCATGGAACAGGGTCTTCTTGGTGGCTCCTCCCAGACTTTGGAACTTCCCCCATAGAGATGGATGGAGCAACTTCACAACTGGTCCCACCCATAACACACACATACACTTTGAATCCATTGTGCACACAAAACTACCCTCAACACTGGAGTTAGCAGGAGAGACCTTGCTAGCCCGAGACCTCCTTGGGATAGTGTTGCTTCCTAATTACATGGTCCTTAGATTTAATTACTTACCATTTTTCTACCCTTACACTATTTATTCTAGCATGCCTTCCTGGAATTCCAACACTAAGGTCATAGCCCTCGTTCAAGTGCTGAAGTGGCAATCAATATGATACATTCTAAGCAATTAAATATTTGTACAGGTTAGCCTTACATTTTGGTAATTTATTTTATTACATTCTGAACAATCTAGCCAACTGTGCCTTCATGTCATTATTTATCATGACTACTTGCAATGACAACTTAAGAATGATTGCCAGGAAAATAGTAAATTCAACACTGACAGGATGTGTTCCATATTAAAATGCACAAATTGTATTTCTATATAATGATACATGCTACAACTGTATTTAAATGTTACCAAGGAAGTTAGGAAGTATCCAGAACCAACACACTACAGACATCTAAGGAAATGAATGTGCTTATATAATTACACCATGGAGATATTAATGGAATGTTGAATTATATAACTACCATAGAAAAGCTACTACACTTTTTTTTCCATAACAAACTCTTCCCTTTTAATAAGCTGGTGTCGGTGCCAAGGAAATTAGGTTGTAGCTATTGTGTCTCTGTGTGTCTGAATGGCCACTTCCAAGCACACCAAATGAATGGAGTTCATTCAGAGGTCTTGCAAATGGGCTCAGACCCCTTTCGTGCATAATAGAGTCCAGTAAGAAAATTTAGGGCACACAGATCTTCTACAAAAGCCCACTCCTGTATGCGAAAGAACCTGGATCCTTGGTTAACACTGCTCTTTGGGTGTGTTAAGTATGCTTGAAGGAACTGGCTAGTAACTCCAGATATCATATTTACAGACAGCCACATTTGCAGGAAGCTGCAGCAGAATTTCATGAAACAGGCAAACAAACAAACAAACAAATGAACCTGCCTCTTTCTGAAAACCTTCAGGAGCAGCTTCACTTCTGGTGAAATCCATACAAATCATAGAACAAATGAACAAATCGTAGATTTGTAGAGCTGGAAGGACCCTGAGGATCACCTAGCCAAAAATTAAATATTGCAGATGGCAGATAGTTCCTCCTCACCTCCCTTCCAAATTAACAATTAATATACCAGCCAGCAGACACAGACTGGAAAATTACATAATTGCCACCAAACCTTAATTGAAAAGTTGCAGCAATGGCAGTATGGGGCGAGGGGGAGGATGGCCTCTGAATCCTGAACCCCACCGCAGGGACCAGCTGACAGCCTTCTGAGGATTGAATTCTGCCTGTAGGCTGCCAGGTTTCCAGCCTTTATCCAAACCACGCCTGATTAATGCAAGAGGAGAAAAGCTTTATTTCTGGAGTCTTTTCCTTCTCACAGCTTTTAAAGTGATTTCTGTGAGCAAATAGCTATGATTTTTATTAAATGTTAATATATAACTATAACAATCAACAGAGCAAAATGTAAATAAACAATGCTCCCACCCACCCCATTATCAAACTAGCTTGCCTGAGAGTAATAGTCTCTTTCTTCTTTCCATAGAGGTTCAGTACAAGGTATTACTGGAATTCACAAGTATTTGACCTTTCAGACCTGGACCAGGGTCCAAGATGCTTATCCAAAGATGTCCACCCAAAATTTGAGACATAGATGAAGACCATATTTCTAAGGCAGAGGCTAGCAAACCTGTGTCATCAGTCTACAAAATACATTTCTACCCAATGGCATTGAATGTCTCTGGCTTTTCTTCACCTCATGAACAGTTATTTTTAAAGTTGAAATCCTGTACTGTATGCACTTACCTAGGAGTAAGCCCAATTGAACTCAGTGTTCTAAGTAGACATGTGCTATAATTCTTACTAATTTGCAAATGTACTAAGGAATCACAATCTCATTCTTGATCTCCCTTTTCTTTCAAGCCAATGGTTTTAAAACTTAATATAATTATGGTAAATTGTGAAAGCAGCTACATCTGCAACAATCACCTTTCCTCCCTAATCTGGCTGCACACTTTCTGTTCCGTGTATAGTTCTGGATGGAGACCTCAAGAAGACTGCACAACGCTCTGAATGTTGAACAAAAGTGGTATCCAGCTAAGAAAAACCCAGAATAGACCAAATTGCTAAAGTGTGCTAAATTAGTGATGTCCTTTAATTTCAATGGGTGAGGACTATTATTGGATAAAATCCACAGAGATGATAAGTAAAAAGGTTTTATGTTATTGACTCTTAGGCAGTTATACAATATCATCATCATCACATTATATAAACAAAGGGACTGCTCTTAAGTTTTTCAGAGTTATGTTTATCTTTTATTCATGTATTTTGCCTCTGCTGAGAATATCCTATTACTGTTTTTTAGCCCTCTGAATTAATTTCCTGGCAAAAAGGCTTAGAAGCTTTTAACTGTTGAGCTTCCTACCGTACAATTCGGAATGACACCCCAAATATTTACAACCTTTATCTATATCCTCTGAAATGTTGTTCCCATAAAAACAGGATGTGTGCTAAGGAAACCTATAGGTAGTTATACAGAACTCATTAACCGTGAGTAAAACCATCTTGTGTCTTTAGCTCTAGTTAAAACTGAGAAGAGTCCTTGCAGGATGTGGCCATAAAGTGGAAAGCTGATCCACAATAGCATACACATACTAATTTATTTTGACATCCAGTCTTTCATTTCTATGGAGTTACTCAACATTTGGACTACATCGTGGGAATGTTTTAACTAAACCAGGATAGGCCTTTCAGTTCCACTGTTTCGCTTAAGATATGTATCATTTCCAAAGCAAGTCTTGCATAAAAGAATCAGGCAACTTCATGTTATTTTTTTGATAAAAAACAATTAAAGTACAATTACATCTGTACAATCATGTAACACAGCTTTAAAAAAACACAAGCAACCATGAAACATTCAGCATGCTTCTCTTTCTTTAAATCCTTGTACAGACTATCCTTACAGCAAACCAATGCACTAAAGTTAATTCTTTTAGGAAATAGTGACCATGTGTGAGTTCTGATATTTAGAAATTAATTACACCAGAAGGGTCTTGCTAATACATTATGCCAACTTCCAAGAAGACAAGCTCATACAGGAACACAAGCAGCTTGTCTTTTACAAATTCAGACAGTTGGTCCATCTACCTTAGATACTGTCTACACCAGTGATGGCCAAACTTGGCCCTCCAGCTCTTTTGGGACTACAATTCACATCATCCCTGACCACTGGTCCTGTTAGCTAGGGACGATGGGAGTTGTAGTCCATAAACAGCTGGGGGGCCAAGTTTGGCCATCACTGGTCTACACTCACAGGCAGTGGCCCTCCAGGGTTTCAGACAAGGTGTCCTTCCCAGCTGAAGATGCTGGGGATTGAACTTGTAAGCTTCTGCAGGCAAAGCAGATACTCTACCCCTGAGCTTCAGCCTTCCCAAAAACATACAACTTTGTATATGTACAACTAGTTCTCAAAATATTTGTCTTAAACATTCTCAGAGGCATCCCACTAATCAAACAATCCTGATAGAAAGTCGGACGTTTCATTTCCAACACACCTTTTACTTTTGAATTTTTCATTTGGCACCCAAGACTGTTAAAAAGCAGAAATAATAACAGAATGAGAAAAACTGAAAGACTAAGGGGGGTGGACCCGGGGCATACATAAAGAAGCTGTAAACATTAGCATTTAGGATGAAGATAATACCTTAGCTATGGTTAGTGCATAATTACATACTTGGACGTAGGGTGCTCTGTTTTATTTTTGGCACCAAAATTACTTCGGAATGCATTTTCCACAATGTAATTATTGCTTCAGAGGCTAGTACACCCTTCTACATGTCTCTGATGTAGGACATCTGATCAGTTAATCTACCCTTCCTTCTTTTTTCAGTTCCCCAAGTGGCTTCTCAGCATCCCACCACAGCAAGTCTAAGGAAATGTTTATGAGTGACAGCTACAGGGATGCCCTATGGCTACGTAACAGCAGGAACCATGCTCCCGTGTATTAACAGTGTTTCTGAGAGTAGCATCACTAGACAGCTGATCAGGCAGAGGGCTCAGTTCAAATCCAAGCAGGATTCAGATGGAGAACGAGGCAGATCCCACTTGATGGCCTAAGCCGTGAATGGGGAACCTCAGCCCCAGGGGCCGAACGCAGCCTTTGAGCCCTCTCTGTCTGGCCCTTCGGACTCTCCCCAGGCCATACCTTACTGGCTCTGCTTTGCAGTCTCCTTTATGCCCGGCTAGAATGAGTGCTTGAACTTGTGCTTCTTGCTTGCTTGCATGGAGGACAGGAGTTGCTCTGCTTGCCCTGCTCACCAGTGCCATTGTGGTCCCTGGAGCTTGGGCCAGAATGGGACCTTGGGCTAAAAAAGGTCCCCTATGCAGATGCTAGTAAGCAGGTCCAAACAAATGTAATATGGGAGGGTCAACCCCAGGACAGAATGACCTAGACAAAGACCTAGAAACATTTATAGTCTGGGCAGAGAAAACCAATAGGATGGAAAGAGGGAGGCTAGCCCCAACAGACAGCCATTCTCACAACAGGAGGCTCTTGGGTGAAGACCAGACTGAACCTGACAGACAGCACTCACTCCAGTAACAGAGTATTTCAGAGCATGCTGCATAATACACTAGTGGCCAAAATTGTAGAAACCTTTCGGGAAAAGTGTATTTCCAAGGTTTGATGGCTCATAACACCACTTTTTTTTTTTTTTAGTAATACCGTAAAATTATATATCAATGGAATGACAAATTTCTAAGTGTCTACCTTGCTTTAAATAAAAAATTTAAAAGGTATTTCTGCAGCTCACTTTAAAGTGTTTGCCTGCAGTAAAGAGGGGAGGATGTGAAACCAGAGCACAGAGCCCTGAAAGCCAGGTGATTAAAGTCCCTTCTATGCAGGAAATTTCATAAGCTGTGCTACAGCACAGCACACTTTTATTTAAATGTCTTTATGGAGAAAGTGCCAAAATCTTGAAGCCTTTTCTTTCACTCAGCACTTTCCCACCGTTGTGAGAACTATTTCTCATTAACAACCAAATTGTTTTTAGATGCTCTGCTATAAGATGTTTCCTTAGAAACCGTTTGGTAAAAGGCTGTGGCTTTCTTCCATAGAAAATCTCAAGCAGTGAAAAGGCAGATTTTCTGGCATAAATCAAATCCAATTTCCAGGGTTCACTAAACCTTTTCTCCTCAGAATAATCTTTTGTGACTAGATCTGAACAGTTAATAGTGCACGAAGAATTGCTGGTGTGAACCAGTTTTCAATGATTTCCACTCTACTCCTTTTGTTACAGCCAATTGAAATAACTTCCAGTACTTCTTACACCTGGACGGATTCTTGGGCTTCCCTGTTCTCCTTTTCTTCCCACCATAAGATAGGAAGAAACCAAAGAAGTATTGTTGGATCTGTTTTTCACATGAGAGAGATCAAAAGAATTCACAGATTTTTTTACTTTCAGCACAGGATAAATTCTTTTCCTTCTAAGACTAAGCCTTCAAATTACCTGTCTGAAATTTGTAAACTAGCTCAGCTTTCTGCCTATTTTGAATACTGTGTGTGTGTTGTGACACAATTAAATATCCTGAGACAATTAATGTCTCAACTGCAGTAGTTGTGGCACTTTTTCTACCTAAGGGATGCTATTACATCTGACTAATAGCATAATAATTACATTATGATTCTGCATACTGAAGACTAAGGATCTTTAACAGAGAAGGCTCAGTAGCCTCACAGAACTGCAGTTCACGGTATTCCTGGGGAAAATTTGCTGCAGTTAAATCAGTGTGTAGAACAGAAGTACAATCAGTTGTAAACAACTAATGCATTCTGTGTTAATCTCACACATTTTTATATTTATTACATACTGCCATAAATTGTATATCCCTAGGGTGCAGGAATACTAACATTAATAAAAAATGCTGAGCCCATGAGAGTGTGTGTGATACAAATCAAATATAATCATCATCATGTAACTAGCAAAATTCCTTTTTATTATAGTGCCATGGCTGTGCTGTGGGGGGGGGGGAGAGCACCCATATATTGCAATGATTCCTACTTAGGACGATACATTAGCTGTGTTTGAACGTAACAATAAGCTATCATTTAGAATTAGGAGAATGAGCCAGAATGAGCCTCACACTCATGCACCCTCCTTTTGTGTCACTGCAAGAATATCAGAAGCTTTCACTTCTGCTTTTTGATTAACCACAGTTTAGCCTTATTCTGAAACAACTGTGGTTAATTTTTTCATTATTTATTTATTATTATTATTTTAAATCAGCTTAATAGCCTATAGTTCAAAATTGGGTTGTTTCAGCAAACCATTGTTGTGATAAATCAAGGTTTGATTAATTGCAACAAGCTGTGATTAAGCAAAAAACGGAAGTGAAAGCTTCTGATCTCCTCCTTGTGGCCATGCCGGAGGAGGGAAGCAAATGCACAAGTTCAAGGCTTTGGTGCAGCTTGTTCTTGTAATAAACTTGAGTTTATGTCCAAACAAAGCCTTTTAGTTTCATTCACACATGCAGGGTCCTATTCAGCAGGATAGGCACATAGCATCAGAAACTGAGTAAGTTTAATCTCCCACTTTTCCTTCCCCCTATAAATGTCAGTCATGGGAGAGAATAAAGGGGCATATTTGCAGTCACAGCTAAGGTGGGAACTAAAGCTGGTGGTGACCCAATTTCTTGCAAGGAGTATGCTTTTGTTCTTCCCTAACAGTCTTGCCAACCCATTTACTTTGGTTCACAGAACATTCTGGAAGGGGGAAGACAATGAGAATATACCTTCCCTGCCCAACTGCCCAAGCCAAACTAAAATGACCAACTTACTTTAGCCCCAAGACATTCACTTTGTTCAGGGAGAAGGAAGATATGCTTTAACAGCAAATGGCTCAAAGCCCAATTTTGTGATTCCTGATTTACTATTTCTACAATTCTGCTATTTAAGTATACAATGGTATATGAAAACCTGAAGGATGTAGTTAGGGGCATTAAGGCTGCAGTCCTATGCACGCTTACCTGGGAGTAATGTGAGTGCTTCTGGTGCATGAAAGCAAGAATATATCCTAAATATGTCGGGCAGCATGTTAATGCTCTTTGGTTCCCCAAGAGCAAAAGGAAAGGTACACTACATAAAATTCAGAAGCTACCATCTCATTAAAGAAAGACTGCTTACTAAGTGGTACTGCCTTACCCGTTTCTCCCTTTTAAACTGAGAAGCAAAAAAACTAAGCAAGGCATTGATTATTCTTCTGTGATTTCATGGTAAGCAACCTGCAAGTGCAACTTTCTGATATGCATTATTTGGGGGGGGGGGGGGTAATTTTTAATTCAGCCATCTACATACCATAGCTATCTCCCTTGACAAGAAGCACCGACAAACCCAAGGGGAGCAGAAAATCAGCATTCTCCCCCTGACTCAGCTGAAGGCACAACGGCTGCAACCCAAGTTGCAGCCTCACGTGATACAGCCATTCAGGTCCCGTTTTTGTACATAGCCTCTGGCTAAGAAAGAAAAGCCATGAACTACAAATGTGGCATGTGAAAGGGGGGGAATCCTAGAAAGCTTCCCTAGATTTTAGAAGTACTGTGAGAGAAAGACAAACACAGTTATCAGGTTTAAGGACATTAACCATGTGTTGAAACAGTCCAACAACTTTGTGTACCAACACTTTACAAAGAAACAAACTGCACGGCTGTGCATTTTCTACAAAGCCTTTTTCAGTTCTGTATGAAGCACAGTATTGAAGACTGACCATAGGAAGCATTTACCTATTTCAATTGCTCTTAGGCTGACTCACAGAATAGACTGGAATTGGTCAATCTGGCCATGTGGACGAGGAAGTACCGTATTTTTCACTCTATAGAATGCACTTTTCCCCCTCAAAAAATGAAGGGGAAGTGTGTGTGCATCCTATGGAGCGAATGCAGGCTCCTTGGCTCCAGCAATAGCAATGCGAAGCCTCCAAAGCACAGAGGGAGAGCTCCCCCCATGCTCCGGAGGCTTCGCGTTGCTTTTCGCTGAAGCCGCCTGAAGCCCCCAGAGTGCAGGGAACTCCCGCTGCACTCCGGGGACTTCAGGCAGCTATCCGCAAGCCTTCGGAGCGCGACAGGAGTTCCCGCCGTGCTCCGAAGGCTTGCGGATGGCCGCCTGAAGCCTGGAGAGCGAGAGGGGTTGGTGCACACAGATCACTCTTGCTTTCCAGGCTTCGCTTCGCTGGAGAGGCGCTGCACAGTTTTCCCTCTCTGCGCAGCGCCCCTTCAGCGAAGTGGGAGGAGAAATGGAAGGGGCTCCTGCTGCTTCGCTGAAGTGGCGCTGAGCAGAGAGGGGGAGAATTTTTTTCCCCTGTTCTCCCCCTCCTATGGTCCGGTGCGTCCTATAGAGCGAAAAATACGGTAGTTAAGTGGTGATACTCCTTGACTCCAGAATGAGTACAGTCATACCTTGGGTTGAATGTGCTTCGAGCTGAGCGCGTTCAAGTTGCGCTCTGCAGCAACCCGGAAGTAATGGAGCGTGTTACTTCTGGGTTTCACCGCTTGTGCATGCGCAGACGCTCAAAATGTCGTCACGTGCATGTGCAGAAGCGGCAAAAAGCGGCGCATGCGTGCGCAGACGTGCCATCGCTAGTTACGTTTGCTTCTAGATGCAAACGGGGCTCCGGAACAGATCCCGTTCACATCTAGAGGTACCGCTGTATCCACAGGCCTGGCTTCTGCCTATCTGAACCACTTTCTGCTTCTCACCTCAGCAGACTGGAGGAAAACCCCAGAGAAGCACGGGCAAAGCAGTGCCACATCCTAGCTTTCCGAAACTTGAGTCTCCCGCTGTTTTTGAACAGCTCCCATCATCTCTGGTCACTGGTCCTGCTAGCTAGGGATGATGGGAGTTGTAGTGCCCCCAAAAAGCAGGCGACCCAAGTTTGGGGAAACACTGGGGAAAGAAGGTACGATGGGCTTTTATGATTGTGACGAGCTGAAGTTACTTTGTTGAAACTTTCAGAGTTGTAGCCAACTCAGTTCCTTCCAAAGCAGACCCATCGAAAGGAATGAACCTGTTAGTTGTGCCCATTAACTTCCATGACTGTGTAGGACTAGCATTCGATACAATCCTGAATTCTCAAGGTTAGGTTAACAGTTTGCTACTAATTGACTCTGGATAATGGAATAAAAACTGAAACATGCTCTCATTTCAAATTAAAAGTTTCCACCCCTTTCTATTTTGTAGCACCATTTGGATCTGTATCAAACCGGAAAGCTACCCAAGCAAAACGCTTTCAAAAACAAGAAGGAATGTTGTTCCCAAAGCCTCGACTCCTCCACATAGGCAGAAGAGTGGAAGAAAGAGAAATGGAAGTGATGCAAAAATAATCCTCCCCTCCTTTCCTGTGTTAGAAAGCAGTATCAGCAAGTATTCCATATCCAGACTACAGGTGGGGGAAATCACCCAGCAGCAATATCAAATTTCTAGGGAAAGCTGTACATGCCAGGACAAAGGGCATACTTTGGCCAAGGGTGTACACCCTCCATATTCAATCAAAATAATAATGCAAGAATTCAGCAAATAATGTTGGTGTGTTCACAACACTACATTAATTAGTTAAAAACCAAACATTTTTTTAAAAAAAAATAAAGCTTGTAAAATAGTTTGTAGAACTATTTTAATTGACCAAGCTACCAATAAAATTAGTTGAAACTTAAGAATTCTTTCCCATAAAATACTAACTCATGGCTTTGGGATGGGTGGGTGTCACAGCAGATCATATGGATTTGTGCCTGAAATTGCTTAAGAATAATTCTGATAAAAACAACTTCAAGATAGCAACTTGGCTTATGAATTTCCTTTCCTTTATTGTCATTATTTTTCAAATATGTATGCACAAGCTATAATTGAGTGAATTGCTCAGCTAGCCACAAATCCTTGGCATTAGAAAGCAGCCAGAAGAAAATACTTGGCCATCTGTTTCTTATATTGTAAAATCCCCTGAATTTATTCCACCATATCCAGATGCTTTTCACAAAGTCAAAAAAAAACAAAAACTCTAACAAAGCCTCATGAACTGATCTTCCTTCATCATGGCAAATTCAGGTTAACAGAATGGATTGCGCTATTTATGTCAATAGATTTATTTTCTTCTACTCTGGATAGTGAAAGACATTCAGGGTTGTGTCTAATGGCGACTTTGGACTTGTACAAGGGCTTCCAATAGCACAAGGCACATCAGTTTTGTCAATTCCTGCTACTCATTGCGCCCTCTGTTCCCAAGGTTTTCCACACCCCTGAGAACAACCTATCTGAATACATCTCCCCTCATTTGGCTAGTATATATGAATATTATAGTTAAGATCATATTCTGGATCTTTCAGAGATTGCGTAGATAAACCAAGTTGTACTTTTTGATTTGATTTAATTTAATACTTGTATTCTGCTTTTCCAGCAACAGAGCTCAAAGCAGCTCACAATAATCACATATAAAAAACAACAAAGACTGCAATAGCTATAATATCGAACACAATAACATATAAATAAAGCAAACAACAGGAATAAATTCACCAAAACAATTAGTAGAATCCAAGAAAAAAATAATAACTTAGTATTGCCAGGATACTTCCCCCAGAGAAACACCACGAGAAGTTACAGGGGGGTGGGGGTGGAATCTTATCTAGGATGATTTTCAATTTTATCTGCTAGGAGTTAAGTTAGGCTAAGAGACTGAGTTTCATTCAGTCAAGAATAAGCAGGAATTTGAACCCAGAACCACCTGAGCTAAGTTCAGGAACTGGAACCCAGAACCATCTGAGCTAAGTTCAGAACTCTGTGTACTACACTAGCATTCTGGCAGCATGTTGTTTCACAGCCTCGTGCTACTTAAAACCCTGAAATTCTAATAATTACATCAACCTGAATTCTTTTTTATTTAAATAAAGGATGTCCAATCAAAACAAAAATTTCCCCTTCACAATAAGGAGACAAAAAACTGTGCAATGTTTAAAAGGCAGCTTTTAAAATGCCACAGAAACCAGGGTCATTCTTTTAAGAACATGTATCATATAAAGTTCCAGAAATGTTACATGGTGAACAGCTTTGCAACTACGGGTTTCTCTTCTGTAATTTAATAAAATGCTTATAGAAGTATCTTGCTAAGACTACAACTAATGAAATACTTCTTAAACACCAGGAGATTCCATTTATTAAGTCCCTCGCCTCCCACAATGGCTTTCAACAATAAAGGCACATTGAATGCACCGCGTGGCTTCCAAAAAGCTGCTCTTGTTGCTGTATTATTTTTTCCCAATTGTTTTTAGCTGTTATGCTGCAATGAAGCTTTTAAAAAGAAGTTGTACAAGGCCACAGAAGCCTTTATAAAGGCCAGGAAGTGACGCCTCCTTACTTATTAGAATTAGAGTGTACGATGAGCACCATGTGGTCCTATTTCAAAGGGGTTTCAAGAAGAGGAGATATTCTGCAGATTTTAATTAAACCAGCAGTTCTGAAACTGTGTTTTAGGGACCCTGGAGTTCCTTGGGAGGCTTAACTGGGATTTCTCAAGAAGATCAGTAATTTTGGACGAATATCCCTAAAAACAAAACTTGTTCCTCATCATCTTAAATGACACACAAGCACAGAATCACCTTAAGCATTTCAGATACTGCAGCTGCCTTGACATATTATTTACTCAGGTTTCCCACACCCACAGAGCTCCTGATTTCCCACTTTCTACCAGCTTCTTGGGCGCCATGATCACTGCAGATGGTGACAGCAGCCACGAAATTAAAAGGCGCCTGCTTCTTGGGAGAAAAGCAATGACAAACCTAGACAGCATCTTAAAAAGTAGAGACATCACCCTGCCAACAAAGGTCCGTATAGTAAAAGCTATGGTTTTCCCAGTAGTGATGTATGGAAGTGAGAGCTGGACCATAAAGAAGGCTGATCGCCGAAGAATTGATGCTTTTGAATTATGGTGCTGGAGGAGACTCTTGAGAGTCCCATGGGCTGCAAGAAGATCAAACCTATCCATTCTTAAGGAAATCAGCCCTGAGTGCTCACTGGAAGGATAGATTGTGAAGCTGAGGCTCCAATACTTTGGCCACCTCATGAGAAGAGAAGACTCCCTGGAAAAGACCCTGATGTTGGGAAAGATGGAGGGCACAAGGAGAAGGAGACGACAGAGGACGAGATGGTTGGACAGCTACCAGCATGAGTCTGACCAAACTGCGGGAGGCAGTGGAAGACAGACGTGCCTGGTGTGCTCTGGTCCATGGGGTCATGAAGAGTCGGATACGACTAAACAACTAAACAACAATACCAGCTTCAAATATTCTTTCAATAGGAAGAGGACACTGCTCTTCGGGATTTTACTTGAGACCTCAGCAAGGAGTGCCTTACTATCAATGAGAGTTTTGCCACTAATTTTAGCAGACACAGAGCAAGTTCTTATTGCTTGGGCTCTGCTGAGCAGCCAACCCAGATGCCAGTTTTGATAGCTGCAGGGTGTGCGAGTGTGTTTGCGCACGCAGAGTCTTTTTAAAAAGTTAACAGCGGGATCAGTTCCAGAGAAAGCCGAGTGTGTCGTAATGCAAGGAAGCCCTTTTCCCCCCCTCAACAACTGCAGTTCAATGAACAAAATAATCCCTTTCTCCACTTCTCAAAGGGGCGTAGCTAGGGAAAGAACATTTATTTGCTCTGCTCCACTGATGAGAGAAAAAGACTTTCCAAACTTCATAATGAAAACTCGCATGCCTGAGCAACTAGGGAAGAGTGACCTCCTGCTAATTTTATGTAGTTCTTGAATGCAAGTAGCTGGTGAATACTATGCTGCTGTTGAATCACCGTGAACTGATGCAGGATAGTGGCCATGGACAGGCAGAGAAATAACCCTTTCCTTTTCTCTTACTCACAGGTAAAGGTTTTAATGCTCCCTTTCATTGCCTATTATGCATGCGAATTTCCATCCACCTTTCATTTTTTGAGTTAATTACTATGTAGGGGTTATTAAGATGTTGAAGCACTTTGAACACTTGAAGTGTACTACAGAAAGGCTAATTAGCATTATCCTCATCATTATCATCACGGGATGTTTGGATGCTTGACTGATGAAAGGAAAGTGATTAACTAAGGCAAAGAGGACCAGCAAGGAGATATTACATCACCAAAGAGCATTTTCTGATGCCTCACTGCCAACATCTACAAAAACAAAAGCCCTCTTTCCCCACAATTTTCTGTACTTGGGTTGTGCGTGGGGGAATAATTCTACAGGAGGAGGAACAGGATTTAAGGTATGGTCACAGAGCCAAGTATCACCATCCAAACATCTCCTTAATGAAATGAGGCTCCCAGTAAGGGTGGGCTCAAACCACCAACCTTCTGGTTAACAGCCAGACGGACTGACCTATTGCTTTTCACTCCCAAGTATCCAGAGGCCTAACCTACCTCACAGGGTTCCTTGGAAGATCAAAGGTGGGCATATGATGATGGTGAATGCAATAAAGCAAATAAAACCATTGCAGGTGATCTGTCGATTATCCCATAGGGTTTGTACTGCAAGGACAAAATGCTGTTTGTTCCGCTCATGCTGTTGCCCTTTCTTTTTTTTCAAGTTTTTATTTATACTTTTCAAATTTATACATTTCATTAATTATACAATCATTTCAAGGCTTGACTTCCTTAAGCCGTTGCCCTTTCTTGTTTGCGAGCCGCTTTGTGATTCGTGAGAGGGAAAAGAGGCGGGAACGGGGTTTTGTGTGTGTGGTTATATTATTATATTATATTATAGGAATATAATGAGTGTCATCAACAAAGTGCAGAAGGGGACGGCTTATGTTATGTTATAATATGTTATATTGTATTATATTATATTTATTATATTTTATTATTATAGAAATATGAGTGTCATCAACAAAGCGCATGAGGGGGCGGCTTACGTTATGTTATAATATGGTATATTGTATTATAATATATCATATTATATTTATTATAGGAATATAATGTGTGTCATCAACAAAGCGCAAGAGGGGGCGGCTTACGTTATGTTATAATATAGTATATTGTATTATATTATATCATATTTATTATATTATAATAATAATAATAATAATATAATGAGTGTTATTAGCAAAGCGAGCGAGGGGTGGCTTATGTTATGTTATATTATGATAGGCATGTAGTGCGTGTCATCCACCAGGCGAGCGAGGGGGCGACCTGCGCACTTACCCAGCCCCAGCATGGGGATCTCTAGGCCGTTGGCGAGGCGGGCCGAGGGCCCCGCGAGCGCCTTCCCGGCCGCCCACGCGCTCATGGCGAGCCGCTCCCACCTCAGCGGCCCAGGCGCCATCCGCGCGCCGCCGCCGCCTCCTTCATCTCCTCCTCCCCACACGACGAGCCGCTCCTCCTTCGGCCTCTCGGCTCCGGCCGCCGCGAAACTGTCGCGAAGCCGCTCGCTTTACGGCAAAGCGGCGGGGATGCCCGGAAGCGGCAGCGGCGGCTTGAGAAGCGCTCCGCTGGCGGCGCACGTGTGAGTCCGAGCGGGGAGGCGGGAGCAGGCGGGGGGCGGGAGGAGTGATGGGACTCTCCGGCCAATGGCAGGAGCCGCAGCAGCCGGTGCTAAGCGAGCCCTGCTTTGCATATTGGCGCGTGTACGGGTGTGCGTGATGGTGGTGGTGGGGTTTCTCACGTAAGCCTGCAGTCCCGTGTCCTGGCCGAGGTTGCCACCTTAGGGGTTGTCCCGTATCCCAGTGTATGTCCTGTATTGGTACGGTGTCGTGCTGCGTTTGGGGCTGGGGGGGCTATTGGGTGGTTGTTTTTATTTTTATTATGTATTTTGTGGTTTTAGATCTTGATTTTATTATGTGAACCAGCCTGAGACCCCCGGGTATAAAAGGTAAAGGTAAAGGGACCCCTGACCATTAGGTCCAGTTGTGGCTGACTCTGGGGTTGCGGCGCTCATCTCGCTTTATTGGCCGAGGGAGCCGGCGTACAGCTTCCGGGTCATGTGGCCAGCATGTTTAAGCCGCTTCTGGCGAACCAGAGCAGCGCATGGAAACGCCGTTTACCTTCCCACCGGAGTGGTACCTATTTATCTACTTGCACTTGACGTGCTTTCAAACTGCTAGGTTGGCAGGAGCAGGGACCGAGCAACGGGAGCTCACCCCGTCGCGGGGATTCGAACCGCCGACCTTCTGACCAGCAAGTCCTAGGCTCTGTGGTTTAACCCACAGCGCCACCCGCTTCCCTTACCCCCGGGTATAGGATGGTATAAAAATTCAATAAATCATCATCATCATCGATACAGTCTTGTGCTGTCTTTCCCTTTCGCTGAGATTCCCGCATCTCAGGGAGGGTTGGACTAGATGACCCTTGGCTCCCTTTCCATCTCTGCAAACCTGTGATTTGGGTCTTTCCAAAGATGCACGTTTGAAAGGGTCATGTGTGAAAGGTCGCGTATGTATTTAAGCTCTGGGTAGCCAAGCACAGGCAGATTTACAAATTTGTGTGTGTGTGTCAGGGAGGGAGTGTGACAGATGCCTGAGGGGCCATTTTGTGTTAGGCAGCAATAGATTGTAATGGGTAGCTTTGAAGTCACTTCAGCACCACAAAAACAACTTGACACCCACATGCCCCGCCCCATATTTTGCCAGAACAAAAGTGGCAACCCACATTTACACATGCATAGTGGGGCTGGAACTCCAAATTAAGTGTTCATACAATTCTCCTATTCTTTCCCGCTTTTTCACCCTCCAAGCAGTCCAGGAGAGCGCACAATTTGCTACTTCCCGACAGTCTTGCGAGGTGGGTTAGGCAGAGAGTTAGAGAGAGAATGGGCAATCCAAAAGTCACCCAGTGAGCATGAGTTTCGTGCCAGTCCAGCGTAGAAATGCAACCTGCTTCTAGGTGCACTGAATTTAGCGTTGCTTGCTCCCAGGTAAGTGTGTTTCCTAGCGCCACAACTTTACTTGGCTGGCTTTGGGGAAAGGAGGGGGAGGACGAAGCAGTGCTTCTCTGCGTGTTGCCATTGCAGCAAGGCTGCCGATCAGAACAAAGCAATTGGAGCATATAACGCCATCTCTGGCGCAGCTGCACTGACTACCAATCCGTTTCTGAGCCCGATTCTTAGTGCTGGTTTAACCAAAATGCACCATATGGACCCCAGTATCCAATGGTACGCAGCTCCTGACTCGAACATACCCATCACCTGAGACCCTTTATCCAGGTGCTTCTTTGAGAGGTTTGGAGGATGGCAACAAAGGACAGGGCCTTTTCGGTTGTGGCTTTGCATCTATGAAACTGATAGTAACATCCTTTCGGCGCCAGGTTAAAACCTACCTCTTCTCCCATGCTTTTGTAGGAATATGACTACCATGCTTACTGCTGTTTCCTGTGCTGTATATAATTTTAGAGGAGGGGTATTGTTGCTTTATTGCAAAACTTGATGATTTCTTAATTGTTATATAACTCACCTAGAGATGTTTTGCACTGGGTGACAAATAAATATTAGCCGTATATTACCTTCTTTTGAGAAGAGAAGACTCCCTGGAAAAGACCCTGATGTTGGGAAAGATTGAGGGCACAAGGAGAAGGGGACGACAGAGGACGAGATGGTTGGACAGTGTTCTCGAAGCTACAAACATGAGTCTGACCAAACTGCGGGAGGCAGTGGAAGACAGGAGTGCCTGGCGTGCTCTGGTCCAGGGGGTCACGAAGGGTTGGACACGACTAAATGACTAAACAACAACACCACCTTCTTTTACTGCTTAGGGAAACCTGTAATTCTAGAAATAAATTCTGCTGGGGAAAACCTTATTTATTTATTTTGTTGTTGTTTTTAATTGAATGTATATACCGCCCTATACACAAAGGTCTCAGGACGGTTCACAGAACAAAGGGCAGTTCACAGAACAAAATTATTTACAAAATTATTTACAATGTTCCATTAACTAACAGCAATGATGTACTGAATTTCTGATTGCTTTTTTGTTCTGTTTCAACTTTTTGGCAGGTTACAAAGCCCTCCACCCTGGAATTGGTGTCTATTCTTTTCCATTCCTTAAATTTAATAATAATAATAATGCTTTACCTGATTGGACTTGGACTTGGAGATGCCAAAGATATTACAGTTAAAGGCCTGGAGGTAATAAAGCAGTGTAGCCGAGTGTACCTGGAAGCCTACACATCGATCCTCACTGTTGGAAAGGAAGCACTGGTACGTAGATGCACCCTAAGTTCTTTGGAGGGATGGTGGGATACAACTCTGGGTAAAATAATAACCCCATTCTTTTCCCCCAGGAGGAGTTCTATGGCAAAGAACTGATTCTCGCCGACAGAGAAACTGTAGAACAAGAAGCAGATACAATCCTGAAGGGTGCACATCAATGTGACGTGGCTTTTCTTGTAGTTGGAGATCCTTTTGGGTAAGGGGAGGCAACACCTCTAAATATTCCTGTTACCAGGGGCATGTTAAACCTTAACCCAGCGGTTCTCAACCTGTGGGTCCCCAGATGTTGTTGGACTACAACTCCCATCACCCCTGAGCTCTGGCCTTGCTAGCTAGGGGTGATGGGAGTTGTAGTTTAACAACATCTGGGGACCCACAGGTTGAGAAAGGCTGCCTTAACCTCTGCTTGGCTTATGTGGCAGGGACTGACTTTCAAACATGTTGGCTTTGAGCCCACCCAGGGTTTTGGAGAAGCAGCTATGCTTCTTTTGAATATAAAAAACTGGCTGCCGCCATCAAGGGTGGGCAGAAGGGTATATCGGGACCTACTGACTGATCTTTGGGGTTTTTGCAGTGGATCAGCAAGGGTTTCGGACTCTGAATTGGTCTAACAATTATATTACTGCCATGCTCTGTACGTGGGGCTGCCTTTGAAGACCGTTTGGAAACTGCAGCTGATGTAGAACTCAGCAGCCAATTAGTTTCCGGGCTCACTTCAAAGTGCTGGTTTTGACCTATAAAGCTTTATACAACTCAGGACCCCAATACCTCAAGGACCACCTCTGCCTAGGACCGTTGTCACCTGCAAGGGAGGTGCAGAGGTTAACGTGACACGAGAACAGGCCTTTTCAGTGGTGGCTCCCCCATTGTGGAATGCCCTCCCCAGAGAACCATGCCTGGTACCATCATTAGCAACTTTTAGGCAGCAGGCCAAAGTGTTTCTTTTTACCCAGGCTTTAGAGGGTATTGTGTATACAGTGGTACCTCAGGTTAAGTACTTAATTCGTTCCGGAGGTCCGTACTTAACCTGAAACTGTTCTTAACCTGAAGCACCACTTTAGCTAATGGGGCCTCCTGCTGCCGCCACGCCGCCGGAGCCCGATTTCTGTTCTTATCCTGAAGCAAAGTTCTTAACCTGAAGCACTATTTCTGGGTTAGCGGAGTGTGTAACCTGAAGCGTATGTAACCTGAAGCGTATGTAACCCGAGGTACCACTGTACCACTGTACCTTGTAGCCTCTTACCTATTTTTAGTGAGGTGAGTTGTATTAGACCTGCCTTTTTATATATGCAATGATGTTTTTTGGATTTGCTGTTATATTATTTCGTAAGACGCTTTGGGTTACTTTCTGGGTTGTTTTTTTAAAAGTTACAAATGTTGTTATTGTTGTTGTTTAGTCGTATCCGACTCTTCGTGACCCCATGGACCAGAGCACGCCAGGCACTCCTGACTTCCACTGCCTCCCACAGCTTGGTCAAACTCATGTTGGTAGCTTCGAGAACACTGTCCAACCATCTCGTCCTCTGTTGTCCCCTTCTCCTTGTGCCCTCCATCTTTCCCAACATCAGGGTCTTTTCCAGGGAGTCTTCTCTTCTCATGAGGTGGCCAAAGTATTGGAGCCTCAGCTTCAGGATCTGTCCTTCCTGTGAGCACTCAGGGCTGATTTCCTTAAGAATGGATAGGTTTGATCTTCTTGCAGTCCATGGGACTCTCAAGAGTCTCCTCCAGCACCATAATTCAAAAGCATCAATTTTTCGGTGATCAGTCCTCTTTATGGTCCAGCTCTCACTTCCATACATCACTACTGGGAAAACCATAGCTTTAACTTTGTCGGCAAGGTGAATAAGTGTAGTAATAACAGCAACAATGACAACAGCTAAAAAACCTGCCACATTCTAACTGAGATTACTTTAAAAAGTATGGGGACAGCAGGTCAGGGGGAAGAACGGTTTGAAAGGGTTTACAAACATGCTTCTGGTCCCGATCACAAATTCCTCAGAGCCTCCCTTAAATCTTTGCATCATAGAATTGTAGAGACGGAAGGGACCCAAGGGTCATCTAGCTCAACCCCATGCAGTGCAGGAATCTCATCCATGACAGGTGGTCATCCATCTACCCATCCATTCGAGCTACTTTTTTGCTCCTGGCTCCAGGTGGTGGACTTCAAAGCTCTAGCTGAAAAAAACAAAAACCCAAATTAGGTCCCACAAGCCTGAACTCTGCCCATCCCAAGCCTATACAACTGAAATTAACGCTTACATTAGGTCTGCAATGAACATCTGCACCAAGTAAAAGCAACATCTTGGCGCAAACATCCCATAGACTTGCACGCTCCTCCTCCCACCTCTCGCTCAAGTTTCTGCCTCTCTCCCACAGTTGCTGTAAGCATGCTGCAACCGCGCATTCACACTGGCTCTCACCCGAATTTGAAACCAGGGTTTGAAAGTGGATTTTCGACCTTTGGTTCCGAGTGAATCCAGTGAGTGTTGACCCTTGTCTGTGCCAAGCCACAGAAGGAGAGGAGCGAGGTCATGTTAAACCAGGGTTGCTGTCTTATTGTGGATTATTCTTCACGTGCAACGGGCTGGTGCATGCTAACCAGTGTTAGAAACTCAGATATATAAGCTAGGCGCCAAATGGCTCATTAAACCAGGGTTACAGTCACCAAAACGGAATGCCTGGATGCCATTTTTGGGTCAGATAGCTCAAAAGTGGTATGCTTCAATGCAACTTTTTGGTTCCTGAAATACATTTTGATTTGTGCAGTTCCCCAGACCTGCACCTCCAGATGGTGGAGACGTCAGGCACCGTTCTGGCACCCGGGCAACTTCCCTTGGTCGCAAGTAGCAGATAGCCAGGTGCAAAATGCGCCTGGCAAATTTCAAGTGCTGGAGAGGATGCTAGCTAGCCATGGTGCACCCCTGGTTTCCTAGCTATGGTTAGTAGATCAGGAATCTCCCGTCTGCCAAAATACGGAGCACATCTTTCGAGTGAACAGAAGGCCTGTATTCCTATATAAACTGTCCCATCAATAATGAGGTGACAGCCCTAAAATCCGTGGCAATTGTCCAAAAAGCAATTTGACTGGATTTCCCCCTGCATGGCTTTTCTTATTCGTTGCCCAAGATGCTCGATTATACTTGTTTGAAAGGCGGTTTCGGTTCAATTATGTTTTGCAGCTCTGAGCCATGTGTTTGCTTTTGGTACTGCGATGTTCCTTGCCCACTTCTCACGTATACTGTGGACATCTGGGTTGTGGCAAAGGCCTTATCGGTTTGGTCTATTAAGCCTCTTAAGTTCTGTTTTCCTATTCCCCCTGGAAGTCACAGCCCTTTCTGTCGCCAGGAGGCCATTCTTCTGCCCTAGCTAGTCAAGCATCATCAATCTGTAATGTCAAGCCATACAGGAGACAAGCTTTTTGTCTCCAGCTGGTGATTCAAAATTAATATTGCCATGTTAGCCGCGGGGGGCGGAGGGGGCTGGGAAAACGTAATCACCGTGCACATCATGAGAGGGCACCCTCCTTATAAAGAAATGTATGTGTCAAGCGGCGGCGGGGGGGGGGAGTAATTAATGTAAATATACCTCTAGGGAATATTAGGATACCATTTTCCTCCTCCCCTCTTTTCTAATTGAGCTGGTACTTAACGGCAGATGATGCCAGGCTGAGACTAAAGTCATTACGCCATTCATGGAAGTAACAATGTTATTAAAATTTTGCGCCTTTGTACTGCTGCAGCAAAAATATTTTTTGCGTGTCAGCCCAGTGGTCAGAGATGATGATGATGATCATTATTGAATTTATATACCGCCCTATACCTGGAGGTCTCAGGGCGGTTCACAGAATAAAATTAAGATATAAAACCACAAAATACCTAATAAAAATGAAAACAACAACCCGATAGCCCCCCCCAAAAAAAACACATTTTAAAAGGGCATAGGATGTCAATCAAATCAACCAAAGGCCTGGTTAAAAAGGAACGTTTTTGCCTGGCACCTAAAAGTGTATAATGAAGGAGCCAGGCGAACTTCCCTGGGGAGCATTCCACAGACGGGTAGCCACTGCAGACAAGGCCCGTTCTCGTATTGGCACCCTCGAGGAGGAGGCACATGAAGAAGGGCCTCAGAAGGTGATCTCAGGGTCTGGGTAGGTTCATATGGAAAGAGGCAAATCCTTGAAGTATTGCAGTCCTGAGCAGTCCTGGGAGTTGTAGTTCAAGAACATCTGGGAGCCGAAGTTTGAGAAAGGCTGCCATACAAGAATAAATCTATTGAAAGCTCCTTGTGCTAAGCAATCACGGTATCCATTGTATTTGATCAACAGTTATAATCAACAGGAAAGTACTCTTGTTCAAAGGCCCAAAAGGACAGAAATAGTTTGAGCTGTCGCCAGAACCTTTGCTGTCTGATTTCAGAGAAACCCCTATTCCAAGCTCAAGTATAACACTAAAGATGGTTCAACTACTAGGGGTTCCCTGGCTAATCATAGAATTGTAGAGTTGGAAGTGATGCCAGGGTTCATCTACTCCAACCCCCTGCAATGCAGGAATCTCAGCTAAAGCATCCTTGACAATTGTGGCTCAGGGGAAGGATAGTAGCAGGGTTTTTCAGTTTGTCTGTCTCCATGCTGGCGCTGTGGGTTAAACCACAGAGCCTGGGACTTGCCGATCAGAAGGTTGGCGGTTCGAATCCCCGCGACAGGGTGAGCTCCCATTGCTCGGCCCCTACTCCTGCCAACCTAGCAGTTCAAAAGCACATGCAAATGCAAGTAGATAAATAGGTACTGCTCCGGCGGGAAGGTAAACGGCGTTTCTGTGCACTGCTCTGGTTCGTCAGAAGCAGCTTAGTCATGCTGGCCACATGACCCGGAAGCTGTATGCCGGCTCCCTTGGCCAATAAAGCGAGATGAGCGCCACAACCCCAGAGTTGGTCACGACTGGACCTAACGGTCAGGGGTCCCTTTACCTTTACCTATGTCAAAATCATCCCCTTGAACTGGGCTTAGTGACAGATAGTCACCGTGCCATCTCTAAGGGTAGCTCCACACAGAGCACATTGTGGTGGTCAAGCTGGGATGTTCCTAAGTTTCAGGCTAAACCTTGTCCAGGAACAGCAATAGCTGGCAGTCAGTATTCTGGGCCACTGGGCCACCAGAGCTTCTGGTGACAAGCTAGAATCAAGAAGTGACCACAGACCTTCTATGGGAAAAGCTGTAAATCCAGTTCCCTTTGTCTAGTGTCTAAAAACTCCAAGTGACACAAAATGTTAGGAAAGGAGTGGGGTTTAGGCAGAGAGAGACTTTCTGGGGCGCTTTTGGAAATTCAGTGCCTGTGGCTGGAAGAGGGCTGCTTAATCATGCTCCCCCACCAGATGCTGTTTCTGTTCCCTGCTCACCTCCATGGAATGAGCAGCACTGAACTAAGACACCTTGGGGAAAAGAGGGCAGCTGAAGCCATTGTTCAGCTTTGCGTTTCTTATTTAAATGCATTTCCACACCCGGCTGCCTAATGCAGTGAATATGATTGATGAATACTTGAGCAGCAACATTTACAAAGTCGGGGCTTTCAGGAATTGTAGATGCTGCAGGAGAGGTTATGTTTTGGCAGCTATCTTTGGATGGGTCTGCCTTGCAAACATCACCACCCCACAAAATAGTTCAGATAAGGGCAGGCCATATAGATTCAGACGACCCTTTTGAGCAAAAGTGAGGATGGCAATCTGCTTTCAACAGGGGATGCCCATCAATCTCTTCCTTAATTTGCATGCTGTTTGTCCACTCTAGTACTCTTCCCTTGACTTTGCCCAACCATTTGTTTCTGTACTAAAGAGAGTGGATTTTTTTAAGGAAAAATAAAAAGTTAGAAGTCTGTCTGGCATATACAGTACAGATCTAGCACTCCTGAGGGGTGACAATCCATCTTTCCCGAAGTTCTCCTCAATAGCAAATGGGAACAGTTAGAAAACAAAACCCCTTTGGCATACTGGTGCAAGTTTAGAGCATGCATGCAAAGTTTCTCGTTTACAATTGCACAACGGCCCGTTTGCACAGTAATTAAGAAGAGGATGGGAGTTTTGCCAGTGCTGCTCTGCCTGCTGATGTTTGCCAGTCAGCAAGATGCTCTGCAGTCTTCTGTGAGAGGCAAAAAAGAAGGGGAGGTCTAACTAGCAGGCAAAACTGCGTTATTACAGCGTTATTCAAGTTAAACTGCAAAAAAAGCTGCCTCCTTCACTTTCCGCATGGTTACATTGCTAAAGTGTCTTCAGTGCAAACTTAGAACCTGCCCCTGCTCTTAACTCATTGTACTTGTGGTCCTGAGCTGTTTAAGGCTTCATAGGTCAAAAAGTGTACAGATTCACCCTCAGGATCTTTGCTTGTTTGTGTATGATGCATTATGTGTCTTTCGCAAAGGACGAAACAGGAGAACCAAGCTTGAGGTGCTGAAAAAAGAGGAATGCACTTAATTGGAGAAAATTAAAAGTGTGCTTCTTTTCCTCCAGCACTTTGAGTTCTATCTATCATCTATCTATCTATCTATCTATCTATCTATCTATCTATCTATCTATCTTTCCTGTGCTTCCTATATGTTTACAGACACTTATTTGAGTATCTGTGAGAAGTTTGGTAGAAGCAGCACATTTTTTTTCAGCCAGAACTCACTGGAACTCCGTTATGGCACCTCTCAGGTGGGCGCAATTGCCGTTCTAAGATAACTCACTCATGGTGAGTTCCAGCACCTCTTTTTCAAGAAAAAGAGAACTGGGTAGAAGTACAGTGGTACCTCGGGTTAAGAACTTAATTCGTTCTGGTCCATTCTTAACCTGAAACTGTTCTTAACCTGAGGTACCACTTTAGCTAATGGGGCCTCCCGCTGCTGCTGTGGCGCAATTTCTTGTTCTCATCCTGAAGCAAAGTACAATTTCTTGGGTTAGCAAAGTCTGTAACCTGAAGCATCTGTAACCTGAAGCATCTGTTACCCAAGGTACCACTGTATTCTTAAACCGCCTCCCCACACATAATAGACACACACACACACACACACACACACACACACACACAGTGCTCTTCAGATGTTTTGTTGGACTACAACTCCCATCATCCCTGCCCATCGGTCAGTACTGGCTGGGGGCTGATAGGAATTTGGGAATCCAAGGAACGTTTGGAGGGCACCAGGTTGTGGAAGGCTGTTTTAAGACAGTGAGGCCCAGTTCAGGCCCTCTGTACACCCCATATAACCCGCTTCCTCCTTACTGCAGGGCGACAACACACAGTGACCTCGTCCTCCGGGCGGTGAAGTTGGGAGTGCCCTACAGAGTCATCCACAATGCCTCCATACTCAACGCCGTCGGCTGTTGCGGCCTCCAGGTAACACCTCTCGTGCACGTGGCGTTCCGGCAGCGGGAAACCACAACTCTGTTTACTTCTCCAAATGGGTTTCTCAGAGCGCAGGCTTGAGGCACGCCTTCCAATCTGTAGGAAACAGCTGTGAGGAGTTGCACACTTTGTGGCCAGACTTTCTGTGGCGTTTCCTTTCTCTTTCTCTCCTTTTTTATAAAACAGCATGATGTAACTGAGCTTCTAAGAAGTAAAAGCTTTCTGAATGGGGGCAATGCTGTTCTTGATGCCCTGGAAACAGGGTGGATAAATATCAATGGCTTTTAAAAAAAAAAGTCAGATTTTTTAAACTTTAAATCAGATTTTTAAAATACAGTGGTACCCGGGTTACGTTACCTTTGAGTAACGTAATTTCGGGTTGCAAACGCGGCAAACCCGGATGTGCGGTTTCGCCATGCGCAGAAGCGCTCTTCACGCATACACAGAAGTGCTCTATTGCGCTTTGCACATGCGCAGAAGCGGTGTCTCTGGATACCGACTTTTCAGGGTAAGTACGGACCCCCGGGAGGAATTAAGTTCGTATCCGGAGGGTCCACTGTAAAATGCTTTTGAAGGAAAAATCTTTCGAAAGATAGTTTTCTATTTAAGTTACAGTATAGTCCAAAGGCTATTCATCAGGAAATAAGGATTTATTTTGAGTTTTGCATGTGTGTTAAAACTCAGTCTGGTATTGTTTTAACAAAAAATTGTTTAACCACATCAGTTAACAAATATGGATACATATGCCATGATGTTATTATTTAATTAAATAAATTGTTTAAATTGTTATTAAGGAAATGATTATTTTTCTCTTTCCAATAAAGTACAGCAGAAAAGTTGTCCAAATATAAACACCTGTCTATGTATTTCTAATAGTATAACCAAATCAGTAATTTTTGATATAACTGTAAAAACTACTCTGAAAATTTATTATTCCAAAAATGAAACCTTCATCTGGTTGTAAATATTAAGATTATACCAGCAAGAATGAGTCTCTCTGTAATTTTTTTTTATTTAAATCAAGTCTTACTGACTAGTGATTTAAATCATGATTTAAATCACATCTACACTCCCCAGAAGCAAATATTGGAGAGGCTAAGAGAGGTTCTCCGCACTGGGTGTCATGAAGCTGGGGAAGGGGAAGGGGAAGGGGAAGGGGAAGAAGAAGAAGAAGAAGAAGAAGAAGAAGAAGAAGAAGAAGAAGAAGAAGAAGAAGAAGAAGAATTTATTTGTATAGTTGCATCTGGGGCTGGAGCTAAGAAACAGCTGAGCCTCAGGTACACATACGAGCCACAAAGGGTGGGTTTATTGCACTTTTCATCCTTAGAAGGCGATTTCCACTACGTTTCAGATAAAGGAAAGGGAAGGTTCCATGTCACATAGCACCAAACTAAATTGCCACAAGAGACATGGCAATGGTCCCCAGGGAAGGTAGCTTGTAAAGTGGGCTTAGACCATTGGAGAAATCCACAGAGGGATGGGTCTGTCAACGGCTCCTAGCCCTTCCCCCTAAATGGAGCCTCCATTATCAGTGACAGTATACCTACGAGTGTCAGATGCCGGGGACAAATTTGATTTGTATCAGTGGATTTGACTTGTGCCGATATATTTGAAACAACAAAAGTTAGGGGCGCTTTCTTAAACGATAGGAATTTGATGTTCATAAAATAAGGGCTGACTTCCTTTTTTGCATTTTAGTTTAAGTCTGATTTCGTCGATGCAAAAGACTCCTGCTCCATTAGTCTGGCCTTGGTTACTGAAAAACAGGAAACACCTTTGTAGGTTTTTTTTTCTTCTTTTTAAAGAAGAGGAGCTTAAGCTGATGGCTTGCGTCTGTTTGGGAAGGCTGCAGCCGAGTGGCTCTCTAAGCTACATGCGTTTAGAGTTCAAACTCATCACAATGGGGCCTGGCTGAATAATGTTCAGGAGTGACGGAGAATTCTGTGGACTGAGCATTGGAGCATGGGCTTCTTTCTGTCTCGTGATTTTTAAAACCACTTTCATTGACCCAGAGCAAAGGAACTGATAGCTGTACGCTTTGGCAGACTGTGATCAAGTCTGGGATTCAGCAAAAGACAACAGGGGGCGGGGAGACCTTTGACCTAAATAGGAAAATACTCAAAAGTTAAAATACTCAAGCCGAGTATGAATCAAAGGGTTAAACGTTGCCTATTGACTTTTCCCCTTATTTGGAGTAATGCAGTGGTCAGCTGACAGTAATTCCTGGTTGTATTTTGAGCAAATTCCCACCCGTCCCCGCAAGTTACTGGCAGGGCTATTTTGGTTGTGAAATGCAAAATCTGGATTTCTCATTCTCTTTCTGGATTACCCAAGTGTTGTATTTGAAGAGGACGCCTTGTGTAATATTCCAAGAATCATTGACTGAGCAAGAACCATTGACCAAGGGGCAGGGACGTCGCTGGACCAATGGTGTATAAGATAAACCTTCTAACTTAGCCGCGTGGGGTGATAGGCAACCTCTGAATGGGGACAGGTTCCCCATTGCTGCCCGCTCAACCAACAAGCCTCATCTATGAAAGAGCCACAGGACTGACATGTGACACGCTCTGCTGAATAAAATTTGAGGATGCGTCAAGATAAAAAAAAGTAAAACAAAATAAAACACATTAAAAACTACACATAAAAATATACATAAGGGACCAAAAATAGTTAAAATGTTTTCAGAAACAAAACTAAAAATAGGAGAAATATATGACTTCAGAAACTCAGCAGGCATTAGCTGAGATAAATTCCAAATCCCTTTTCATGAGACTGTAAGCCACGGGTCCCAAACTTTTTTCAAAGAGGGCCAGATTATTTTATGATTTGAGGGCCAACCAAAGTTGTTAAGCTTTTTTTAGGATTGAAGTTGTTGAGCTTCTTTTACAATTTTACCCCAAAGTTGTTGAGGTAGATAGAAACTTTATTTGCATTAGCCGATGGCCATAGCAATGACAAAACATTACAATATACACAGCAAAAATGAAATTTAGTATAAAAGCACAGTTTAGGGTCCGGAATCAACAGTCAGATAGTGGCCCTTCAAAGTTCTTGAGCTTTTTAAAGGATTTTACCCCAGAACATATACTGCCACGAGGCCTCCAAAACGGACTTTGGCCATGCCTGCTATAAGCCTTTGCAGCAAAAGAGACTATCTTCTGAGCCTTGTAATAAAAATCATATTTTTTTCTTTCATTTTCCAACACTTCAATTTCTTTAAACATTCCCCCCCCCCCCCCGCCCGGCTTCAAGATCTTGGACCCAACAATTTAAGAATAATGCACTGAAATCAGTTGCTGCCCATAAAGTTTGCATTCAAGAATATAACCAGTGTTGCTCCTTCGGAAATACATAATTTGCCTGGAGCTGGTATGCTCCCAAATCTCTCCATTAGTTCCAACTGTTCAAAACAGAATTGAGAACAAACTTTCTTGTATTCTGTTTTCAAGGGAATGCTTCTGGCTACATTTCCAAATGAATTCAGCCCCTGCACCGAGAATCCATAATGCAGTAATACATCAGAAATTTTTTGAAACTAGAAACTGTCCAGCGCTAGCACCATCTGTTCCTCAGACACACAAAGATCTGCCTTATCTTCATCTATATGAATTATTCTGCACCAGCGATTCAGCATCCTAATCTGTATTAAGCCCAGGACGGTGTCAGAACCTAACTGTGCCCTAATTAAATAAGCAGGAGTAGCTTTGAATATCCCTGAAATCATACATAGAAAAACGGGCTTTCAACTCTTTCGACTAAGGTGATATTTACAAAGCAAAACTCAGCATCCTTGGGAGTAAAAGACTCCTTTTGGAATTTGAGAAGGATACAAGTAGTTAGATTCAAAAGCACCCTGTTTTTAAAAATATAAGCAACTCAAAAACCAGCATGAAAAAGTGAGGGAGCAAAATGTTGTTCTCTCCACATCCATGTCAAACCATTGCAAGGTTCAACTTGGAATTCCAAAAGGAGCATTTTACTCTGAAAAATATTGACTTACAAGAAAAAAAAGTTTTACATCAGAGATCACTGGATCCTGTTTTGTTTTCTTTGAGGCGCTTTCCCTGGTTTTTTCTTTCTTTCAATGTTTACAAAGCCCCAAATGTCTCCACCAAAAAGTGCAAGTTTTTCTTAGAACAAAACCCCTCACCCATTAAAACTAGTCTTATTGATCCCAGGCACCTAAGACTTTCTTTAAGACTTGTACACAAACAGCTACTTTAAATTTATTTTGTGAAATGTGCAAGGTCGTAGGATCCTGAAGGCAGGGGAAAACTACCTCAAAATATCAGTTATGATTTATCTTTGTCCGTTCTGTTTGTGTACCATTTTCCTCTGCTATTTTGGATTGGGCACTGTTCACAACCCGCTCATTTTCTTTTGAATCCCTTTTGTAAACGTTTCGTGCCAGCTTGTGATGTTGAAAATAATTTATTTTTAAAAAGTGTGTTTACCATCCTATTTGGAATCTTGAAACACAGGGCTTTAGGTACAACTTGAACTCACGTTGGAACAAGCATCTCACTCACACACACACACATACACTGTGGCAGCTCATTTATCTTCTGCAGAGGTGTGGGGGAATAATTTTAAGTTGTTGGTGAATCTTGCATTTAACTATCAAGCAACCGCTGATTTTTATCTTTTAAAAAAAGTTTTATCAGCCTCGCCGCCACTTCAGCCTACAGTGTGACACTCCTCGGGGGCATTGTAGTTTTTAATTTGTCAATCCTTTTATCGTTATTATGAGCCACTTTTGAATTCAACTTGGAAAAGCAGGTAGCCGTCTCTCCCAGCCCCATCTGGAGATACCAAACACTGAGATTTGGCCCTTCCCATCAAAATCTCTCGATGTTGCACATCGCATAACGCCATGTTAAGTCTTGTGTCTATAGTTTTTATTCTGATAGGTGTCTTTCTCATTATCATCTCCCCACCTCTCCCTCTTTTCATGGCAGCTCTACAATTTCGGAGAAGTTGTGTCTGTCGTTTTCTGGACCGATACGTGGAAGCCCGAGAGCTTTTACGACAAAATAGCCAAAAACAGAAGAAACGGCATGCACACCCTCTGCTTGCTTGGTAAGGACCACATCCTCTTTTTTAAAAAATATTTTTATTCAGTTTTATATTTAATATTTACATTAGTATATAAATCATAATCATGTACAGTCATACCTTGTGTTGCGTTCCGCTCTTCTTACGGACTTTCAGCTTACGAATGCAGCAAACCCGCAAGTGTTTAGTTCCGGGTTCACCGCACGCGCAGAAGCGATCGCGCCACGCACATGCGCAGAAAAGGCGCTCTAGTTGCGAACTTTTCAGGGTGCGAATGGCACCCCGAAACAGATTAAGTCCACAACTAGCGGTACCACTGTACAAATAGGATTTTCTGAATCCCAGACTTCCCTCTACCCCTCCATGGGTTCCATGGTTATTCTCTTTCAACGGCATTGTATAATGTCCTCCATTTTTCCTTAATAGTCAATTGTTACCATAGTTCTTGTTACATCGCAAGTTTTGTTAAAATCCTGCCAATGTTTTTAATTGTTTACAGTGTGCTTCAAAATAAGTTACAAATTTTCCCCGTTCTTTATTAAATTTGATATCTTCTTGGTTTCTGATCTTCCCGGTCATTTTCACCATTTCAGCAGAGTCCATCATTTTTGTTAACCATTCTTCTCTGGTAGGGACTTTGTCTTCCTTCCATTTCTGGGACAGAAGTATCCTTGCAGCTGTTGTTGCGTACATAAACAGTTTTTTCTGCTCCTTCAGTATTCCTGAACCGAAAATTCCTAGTAAAAAAGGCTTCTGGTTTTTCCCCACAAAAGTTATTTTAAACATTTTTTTTCAACTCATTATAAATCATTTCCCAATATGCTTTCATTCTCTTGCACGTCCACCACATGTGGTAGACAGGGCCGGATTTCGGTTTGATGAGTCCCTACGTTACTGAAGATAATGGGGCCCTTTATATGTTGCTGTTTTTTGTGTTGAATATATGCTATATGGTAATTTATGGACCTAACAGGTATCTCAAGCCATTTGCACATGTTGCCAGCCAACCAATCCATGCAGAATGTAGGCACCCTGTATATAGAAATGAGCAAACCAGTGATATTTTAGGAAACAGGCTAGCAGGTGCGGCCCATTACTTACATCTCAGGAGCCTACACAACACAAAACACTGTTGCTGTATGTAGGTTTTATTTTATTTGTTTTTTCTCTTCTATTTTGGAAATGTACATCCAGGTGTTTTTTCCCCTTTAAATTTTTTGGGACCCCCAAGAGAGTGGGACCCTAAGCTGTAGCTTGTTTAGCTTATACGTAAATCCGGCACTGGTGGTAGAATGTGCCTTCTTTTTCTTTACACTTCCAACAAATATTTGTAGCTGCTCTGTGCATTTTTGCTAATTTAGTAAGAGAAGGACCACTTCCTTATAGCACACTTAACCAGCCGGCGTTATTTAGAATGCTCAGTAGCTGAGCAGCTGTTGAACATAAGATGAGTCTGCTGGATTTAGAGCATCTTCCCCTCCTTTAGCTTCCAGCAACTGGCATTCAGAAGCATCACTGCCTCCAGCCTTTGAGGCAGAGCATTGATAGTAGCCATGGATCGCTTTCTCCTCCATGATAGCCTCTGCCCTTGCTGTCCAAACACAGAAGCGACAGCATCAAACCGTAGACTCAAAAGTTCTCCGCCTTACGCATCCTCTGCCTTTTTTCTTACCTGCAGCAATTGCATCTTTAAGAAATAGCAAGCTGAGCAAAACCCCCAAACCCTTCCCTGGACATAGGAAAATAGCATGTCATGGAGCTGAGCCTCTGCCTTGTTGCTGTGGTTTTCTTCTATGTACAGGTTTTTGTGCTTTTTCTCCTTCAGGAGACATCTATCCCAACCCCACGCTCACAGCCCAAAGGTAAAACAGTCCAGCAGAAGTTTTTAACGGTAGATTCTGCTGAAAACTGGTCCTTACCCCGGTGATCATTTAGTTGTCTGTTAACACTGAGAAAAGGAAATGAGCCCTGCCCATGCCATCAGCTTCCTGGCTTTGAGGTCTTAAGTTGCAATCATCATCCAGCGAAAAGGAAGTTTTAGCAAGTTCATTTCTTTACTAGGACCGCCAGGATTTTTACTGTGTCTTTTGCAGCAGTTCCAACAGAAGGAAATTAAGCTTTTCCTGGCATGAGGAGAAACGGGGGGGAAGTTTCATAGCATAAGCGGTTGTGTTCCACGCTACTCTTAAAAGCAGGAGAGCTTGATCAGTAGAAACAGGAGGCGATCCGACAGTCTCTGCACTGGGGCAGGATTTATTTTAATCATACAGAGCTTTTCAGACTAAATCCAGCCTTGCATGAAACCCTCCAGTGTGCGAGAGAGGGAGAGATTATACAGATGCATTCAATCACATAAGGAATTTTGATCAGGATGGAAATCAGACTGATGCAATTTGCAAGCAATTAGATCATTCCGTGCTGTTTAGATATTGAGGTTTATCAGGGAGAATTGAGTTTCTTCCGACTGGCAGGATCCTTGATTGCAGCCTGAACGGAACTATTCTCCCAGTGCTAAAGCAGGTTTTCTATGAGTTTACAGGACACTCCAGACACTTTATGGGTCATAACTGTTTACTGGGGTTCCTACAAGCATAGACCACCCCTGTGGCTTCCACTGCTCTCCTTGATTACAATCCAGGATCCCTAAACCTCCCAAGTCAAAAGGTGATTTCCATGTGCGCACCGGAAAGAGCTAAATTTTGCCAGCATATAGGTAAAGGTAAAGGTACCCCTGGCTATTAGGTCCAGTCGCGGACAACTCTGGGGTTGCGGCGCTCATCTCACTCTATAGGCCGAGGGAGCCAGCATTTGTCTGCAGACAGCTTCTGGGTCATGCGGCCAGCATGACTAAGCCACTTCTGGTGAACCAGAGCAGTGCACGGAAATGCAGTTTACCTTCCCGCCGGAGCGGTACCTATTTATCTACTTGCACTGTTACATGCTTTCAAACTGCTAGGTGGGCAGGAGCTGGGACCGAACAACAGGAGCTCATCCCGTCGCGGGGATTTGAACCGCTGACCTTCTGATCGGCAAGCTCTAGGCTCTGTGGTTTAGACCACAGCGCCACCCACATACAATATACACAGCGCCAGCATATAGTAAGTTTATAAATCAAGTCAGAACATGCATGCAGAAGTTTCATACATTCCTGGAATTGGTGCCTGGAAGCTGTCTGTACATCAGGACTTGATTGTAAATCTTCTCTGACTGTTGAAATGTATGAAAACCTATACGGTGGGGATTTTGGAATGCATTTTAGAAAGAAGTGGATTTCATAGGTGTTAAATGCTCCCAGCCACCAGTGTGAAATGTCAACATGGCCTCACCTTAATCTGTCTATTTCTCATTTCATTGATCCTTTCTCTCCCCTCCATTCTTTAAGAACTGCAAAAAGGGAGAGTTGACAAGCAAGCATTACTGTGGGTTGTTTTTTTTAATTACCTGCTGACTTTTTCAAATAAATGATGCAAAAAAATCTTACAACATTCAAGTTAGGGCTTCTTCTGCTCCCCTCTTTCTGTTCCTGCGTTTCTTTGTCTCTACCACAATTCTGCACTGTCAAGTGACTGGTTATTGAAGGAGACATTCCGGCCGTTGGTTTAAATATTAAAATGTACTTAATTGAGGAGCGGGTGGAAAGTGTGTTTGCTGGATACAGATTAAATCAAAACTGCAATTGACTGAATGAAATGAAATTGCCACTGTGTATAAATGGCAGGAGAAAGATTATGATGCTAGCTCACTTCCCATAGAGAGAGGGTAGAAGGAAAGGTCTATTGATATTGGCATTCATAGCAATAAATTGCAGGTATGCTCATAGAAAGCGCCATGGTGTTCAGCCATTGGTGGTGGTGAGAACATGTCAGAGAAGGCCATGGATCAACAAGATCCTAAGTAAGTTGTGGGCGATATATCAATACTTTGTCTCTTACCAGTATGGACTCCAGACCGAGACAAAGGTTTCATATTTTGTCACCCTGTAATATATCGAGAATGCACTGCCCAGCTGGCCTCGCAGACCCGGCAGGCAGGAAACAGCACTTTGCTGCAAAGCAAAGCCTTTACTGCAAAGTAAATGGCCACTTCCTGCCTGCCGATCTGCAAGACATAAGCTCCTGTCGCCTCTCAGCTGGCATTGCAGAGTAAAGAGGCAGCTGGAGAAATCCCTTTAGCGCACAGCGCTTGTGGGATCAAGAACTAGGCTTGGGAAGTCAGATTCTCATCAAGATGTGGACGCTCTTGTGTTCAACCGTGCATGCTGGGGCAACTAGAGCGGGGCAATTGTGAACATACAATTATAGAAGGTACTAAGAAACTTCCATAAAGAAGGCTGATCGCCGAAGAATTGATGCTTTTGAATTATGGTGCTGGAGGAGACTCTTGAGAGTCCCATGGACTGCAAGAAGATCAAACCTATCCATTCTTAAGGAAATCAGCCCTGAGTGCTCACTGAAAGGACAGATCCTGAAGCTGAGGCTCCAGTACTTTGGCCACCTCATGAGAAGAGAAGACTGCCTGGAAAAGACCCTGATGTTGGGAAAGATGGAGGGCACAAGGAGAAGGGGACGACAGAGGATGAGATGGCTGGAGAGTGTTCTCAAAGCTACCAGCATGAGTTGACCAAACTGCGGGAGGCAGTGGAAGACGGGAGTGCCTGGTGTGCTCTGGTCCATGGGGTCACGAAGAGTTGGACACGACTAAACAACAACTAAGAAACTTCAGTAGCAGAAGAAGAGATGTGGCTGGAAGAAATTGCTTTGGCTGTAGCTTCTATCTATAAAGTAGTGTGAAGTAACTGTCCTGTCAGTGCAAGGATTTCTCCTTGTTCCATGGGGCTTCACCCCTTCTCTCCACCCCTACATGTCTCCTAGATCCATCCTGTGCATTTCCCAAGTCTCCAGAGCATATTTGGGAATGATGGAGGGGGAGGAGAAGAGAGGAAAGTCCCACTGCACAAGCAGAAAGCCTTGAGCTGACAGGACTACGGAGTTGGATACCCATTCATTTGCAGTGGGTCTGCTCTGACTATGGCTTAGTTAGATGTCACTCCCTGACTGTTAGCATTTACAATTTGGCTGCTTCTTCTCTTAACCATCGCCTTTGTCTTGAATTTTGTTGGGACTTGCATGCCTTCTCCTGTGTATTGCGTCTGTTCTGTTCTTGTTTGTGTACAACTTGAAGGTTTGCATTGGGCGAAAGATGTAAAATGAAGCAGAAATTCTAGGTAGGAAATCGAGACTGCAAAAGCTAGGAAACACATTGGGTTGTATCAAGCCAAGTCATACTCGGCATAAGCCCACTGAAATCAATGAACATGAACCATAGCCGTTGCAACTCATCAGGAGAAAAGGCAGTGATAGAAATAGTGACAATAATCTGCCGCACGATGTTTCAAAGCCCTAACAAAAATTGGATTTGTTATTTGAGATGGTTTACCGAGATCTGAATACTTCTAAGCTTAGGGAACTTTATGGAAAGACAAGAGGCACAGCTGCATATTTAAATATACAAGAGAATGAGTTAGCGCTCAATCAAGATGAAATGAGCTCATCTTACCAAAATCTGCAGTCCACCTAATTCAATAGGAAAAGGTGACTAATGTGGTTGAAGGCTTGCCATGAGTCTTTTTGGGTTATTTGATTGGAGACAGGAAGGCACAACTAATGGGGCTGCTTGCATGTCCAGGCCCCTGGGTTTCTGCCCATAGCTCATTCATGCCGCTCTAACTTAATAGACGTTCAGTTTCAAAAAGTTTCATCTCCTCAGTGAAGCACGATACAAAACATAGTTTTCCACTTAGAAGACAGCGAGAGGAAACGCCTTCGTTGATCTCGTCCGTTCTAACCCCAAATATGCTCATGTAGCAGTAAGTCTGCCCTAAAAAATCAACAGAGCTTGTTTCTTGGCTGCAGTCACAGTTTTAACTTCCTACAGCTGATGTGTATTTAAGAGAGTTCAATTAAAGGATGCTGTGTCACTTTCCACAAGAAGAAAAACCATTGCAATGAATTATGTATAATAGATAGTGTCTTAAACATAGTCTTATATGTTAATAGTGAACTCAGTCTGCGGGTACCTAACACCGGAACCTGCCTTACACTGCATCACAACAGTGGCTCGTTTAGCTGAGCCACACTGGCTGGCTGGAGGGTTTCAGGCAGCAGTTCCCTGCCAACTTGTCCTGGAGATGCCAAAGATTGACCCTGGGAGATTTCTCATGCAAGATGGATGCTGTACCACTGAGCTGCAGACTTCTCCATGCGTCTCCAAATTAGGACCATCCAAGCATACCAGCCAAGCTAGATCAGGAACAATTAAGAGGCTTGGGGCTGCTTGGGATTTGCAGAACTACAGAGAGCCTTTGGGGGAGAGAGAGAAACCTAAAAACAGCCCTGGAATGATGGCTGAATGAGTATCACAGGGGGAAATGGAATGATGACTGGCTGGCACAGTCAACATGAAGAAGAAGAAGAGTTTGGATTTGATATCCCGCCTTTCACTCCCCTTCAGGAGTCTCAAAGCGGCTAACATTCTCCTTTCCCTTCCTCCCCCACAACAAACACTCTGTGAGGTGAGTGGGGCTGAGAGACTTCAGAGAAGTGTGACTAGCCCAAGGTCACCCAGCAGCTGCATGTGGAGGAGCAGAGACGCGAACCGGTTCCCCAGATTACGAGACTACCACTCTTAACGACTACACCACACTGGCTCTCTGGGTGTGCATGAAAGAGAGATATCTTTCTTATATCAAACGCAGCTCAATAAAAAAAAGTTCTCCGTCTTAATGCCTGTGAAAGTAATACACAGGCAATTGACTTAAAGTGTATGTCCCGTTTTGTTTCCCTGCAGACATTAAAGTCAAGGAACAGTCACTGGAGAATCTCATGAAGTAAGTTGTTTCTTCAAAAGTGTGTGGTCTGCAACTGATAATTCACAGCTTAGTGCTGGCATGTAAGTGAAACGCATACTAAAACCACGGTATAGAGAAATATTTTCTCCATGTTTCAATTTAAGGTGTGGTTGGGTGAGGGGGAGGGACCCAGTAGACCTCAAACTGTTACTGGACTCCCAACTCCCATTCAGCACCAACCCAGCATGGATAATGGGCCCCCACCCTTGAGTTAAAAGGACCGATCAGCTGCCGTACTAATCACATTTTAGGCCATCCGGCTTGCTCTCTTAACTAAGAATTGGAGCTGGTTTAGGAATCCTGCTTAAACGGTGAACATGAATGGTGAACACGGGTTCCAAAATATCACTGTAGACTTAAGGAGGAAGTGCCCTCTCCTGGCACCCAGTTTGGTTTTGTCTGCAGTCCGTCCCACAGGATGAAGCGATGTGCTTGAGGCAGCACTGGGATAGGTGAAGGCAGGAACCGGCGTCTGAATGATGCAAAGCAACTCTTCGTGCTAGCACTGCCTGTCAATATAGATAACGCTTAGAGGGATCAGCGGTCTGAGTCAGTGTAAGCAGCTTCCGGTGTTTCTGTTGCAGGATGGGGCTCATGTGGCAAAGCAGCGGTGATGGTTGTCTTGGTGTCTTTTAGCACCTAATGAATAATTTTTTAAGGTGGGGCGAAGCTCATGGTTTAATAAGTCTGTTCAGTTTCTCAGGTTCCATATGCACCCTGTATCTCCAGTAATAAGTGCCCAGAGTTAGGCTAGCTAGCTATGACCCCTAGTAATTTCATCTGTGATACAGTGGCACCTTGGTTCTTGAACAAAATCCATTCCAGAACCCTGTTTGGCTTCTGAAATGTTCGAAAACTGAGGCGCGGGTTCCCATTGGTTGCAAGAGCTTTTTGTACTCAGCGGAAGTCGTGTCGAATGTTTGGGTTCTGGAAAACATTCAAAAACCAGAACACTTACTTCCGGGTTTTTGGCGTTTGGGAGTTGAAACGTACGATAACAGAGGTGTTCAGGAACCAAGGTTTGACTAGTTTCGTTTTTCTCCTGATCGCTCAGTATATCTAATCTAGGAGAGATCAGTCGAGTCAGCTTCCTTCTTCCTCACCACTGGAACTATTGATCACCTCCAGACACGTCCTCACTTTGGTCTAGATTCACATCCACAGAGTCCGACAATCTCTGGTGGAAATTTACCTTGGAACTTCTTCCTAAGCTTTGCTCTTGCCAACTCCAGGGCTGGCAAACTTTGCAGAAAACAACCCTTTGAGAGCTGGCTTTGGGGTCTATAATTATGTAACTATACAGTATATGGTAGAAAAACACAGGCTTCCCTTCCAATTTGGCACGGATAGCGTGCTCTCTGATGTATCTCAGCAGTTACAGTAGATTAGCAGGGGTCTCAAAATATACGTGACTTGTGATTGTGCCGGGGAGGCAGCGCAACATGTGGCACCTCTCAGATGCGGAGAGCATTTCCAGTTTACTCATGTAGGCTCTAATTCCTAGCTTGAAAGCTTCAAAACAGCCACGCAGTGGCTCTGATTCACAGCACACGCACAGAGGAGACTTTCATCAACACCGACCGACTTAATTGTCGGTAGACGCTTCTTCTGCAAGCCGGCAGTTCTGGGATGCTGACGCCACAAAAAGAGCCTGCTAGTAGTGTCTGCTGTTCCTGTGGCTGTAACATACACCTGGATTCGGCTGTTTAAAAACTTGGAAGTGTTTGCTTTATGTCTCCAGCTGATCAGAGGGCAGCGCGTATAACACTCGCCTGCTTCTCATCAGCAACTGCCCGTAGACCTCCTTTTCTCGGTGTATTCCTTGCCAAAAACATGATGGATAAGACAAAACATGCACAGGCTTCTAGCGAGGGTCTAAACTAAATGGGCCTCTACCCTCATACCTACGGGACCGCCTCTCCTGGTATGTCCCACGGAGAGCCTCAAGGTCCATAAACAGCAACACCCTAGTGGTCCCGGGCCCTAAGGAAGTTAGATTAGCCTCAACCAGAGCCAGGGCCTTTTCAACACTGCCTCCGGCCTGGTGGAACACTCTGCCTCATGAGACCAGGGCCCTGCAGGATCTGATTTCTTTCCGCAGGGCCTGTAAGACAGAGTTGTTCCGCCTGTCCCCTCTTTCTTTTTTCTTTTTCCTTTCTCCTGAGGCTGCATTTTAATATTTTAATGTTTCAATATTTTAATGTTGTATTTTAATCTTGTTTTTAAGTTGTATTCATTCAACTTATTTTTATTATTGCTTGTTAGCCGCCCTGAGCCCGGCCTTGGCTGGGGAGGGCGGGGTATAAATAAAAATTATTTGAGAGCCATTTGGCTGCCTGCCCCTCTTAAGAGCTTCCAGAGAGTGAATGTGAGACCTTGGTTTGATGCGACAAAGAGAGTTTTATCTTGAAGCTTAACCATTTTGGGCAAGCCGTGTTAAATTCAGCTTGGCTTTACTGTACACGGACCCCACTACTTGACTGGGATACAGGGGGGACAGTTGCTGACCAGACTACCGTACCTTTCCTTCCATCAGGGGGAAGAAGATTTATGAGCCACCCAGGTATATGAGCGTGAACCAGGCAGCGGAGCAGCTTCTCGCTATTGTGCAAAACAGGCGGCTACAAGGCGAAGAACCAGGTACGCACGTGAGCTCTGGCCGCTAGCATTTTGAGGCTGGCCCTCCCCTCCTTTGTCCAGACCGCAGCAGCATCAAATAACTCGCAATTTGTGATGGAAATGGGCCCTCTTGAAATTGGCAGGCTGGAAATTGCCTACAGAGGCCAAGCATTCGCTGTGGTTCGTCAGCCGCAGTGAAGTGAACTTCAAGCAGGACCCGAGGCAGAGCACTGTAGCCACAAAACGTTGGCCTGCACACAAACCAGCCACAAACTCCACGAACCAGTTGGTTTTTTAAAAAAGAAATGCAAATCCCATATGAACATACTTTAGAGTGAATCACTTTGACCTTACTCTGTTCGCTGTACGTGCTTTTCCTGGAGCTACTAGTTGCTGCAGAAACAGCGGGGGCGCATTGATCCTGGGAAAGTGTGTCTTAATAGTCAACTTTTGACGGATCTAGGAGTTCTCGCTGGTTAATGAAATGCAGAGACTTTCCATAGGGCTGTAGGGTGTCAAATGTCCAAGTAGTGATTGGCTGGAAGCAGTGACAAAATGCTCTGCAAAGTCTAGCTAGCTCACATGCACTGCCTTTCTGAAACAAAACAGGAGGCACAGTTAAGAGCCCAGAAAGGATATGAAAGAATTAGCCATTATTAGTGGAATCAGTTTCTTAGATACTCACGGGAGTGGCCTCTCTAAACAAGCCCTGTTTGGAAGAAGGCAAGTCTATGAAACTATGACACACACAACTCATAGCAATCCAATCAGTGGTGGACTTTGGGCTTTCACATTTCAGTAGCATCCTATGTAACGCCAAAATTTGGCGCAGTAACAGACGCCTCTTGCCTTCCGTTCCAAGTCATGTTTGCGGCGCCCTCTTGGCTCAGCGCCCAGTGCGGGTGATCTGGTCAAGCATCCCTAAATCCGCTTCTGATCCAATCAGGCTCCATGCAGGGATGCAGCAGAATTTAACAAAACCTGCAGGTACATCGCAGGCAGCTTACATCAGGATGGGTGCTTTCACCTTCCTACGTAACACATTCCACTTACCCTTCCTTGTGGGAAGTTTTGATACCAGCAATACCTTCATATTAATCACAGTTTACCGTATTTTTCCATGTATAAGACGACCCCTATTTTGGGGGACTCCAGATTAAGAAAATGGAGGGAGATTGCCCAGAGTTGTTGAGCTTTTTTGGGGGGGAGGGGGTTGCCAAAAATCGCTCACCCACCTGACCAACGCTGCCAATCACACGCATCACCAAAGCTGCCAATTGTCTGCCCACTCACCACCAGCAGCCACCAATCGCCCGCCCAATTGTCGCAGCAGCAGCCAATCAACAGCAGACCTTGCCACAGCCACCAATCACCCACCCAATCGCGGCTGACAATCTCCTGCTCGCGGCTGCAACCAATCGCCTGCCCCCACACACTATCTGTGTATAAGACGGCCCCCAATTTTAAACATTATTTTATAATTAAAAAACTTCATCTTATACATGGAAAACTACGATACTTACTTAGTAAGGTAAAAAATGGTAAAGGCCCCCTGGACGATTAAGTCCAGTCAAATTAGACTATGAGGTGCAGCACTCGTCTCCACTTCCAGGCTGAGGAAGCTGGCATTTGCCCACAGACAGCTTTCCAGGTCCTGTGGCCAGCATGACTAAACCACTTCTGGCACACAAAACACCGTGACGAGTGCCAGAGGGCATGAAAATGCCGAGCTCAGTCATACTAGCATCTTCCCCACACTGCAGCCCTGTCTAAGCTTCTCTTGCATATTCTCCAGTCTAGGAATGGCAACCTATGGTTCTCCAAATGGTGTTGGACTCCAGAGCCATCATCCCTAAACATTGGCCATTGCTGGTTGGGGCAGATGGGATTTCTGTTAAAACGCCCAGAAGACCTCAGGTTTCCCAACCTGCTCTGGTCCTTTTGCTGATAAATCAAAGCAGTTACTAGGCCAGGAGGGCAGAATCAGTCTTTTCAGCTAGGCGGCCTTCACTTGATGACTCTGTATGAATGACTACTTACCCCACTGGTTTATACCTGCAATTCAGTACCTTGAGAATGAGAACCTGCTTCCTAGGCTTGACACTTCTCACATTTGCCACATCCTATTGCGAAGAACTTGAGCAATGTACACGTGTGGGTTGGGGTTTTTTTCAGAGAAGTCTATATTAGTCTTCAGAGGACAGTCTTTTTTGTAAGCAGCGTTTTAACCTTTTTTAGGAAGAAAGCATCACTTCCTGCAGTGTGCCAAGCGCACCAACCTCTTTCACTATGCTTCCGTAATATTTTGTTCTCTTTAACTCCCCCCCCTTTTTTTAAACAGAAATTGCAGGAAACACCATCTGCGTAGGCTTAGCAAGAGTGGGCGCAGTGGATCAAAAGATTGCTTCCGGTACTCTACAGGAAATGACTACGGTGGCATTAGGCGATCCTCTACACTCTTTGATCATAACTGGAACTTTGCATCCCTTGGAAGTAGACATGCTTAAGCTCTTTGCAGTTGACAAATCCATTTTTGAGCACATGGCTGAATAAATACTTGTTTACACACGTGCTTTGAGCTGAATCTGGTGTCACTAGTTAGCCATACGTTTTGCAAGAGGGGGAAGCCCACCCCGACTGTCCAAGTAGACTGCCGGAAAGTCCTGTTGCCAGTCCCTATGAAGACACCAAACTATTTACCAAGGAATACAACCCACGGAGCAATAATCAAGTCTGGTCGTTTGGCAGGCTGCCTAAATTCGGTATGAAATGCATTATTTTTTTTTTAAAAAAGTTACCTATCAATAAAAAGCCAGTTCGGAATGAAACATGTAAAATATGCTTGCTTTTGTATATTAGAGAAATGTTTCTGCACATCAGTATAAATAGTGTTGGTTGTTCTAGATACAGAGTCAGTCTTCCACTGAAAAATCCAGGCCCATCTGTGCTATGGCTTCTCTCACAAAATGTGTGCTCTCTATAAATTTTAATGGTCATTCTGATCAAAGCAGAATTTTTTTACTTAGGCGCTAAAACCCTCAGTAGCCTTGGAACTGAACGATGCTGAAGCTTTGAGAAATGAAACGCATCATGCGTTTTATCGGCTTACATATGTAACACATTAACAATGGCTTGCATCCAATGTTATCCATATGTGAACAGACTTCTGCTTACACAACAAGACTTGGATTACAGGATATGATAGCCAGAGGGGAGGGGGAAGAGACATGGTCTTATTGCACCAAATAATGTAGCAATTCTTTTGACCATAGCAGTGCATTCATGGTGGTTTAGATTTTGACCTCACCACAGCTGAGATAGACTAAGCTTGGATCCAGTGTTCCTCTTCTGTAAATCTTCCATTGGCCTTCAGTGCAGCAGAGATTTCTCGTCATTGGGGGGGGGGGGGAGATAAAACTATTTTCATTAATCCTCTCTACAGACTCTCAGGCAACCTTCCACACTGTTCTGAAGGACCTCCCAAGTCTCCAGAACAGGTTTACAGGGTAGGGGATTGCCTCTCCTTCTCCTTCAACAAGTGAGAGCTTTGGATGTCACAAGATTTGACTTCCAACTTCTAGTTCTCACATTACAGTGGTACCTCGGGTTACATACGCTTCAGGTTACATACGCTTCAGGTTACAGACTCCGCTAACCCAGAAATAGTGCTTCAGGTTAAGAACTTTGCTTCAGGATGAGAACAGAAATCATGCTCCGGCAGCGTGGCGGCAGCAAGAGGCCCCATAGGCTAAAGTGGTGCTTCAGATTAAGAACAGTTTCAGGTTAAGTACGGATCTCCGGAACAAATTAAGTACTTAACCCGAGGTACCACTGTACATTTGTCCAGGAGATGGTTTGCTTGAGGGCAGCCAGGAATGTGCAAATTACGCACACGCACACACACACCCCAAGGAACGAAACACACAATATTTGAAAAACGTTTGCAAAAGGAAAAAGTTTATTGATAGGAAAATTGATCCCAAATATTGTCTCAAACATATTAGCTGTTTAAATATTCCAGAGACTGTATTCAAGTAGAAAAAAATATGCATGAGAATGTCCAGTATTGCACTTACGGCAAGTCAGACTGGCTACTCGCTTTAGCATTCCCAAACCAAATACAGTATACACAGTCGTCCATTATCTGAAGTCACCTCTTTGAATTCACTGAAACAGTGAAGTCCTTCAATTGCACCGGTACATCATGCATTGAGAAATACAACAGGCTGACTGACACCAGAGCCCCACTTTATGTGCAAGTTAGGAAATGGGGTTTCAGCACTGTTTTCCCATTCTATCTGATCTGAAAGTTACAAATTTGGCAATAAGATCGCTATGCCCATCAGTTCTTTTATGGTATACCCCTGGGACGTGAACTATGTGAGCACTGCTTCTGTTAAACCCTTGCCACAGAAAATTGATCCCAGGCCAAAATTAGAACTGTTCAGGTAATGGGACTGTGAAAATAAATAAAATATTCCATATCCACAATGGCATTTTCAATTCCAACCAAACGCTTGGCGTGAGACTGTGCATTTTCACGAGGCTTGGTGGCAGCATTTAATCAGTCAATGAGACACAATTCTTGGAGGGTATAAAGCAATTATCAGAAGACTGAAGATCAGGTCCGGGTAGGAAACAGCACTTAGAAGGGGCACACACACACAAAATGTTGCAGGAATACAAAAAAATACTTTCGGCAGCAAGAATCAATGCGACACCAATGTAGTAAATGGAACCAGGTTAGCCAAGTTTAAGAACTTGAGCTGAACTGCCATATTTGAATGAAATCGTGCTGCAATCCCCCTCCCCCTCAAAAATGCTCCTTTTATTTGCACTGGCATAACCAACTGCCAATCTCCCATTTCCTCACATCTATTCCAGTATCATTCACCTGCTAAAATGCAGTTAGCATCCATTCTTCAATTTTTAACCCTTTGCACTATTCTAAAGCCCTAGACCACGCGATATTTCATTTACTAATCAGGACTGCCAGTATCTTAATGTAATTGGAAGCTTTCCTTTTTAGAAGCGACCTTTATCCTGTAAAAGCTTCGGGAGTAAGAACACCACGGAGGCAGCTGGCTACCATCTGTACCAACATCTGCCCTATGCAGTGGTTTAATATTGTATAACAAGTTACTCAAAAATTAGACCGATCCTATGACTGCGTAGTGTGCCAACACCCAAGCCTAAAAGTATAAAGGACACTTTTTCTTCACTTCATACAACTTAAGGGCTTGGTTGACAACAAGCTCCCACTAATATAAACCTCCTCCCCTAAACTGAAGACCTTACATTATCATTAGAGGGAAACCTGGACGTTTATTGGGTAAGCACCCCTATTGCACTAGAATCTCACTTTGGCAGTTGTGTAAAAGCTGTGCATTAATTTAACCTCTGCTGCCAAAGTTAGATAAAAGCAAATTTCAAAGCCATGTGTTTGGCAAAGTATGCTTTAACAAGGCTCAGTATTTGTCATTTGGGTGAGAGAAGTTAGAATAAAAAGGACTACATCCGTTGGGGAAAGGCCTGAAGCAAATTAACACCAACTCAAAGGTTGAGCAATTCCTAGGCTCTCAGGTTCAGCCGCAACCAATGATTTAGTGTGTGCTCAGCAGAAGACACAAGCAAAGTTCTGAAATATCGACAATATGCACGGGGAAAAATGGGGGTTCTTTTTTACCTTTAATTAAAAGCCATTTTACTGAAATGGGTTCAGAGCCAATGGCACTTCACAGAGATACGGTACACCGTATCTCTGAAAGGGAAAAAATTGGAATTTGCTATAGCGTGTGGAAAAAGGGCACGTGCATTTTCTACAGCGTATGCACTCACAGGGTAGGTTTCTCACAGTGCACTGCTCACATTATATGGGAATCTTCATGTGTGAAGCAGCCCTGATGCGTCTTGTGGAAAGGAATGGAAGTTACTGAAGAAGTGTATTGGGCCACAACTCATCTTCAGACCTTGAATTAGAGACTGTGTCAGATACTTGCATTTCTAAATTAATAGCAAGCAAAGTAAAAATAAAATCGGCAAGTAATGGAATACACAGGCCGGGTTAAGAGATACATTTTAAAAGGAGATTATTCCCATAAAAACCAGAAGTTCCATGTTACAGTCTTTTTAAATAGAAACTAATTCCGTTTTAGGCATTTCTGATGCCTAACTTCATTAAAAGCTATGAATAAATCTCCCTCCAGCTAAAGCTAAGCCAACTTGGGGGGGGGGGTATCTAACCATCGGTTAGCAGCAACTTTTGTTTTTCTAAATAAACGTCTTGACACACAACTGTTCAAGCAAATGGCCTTTTGAGGGGGACGGAATCAGGTGATTTTCATTCATTTGAACATATGTGCGATCATCTTTGTTGATTAGTAAAAAGGGGTTTGTTTACTACCATACATTCCAATTCCGACCAACTTCAGCTTCAACGTTGGAAACGAGAGATGCATTTGTGAGATCTTTGTTGTTCCGTCATGAAGCGCTCTGACAGTTGCCTAGCAAGCCTTTATACATTACACTAGCACTGCAGGATAAACCCAGGAAATATATTGCCCAAGGTGAAGTTTACAAAGAACCTTCGTTAAGACAAAAAATGAAAAATGATGGCTGTGAAGCAATATTTAGCTGAACCACACAGTTCACTCAGAAGACTCTCCTTCTTAAGGTATTAAGTGCTGAAGAACCTATGGCTCATTTTCAAATCTAATGCAAAAAAACCCTTTCAAAATATGCAATCAGATTCAACAAACCAAATTATATTCCATGATAATGTATACATAATGCATGGGCTTTATTGCATATACTAGTTGAACTGGTGGATTTCTGGCTGAAGAGCTTGTGAATTAATTCTGAACATGGACTGTGAAGCAAAAGTTCAGATCATCTGTTGACTATCATATACAAACCTTCATTCTGCAGTTAAAATAAATCTGCCAGTCAAAGCCTTCAGCATCAGTCAATAAAAGAGGCAACGCATCCTTTGTTTTGAGTGCTTCGTTATTTTCTAATTACCGTTAAGAATGTGAAGGGGCTATCAGCCTAGATTTACGCCCTGGTGGTCAAACGTTTTGTAAACAAACTCTGCGTAATCATTTTATCTTTATATTGTAAAATCGAAGAATCACCTCCTTGGAAGTTTAAAAATGTAACAGAGAGAGAGAATCTAATATCTACCATTATGCAATTACACATAAATCACACCAATCACAAGCAAGAGTCCTATTGGGTACAAGTAGTAGCCATAAAAATTAATAAAAATCCCCGATGTTCAATATCTGTGCTGGCAGATACTTTGACGGAAAAGGCACTCTGAAAACCCAATATGGTTTGGTTCGTTAAGTTTGCAAAGTACAAACAGTCTTACACGTTGTAGAATGTCAACCACTGTGACATTTTAAGAAAAAAATAAAAAATTATTTTCTACCCACCCTCCCTGTAGTTAACACTGGCTTTCTGGGAATAAGCAATAACTTCCAGCAGCTTCACAAAAAGCAAAACCAATGATTGCAATACCACATTATCATTAAGTTTGCTGCAGGAACAAACTTGGCCAGTAAATCCACAAAGGTTTGGAGCTCATGAAAGTCAATCCCAAGTAGTCCAGGGCCACGCAGTTTTTCGGTTTTTCTCTCTTTATCTAGCCCACAAGGCAGCAGAGTCTGTTCAGTTTTGGACAACTGTAGAGAAGACGGGAGCAGGTCTCTGTTCCAAAGGAAGTACAGTGTCTTTTAAATCATGACAGTACTAGAAAGCTTTGGTCCAACGAGACGGTCGAGATATTTGCTACATAGCGGCAAAGTCAATCTGTACATAGAGCTGCCTCACTCCAGCCTGTGAAGATGGAAGAAAAGAAACACATTGGAATACAAATTCTAGGGGATTGTGTGACCCATGTCAAAACCTACCAATCATTAAATGGGAATGGATTCTCTTGTGCATTTATTACATTTTGATCCCTCCTTTCCTCCAAGGAGCTCAAGGTGACAGGTATCATTCTCTTCCTCATTTATCTTCACAAAAGCCCAGGAAAGTAGTTTAGGCTGCAAGGAAGTGACTGGCCCAAGGTCTACCAGTGAGCTTCATGGCTGAATGGGGATTTGAACCCCATTTTCCCAGGTCCCAGTCCAGTGCTCTAACCACTATGCCACACTGGCTATGGTTGTGAAATTGGCTAGCAAAAGCATGTGACGCGTGGCACGTTTAGAGAAGCCCACCAGAAATTAATGCAAAATACACCCTGCACAAATTCCTTTGTTTAGGAAATTTAAACGGAATATCAAATAGCTAGCTGGGTAGCTCAGATCAAATTGTGTGAAAATCTCTCAGAAATGTAAGAAATCAAGATAGCACATTTTTTATAAAAGAATGGAAATGGTTGATTGAATACTTACAAACAAGCTGTAAACAGATAAGAACACTGGCAGGATTATTGTAATAACCTGCAGCTTTATAAGAGTATACATTTAAAGTAGATGAATAAATGATTAAGGTAAGTTAATTTGGAATATGCAGAAAATTTAAGGAACTGCAGAAAGAGGGGGAAGGAAGTTGAATTTTGAAATGTTCAAATGATTGTAAAAATATTGAAATGTATAAAATTGAAAATCATATTTATTTAATTTTAAGTGTGAATATCTCTCTTTCACACACACACACACACACACACACACACACACCACACTGTGCTTGTTTGGTTCTTACCCCCTTAGGCTGCCAGTGACATGCAGAGCTAAGGATCTAGCCAGCTGGCCAGTTCCTGTTCCTTCTGATATTTAAAAAAATGTAGGCTAGCCTGGTTATACATACATACATACATACATACATACATACAAACTACATATGCAACACTAGAATCACAGTGGTGCCCCGCAAGACGAATGCCTCGCAAGACGAAAAACTCGCTAGACGAAAGGGTTTTGCGTTTTTTGAGTCGTTCCGCAAGACGAATTTCCCTATGGGCTTGCTTCGCAAGACGAAACGTCTTGCGAGTTCTTGTGAGTTTGTTTCCTTTTTCTTAAAGCCGCTAAGCCGTTAATAGCCGCTAAGCCAATAATAGCCGCTAAGCCGCTAACAGCCACTAAGCCGCTAATAGCCGTGTTTCACAAGACGAAAAAACCGCAAGACGAAGAGACTCGCGGAACGGATTAATTTCGTCTTGCGAGGCACCACTGTAATCAGAGCAAAAAACGAACATGAATCAGCATTCACAGCAATCACATATTGAAAAGGACAAATCATAGACTGACCACTACAGAACACAAAACGTAATCACCTTGTCCTGTTATTCTTTACTCTTCCTTTCCACAAAAACAGCATTACCTCAGCTGAAAGGAACAGTGCCATTCCTACATTTACACGGCACGCATCAAACATACCTGAGTAAAAATGTTGTGAGTCTGGCTTAGAATCCACTTTGCGTCAGCATCTGGAGCTACAAACAGTTTCAAAGTCCCTATGTAAACATCAGTACAAAGGGTCCAGAAATGAGGGTCGTTTAAACTGTAAACTCCTTGCAACTGCTGAACCTAAAATATATAAAAGGCATTTAGAAATCAATTTTTTAAAAGGAAAACGAGAGAAATTTAGTGGTATACAAAAGAGCCCCATGAATGAACAATGTATGCATATTTCTTTTGTTTAAACTGAGATGCAGCAAATGTACTTATAGACTCATAGATATGTAGAATTGGAGGAGACCTTGAAGATCCTCTAGTCCTGCTCCCCTGGCAATGCAGGAATATGCAGTTGTCCCATATGGGGATGGAATCTGCAACCTTGGCATTATCACCACTAACCAAATGAACCATGGTTGTCTAACTGCATTTATAGCCCACCTTTTTCTCCCAAGAAGCTCCAGGTGATGCACATGGCTCTCCCACTTTTCATTTCATAACCACAACAACCCTGGGAGGTAGGTTAGGCTGAGAGGAAGTAACAGCCCCAGTCACCCAATGAGCTTCATGGTCAGGTGGGGATTTGAACCATGGTGTGGGTTAAACCACAGAGCCTAGGGCTTGCCGATCAAAAGGTTGGCGGTTCAAATCTCCGCGACGGGGTGAGCTCCCGTTGCTCGGTCCCTGCTCCTGCCAACCTAGCAGTTCGAAAGCATGCCAGTGCAAGTAGATAAATAGGTACCACTCCGGCGGGACAGTAAACGGCGTTTCCGTGTGCTGCTCTGGTTCACCAGAAGTGGCTTAGTCATGCTGGCCACATGACCTGGAAGCTGTACGCCGGCTCCCTCGGCCAATAAAGCGAGATGAGCACTGCAACCCCCGAGTCGGCCACGACTGGACCTAATGGTCAGGGGTCCCTTTACCTCTACCTATCCCTAGAACTGTGGTCCTAGTCCGACATTCTACCCAGTACACCACATTTATTACTTTTATTTATAGCATTGGCATCAGACTGTATGGCATCCTATAATAAGAAGGCCAAATTCAAGCCGATTCTCTATTTTACCTTGAAGACTAATAAAGCAATCCCAAACCTAGGTTCCTCTGGGAAGAGAGCCATTTCTTCAACTTCCTTCCCATAAACTGGCTTTCAATCCATGGAGGACAAATGGTCCTTTGTGCCGTTAGAAACATTACTGTTCGCCCAATTCAGTATGACCTTCATATTGAATGCACGCTTGCAATACATTGTGTTTAAAATAATATGCTTGATTTTATCAGGACTGTTTTGGCTAATACACATAATCCCTTGAATTAAACAAAGGACCTCACTGCTTACAGCTTGAAACCTGAGAACATGTGAATTAATTACACAGGCAAGCTTTCTTCTGCTGATTTAAGTGTGCAGAAGGTCATCAGATGTTCAAAGAGGCAAATAAAAATATTTCTAAAACAGACTATAGAGGCCTATGATGCTGTGTTCCAATACCTTCTTGGAATTATTATATTTTACACAGAGTGATATCCAAGAAGTATACAGTTACAATGCAGAACATTGCATTCTCTGCCCCTCTCCACCCCAGAGTATGTTACAGGCTTTTTTAAGCATGTGGGGAAGGTACAAAGAGCAGTTTCCATCATGAAGCACCCAGTGACTCAAGGAAAATACGAGACGCTATGCTCGTAGGATGTCAAGGATGCACCTTCACTGTTCAGCCTTAAATTATGAGCATCAAGAGCATCAAATATCAGCTAGTATCAACCCAATGCAGTACAGAAACTGTACAAAATCAGAAATTTGTTCTATCAGGTAATTAGATTTGTTTCATCATATTACGCTTTTGATCATTCAGGAAGAAGACATGTACAGGGTTTGCTGGAGGACAAGTGTCCTTCAGACGTCCGGCTTCTGCGATTCCTTTGTCCAGGAGCATGTTTAAAACTTATGGAAATATTTCAACTTACTCTTTGATAGCATTGAGGCAGACTGCTTTCCAGGGAAGGTGGAGTTCGCTGCATCAAAATTCCAATGGACTCCCTCAGAAGTGGAACGACACTAGAAAGGTTTACAGAAGTCATCTTAAAACCTACACTTTTTTTCTTTTAACAGAGCATGCAAAACTATTCTTATGCGACACATGAGAAATAAGTACCTCCCAACCCTCAACTCCAAAAAGAGATTTTGGTGGCGGGGGGCGGAGGGGTTTAACCTGCCTTTTCAAGCAGTGCTATAAGGGAATATGACAAGAGACAAGAGGGTTTAAAACAAAAAAAACATGACAAATTGAAACCAGAGCTGTCAACCAACAGAATTTTTTTTCCCAGACCAAAAAAAAGTGAATGAGAGAAAGCCAGGACTTTTGATTTGCTCGAAAGCTTTATTCTCTAAATGCACATGTCTTGCATTAGGAAACCTTTGGGGGACAGCGGTAATTTTGATGAAAATGGCTAAGCCGCTCTTAGCCCACAGAATATAATGGGGCACAAATGTATAAATCTACAATTATAACTGTTGTTGCGTATTCCAACAAGAATACTAGTAGTATTCTACTTGCAGTACAATATTCATATAGGCAGCTGGTTTAAGAATAGGTTGAATAAATTCAACAACCAAATGTATCCCTATCATGTTTTATGATTTTCTTGATATTGTATGTTGGGGCTGGAACTGGTCTGTGACCGAAATAATAAAATTCAATTCAATTCAACAACAACACTACCCATAGCAGTTTTTAGGGCTTCCACCGCATTGTAATCCTTACTGACAGAGACCAACTAGTTGTGAGCTGCAGGAAGTGAAGCCATTTGCTGTGTGTGTGTGTGTGTGTGTGTGTGTGTCTGTAAGACAGCCATTGGAAGGATTCCCACAGATTCCCACAAAGACTGGGCAACACACTCATCATCCTGCAACCCGAGTACGCAGTTCGGATCAAGCTCATTTCAATCTCTGGCCAAAACAGTATGACGACCCACCACAATGACATGTTTTCATGGTCATCGTAACCATGGGAATCGGTTCAGAAGCCAAGCCACGGGCACAATGCACGCAATCAAACGGGCCCTTGTGAAAGAAACATGTCACAGGTCACACACAGTTTTATCAAGAACTGTGCAAAGAAAAGAATGCCCCATTGTTGCCGGGGATTGGATATATAAGCCCCAGGGGGAGAGAAAGACTAGCTGCAGAGTGCTCAAGACGCTACATAAATAATGCCAGAGGCCGAGGGACAGAACGTAAGCGGTTACAGAAAGGCTTCAGCTTGCCCAGAATCAAACAGGAAGCCTCGGGCAGCCAGGGAGATCTCCCAAGTTCCTCGGACAATACTGCTTCAAAGGGGGTGGATGGAGTGTTGGCAAAGCAGGGATCCAAGTAATGACATGCATTGTGCATTTAAAAGTTTGAACTTGCAGAGCTTAAAAATACACTTGCGTCCAGAGATGGTTTGTCAAGAGCAAAGGAAGGCATGCAGTGCAAGCTCATGCTTCTGTGACTCTCTTGCTACTTTCCGTAAAAATCCAGAGTTCAGGAAAATATCGTATCTTTACACTTCTAATAAATAAGCTACTATTTAGCAGACCAACATTATTTCCTTGCGGGGGGCGGGGATCAATGCCAAGTCTATCAGACAACAGCCTGTGGCTCAGGGACTTTCTAGAGAATAACTATGGGGTAAGAAACACCCCAGATACAAGATCTGCGGGATCTTCCTGAAATCTATATGGAAGAAATGATGATTTAAAACACGCACACACATTGTTGATTCTGCAGACCCAAGATCCATTACAACGGTAATTACAATAGCCATAAAAATGTAGAAGAAATGCAAGAGACATTCTTGTCCTTGCGTCTGGCTTGGGGAATGTTTTTCTTATGATCCAAGATAATAAGGGCGGGAGGGAGGCGAGGAGACCGACCATAAAACAAAATTACTAGGGACTGGTTCAACCATAATGAAATGACTTGTCGAAAACAGCCAGCTGTGCACTTCTTGAAAAACCCAAGGATTTGAGCAGAGCTCAAGCTGCAAGCATTTGGAAGCAATTTGAGGCTTCTTCCGCTAACTGCAAAAGCGACAATATCATGGAACGCAGTAAGGTCCCATGGTGAAGGTGCCGGGATAGCCAAAAAGCACAAGTTCCCCTGCTTAGGATTTCTTTGGCTCCAAAGCATAAGTGCCATCTCTTGGGGGCCCCGGAGGGCCCAAGGACATCCATAATCTAGGGCCCCAGTCGGCACCCCTTCTCCAAAATGAAGATGTTACTAGCTGACTGGGGGCATATTATGAATCTTCAGGCACCAACTACATTGTAAACGGGAACATGTGTGTGTCTGTGTGTGTTTTTACACATACTGCACAGCATACCTATGAGAAATAAAGATATCACAATTATCAGCCATTTTGAATACCCTCTAACCTTCAATGGCACAGTCCATATTTAAGTGCTACCCTGCATTTTCTATCTCTCCACCTTTCCAGCAAATACACCGAGCTCATTACATAACAACCAATAACTGTATTCATGGTGACATAATGAGTCTGGACAGAACAAAAACTTAAGGCAGAGATGAAAAAGCTTGCAATAGGTTGCTTCTTCCATATATATATTGGGAAAAGATGGAGGGCACAAGGAGAAAGGGACGACAGAGGACGAGATGGTTGGATAGTGTTCTCGAAGCTACCAGCATGAGTTTGACTAAACTGCGGGAGGCAGTGGAAGACAGAAGTGCCTGGCGTGCTCTGGTCCATGGGGTCACGAAGAGTCGGACACGACTAAACAACTAAACAACAACAACATGTGTGTGTGTGTGTGAGAGAGAGAGAGAGAGACAGAGAGAGAGAGAGAGAGAGAGAGAGAGAGCTGGAATAAAAGAGAGAGAGAGGAATACCTTCCACCCTGTCTGGAACAAAAAAAGAACATTTGAACTTCATTTGAGCACATTAAGTTTGAGGAGTGGCTTGAAAGCTCTTGACTCAAAGTTGAATCCCAATGGCACCTTTCCCAGGCGCTTTGGGTCCTCCACAAACTGCTGCTCACTGGCAGTGTAGCAGAGGAAAATGCAAATGAGCCAAACTTCCAGGCCAACAGCTCCAACGTCTTGGAGCCAGTCCTAAAGTATGTTATATCCACACCTTAAATCAGCCAATTAATGCTATGGAGGAAAAACATTCCTACCATCACTTCCCAGGCTGAAATACAGATCATATTGGAGCCTATTAGACATCCCTAAATCTCATGGTGGGCTCAGGAAATCCTCAGACTCAGGCTTCCCAACCCACAACACACTGCACACTGAACTGTTTAATTTTAGTTTTAAGCCCACTTCAGAACAACTACAACACAACTGTCCTTAAAAAGAAATATTCAAAAGGAGCAATGGGAGGAGAGGAACTATTCCTTTTAGCAAGGTTACGAGATTCTCAATGAAAACTGTGGAATCATCAATTCAAGTAATTTAGGAAAACTCAAAAGAAGTTTTTTGCTAGATGACCTCATAAGCCTTTTTCCAAAGGTCTGTGGCGAAGTGTCGCCGCAGGAGGAGAAACTGATGTCAGTCCATCCTACTGCAAACATTCACACAGCTATTGAGTAATAAATTCCCATCAGAGGCTGTGTGGTTTGAAATTAAAATGTTTGGTATATGTATTAAAACAAACACAGGGAAGAATGTGGACAAAAAGCCAGGCGGATAAACAGCAATAGTCAAATAAAAGCCTAAGAAACATGGCTGGAAAACTGTGGCTCGCGATTCTGAATCAGAAAGCAGCAAAGACCATAATTTGCCAGATCAGATGCAACAGAAAACTATGGTATGGTGGAAAGACGGAAGGGGAGGGGTGAGCACACAAGGGTAAAGTCCTGCATGCAAACCAAGCTAAAATCTTCATGGTGGGTGGGTGGTGGGTGTTGGGGAGAGTATAATGGGCAATATCTAATATTTACCACTGAAGATGAGACTTCCCTCTCCTCCCCGCTGAAGTCTCCACACCTTCCCAACCTATTCCAGAGGGTCCTCCAACACACCAGAGCAGATTTTGGGAGGGGGCTGCAGATGGAAGAGTGGGAAGTCCATTGTTTGGATTTTGGATTTGATATCCCGCCTTTCACTCCCTTTAAGGAGTCTCAAAGCGGCTAACATTCTCCTTTCCCTTCCTCCCCCACAACAAACACTCTGTGAGGTGAGTGGGGCTGAGAGACTTCAAAGAAGTGTGACTGGCCCAAGGTCACCCAGCAGCTGCATGGGGAGGAGCGGAGACTCGAACCTGGTTCCCCAGATTACAAGACTACCACTCTTAACCACTACACCACACTGGCTCTCATTGTGCAAGCTGAACCCCCTTGGATGTCGCCCCCTGGGGGGAGGTTAATGGAGTCTGCAGCCGATACAAATAGGAAAGAAGCACCCAGGAGAGCTCAGCAGAAGCTTTCCCCTTTCTTTTAAGGTATGGACTATTTAAAACTGTCCTGGGTAAGATTTCTACCCAGATTTCTTATGGACTTTCCGGCTGATCAATAGGAAGGGAGTGATAGAAAGAAAACGTGAAAGAGGGGAGAGAAAGGGCAACCTGGAAGAAGGAACAAACAGGTATCAAAAGTCTCAAAATTCAGCAGCATCTGAAAATCTAAGTTGGAAATACTTGACTGACCTATCTATTTTGGGGGACGCGGGATAAGGCACAAGATGTAATTTTCTTTTGCAACTTCAGAGTAGTGCAGTGTTTCGACTACTGAGCTAGCTAGCAAGGGCTGGAAACATTTACATTTGTATCTAAACCATTTCAGAGTCCACTACCTTGTCCAAAAATGTACCATGGAAATTAAACTTGAAATACAGCCACTTTTGTAAATTAAGAATGCGCACCACTATTAAGGTACATCATTCAAAGGCTTTATTTCTTGGCCCACTTAATATGCAGCACATTCATTCTTCCAGCTCAGTATAACGCCTTTGGTGTTTCCGCATCACCATTGTGGCTCAGACAGTGGCTTTCTTGAGAACTCTTGATTAATGTTATTCTGTGTCACACAGCGAATCCTATGTACATAGAAGATTCTAGAGCAGAGCCAACATTCTGACATCTTTGTTGTGTGCTTGGAAGCATATCTATTTTTGTTTGGAAGGAACTACATGCCTGCATAAATCACTGCGGTTCTTGGAAAAGATTAAATTGCAATCTGATAACAAGTTTGGTTGTTTTCTAGGGACAAGCTAAAGGACAAAAATAGTTTCTGTAACTTGTAAACTTTTAGGTAGGATGTTAACGAAAGATCTTTGACAGCCACCCTTAAATTCAACCATTTTCCATTAAACTTTTACAAACAATAACATGCAGCATTTTTCTTTAGTTTTTAAAATATTGGGGCAATAGATCAGGGATCTTGTTTGAGACAGCCAGTTTTCTTTGTAAGCATGCTTATGAAGAAACCCTCAGTTTCCCCTTTTGAGTGAGCTTCATTCAGCTCTGCTCATTTCCCTGACTTACTGTATTTTTTGCTCTATAAGACTCACTTTTTCCCTCCTGAAAAGTAAGGTGAAATGTGTGTGCGTCTTATGGAGCGAATGCAGGCTGCGCAGCTATCCCAGAAGCCAGAACAGCAAGAGGGGGTTGCTGCTTTCACTGCGCAGCGATCCCTCTTGCTCTTCTGGCTTCTGAGATTCAGAATATTTTTTTTCCTGTTTTCCTCCTCCAAAACCAAGGTGCGTCTTGTGGTCTGGTGCGTCTTATAGAGCGAAAAATACGGTATATTACACCAACCAATGAACTCCAGTATGCACAAGTGGGGACGCATGTTCAAGCCCCACACTGGGCAAAAGATTCCTGCATTGCAGGGACCCTCGTGGTCCCTTCCAACTCTACAATTCTATGATTCTGTGATTCTACAGTGAGACATTTACATTAATTTGACTTTAGCAGAGAGCAGGTGGGTGCTGTGGTCTAAACCACTGAGCCTCTTGGGCTTGCCGATCGGAAGGTCGGCGGTTCGAATCCACACGATGGGGTAAGCTCCTGTTGCTCTGTCCTGGCTTCTGCCAACCTAGCAGTTCAAAAGCACACCAGTGCAAGTAGATAAATAGGTGCCACTGCAGCGGGAAGGTAAATGGCGTTTCCATGTGCTCTGGTTTCTGTTACAGGGTCCTGTTGCGCCAGAAGCGGTTTAGTCATGCTGGCCACATGTCTGTGGACAAATACCGGCTCCCTTGGCCTGAAAAGCGAAATGAGCACCGCACCCCATTGCCAAATTTCGACTGGACTTAACCATCCGGGGGTCCTTTACCTTACCTTTACCTTTGCTGAACCTGTAGTAAACTGGAAATGAAGTGCCACATTGGCAAAAAGGAGAGTTGACACTGTTTAATCCCTTTTTCTTTTCTTTTTTGGAGGCAAGTGTAATACTGACTTGATCAGCTCCAATCCCCATTATCAAAATACAGTACATAAAAATGTGGACAGAGACTGCAGTGAAGCTGAAAGCCACTTCACATGTACTTTTCCTTCTTTGTTGCAGTAGAACGCACCCACCAACATCACCAATCTACATGCATGTTCATAGTGTTTGGTAATACTGTTACAAAACCTAACACTAGACATGCCATCAGAGCTCATTCCCCTACTCATTCTCTGCAGGATGTGCCAATATGTGCCATTACTGGCCAGCAATATTCTTCTCCTATCTAGACAAGCCCTACACAGGACTCATGGATCACTCTCTACTAAAGAAAATAAACGGACACCATTCACACATAGAAAGCAGCAACGTTCAGACACAAGTAGGAGAATATTTCCGTCCCCCATGATACTCCACTGTTGACTGGAGAGTCACCATAATCCAACCTAGACTTCAAAGGGAAGATCTGCTGTAGAACTGCTGGACTAGGACTTACTAGACTGGATAGCTTAGTTGGTTAAGGAAAGACGTGTGGATCCAGAATTGGCCTCCACAGTCACTTACGGACTCACTGTTAAGATCCTGTTCATGGAAGACCATCTTACTCGGCTACAAGTGATCGAAGAAGAAGAGGCTGATAATGCCAAAGTTTCAAGCTTGATCCTGCATATTCCTGCACTGCAGCAGGTTGGACTAGATGAACCCAGGGTCCCTTCCAACTCTACGATTCTAATAAACTTCTAATAGTAAATTCAATTCTACTTTATTCAGACTTAATTGGGTCTATGGACTTCTTTCCTACTAAAAGTATTACAACTAGCAGAGGAGGGGGGGGGATACCATTTTCATAGTACAGTGGTACCTCGGGTTACAAACGCTTTCGGTTACAAACACTTTGGGTTACAAACTCCGCTAACTCAGAAATAGTACCTCAGGTTGAGAACTTTGCCCCAGGAAGAGAACAAAAATGGTGCAGCGGCACTGGGAGGCCCCATTAGCTAAAGTGGTACCTCAGGTTGAGAACGGTTTCGGGTTAAGAACGGACCTCCAGAACGAATTAAGTTCATAACCCGAGGTACCACTGTATCTGCAACTGTCGGTATGTCACTGTCTATTATTATCTCACGGCCTTTTGGCCCAAGACTTGACATTTTTCTCACTGGATACTTGCCAATTGGAGATAACTTTTCATGGATATAATGAAGTGGGCTCTAGCCCATACAAAGTGTGCTCTAGGCCCCTGTAATATGAGAATTGTTTTCATTTTATAACAGTAATTAATATCGGAGTGGGACCTGCCATTAGCCTTAGAATACCGAAGACATTGTTAAAGAACCGCACATCAACTGACATGCCTCCGCATACGTACAACCATAATACAGATATTGCCCGCTTGTTGTGCAAAAAGGCCATGTTGCCTCATTTCCATGTTGCATGACACACATCTGGCCTGGAACCAAGGCAATGACACTGCACTATCATAAAACCGGAACTTAGGGTTGATAGCTGGTGCTGGTATCTTTTAAAAGAGCCACAGAAACGTGATTCACAAGTCAACAGAAATAAGTCTGAATTTGCTGCCATCAGCTTTAGACCCACAAGTTTCAAAATGTAAAGAGCTGGGGAGCACCATAAATCAATGAAAGCCAACGCTGTCAACGGGATTCAGATTTAACGCCAAGAACTTAAGGTGAACATTGGGCCTGGATTATTTTGCAGCGGTGCCTCTGATTCAGAAATTGCTTCCAGGTGTTGTCCTGCAGCCAAATTTCACCCTTCTCCTCCACCTCCTATCCATACACCCTTTCCCCAGCAGCTGGCTGCTTGCACTCTCTTGTGCTACCAAGAAACCATCCTTACAGCATGCTCATCTCCCAGAAATTCTCACTTCCAGATCAGAGAGAAACAAAATATTACATGAACTTGATTTAGATGCTAAGGGTGCATAAGCTTGAGCTGCAACTCTGCTTTTCTTCGTTACCCTTGTGGAGTATTAAGGGTTATTCCTAACTAAATACAGTGGTGCCCCGCAAGACGAATGCCTCGCAAGACGGAAAAACCGCTAGACGAAAGGGTTTTCCGTTTTGAAGTTGCTTCGCAGGACGAATTCCCCTATGGGCTTGCTTCGCAAGACGAAAATACCTTGCGAGTCTTGAGATTTTTTTCGCTCCCCCTTTATCTAATCTGCTAAGCCTTTAATAGCCTTTAATAGCCTTTTAGCAGCTAATCCCCTAAGCCTTTAAGCCTTTAATAGCCGCTAAACCGCTAATAGCGCTAATAGCGCTAATCCGTCAATGGGCTTGCTTCGCAAGACGAAAAAACCGCTAGACGAAGACTCTCGCGGAACGGATTAATTTCGTCTTGCGAGGCACCACTGTACAAGTAGAGGCAAGAAGGCAAAAGAACCCACATAGAGAAAATACACATTTTGTGCATCTCAGGTTATCAGTTTCCATCTTTTAGCAAACATGTAGTTTTCATACTGAAAACTATGTATTTCATGTGCAAAAGATTCCCTTTCCCACTTAGAAATGTCTACATACAACAGTTTTTGTATGGTACGGCAATGAATAAAAAATTAAAAACAAGTTCTTGAGCCTGATCTTCAAAAGCTAAAAAATCAGTATAGTCTTCATTTGACAGAATGGAAGACAATTTTGTTCATAACCTCAAACAGGTCTATGCCCGGTTTAAATTTGAAAGAAAGGGTACTAGCTCAAGTATTCTACTATCCACTATTTTGAAATCTCTTCAAGAACACACCATAGTGCTGGTTTTCCAAAGGTAGAAGATGGCATGGTAGAAGATTCCATGCCTCCCCGACAGGAACACTGACAAAATTTGTGGGACAAAGCAAAACCTTCCAAAAAGGCTTAAAGTGAATTTAACACGCTAAGCCTTCATCGCTGACTCAGCCCACAAATGCAGATATAAGACGGGTAAATCAGGGAAACCACACATCTAAGACAATCGCCCCAATATATATATATTTTAAGAAAATTGCTTGCTCCCCTTCTCACATCATGTAGGAGCTTAGTTTTAGTGGGAGCACCCAGCAATCTATACACCACAAAAGTGAAGTACAAATTGTATGACCCAGGCCTACACATATTGGGCTCTATACACAAAGGCCAAAGTTCTCATCTAAAGAAGTCGTTTGAAAGCTCCCTCTACTACCATCTTAAGACAGGAACATTGCAGACAACAGCTTAGACCCGGGACTGCCAACCTATTTTGGTTCATGGGCAGGTCTGCGAACCGGAAAAACTGCCACGACCATCAAGCACAAATTGCAACCTATTCCACTGGTCCAACAGAATGCTTCTTTCAATCCTAATTCCAGCAGGGGGAGAAAACCCCCGTGGTTGCTCTGGAAACCCTCTTTGCGGGCTTATCTGTGCCCGTGGGCATCAGACTGGCAACCGTTGGTTTAGACTCCTATTCTCACTCCGAAAGCTTTAAAAAAAATTACTCCTAACGTGCAACTTAATGAAGAGTTCTGCGTGACTGAAAAGTCTGAATGCCTTGTCAGCTTCTATTTAGAACCATTTCTGAAAGCTATGTTACACAGTGGAACACTTCCCCGGTTCAGAAATCCATTGCTGCGTGGGGTACTTTTTAAATAAGCTTGAGACATTCCACCACAAAAGGCAGCAAGAAGCCTCAGAAGACAACGACGGATATCGAGCAGCTTTTTATGAGAAGTTTGGCAGCTGAGTTTGGGTGAAGACTACACTGCGTGCCAGCCAGCAGGACTCCATTGAATTTGAGGCCATTCTTCTCCATTTAGTAGTACAGTACATTGCTTATATAAACAAAACACAACGGAAAGATGCTTCACAATGGGGGTCAGAAAGGCCATTTTGCAAGCCTAAAATACGCAGAAATTACATGTGCAAGCAAGACTGGCTGCCGACAGGAGAAAGTTTTAGGTGTGGAAATAAATGGCTACACGATGGGGGAAAGGGGGAGAGGAACAAGTAAGCGATAAAGAGAACGGATGCTGCAATTATAGCAATTGACAATCAAGGCTGCAATATTTGCTTTAATTCCAAACCCTAGAAAATGACCACCCATCCCAGCACTTACCTTACTCCTATAAGCATAGCTATCAGCATCGAACAGATAGGATCAGCTATCATTAAACCGTAGTTCTGCATCAGTAACGCAGATATGATTACACCAACACTTCCAAGTGTGTCAGCAACAATATGTAAAAATACACCTACAAACAAACATACGTTAAGATCAAAAAGCATATTAATGTATTTTTTTCAACGTAAATTTCAGTAGGCCTTCAAATAAGTGGCACAGCAGACAATGGATAGCAGACAAACAGTTCCTGTGTAAATATTTACTATGATACTCATAAAACTAAAGGAGATGCCTATTATCACATTACATTTGCAGGAGAAGGAGGAGTTTGGATTTGATATCCCGCTTTATCACTACCCGAAGGAGTCTCAAAGCGGCTAACATTCTCCTTTCCTTTCCTCCCCCACAACAAACACTCTGTGAGGTGAGTGGGGCTGAGAGACTTCAAAGAAGTGTGACTAGCCCAAGGTCACCCAGCAGCTGCATGTGGAGGAGCGGAGACGCCAACCCGGTTCCCCAGATTACGAGTCTACTGCTCTTAACCACTACACCACACTGGCTCTCTACTACACTCTCCTACTGGAGAAATCTACTACAGCAGATCTCAATTCCATTCTGCAAAGGTAGTGTCAGAAGCTGTGAGCCACAAGTGGAATCCATACTGGGGCTTTCCCCAGTTTCTAGAAGATGCAGTGCAGGCTATTTTCACATCACTCAGACAACACAAATAATCCAAGAAGTGGTACCCATGCCAAACATACTATGGAAACAGCTCCTTCATATGATCAGGAACATTTTTACAAGAACATTTTACTAAATATTTACATTATTTGTGGGTCACCCTCTAACAAAAGTCACGTGGGTTACTCACACGATGAAAAAAAACCTATAATAAAATAGGTTCTTTTCTAAAACAAAAACAAAGAACTGTAATACAATAATACACAACAATAAAATAAATCTTCACTACTTGTCTATATACCGGTTTCCCAAATGGTTACACGTCCCTTCATAGTACGCAAAGCATAAGAAAAACCGTTGTCACAAGATCTAACACCCTTTTGAGGGCCTGAACTTTTTGCAGAGCAATCGTTTTTCTCCAAATTAATAAAACACCAAGCATGATTAAAAACCCACCACTGATATATTTTTATTAGCTGAAATGTTTTAATACATTTTTATGAGCTGAACTCGAAGAAAGCTTTGCCAGAAGGAAGTTGTGCAAAAAACAACAACAAAAAAAAACCATTTATGATCCCTTCTGCATTTCAACTGCTGAAAATACTTTTCGTGTGCCAGCAACAAATTCTTTTTCCAAATACACTACTTAAGTTCGTATATAAATATAGGCAAGTTACACAAATCTGAACAAAGCCACTCAAGCCACTCCATTTCAATGATATGTAGAACCTATCCCAAAACTAAGCCTAGGGATCCCTCTGCTGGTAGCCGAGGGCATAATCTCCCATGAAGGATGGAGCAGTTCTAACAGGACTTGAAAAGCTTAATCTGCATGGCATTCTTACTTCATTTTTAAAAAGGCAGCGGCTATCTTTAACCGCTTCTGTCTGTCTGATTTTGGGGGCACATGGATGGAGCTGGAGGGAGCAGAGGGAATCAACAAAGCTTTCCTTTCTCCACATTCTGCTAACAGCTCCCTACACCAGATCAAAGCACATTCCATCAGTGCAAAGTGATGCAACTCACAACAACTGCTCCTTCCTGTTTCCTTCTGAACACAATAGGACATAAGCTAAGTGAATTCTCGAGTATGATGTAGAAAAATAGGGGTGGTTGGCTTTTGCTGCCCAACTCCCCAAGGGGCTGAGTCCCCTAAGTCCAGGATCGGTCAGAAAAGAAATGTGTATCCTCATTATTAGTGAATTTCATCATAAAACATATATATATATATATATATATATATATATATATATATAGTTTTGTTTCTTCCAGATTCGCATTATGCTATTATTGCTTCATTTCCACCGACTCTGTTTTAGCACACTATGTTGATAACTTACCTTCTAAAATCTGTTTGCTGGATCCTGCAGCCAATTCAATGGGATGATTATCTGTAAAACAGCAGGAAGATAAAACGCATTTATCCTCTCAATGTTATGCGAGTTTCTGTTCAGCACTGAAGTTCTCTTTCAGGGATCGTATTATTTGCAGCAACTGCTGATACAGCACCACTTTCTTAATCAAATGGAACTAGAAATCCTTTTTTTAAAAAATTAAAATAAAAACTGAACCTAGAATTTTTTTTAAGTGAAAGTATAGAGGGAGGAGGGAAGTCAATGAATTCTCCAAAATCCAAACTTTCCAAGCGATTTCATGTTAGGTTCTGTTCTGAGGTGACAGGAGAAGAGAAAGATGGAAGAAGCAAATTAAAAACGCAGGCACAAGCCATAGAAAGCTCTGTTGTCTGCCAACTTGGGACATAATGTCACGATTTCCAAACAATGGGTCGTATCTAAGTGCAAATTACTATTAGGCTGAGAATCCAGAAGCAAGTCAAACACGGCCAGAACATGTAAAGTTTAAGGCCTTAAAAACAAACACTTAGAAATCAGACATGAATTATCTCATATTACAGGAGTCCAAATTATTCTGCAGCTAAGCCACTGACGTTTTAATTACCTGTTCAAAAAAAATAAAAATGGGAGGCTGAATACTAGACAATAATTACTCAACATCTACACAGCATGATTTTTTTTTAAAAAGATCCTTTTCAGCAACCTTCCTTCACTGTCAAAAATGCATTCAACAATTATGTTATTAGCCTACGATTTCATCAAGCTCAAGGCAACATACATGGTTGTGTTGCTGTCCCCACTCCAACACATTTTATCCTCACTGCAACCTATGAAGAAGGTGAGAGTGAGAGAGGTCTACTGGCCCATGATCACCCCCTGAAAGTTGGCAAGAAAGTGACTCTGAGTCATTGTCCACCTTCACCTTCAATGCAGTTAAAAGAAAATGTTGCCATGAGCCTTAAAATAGAACTGATGACAGTCCCCATTTAATCTGGATTTGAATCAGTGTTTGTTTGTTCTTCTCAAATGACAGCAAGCAGCTTCAGATACAGATTTGCAAGGATCCATTTGAATAAAAAGATTTATTCTGCATGTAAGTATACGCTTGTGTGCTGTTTATTATTATTATTTATTAATTTGTTAGTCACTTTATTTTGCCCAGAGCAGCCCAAAATGACTTAAAACCAAATGGACAGACAATAAAAACCCTACATATATACGTTAAAACCAAGAGGGAAAAGAAATACATTAAAAACACCCCATCCCCTTCTAAAAGGCAACAGATAATTAAAGGCCAAAGGCCTGGTTATAGAGGAAAGTTTTTGCCTGATGCCTAAAGATATATATATAATGAGTGAGGTGAGTTTCCCCTGGGAGACCACTGTGTGCTATTAAGAGCACACCTATGCACATCTGAGTGGCATACACACGTATTAAATAACATCAAATTTTAAATAAATACATACATATGGCACATAGTTCCTATTCACAGCAATTTCCCTTGGAGCACACACAGCAAGAAACATAATCATGTGCACATATCACAAGCAACATGGGATACTTACAATCTCTTACATATGAAGTCTTCAGAAAATGTGTTAAATGGTCAGAAGGCAACATTCAACTGCTTACATATAAGTCGTACCTTGGTTTTCGAACAGCTTAGTTCTCAAAGGTTTTGGCTCCCGAACGCCACAAACTTAGAAGTGAGTGTTCCGGTTTGTGAACTATTTTTGGAAGCTGAACGTCCGCCGGGTCAAATCTGTGTCCAGGGCAGCTGTTTACCAGCTCCATCTGGTACGTAGGCTGAGACCCTATCTGCCTGCGGACTGCCTCGCCAGAGTGGTGCATGCTCTGGTTATCTCCCGCTTGAACTACTGCATTGCGCTCTACGTGGGGCTACCTTTGAAGGTGACCCAAAAACTACAACTAATCCAGAACGCGGCAGCTAGACTGGTGACTGGGAGCGGCCGCCGAGACCATTTAACACCGGTCTTGAAAAACCTACATTGGCTCCCAGTACGTTTCCGAGCACAATTCAAAGTGTTGGTGCTAACCTTTAAAGCCCCTAAACGGCCTCGGTCCAGTATATCTGAAGGAGCTTCTCCACCCCCATTGTTCTACCTGGACACTGAGGTCCAGCACCGAGGGCCTTCTGGCGGTTCCCTCACTGCAAGAAGCCAAGTTACAGGGAACCAGGCAGAGGGCCTTCTTGGTAGTGGTGCCCTCCCTGTGGAACGCCCTCCCACCAGATGTCAAATAGAACAACAACTACCAGACATCTGCAGCCCTGTTTAGGGAAGCTTTTAATGTTTGATGTATTACAGTATTTTAATATTTTTTGGATATTTTTAATATTAAAATATTACAGTATTTTAATATTTTTTGGAAGCCGCCCAGAGTGGCTGGGGAGGCCCAGTCAGATGGGCAGGGTATAAATAATAAATTATTATTGTATTATTATTATTATTATTCTGTGGCTTCCTACTGCAGCCAATCAGAAGCCACACTTTGGTTTCCGAAGGTTTTGGAAGTCGAAGGGACTTCCGGAACGGATTCCATTGGACTTCCAAGGTACGACTGTACAATCAATGTTATCTTCCTGCCCAGAAAAGTCAAGAATCTTGCAGTGCATCCATGCAAGGGTTCCACAATGAAGACGACACAACATGTGCATGTGTGTCTGTGAGTCTGCTATGTCATATACACTTACCATGGCAGTAATCTTGACTCTGCGAATCCCCATGTCCATGGCTGTGGTCATGAGAATGCCCGTGCCCGTGCTTGGCATCATGGCTGTGCCCGTGTCCCCCATGACTGTGCCCATGGCTTAGAGCCCCGTTAAACAGGGAGTGGCTATGTTCATGCCCTGCAAAAAGAAATTTGTTGGAGTGACTTCGAACGCTTCTGTGTATTGTCACAACTAATACTAACTTCTCAGGGTTACCCCTGTAAAGTCATTCCTGTGTGATGAGGAAGGGGCAGCCTTCTTAGGTTTAAGAAATGTCTTTGTAGGTAGCTGCAATTGTTAAGTCTGAAAACAATGAAGCAATAATAGCGTCTTTCAATTGTTCAATAAACAAGATGGAAATGGCCAAAGACGTTTCGGTGCTTGAGGCAGAAAATCCATATGGTTGCCAATCCATCTAGAAAACTTGTTGCCCCAAAATCTACCTATTAAAACTGAAAATATTTGATACCCCAAAATCTTCCACTGAAGCAGCCTGCCTCGCCCTGAAACAGCACCCTTAATTAGTGCATCTAATGAAAAGCAATCTTAACTGATTGGTTATATGTGTTTAAATTAACTTATAAAATAGCTTTGCAGGAAAAAAAGTATAGTATTTCTTCTCAGTTGATGCATGTATGAATCACAGAAGAGGTTTTGCGCTTTTTTTGTCCCCGGAGGGGATACCTCTACCAAGAGGACTTATATTTCAGTCAATTAATTGATCAAAAATATTGTGATCAACTAAAAATGTGCCCTTGCTCAATCTAGCCAATTGACTAAGGCCCAGTTTCAGACACTGCCCCTGTGGCAGTTAATTTCCTGGGGTAAAAATCCCCCCAAAACCTCAACAACTTCAATCCTAAAAAAAAGCTCAAAAATTTTGGCTTTAAAATCATAAAAAAGGTTAACAACTTCAATGCTAAAAAAAAGGTTAACAAATCTGGCCCTCTTTGAAAAAAGTTTGGACACCACTGGCACAGGCCAATAAACCAATTCAGACATCAAAGGGAACTGTGCACTAAAGCCAGGATTGCAAGGGCTCCTAAGCACACAGCTCTATCTCAGGCTGATAAACCATGGCTTGAGAGAGTCGTGCCTGAACCTGACCCAAAGCATAGCTCTATTCTACACTAGTTCAGAACAAAGCCATAGCTAAAGTTCATATTTCTACACAATAGTAGTTTCATCACAAGCTATCGCCTATATAAGCACTACAGTTCCCCCATGCATGATATTTCCCATCATTTGCATATTTCCAGATCGCAGCTTATATGCTCCTTGCTAAATTTAAAGCAATACTATGTGCCGCATATTAAAAATTCATTTCACATATTAAATATAGACAGCAGTGAAAGCCAGTGAGTTGTACTAGCATACTATATAGGACTTACTGAGTTGGCCAATAAAAACAACAAAGCAGGTTCTGGTTCTTAAAATGTCAGAATAGATGTCTAAGAACATGCTAGTTTGGGAGCAGAAGAGGTTTGCACCACTACAAATTCTAGCCCACTCATTTTTTAGAGCGGTGTTTTGCTGATGCCAAGGAGGCAAGGCCTTCTAGTGGCTCTCTAAGCTATGGAACAACTCTTCCTTTCTCCTGAAAAGTCCAGTGGACATCAAAGGTATTCCAAGGCTTTTACGGTGCTGGTGAAGGGTGACCAGTGGTTGCTGATATTGCAGCATGAGAGGCACAACACAGCTGTATAATGAATGCACAAGACATCTCACTGGGACTTTGCTGTACGACAGAACATAGTACTGAGCCATCTAGTGAAACTGGAGACAAAATGATAGATTAAAGGCCGCTCCAGATTGGTGTTTTGTTGGAAGTGCATTCTGTAGCAAGTCCATGTTGCAATAATAGTGCGCTGGTGGCAGATTTATACTGGACCGTCCACAAATCATTACATTACTATAGGGCAGCAAAAATGGGACATTCCCACCTCCTCCCCCCCCCAAAAAAACCAACTTCAGAACATTTGAGGTATAAAAAGTTACAGGATTTAAGCAGGACGTTTTAGTACATCCACTGAGTAGAAATTAAAAAGTATGTTCAACCCAAAGCTTTTGCAGGCACAAACAAAATTGAAAGTGGGGTCGTGTCTGACTGCCCCAATAACATCATGAGCACAAATCATCATGAATGTATAATAAAAGGGATGCCTGGAGAGGCCCATAAGATTCTTGTTTGAGCATCTTACCAGAACCATGAGAGTGGCCGTGTCCTCCGTGTTGGAACACAAAAATTCCTATCAGGTTTACAAGGAAGCCGAGTATAGAAACTGGAAGAAGTCTTTCATGATGCACGTCAGGAGGTTCAAGGGCTCTCTGCAACAGGGAAGCAGAAGGTTTGAGTGCAAGTCATTTACAACATCCACTTATAGAACATTCTCAGGGTATCCTACATATCAGTGCTTTGTGAAGCATAGTCTGCATCCACACATAAGGAGAGCCTGCTGAATCAGTCCAGCATCCTGTTCTCACAGTGGCCAACCAGATCCCTGTGGGAAACCCACAAACAGGATCCGAGCACAAAAGGACTCTCCTCTCCGGTGGTTTCCAGCAACTGGTATTTTGGAGGCAGAGCCGAGCCATCACAGCTAGATCCCTTCCACCAAAGAGCACTCAATCAAGTTGAACCATGGCTTGTTTTAATCCCCCAGGGATGCTGCACACATTACAAAAAACCCAGAGCCTGGTTTCTCAGGTGAACTCTAGCCATGGTTTGTTTCAAACCAACTACAAGCACTAAACCAGAAATAGGTCAAGAGCAAGTCTTGGCTTATTCCTGGCATAGCACTTATCTAGTTTGTTTGGGGGGGGAAGACTGAAGAATCAAGTCAGCAGATGAAGCTGCCATTCTCTTCCCCGGGATACATGAATGTTTAGTATGGATGCAAGCTGCTTGGAATATCTTGCTTGTGTAATTCTTTCTGGGGACTGCACCACTATTTGGTCTTTCTGAGAGTAGAAGTGTTGGCTGCCCAAAGCCTAGCCCTCTGATAGGGAAGCATGCTGTGGTTTGTGCCTGCTATTTAATGATAATGGGGCTAAAACTGGGCTGTCTCAAATCTTGTGAAAAGGTGGTTTGGGGATGCATTTCCGCATTTGGAGGCACCATTGCACATATTTCTTTGCTCTGGGAGCACTGGTACTATTGACTTTAATGCCACTAAGTTCAGGCTTACAGTGTCATGCAAACCAGGTCTCTGTGACACCAACTTCCAAGTAAATAACCACAGGACTGAACTGCACAAATCAGTTTATTTATCAGGAATGATTTATAGCCATCTTCATAACATACCTCGACACCTTCAGAGAAAATGAAGAAGGCTGTGAAGATCAGAAACAGACCGTTGACAAAGCCAGCTAGTACCTCTGCTCGAACATACCTAGAAAGATTTTTTACAAAGATCTTAGTAGCACTCTGCATTAGCCCAAATTCCACAACTATTGAAGTCTTAGGTTTTTTCCCATAGCTGAAAAACCCAGTAACAAATGGTGGCCGAATAATCTGAATAAAGTGATATTTTTAAAAAGAATAACTAAAGCAAGAATTGAAGCTAGCACCGTGTACTATTTGCTCCTAGAATGCAAATAAGGTATACAGACTCCACACCAGAACTGTATCATCACAAAAGTCCCTACAATAATTTTTCAAAATGAGAAGCACTGACCCACTGAATGAGAAACAGAGCCTTGAACGCTGCTTTCATACCAGCTGGCACCATTTATTGAGTGAGAAGTTCCAAAAGCGCTGCTGCTCACCTGATCTACAGGCACAACTCTCACCAGGTAGTGGAAGATTTGCTCCAGAGTGGGTGCAGTCCCCCATTTTCTGCAGCGAGGCAATGTTCAGCTTGCTTCATGCCAGCAAGCACCACTTTGCATGAACCCACACAGAAAGCAGCCCTTAGCCAGGTCAAAAGCAGCACACCAGGCCCTGCTTCTCATTTGGCAGATGCTGCTCCCGGCAGCGTATGAAAGTTCATTTTTCCTTTCTTACTGAGGCCAAAACCAGATATGCCATGTGTTTGCTAAAAATGTATTTGCCAGTTTAACTTGAATGTGTGTCAACTTTATCGTAAGACTGAGTGCATGGAGGATAGCAGTAAAGCCAACTTACCTTCTCATGATCTGCTGCCTGAAGAGTTGCCTTTTCCCCACCCCACAAATCTGCTCACTTTCATTATCAGAGCTGAGTTAGGAGGAGGAAATTAAACTACAGGGGGGCACCGTTGGTGTGGGTTTTGCTGTAGGCCTCTGCATGCTTGACTGAGCAATAGAAGTGGACCCCACATGAACATTACAGTAGTACCTTGGGTTACATACACTTCAGGTTACAGACTCCGCTAACCCAGAAATATTACCTCAGGTTAAGAACTTTGCTTCAGGATGAGAACAAAAATCGTGCTCCGGTGGCGCAGCAGCAGCAGAAGGCCCCATTAGCTAAAGTGGTGCTTTAGGTTAAGAACAGTTTCAGGTTAAGAACGGACCTCCAGAATGAATTAAGTACTTAACCCGAGGTACCACTGTATAGCCAAATTGACATGTGTGTTTATCAAAGATGTGAGCATCTGTTTTGGTCCTCAGAAGGGTTTGTGCCAAGGTTAGGGAAGCCGAAAAGATGATATTGAGCCCTATGTGGCCTGCCAGACAGCTACTGATACAAATCAATTAGTTACCATGAGCCAGCAAACATGATGCACATGTGCGAAGCATGAAACTGAAGAGGTCCTTCAGGCAGCATGACACAAAGGTCTCATGGGCGCATAATGCAAAGCCATAGTTAGAAAGATTAGGTGGTGCACAAAGACCAAGCACTCTGACCTCACTCTTCCCTTCACCAAGCACAGAAAGGAGGCTTCGGTCTTAGCATTGCATCCAAGCCAGCACTTTCCCAAACAAACCACAATCAGGAACCCACAGAAAGCCCCGGGAGCAACACAGCACCAGTCAGATTTTCAAGGCAACTTGTATCCATACTAAACATTCATTGTGTTCCCTAAGCAGAGAGAGCTTCGGATTTCTGGAAGCTTGCACATGTCCCAGAGAGTGGGAAAGTGTACCCGAACCAACAGCTAAACAGCCTGACATTAATTTGAGTCATATTTTCATTAACATTAAAGGCGAAAAGTTCTCAAGTGTCTGAGACCAAAAAGGTAGTGTACATGAGACAAATTACAATAGAAATATTTACAGCCTAATTCCACCAGCCCACTTCAGTACAATTGCTAAACGCAACACTGCCCTGTTTAATTTGATTAGAGTATGCTGACATTCTGTCATCTATTACCATCAGGCATTAGAGGCAATATATAGGTTTCTTAGGACATCTATGTTTTCTCTACTTACCCATAAGAAAAGGCATCATTTGATCTCCACTTCGAAATTACTGATGCTGCCAGTCCAGCTAACAGAGCAGTGCAGTCAAAGAACATGTGAAAAGAATCTGATATTAGACCTAAACTGGAAAAGCAAAGAAAACATTTGGTTAGGTACCAGAAGATATAGCACATTTGAATGCTTCAAGGTCAGTTTCATTAGCAACTCCACTGTGCGCAAGGACTGCTCAAAAGCCAGCGTTCCTTTGGAATTTTTACTTAAAATATTGTTTTCTTGCTAATACACATTTACACGGTATCTAGTTCATTCAAAAACTCTATCCCATCAGAACCTATTAAGAAGTGAGACTAATTAATAGATCTTATGCACAAAGCATTGGGAAAATTCAGTACAATGAACTACAAGATGATTAATTTGTTAGCCAGAGGAAGGAATTAAGTGTACTGTGACCAAAAGTAAAATCCTGGATAAAATATTTGTAGTCTATCCTAGATAAGACATTCTGATGAAATCAGAGAGTGTAACATAGCCACCAACACTTTGCCCACAATAGAGGCAAGGCAATAGCATCACCTAGCCATTCCTGAACACCTGGAGGAGTTCAAAAACGTATGTGTTCACTGATTCATGGCAAATTATTTCCTGATCAAGCACATTTAATGGCAAGTCTTCAGCAGGTGGTAAAAGGCAGGATTAATTTGAAATTCCAATCAGGATTGTTAATGAGAGCTTTACAGTCACTTGTTATTACAATCCACTGGTGAGAAATTGCCTAGCCCATCTACATAGCTATAATGATACTGGGTTATAGTAATGCCAAAATATGTTCAAAATTACCTGCAACTGGTTTTTTTTATTAAAAAAAAACCAGAACCAGTGAAATAAATTTTACCTTTGATGTAGTTAAAAATAAATCCTACACTGAATCTTTTTTAAGAGGACTGGTTCACACAGTCCAACGAGGTAAATACTGTTTGTTCCTGGGGATCCAGTCATACAGACTGTAATATATGATCTGGTAGATCTTCAGATATAGCTTCCCTATGCTAATATCCACAACTGTCACTGCCTGGAAAAGCTTCATTTTTCTAGCAGTTCAACAAGTCCCTGTTGACTAGTTTGCTTCAACACCAAAAACAAGCAGGCTCAAAAGAATTAGCAAGTTCAGCTCCAAAGAAATGGTTATTTTCTTTATTATTAATCTGCATGTTGAAACAACCATATTCTCTGATTTATCAGTGAAGGTAGGTTTGGATCAGCCTAAGAAATAAATACAAAAGGGAACCAACTCCATAAAAATTGTTACTAGCCTACCCAGGAATGTAAGCCTGTGTCTCACACAGCATCTGAAGCAATTTGGCAAGTAAAAACTATTACTCACCCCAGGAAAATAATTACTCCTATGGTAGTTTATCCTAAATTTGGAAGCATAGCTTTCAAAACAGGCCTGCCTGGAGTGAGTCGTTTTATTAAGTGATGTTAACCTTCCTCTAACTTAAGATGTATTTATATCAGCATTACTCCGTAAAAGTCTGAAGTACATAGCATTCATCAGCTGTTCAGAAACACTAGCATTCTTATGAAGCTCCCAAACATTTTAGATCATTCTCAGAGGACCTTCCCCTGCCTTGTGTAGGGAGGCAGCAAGTGACCAGGGAAATGTCTTTTCTGCCATTGTACCCTGCTTGTGAAATGCTCTCCCCAGGCAGGCTTGCCTGATGCACACTCTGATTCTTTTTAACACTGTGTGAGTAAGACCATCTTACTTGCCCAGGCCTTTAAGTACCAACATTAGATCTTTTAACTGCTTTGAGTTTTACTTGGTTTTAAATATTTCCGATACAGTCATACCTTGTTACGTTCGGTTCAGGTTACGTCTTTTCAGGTTGTGTCCGGCGGCGACCCAGAAGTACCGGAAAGGGTTACTTCTGGGTTTCGCCACTCGCGCATGCACAGAAGCAGCAAATCGCAACTCGCGCGTGCGCAGACACGGGTTGTGTTCCTTTCAGGTTGTGAACAGGGCTCCGGAACGGATCCCGTTCGCAACCAGAGGTACCACTGTACTGGTATCTTATGTGGTATGTTTATTTGAATCGTAGGCACTCTCTGAAAGTCTCTGGACTAAAGAGCAGAAAATAAAGACTGTCATAAAAACAAATTCATTCCCAGTAGCTCATAAAATACTTTAGTTCTGAAATTGTGTGTTTCTATTTAAATTGTCAGAATGAGCTTTCCACTAATCATAACCATAATTTAGATTTAACCCACCTCATCTCTCCTAGTATTCACAGAAGACCGACCCACTAGAAGCAATATTTAAATATTCATTATGAATATACCGTTTGCTACAAAAATAGACGGGGCTCTTCAAGACACAGTAATGCAAAAATTTCACAAGAGCAGCTTCTAACAGTGTTGGGGCCTGACAGATACCAAGCTTTTGAGTATAAAAGATACCAAGAAGTCAGAGACAATATGTATACAAAGATAGCCTGTCATACCACAAGGTGCTAGGATGCATAGGAACCCTAATAAAATTGCATCATGGGGACTATTAAGGCATCTAATGACTGCTGGTCATAGATGAAAGCCATTCCTGAAGAAAGGGTCAGTGGAGAGCAGCTGGGTTGAGCTCTGCTGACTAAAGGTGCCCTAAACGCCTTCAAGCAGCAGCACCCAAAACCCACTTCCCCAGTTTGTGCTCCAGATGGCAGGGATCAACGAACAGCTCCTAGGGTAATCCCCACCCACTTACACAACTTCAAAGTTTGCAGTTAGGCATTTAGCTCATCATGCCTGCTAGAGGACACTGCCCTGCTCATCACAGTGGAATAAATGTTGAAGTCTGCTTCAGGGTTCAGACCCATCACAGGAACCAATAGCTGTCTAGCAGTAAGGTGCAAGTATCTCATGCATATTGGGATGCAGGTGGCACTGTGGTCTAAACCACAGAGCCTAGGACTTGCCGATCAGAAGGTCAGCGGTTTGAATCCCCACGACGGGGTGAGCTCCTGTTGTTCGGTCCCTGCTCCTGCCAACCTAGCACGTCAAAGTGCAAGTTACCTTCTGGCAGGAAGGTAAATGGTGTTTCTGTGCGCTGCTCTGGTTCGCCAGAAGCAGCTTAGTCATGATGGCCATATGACCCGGAAGCTGTCTGCGAACGAATGCCAGCTCCCTTTGCAAAGTAAAGATAGATGAGCGCCACAACCCCAGAGTCTTCAGTGACTGGACTTAACGGTTAGAGGTCCCTTTACCTTTATCTCATGCATACGTGGTTTATATATTGATTTTAAGTCACAACAATTTATTTTCTGACTTAAGAATGCCAAAGCCTTCCTTCTAGAATCTTATGGCGAGCTATATTGTTGCAACAGATACATGGTCAAATATTTCTCAGAGCTCTCTGTACTGAAAGGTGTCCATGCTGTCAAAAGCCGGCATGGTTCTGTAGCCTAACTGCTGTTCGTAACATCAGACTCTGAACTGCAAATACCTTTGCCACCAATACATTTCTAAAGGGCACCAACATGAAGAGAACCCATGCTACTCATGCATATAAACCTTTAAAAAGCAGCCCAAACAAATAAATATTGAATAAGTTGTATCGATACTTCGTTCTCTCTCTACAGTACTGGTTAAATGCAGGAAATTCTTTCAAAGGCTTTTCGTTTGCCCGTTCCCCAGTTGCCCATAGCACTAACACCTCCTCCTACATACATGTGTTTCTTAACACGTATATAGCAGTATGTGCAAAGTATGATATTTGTATTTATTCTGCAATATATTGACAGGTTTGGAAGCTGCCATAACTTCCCAAATTAACTGTCAGGGGTTTCCTATAGTGCTCTCTCTGTCTACAGAAGGGGAAAGCCATGTGTGAACCAGCTCTTAGTATAGTGTACTTGATTTGCTTTGGGGAGGTACTGGCATCATCCATTTGGTCACTACAGTGGTACCTCTGGTTACATACTTAATTCGTTCCAGAGATCCGTTCCTAACCTGAAACTGTTCTTAACCTGAAGCGCCACTTTAGCTAATGGGGCCTCCCACTGCTGCCGCGCCACCGGAGCACGATTTCTGTTCTCATCCTGAAGCAAAGTTCTTAACCTGAGGTAATATTTCTGGGTTAGCGGAGTCTGTAACCTGAAGCGTATGTTACCTGACGTGTATGTAATCCGAGGTACAGGATACAAGGACACAGCTTCATAAGAAATAAGGGATTGATTATATGGCTTCCACAAGAGAATACAAGTGCCATAAACTATCAACAACTTTCCCAAATTTTGCCGGAGAAAAATAAAGGCCTAGATATCAATCAAGAACCACTACGGCATCATTACAGCTGCAGAAGTTACGCCTTCATGAGCTAAAGGAACAGCATGCTGACATTTTGCCTCTGGCAACTTCTAATCTACAGGACCTGACCAGTTAAGGTTTCCTTATCCTGCAGCATTTTCTCCCTGATCTTACTATAGCAACAGTTCTACACAGGGTACACTGCATAACTCCTCAGGAGTACCAAATCTAGCAGATCATGTACTCAGAGGCAACGGTTATGCAAGCAGTCGCTCCAACAAAAACCTTCAAGCCAGCCAAAAAGGGATAAGGGCTCCAAAACATTTCTTTCCCCACCCCTAGTACAGTCACCTCCTCTTCTTGAAACCCTCCCTGCCTTCTTTTCTTCCTGAAGTTTAAAACCTGCTCTTAAAACAACGTGTACCAAAAAGACCGCTTCCCATAAAACAAACATTGGCAGCTCAGCCGGTAACTGAAATGATTCCAGCGAGGAGGAATGAATGAGATAGTCCAACACACACCCTCTTTTCCCAGGGCCAATGACACTCTCGGCCATCATCACAAACCCGGCGCTGGTGCTTCCTCAGCACCAGCCAGAGGGAGACGTGGCAGCAGTAGCAGCGGAGCTGAACAGGCACCGCCTCTCCCGCATCCTCCCTCCCTTCCCGGTACCTGTTGCTCCAGATGCCATACAGCAGCTCCACGAAGGCAAAGGAGAGGTTGAGGCAGAGGAAAAAGAAGAGATTTCTTGACGTCTTGTCCGACAGGATCGACCTAAAGGGCGGGCAGGAAACAGGGCGCACTTAGAGGAGGAGGAGGAGAGCATGTGGGTGAAAAAGAGAGTTAGCCAAGAAGCGATGCTGGCCGGGGTCTTGCCTCTCTCAAGGGAAGAAGAGAAGCTGGTACTCTGGGACAGCTCAGTCCCTAGAGCAGGAGACTCTTAAGCTCAGGGTCCTGGGTTCGAGAGTCCCACTTTGGGCAAAATAGTCATGCATTGCAGGGGTTGGACTAGATGGCCCTGGGGGTGCCTTCCAACTGTGGTCACCCCCCACCCACGTCCGTACCAGACTGGCTGGCTGGGAGCCCCCCCCCCCCCAGCGTCAGTTACAAGCCCCCCCTGCACCTGTATCTCCACCTCCCGACCCCCCCCAAGGGGACAAGAAGGCCTGCCAAAGCAAAGCCTCCTCCTCCTCCCACAGCGCAAAGCCTCGCTCCTTCCCCGAGGCAGCCTCCATGCCGCCAAGCCCTCATGCTGGGCTCGCCTCCGACCGCGTTCCCACGCACACGCGTGTGGAGGCGCGTCGGGCTGCTTCTTCCCCCGGCCTCGCGCTCCTCACCTGAACCAGCCCGAGAGCTTTCGGAGCAGGTTGAGCCTGGGCGGCTTGTACTCGTCGTCCTTGATGGACAAAGGCAGCATCTTCCAGGGTGGCGGGCCGCGCGCGGGCCGGGCGGAGGGGGAGCGGGACCCGAGGCCTGGCCTGGCTCGGCGAAGCGGGGCTGGGCGGGCGGGCGGGCTTGGCTTGGCTGGCTGGCTGGCAGGCGCCCCCCTCCCGGCCCCTTCGCGCTCGCTTCTCTGCCAGGTGAGCCCAGCAGCCGGCCCCTTCCGCCAAGGGAGACTTCCGGCACAACCGGACCGAGGCGCCGCTACGGAGCCTGCGCGGTAGGAGCGGAGGCCGAGTTGCGTCACGTGGGGCGGAGAGCGGGAGCAGAGGGGGCGGGGCTTCTCGCTCTGTGGGAGAGGCTGGCTGGAGTTTAGTCAGGGCCTGGAAATAATAATAATAACAACAATAACAACAATAAGTTCTCCAACCTGCCCCAAACTCATAACCATTATTATTATTATTATTATTATAACACTGTGTTCCATTGTTTTGCCTGCTTCTTTACAAGAGACCTTTCCACTATTAGTATTACTATTAGTATTAGTTCCTGGCCGTGAATAATAATAATAATAATTATTAATTAGATTTATATACTGCCCTTGCCTGAGCATCAGAAGGAAGTTTACAGTAAAAAAACAACAACCACAAAAATACATAAATGAAGCAATGACCCTCCAACACACAGCTTTAAAGAAGGCCACAGACTGCTTAGTTAGACCAAGGTCTGGGTGAAGAGGAATTGTTGTTGTTGATATTATTATTATTATTATTATTATTATTATTATTATTATTATTTTATTACTTGTACCCCCACCCATCTGACTGCCACTCTGGGCAGCTTCCAACAGAATACAAAACAGCACACAATACATCTTTAGCCCTGTATGCCCCCATCACAGAGGAGTCAACTCCTAGTGGTCTTCAGCCCCCCAATAAAATATTTGAATGGGACAGCCAACCCCCCAAAAAGTTGAGGGGTATTGCCATTCAAATGGTGTTTGTGTTTGCACCACGTCATGTGAGCGATTCATAATGATGATGATGATGTCTTTAGCCTATACAGTATGGTTTAAGTTACACATATATGTATATAATGTGAGCATAGGACTGCACTGACACCCCAACTGATCTTGCTCCCCCTTTCTGATACCAGGGGAGTCCCAAAGTCCAGCACAGAACTAAATGTGTCTCTCTGGCCTCAGCTTTGCAGCATCTCTCCTCTTTCTCCAGCCCACCTAGTTGCTTCTTAGGCAGCTAATTGCAACCCACCTCACCTCTGCAAAGTGAAGCAGAGCACTAAAAGGTAAAGGACCCCTGGATGGTTAAGTCCAGTCAAAGGCCACTATGGGGTTGCGGCGCTCATCTCGCTTCCAGGCCGAGGGAGCCGGTGTTTGTCCACAGACAGCTTTCCGGGTCATGTGGCCGGCATGAAAAAACTGCTTCTGGTGCAATGGAACACTATGACGGAAACCAGAGCGCACAGAAACGCCATTTACCTTTCCACTGTAGCAGTACCCATTTATCTACTTGAACTGGTGTGCTTTCAAATTGCTAGGTTGGCAGGAGCTGGGACAGCTATATGAATAGTTCCTTCAGCAGTTCAAAAAATGGGGGACAGGCATCTCTTCCCTCTGCCCCAACTCGCATACATGGAATCCTAAACTGGGAGCCAGTATTTTGGCGCCTTAAAGGGTCACCGTGCAAATCCGGCAGGATCACAGCCTAGCAAATCACTAAGAGTTTCTTTTGACCTCTCATTGTAGAAGTAGGAAGGGAACCCCGAGGTCATCTAATCCAACCCCTGGCAATGCACTAAGAAGCTCTTGGTGAATTGCTAGGCTGCAATCTCAAACAGATCATACATGACAGATGGCCACCCAACTTCAAAATCGAGTGTTTATTTTTTAAAAATAAAATCTAACGCCACTCTTTCCAACCCCCATAGCCATTAGCGATTCTAAAAGCGCGCTGCCCTTAATAACATCCGGAATGCATCAGAGACAGCTGAAATGGAAAATCGCAACAAATAACCGAGAGGCGAAGATACAGTTCTGAAGATCCCGCTCTCCAAGAGGCGGGATCTTCTTCCAACAGGAAGCACAACGCACCCAAAAGGGAAGAGATCGCGGGTCTTGGTCCAGCCCCTTTCGCCTTCCTCTCGCGCTGCGATGGATGTTTGCGATCGCAGCTGATTCACCGGGAGAGCGGCTCAAGATCCGCGGGGCTGCGCGTGCCCTCGCTTCCTCGGGAGCCAGCCGCCCGGAATCTCTGTTGTCCCGACGATGTGAAATCCCGGCTTGGCTCCCGTCGATTGCAGGTTAGGCAACCGTGTGAAGCCGCCAACACGCGAACGAGGCCGTCGGCGGCGGCGGCTGCAGAATGTCCTAACCGGGGTCGGGGGCTGGGATTGATGCGGGAGAGAAGCAGCGTTTCATGTTCAGACCGTGGAAGGAAGAGACCGAAAGATCTTCTGCATCAAATGCAATGCCTCTTCCTAGCGGCTTATTTTGTGTTTGTGTGCGCTTGGCGGTGTTTGTTTATTGGCTAAGCGGGCGGGTAGATCTGGAGACGATTTTTATTTATTTAAATTTTTTACAAGGCAAGGAAATGGGCTGATGGCCTGCATATTGCACGTGGTGCTGCTTTGAACAGCTCCTAGGATCAGGCAGCGGGTCCCTTTATTGGCAGGGAGCCAAGCCGCACCACCATTGCCTGCGGGATCCATGCTCTTTCATTACTCCGCACCCCCCGCCCTTGCAACTATTGCTTTGCTTAAGGTTTTGTAACAGTAGAAAGGGGGTTGGTGGTTCCCCCCACCCCAAAGTGTGCATGCCCCCCCCTTTGAATGCTGTTTTGCCTGCAGCCCAGCAAAACCCGTTTGCAATTTTGCATCTGCAAGCAGCCCCTTGGGATCTCAGATTTAGAAGCCCAAATCTTGTAGCAGGGGATTGCTCAGCGCTGTGTCCCGCTGTGTGCGCTTGGGCTTCAGCCACAATCATATTTGGATAGCCTGAACCCGTCTGTGCGCATTTGGGAACAAGCCCCGTTCAGATCAGCGGGGCCTCGTTCCCAAAGCGTGCAGGGTTCCAGGCTGCAAGTTGGAAATAGCGCTGCGTTTTAGTCACAATGGACCTCCGGGTATAGGGCAGTATATAAATTCAATAAATAAAAATAAATAAATGATTGCAAGCAGACTTCTGTGGAAGCGAGCTCCGCGCAGGTCAGGGAACAAGCTGCTCAGTAGAGCTTGCCTAAGATCATACCGAAAAGGTTGTCCAAAACAAGGGATGGATCTGAATTCTACACTGCTCTAGTAGTAGTGCATACCTGTGTGCGATTGCCGCTCATATTTAGCCCCCCTGAAAATGAGACTACGGTTATCTCAAAGGTATAGTGTACTCCGTGCTTTTTTTTCAGAGCGTGCTCAAAGGTATACAGTACAGTGTACCTCGGGGTAAGAACTTAATTCGTTCCGGAGGTCCGTTCTTAACCTGAAACTGTTCTTAACCTGAAGTACCACTTTAGCTAATGGGGCCTCCCGCTGCCACCGCGCTGCCAGAGCACGATTTCTGCTCTCATCCTGAAGCAAAGTTCTTAACCCGAGGTACTATTTCTGGGTTAGCGGAGTCTGTAACCTGAAGCGTCTGTAACACGAAGCGCCTGTAACCCAAGGTACATCTTTTTTTGTGGGGGTTGTTAAATAGTGTGGCTGTAAGTACATCACAAGCTAGAATTACCATGTTTTCTGTGCATGAGCAAAGTGCTAGTGCAAACTGCCTGATAGTTCTCACTTTGATGCTTTCCTAGCGCAAGTAGGAGAAATAGGTGCAGAAAGCTGCTGTTAAGCTTGGCAACTTGTTTATGTCTGAACCTGGGACTGTGGTTTGTATTGCTCGGTCCCTGTTCCTGCCAACCTAGCAGTTTGAAAGCACGTCAAAGTGCAAGTAGGTAAATAGGTACCGCTCTGGCGGGAAGGTAAACGGCATTTCTGTGCGCTGCTCTGGTTCGCCAGAAGCAGCTTAGTCATGCTGGCCACATGACCCAGAAGCTGTACTCCGGCTCCCTCGGCCAGTAAAGCGAGATGAGCGCCGCAACCCCAGAGTCAGTCACAACTGGACCTAATGGTCAGGGGTCCCTTTACCTTTACCTTTACCAAGGCAGCACAGATGACTAGCCTTCAAATCTTGTTTGTTGTCGGCTGACGAATCCTGGCTTATTCCGGAGCAGCAAACTGCAGATCCAGGTTCAGATGTGACGGGAAGCCAGGGTTAACTGTTTCCCCCCACCCATGTTGGGGAAGAGCTACTAGGAGCGGTTAGTTAGCGTCGGCATTTGAAATTCACCAGGCCCATTTTGCCTCTGCCTATTGGCCACTTGCAACCAAGTAAAGATGCCCGGGTGCCAAGATGGCGCCAGATATCTCCACCATCTGGAGGTGCAGGCCTGGGGGGTCCTTGGATTTTGCCTGTTTTCACACACTAGCAACGCATCCTGTAGAAATCTTTGTCATGTTTTACCTATGCAATCAGAACAGGAACCAAAAAGTCGTATTGAAAAATACGACTTTCGAGCCGTCTGGCCCCAAAATAACAACTGGACATACCTTTTTGGTGACTGTAACCCTGGTTTAAGAAGCCATTTGGCACCTAGTTTATATATCTGCCTTTCTAACCCTGGTTAGCACGCACCAGCCCGTTGCACGTGAAGAATAATCCACAATAAGACAGCAACCCTGGTTTAACATGACCTATGAACGTTGACCATTATTTTTTCACTTGGGATTGCATTATAGCTAGAAGTGTGATCCTCAACATAGTTGGCTGTAACTGTATATTTACAGTGCAGCCTTATAATACCTACTTAGAAATAACTCCCACTGAGATCTGTGGGACTGACTCCTGGTAAATGTGTAAAATTGCAGCCTTAGCTGCACAATGTGTGGGACTTACTTATAAATGATAGCAGGGCTGCATACATTAGGTGGAAATAATAAGAGGTTTTTATAGCTTGAAGATACAAGTCATTTTCTCTCCGCAATCAAAGAGAAATAGGACAGCTAACCACACAGTACACACATTAGCAAATTTGTCGCCCACATGTTTCCCTGCTGGATGATTTCACAGAAGCCCACCTTCAAGAATGTATTATTGTGAATTATTTCATTTTCCAACAGAGCTAAAGGCTTTCCAAAACACCGTTCCCTGGCACACCAACTAATAACTGTAAAGCTGCCAGTGCAGGAATGAGGTGAGTTCTTGCAACAAATTTATTCCTCTTTTGAAATACTTTACGTAAGTGCTTTTTTGAAATTAAATTATTGCCTGTGTTTCTAACTCCTGGAAGAAGGGAGAAAAATGCTGCTATAAACGTTAGGAAGTGATTATAGGAAATGTTGCTGCTGTGCTACTGAATCGTAGTTTGCCTCCTGGTACCCTTCTTATGTGCCTCAATATCAGATCTGTACTCATATGTGATCATTTTTTATGTAAAGAAAGGGAATCTGTGTTCCTAAACACACTGCTGCCTTGCAAAGCATAGTTTCATTTTGTGTATAAGATGTTGTCACTGATGGCCTGATCCTATAAACCGCTAAATAGCTAAAATCGCAGCAACAAAAACCCACACCGAAACCCCATTGTGAGCACACCAGTGGTGTGTACTGTGAATTAGTTGTTTGTTGCTGGGGTGTATAGGAATAGGAGCAGAGATCGGTTAAATCTTAATGGACACTATCACTAATAATTCCAAAATCCACAGTTGGGTGATACCTTTACTAGGACTAAGCACACTATCACAAGAATGTATCAGAACTATTTAACTGGCAAGATGTCACACAAAGCAGCAGGCGACCAGGGAACGGGGAAAATGAAGACATTTTAAAAAATACAAAAATTAGACTGATGTAGTATCCGTAAGGTCAGCTGAATGCCAAGATGGAGGTTGTGGGTTGAAATAGCCCCTCCCAGGTGCTACAGATTTCAGGTTCCTGAAATTCCTAGGATTCTGAATGAAGAAGCAATGGCTCTGAGAAGTTTAAGTCCAGCTTGCAACTCAGTTCAGTCCCAAACCTTAAACAACTATGGGAGCTAATAAGTCAGTGATGGGAGCATCACATATAGGGCTTTCAGAAGTTCCATCTTTATTGAGTTGTTGTTCGTCTGGCTTCCACAGCATGACTTTGCTTCATATTAGCTCTGGGAGCCTTCCATCTTAACATTCACAGAAACCAAAGGTTGCTTGCGTTCTCGCTGAGATACGAGGGATTGTGGTTAATTGTGGTACCCAGTAGCTCCCTCAAAGGGGACGTCCATACTGGTTCCAGGAGACCCTCTCTGCTCCACAAAGTGCCTGGTTCATCTTCTATGGACTCGGTCTCTAGGCCCAGCTCAGGGCTAGGCTTAACAGAGTATTGCTTAGCATATATCCTTGATGTGGCCAGGTACTGCTCTGACGATACAAATGAAACAGTTGGCTCATTCCGCTGCTCTTCTCCCAGGTGACATTTGTTCACGTAGGCATTTTGTCCAAGTGTATATGTTTCCATATGCCTATTGCTTCTTTTTGAATTGCCTTGTGTCTTCATCAATGAGCCTTTGAAGTTTCAATTCCCGCATCTGAATTGGATTGTTCTGCTTTTATTGGATTGGAACTGTTACGTTTGCCTAAAAGCACAGATCAATGATGCCCTAGTGGCATAATAATAATAATAATAATAATAATAATAATAATAATAATAATTTTTATTTATACCCCGCCCTCCCCAGCCAAGGCTTACAAGCAATAATAAAAACAAGTTGAATGATTACAACTTAGAAACAAAATTAAAATACAACATTAAAATATTGAAACATTAAAATATTAAAATGTAGCCTCATTGCAGGAGGAGAAGGAAAAGAAAAAAGAAAGAGAGGGAGGCAATGAAATTGGCTCCAAGCCAAAGGCCAGGCGGAACAACTCTGTCTTACAGGCCTTGCGGAAAGAAATCAGATCCTGCAGGGCCCTGGTCTCATGAGGCAGAGCGTTCCACCAGGCTGGAGCCAGTGTTGAAAAGGCCCTGGCTCTGGTTGAAGTCAGTCTAACTTCCTTAGGGCCCGGGACCACTAGGGTGTTGCTATTTATGGACCTTGAGGCTCTCCGTGGGGCATATCAGGAGAGGCAGTCCCGTAGGTACGAGGGTCCTAGGCCGTGAAGGGCTTTAAAGGTCAAAAGCAGCACCTTAAACCCTATATACAAAGGGTTCGTGTATATAGGAATGGAGAAGGAATCCATTTTACACGGAGTTTGGTGGCTCTCCAACCTTACTGTTTGTTACATCACAAAACCTCTTGTATTGAGTGCCTGCTTATGTCTGAGCTTGGGGGAAAAACAAAACATTGTAAACATTCAGAGAGATTGCTATGCGATTTAAGACCCATAGCAAATTCTCCACTAACTTGTCAAAATCCACCTGACTTTACTAACCCTTCAATTTTAATTTTGTATTCTGCGAGGTTTGACCATGACTGACTGACTCCCCTCCTTCCTCACTTTTTTTTTTTTAAAATAAAGGTTTTATCACACCTGTAAACTACCTGGAAGAATTATGGGGGTCCGGCTACTTCACTTCTCTTCTGTTGTGATCCTGCTGTTGCTCCTTGTGGCAGGTGCGTTAACTGCTTTGCTGCCAAATATTAAGGAAGACAAAATGCTCAATTTGCGGAGGGAAAGAAAATCACAGAGCCAGATCGCCTCGGATTCCTTTACTCTCATTATGCAGACGTACAATCGAACCGACCTTCTGCTGAAGCTTTTGAATCATTACCAAGCTATCCCTCATTTGCACAAAGTGATTGTTGTGTGGAATAACATTGGAGAGAAAGCCCCTGAGGAAATTTGGAACTCCCTGGGACCGCACCCCATCCCAGTTATCTTCAAGACACAGACAGTAAATCGCATGAGGAACAGGCTTCAAGTTTTCCCCGAGCTGGAAACAAAAGGTAATTATTGGTGTGTTTCTCTTCTCCCCCACCCCAGCAACTATTACTGCTTTACACCATCATTCTCATTTGAGGGGACGGGGGTTACAGCTAAGTGCTATTTCTCACCATGCATCTTCATCACTTGGTGGCTACAGCATCAAGCGATAACTTCCGTGGGTGAATGCACAATCACGAATCAGATTCTGTAAACAGAATTTTCATACATCACCTAAAACTACGGATGTCGCAGATCTACAAAATTACTCGTCTAACTGTATTAACTTGTCCAGCTTGCCATTATGAAGTAAGCTGGGACACGGTTGGTCTAAACCATCAAGCCTCTTGGGTTTGCCAACCGTAAGGTTGGCAGTTCGAATCCTCCTTTTTGACACAGGGCTAGGTGCCAGAACCTCTGTGGTTATGTAGGGTGGAGTTCGACGTTGCACTAAAACCAATGCTGCCATCAGCGTGAGTGGAACAACCTCCCTTTTCTTCCCCCATGTGCTGTTTTGGAGATTCTCCCTATCCCCCGAAGTTTTTTTGAGCGGGGCATGGGAAAGGTGGGGAGGTAAACCCCATTGTGCTAATGGCAGGGGAACAACTTAGTGGAATCCAACTCCTAGTTTCTAGGGCATTTCCCTAGTGCCTAGGACCATGCAGCTGTAGCGTTCCAGGTACCACGTAGGATTGAAGGCCTCTTGAAGAAGACTCCAGTGAGATTGCCCCCTTATTGCTAATGTTTGAAGAAGCGTTCAATCCACTGATGTCCTCGGTGGAGAGACCAGGCAACTTGTTCTGGATTTTGGAATCTGCCTCGGAAAGAAAAAAAAGCAAGCAACCCTATTTCCTGGAATTTTTGCTGAGCCAAATTCCAGTTCAAGCCATGGAGTGTTTTTCCACCTTTGCCTAAAACGCAGGTGCTGTTGTTCTTTTTTTCAACAGAGCAGCTTGCACATTCAGTTGTGCGTCAGCAATGGATGAGAACTCAAGCGCTGTACGAGCACTTGTGAACCAGCCCTGGAAGGTCAACATTCCTAAGCCTAAGAGCTCTTACGTTGTTGTTGTTTTATGTGACAGAGAGACACCATCAATTCTTCCTCCGCAGCACCCTCACAGTTCCTGCACTGACCTATCCTGACTCCCTCTCCCCAGCTCCAGTCTTCTGCTTTTCACTCACTCCTTAACAGCAGTTGCTAACATGCTTCTTCTAACACAGCGTTTCCCAAATTTGGGTCTCCAGCTGTTCTTGGACTACAGTTACCATCATCCCTGACCACTGGTCCTGCTAGCTAGGGATGATGGGAGGTGTAGTCCCAAGGATGTGTGCATATAGAACTGCCCCCTATTGTATAATAGCATGCAAGGGGCTGTTTCACCATCTTCTGCTCACCTTCAGGAAGCACCAGCAAACTCCACATCTCATTTTGGGCACCCTGGGATTTTTCACTTTTTGTTCACGTCACTCAAAGTACAAGATCCTGAGCCTTGAAAACGTTCCCTAGATTGTGGTTCATCTCTCACCCTGAAAAGCAAGCAAAGTTTTCTGTGTCCCCCCCCCCCCCCAGCAAGTGTAATCACAGTGACTATTGTTCTAATTTGTCATACGCCTTTTGCTTAGTAATGCCTTTTTAAATGTGTGTTCTCATCAAAATGCATTTTCCCTCTGTTCAGCTGTTTTGATGATGGATGATGATACCCTAGTTAGCGCCCATGACCTAGTTTTCGCTTTCTCCATTTGGCAGGTAATGTCTGCATTTTGCTTTGCATGCCTTGTTTTTAATTGTACTGAATTATTATAATGTTTTTTGGTATTTCTCTAAGGGTGCGTATTTACCTAGGAGTAAGCACCAAGGAATGTAGAAAGACATAGTTCAGAAAGAAAAAGATTTGTGTTTTCACATGTTCCTAAAAGCGGTGATCCCCAGAGACTGTTAATTTCATTTGTCTACCGCTTTATATTTCTAAGAAAAAAATCTCAAAAAGTAGTTTACAACTAACATTAAAACATCAAATAAAACAAACTTAGAATAAAACATTACAGGAGAAAGTCAACTATAAAGTATACATTCAAAGCAGGAATAATTAGCAGGAAACTAAAATACTGTCTTTAAAGATTTTGAAATAGAGCATTACAAAGAAGGTCAACTACAGAATGCACATTTAACGCAGCAAAGATAACCAAAAAAAATCTTCAAAAGAAAATGTTACTAAAGGAAGTCAAATATGCACATTTAAAACAGCATAATTATCAAGAGACTAAAAATATTACTTTAAGCAAATGGATTGCAAGTCTGTCAAATGGGGGCTGAAGACAGTGGATTAGGTTGAGCTTTGTAGATCAGCATCTTAGAGAGAGAGAGAGAGAGAGTGAGAGTGTGTGTGTGTGTGTGTGTGAGAGAGAGAGAGAGAGAGAGAGAGAGATGGGCTTACCAACTGACCACTGCCTCCAGCAAGGCCTCTATTACATCAAATGCAAGCCATTACTGTAGTGATAAAAATGATATAGGGCACCTGCAGACTTTTTATTGAGCACTTATCATGCTTTGTGTCCATGATGCTATTGGAGAGGTCACACATGATCCTGCTTTCACTGTTTGCACCTACAATTGGAGTTTCAGGGTGGTCACACTGACTTCATTTCCAGTTAGTGCACATCCAGTAACTTGCTTTTGAGATTCCTGACATTTGATATAGTTTTATTTGTTCAAGTGTATTTTTGCAGGGGCGACACTAGGCTTCATTTCACCCAGGCCAAAGACTCAGTTTGGCAGCTCCCCATGCACATTTGTGTACACACAGAGAGAGAGAGAGAGAGAGAGAGAGAGAAGGGGAGCTTCAATGGCGTCCTTCTAGAGGTTTCACCTGGGACAAAAAACCCAGCTAGCCCTCCCCCCCTTGGCTACGGCTCTGAATTTTGCCTGCTTTTGTTGCTCTGTATCCCTTCTGGATACAGGGACGTTGGTAGCGCTGTGGGTTAAACCACAGAGCCTAGGGCCTGCCGATCAGAAGGTCGGCGGTTCGAATCCCCGCAACGGGGTGAGCTCCCGTTGCTCGGTCCCTGCTCCTGCCAATCTAGCAGTTTGAAAGCATATAAAAAAATACAAGTAGATAAATAGGTACCACTCCGGCAGGAAGGTAAACAGCGTTTCCATGCGCTGCTCTGGTTCGCAAGAAGCGGCTTAGTCATGCTGGCCACGTAACCTGGAAGCTGTACGCCGACTCCCTCGGCCAATAAAGCAAGATGAGCGGCGCAACCCCAGAGTCGGCCACAACTGGACCTAATGGTCAGGGGTTCCTTTACCTTTTATCCCCTCTGGACAATGGGAAAACATCTCGGAACAAACTGAAGCAGAAAAATTCCACCACTATAGCACTACCATTGTGTCAAGAACACCAGCCAGGAAGAACCGTAAATGTTCTTTAGTATCTGCCCATTTGATGGGCTTGTGAATTGTACCCACTAGGAAGTCTAATCAGATGGCGATGTGTTAACAATTCCCTTTGATTCAGCGCATGAAAGCATGCAGTTTATTGTCAATTCTTCTGCTTAGTCTCTTCCCAATTGATTATAGGATCCTCTGTGATCATTCAGAACGAGGCTCTGAATGAACCGTCGTATAATAATATTTTCTTTTTCTTTCCAGCAATTCCCAGATCAGATAGTGGGTTTTGTTCCTCGAAAGCACTTGCCCAGCTCTTCGGGGATATACAGTTACGGAAGCTTCGAACTGCAGAGTCCTGGCAATGGCAACGGAGACCAGTATTCCATGATTCTCGTAGGAGCTGCCTTCTTCAGCAGTGAATACCTCGAACTCTTTCAAAAGCAGCCTGAAGCTGTGCACGCCATGATAGACGAGACTCAGAACTGTGATGATATTGCCATGAATTTCTTAGTGGCCAAACATACTGGGAAGCCCCCGGGCATGTTTGTGAAGCCAGTCGACATCAGGAATTTGGAGAAAGAGAGTAACAGCGGCTATTCTGGAATGTGGCATCGGGCAGAGCACTTACTCCAGAGGTCCTACTGCCTCAATAAATTGGTTAGTATCTATGGCAACATGCCCTTGAAATACTCCAACATCATGATTTCTCAGTTTGGCTTTCCAAACTATGCTAATCACAAGAGCAAAATGTAAGGACGCGATGCAAGGAAATGCTTGACGTGCTTCCCAGCGATTCAAACGGTAAGCTAAACAGAGAAGGGCGTACCTTATTCGGAGCTTGTGTCTGCAAAAGGTCTGGTAGAGGTCTGGTAGAGCATTCCTTCTCTCTGCTCAGCATGCAAAAACCTTCAGTTGGAATAGAAACAGCAAATAGTCTTGTGGCTCCTTAACAACTCACAAATTTATTGCGGCCTAAGCTTTTGTGGACCGCTGTCCACCTCATCTGTCCTATCAAGTGCTGTCCCGAGTTACAGGTATATATATATCTTCAGTTGGCTTTGTCATTTATCCCTCGCTCAGTAGCCGGTCGCCAAACTACCCGCATGAAGATACGAGTATGCCAGAAGTACAGGTGTGTTTGCGTGATCAGTGTCGCTAATACATCTCCTCTAGCAGAAGTTGAAAGTCCGCAGGAAAATGTATTACTTGCCAACCTCACCACATAGATATGTGTCAGCATTTGTGACCTGAAAGAAGGAACCAATTTTCATAAAGTTTCCCCAGCAGTCCTTAATCATCAGGGGCTAGCAGGCCAGTGGCTATTTGCAAGTCTCTGTGTGACGCTTCATTTGCAGACCATACTCCAGTGTTGCTTGTAAGAATATAAGAAGTGTCCTCTTGCATCAGGCCAGAGGCCCATCTAGTCCAGCACCCTGTTCTCACAGTGTCTCACCAGATGCCTATTCAAAATCCACAAGCAGGACAGGAGCACAACAACACCCTTATGCTCCCAAGCAACTGGTATCCATAGACATACCACTTCTGATGCTGGAGTCAGAACATAGCCATTACAACTACTGGTCATTGATAGACAAATTCATTGAAGATTGGGCTAACCCCCTTTTGAACCCTTCCAAATTGGCCGCTATAACTACATCTTGTGGAAGTGATTTCCATATTTTTAACCACCTGTTGTGCAAGGAAGTCCTTCCATTTGCCTGTCTTGAACAGTAGTGTAGCAGCAAATTCAGAAGTCCTTTCATGATAGTCGCAGCCAATTGTGAACAAGGTTCTGGAATTATACTGTCATCTTATTATGATACAATAAATAACAATTAGGGATGCAGTACAACGATCTGTGCAGATCTCTCTGTGCTGCTCTTCAGCTAGGCCTATTAGGTTCTATGCACATACATGGGCAAATGATTTGCCGTGCTGCAATATCTTATTTTGGAGGGACTTGGTTTGTGTTTTTCTTGAAGTTCCATTGTACATATCGGAACACGAGCACCATAACCTTGAAACTGAAGCACCTTTTGTTTTCAGTGTTCCTAAATGCTTAGCTTTGGAGCATACAGAACAATATGGTGTTCTCGCACACCTTCTCAGGAATAGGGCTAGGCATATATCGTCCAAAACCAGTTTGAGGTCCGTATCATGGTATCGGTTTCATAATTTTTGACCTGGCATTATATCACGAATCATGGTGTGTGTGTGTGCACGCTATGCAAAATGTAGGAAAAACCATGAAGCCAGCCAATGCCTCTGCATAGCTCCATCCTTATTTCAGACATGATGATGATGACATTAAGATACATCAGTAGATCACGATGTTTAGTCGGTGATATATCATGATGTTGAAAACCAGATATCGCCCAGCCCTACTCAAGAGAGACCCTAATAGCCAATCCTCAGTGGATGACTCTCCTCCTCTCTGTGCTGATTGGAGCCAATCAAAGGATGAGAAGACTTCTTCTCAGTGGCTAAAAAGCAGCCCTTTCATGCTGATTGGGCACCTCTAGGATGCTGGAGACAAGATACCCTATTGGGGCCCAATAGGGCTTTGACCCCAGACCACTACACTTCTGGTCCTGTATCTTCCAACATTCCTCTTCATTGGATAGCCCTGAAGTTCTAGTATTATGACAGGAAAAAGGGAGGGGGGACTTATCCCTCTTCACTTTTTCCACACACAAACTCACTTTTCTAAACCACAATACATTTCTCCTCCAAAATAAAATAAATAAATAGTAGGTCCAACTCTTCAAAGCCAATCCGCACATTGCTTCGCTTGTGAGGTCTTTCTCCTCTGCTCCCTTGAATGTATTTGCTTTAGCAACACCTGTTTGCACTTTGAGATCACTTTGCTGTACTTCTCAAGCCAAGGGCTGCAGGGAATTGTTTGCTGAGTTTTCAGATTCTGGCATAACTAGAGGAACATCTCCAGGCTCGTACAAGTTGTGCTTTGCTTGCTGTACTTAAATCTGAAATGTTCCCGTGTCTCCCAGCGCAAGTGAGAGATGAGGACCAAAATGCAGTTTCAAGTTTGGGTCTCTTCCAAAAATCCCGTGAAGGCCAGCTAGGTGGGAATCTTTGCAGGGAAATCGGAGAGCAAGACGGGGAGAAGTCAGCACAACAGAGAGACGTAACGAAAGCAGGAGAGGAAGTATTTCTGGGTCACTGTCTTCTCCTCTTCTGTCACTTTGTGTTCAGTTACATACATGCCACTGGAGCCGTGGCTTGGAAGCCAGGGTGTCCCTATGTGCACAGCCATGGGTGGTGGTTTATTTTCTTTGTTAACAGCGCCAACACTCCACAGACATACGAGCTACATTTTTAACCTCCACGATGTTTAAACACACATTTACTGTTCAGAACAGATGTGCTGCACTTAAAAATGGGGGGACATCCAGTTGTAGACATGAAGATCTCTTGACTTGATCAGCGGGGTCAAGTGTGCATAAGCCTGTTGAATTGCAGCCCACATCCACAGTGTATATCAGCTACAATGGTGGCCCTCCTGCAACTTGCAAAAATCTAAACCTTGCCTACATACACCGCCAGACCCACTGCAAAAACAGCAACTTGCATTAAGCATCTGATAGGTTACACCCAACCTGTAGAGCAATTGCATTTCTTTGTGCAGTGCCACAAGTGTGTATTCAGTGCCATGCAGATGTCTGAAATTAGCCGATTGCTTCCGTCAGGAATTGCAAAACAAAACCTGTCGCCTGGCTCTGGAATTAGAGCTGTGCTGCCCTGTATATTAAGGTGCCATATTTTCTACTTCCATTCATCCAAATAAGCTTACTTTAGGTCAAAGTGTTGCGTTTTTGTTTCTGTACTCCGTTCAAAAAATGAGCCAGTAATGTACCGGGTGTTGAAAATATTTCTATTAGCGAACACAGTGGCAGCTAGTTGCAGATGTGGCTGTCTAGTTTGATTGTATTTGATGAAAACTCTCTTTTTCTCTTCCCCATCCCTCAAGTTTTCTGTGTTTTGCTCTTTTATATTCACATGCTGTTGGGTTGTGTGTGTTTTGTTTTGTTTCGTTTGTTCTTTATTTTCTAACCCAAAAAAAGTAAATAAAGATGTGTAATGATGGGAGTGTCATGTGGTTATTGGGCAAAAGAAACTTGGATGGAAAGCAGGCTGACTCTTCTGCACTTGTTTACCCAAGAAGCCTACTGAATTAAAGGGAGCTTAAGGTAAAGGTAAAGGTACCCCTGACCATTAGGTCCAGTCTTGACTGACTCTGGGGTTGCGGCGCTCATCTTGCTTTATTGGCCAAGGGAGCCGGTGTGCAGCTTCCAGGTCATGTGGCCAGCATGACTAAGCCACTTCTGGCGAACCAGAGCAGCGCACGGAAATGCTGTTTACCTTCGCACTGGAGCGGTACCTATTTATCTACTTGCACTTTGATGTGCTTTCGAACTGCTAGGTTGGCAGGAGCAGGGACCGAGCAACGGGAGCTCACCCCGTCGCGGGGATTCAAACCGCCGACCTTCTGATCAGCAAGTCCTAGGCTCTGTGGTTTAACCCACAGCGCCACCCGGGTCCCTTACAAGGAGGGCTTACTTCCAAGTAAATGTGCATAGGGTTGCAGCTGTGCAACCTGATCGGAAATCAGTGAACCCTAGTTTTGAAAGATTGTGCAAGATAACTTAAAAGTAAAGTGCAATCGTTCTCGAGTATGTATAGCACTGTACACCCCCATGCTTATTCCAACATTCCCACCATTGGGATGCTAATTTACACACACACACACACACATCACTTCAAACATATGGGAAGGCAAGATAGACTATTCATAAATGAAAACAATTGGTCCAGGGCCATACACAGCTACATAGACACGTGGACTGATCTCACCTTAGCTGGCAGATATGTTATGTTCAATCAAGGCTTAGCTCCAAACCTGTGAGATGAGATGCATTGATGAACTGGCCAAGATATTTCCTGACAAGGACAATCTGACATTCACTGCTTGGATTTTTCCAGAGATCGTTAAAAAGCTGTTTCATCCCCAGGAGACACTTAATGCAGCCAGATTCATTGGATAGCCTTCCAAAACAGAATACTGTAGTGAGCTCCCATGCATATTTCAGGTAGAGTTCACCCTTTCAGCTCTTGCCACGGTTTTCTGGTACCTTCTACAATATGCCTGCATTAGTACTGTCGTCAGCGGCTCTTGCAGAGCAGCAAGAGGCACTCTCTTAAAATAGTGGATTTCCTTTACCACTGAACAACCACAGCTAGGGAAGTATAGTTTGAATGTGAGTTATGGACGTGGAAAATCCCAGTTAAAAGGCCAGACCCGCTATGACGTTCAGCAGATAGCTTTGATGGGTTGTGCGCTCTGACGAATCTGCTTTACAACATTATAAGGCTGCAGTCCTATACCCATATTGAGGAGTAAGCCCCCCACCCCCAAACTCAATCGGACTTACTTTTGAGTAGGCATGTATAGGATTACATTGTAAGCCACTGGTTTAAACTCTGCAGAGGAAGGAAGTATGCAAATTCAAATAAACAAAGGACGCATTTGCACAATACATTTAAAGCACTATCATGCCACTTTAAACAAGCATGGCTTTTCCCAAAGAATCCTGGGAGTTCTAGTTTGTTAAAGGTGCTGAGAGTTGTTAGGAGACGCCCATTCCCTCGCAAAGCTGAAGTTTCTAGAGTGGTTTGACAATCAACCCCTCCCAAGAAATCTGGAAATTGTAGCTTTAGGAGGGGAATAGGGTTCACCTAACAACACTTTGCACCCTTAACAAACTACAACTCCCAGGATACATTGGGGAAAGTCAGGCCTATTTAAAGCGGTATGATTTCTGCTTTATATGCATACTGTAGATGGGGTTATAAGGAATCCTTTTTACCTATAATTAAAGAGCAGAGCTTGTTTGCCTTACTTATAAGGATGGAACTTGGATGCTTGATCCTCAGCTGCAATCTTTTACACCAATTAAATGACACACACAGCGGATTAAGTTGTTGAGACTGAGCATTTCTTGAGCTCAGTGAATGAGTTGGGCATAATCCCAAAGGCGGGAACAGGAGAATGTGGCATAGCCTCTTTCATAAGTCCAGGGAAATGTTTTCCTGTGTAATCCCGTTGACCCATATTTAGGTATGAAAATAATGGAGGTAGAATGATTTCCTGTGGCCCACTACTTAAACAGCTGTCGCTATTTTTGACCTGCCAGAAAACAAGTTCCTGGTTCTTCATCTGATATGACGACTCCTTTGCTGAATTTTTTCCGTTTGACCAGCAGATGTCGTGCTTAGGAGTTTTTATACTAAATGTCACCAACACTACAGAGGGCTTAGCTGAAGTGTGAGAAGATATATGCATAGTTGTAGGATTATGCTGCAAATGCTATGTGTTGGTCAGTGTGCACTGATCTACACACACAAAACAAATTCACACACAGGCGTCTTCCACAAGGGCCGACACCAATGCCACTCAGCGAATGCAGCTTTCTCCCAATTGAAGTGCAGAGTGAGGACAAGGACGTTCGCATGGAAACCAAAATGCTTGTTTACAAAGCTATTGTACTACCAACCTTACTGTATGCTTGTGAAACATGTACCACTTATAAATGCCATTTCCAATTCCTCGAAAGATTCCATCAACGGTGTCTCCGAAAAATTTTACACGTCACTTGGGAAGATAGGTGAACTAACACCGGTGTACTCTGAAAGAAGCAAAGATCACCAGTGTCAAAGCAATGATTCTTAAACATCAACTTCACTGGACTGGTCATGATGCCTGATTAGTGTCTGCCAAAGCGACTACTCTTCCTAACTTAAAAATGGAAAGCATAATGCTGGTGGTCAACAACAGAGGTTTAAAGACTCTCTCAATCTTAAAAAATGTAGTACAGGTATAAACACCTATAATTGGGAAACACTGGCCTGCGAATGTTCCAATTGGAGAACAGCCTTTGCCAAAGACGTTGTAGACTTTGAAGACGCTCAAGCTCAGGATAATAGGGAGAAACATGCTAAGAGGAAGGCATGTTTGGCAAACCGTCACCATGATCAACTCCCGTCCGGAAACCTATGTCCTCACTGTAGAAGGACGTGTGGATCTAGAACTGGCCTCCACAGTCACTTACGGACTCACTGTTAAGACTATGCTCATCATAGACAATCTTACTCGGCTACGAGTGATTGCCAAAGAAGAAGAAGAGATAGATGATAGATAGATAGATAGATAGATAGATAGATAGATAGATAGATAGATGATAGATAGATAGATAATCAGACAGACAGACAGACAGAAATATAGGAAACATAAAGGATCATTATCCAAAGTCTAGCATAATCAAGAGACTATATAGTTCCAAACACTATTTTAACATATATATATAAACAACATGTATGATAAATTCCCACATAAATGAAATTTGAGGGGAACCATGTTTGAGAAAGAGGGGACGTCTAGTAGAGATGAGTGGGGGGAAAGCATCGAAAGACTGCAAGTAACAGATAAACAAGCAATGCAAAGGCTTTCCTAACAGTAATCCACAACTAGCTGGACCAGGGTTTCCCAAACTTCGGTCTCCCACTGTTTTCGGACTACAACTCCCATCACCCCTAGAGTGCCATCCGCTAAGGTTATTATCATGGGTTACTGAAGCTATGAATTCAGCAAATTCTGAGTTATGTGCAAAGTCCAGACCATCTGAAATGGTTAAAGCTTCTCTGCACGTAAACACATTTTATAGGAGCTGATCCTTTCTCACTACACTTGTTTTTGACAGTAGCTTCTTGCACCTTAGCACTTCCTGCTCTGCTTTACATATATTGGGTAATGTTCTGCAGCTTTAATGGGATTGTAAAAGGTGTCACATGAAATAATGGCACTGAACAGATGGGTATCATCGTCTGTTACAGCCTACAGGTAGAGACAACAGGGAACTGCTTTTTTGTTGTACTAGGACTTGCCAATCAGAAGGTGGGTGGTTCGAATCCCCACGACGGGGTGAGCTCCCATTGCTCGGTCCCTGCTCCTGCCAACCTAGCAGTTCGAAAGCACACCAAAGTGCAAGTAGATAAATAGGTACCGCTCCAGCGGGAAGGTAAATGGCGTTTCCGTGCGCTGCTCTGGTTTGCCAGAAGCAGCTTAGTCATGCTGGCCACATGACCTGGAAGCTGTACACCGGCTCTCTTGGCTAATAAAGCAAGATGAGTGCCACAACCCCAGTCAGACATGACTAGACCTAATGGTCAGAGGTCCCTTTACCTTATGTTGGCTGAGTAGCTTTCCTTGCTCTTTAGTTCTGAATGTGGACACAGAAACAGGTGGTTTATTTTTTGTGATCCTGAGGGTGTGTATGTGTTGGTAATGAAGCTCATGTACAGAGGAAGCTACTGTTACTTCAGTATGGGTTAAATCTGATTAACAAGATTCTTATGAGGCCAAGGCTGTAATCCTAAACAGAATTGTGTGGGAGTAAGGCCCAGGGAATCCAGGAATCAACTTCTGAAGAAACATGCAGAATTGCCTTGTACAGTCTCAGATTTACACATTAAAGAAATGGTCATTGCTATTTGCTTACGTTGGCAAAAAGCCCACTGATCAAAGTGAAACTTGTGTCTACGTTAATTATGCCTAGAATATGGTTTTGCTGTAACTGAGATGGAAAGTCCCTATTAAAAATGTCACCTTGGCCACAAAGTCGCCCAATCCCCTTAAACCAGCTCCTATTTGTCTGTCTCAACAGCCTACTTCGTAAGGTATTACAGTAGGAGCTCTGGATTGCCTGAAATGTGCTATATAAATGCCAAACATGCCTTGACAGGGGTTGAGAAACCCAGTCTTTTGTCTTCCCACCATTAATCTAGGGCAATTGTTTTATGTATTTATTTTGTGTTTTAAATGAGACTTGCTTCTAAGTGAACATATTCACAAGCTCATGACCCCCTTTCCTTTACCCTTTGCAGCCACAAGCGTTTTCCTGGAAGCTGCTGCTTCTTCTGCTTCTTCTTCTTCTTCAGCAATCCTTCGTAGCTGAGTAAGATTGTCTTCCATGAACATGGTCTTAACAATAGTCTGTAAGCGACTGTGGAGGCCAATTATTCCTTCCATACGTCCTTCAACAGTGGGGACATTGGTTTCCAGATGGGAGTTGATCACGGTGAGGGTCTGCCAAACATGCCTTCCTCTTAGCACATTTCTCCCTTTCGTCCTGAGTTCGTGCACCTTCAAAGTCCACGATGCCTTTGATAAAGGCTGTTCTCCAATTGGAGCGCTCGTAGGCCAGTGTTTCCCAATTGTCGGTGATTATACTACATTTTTTTACGTTCGCCTTGAGAGAGTATTTAAACCTCTTTTGTCACCCATCGGCATTATGCTTTCCATTTTTAAGTTCGGACTAGAGTAGTTGCTTTGGAAGACAGTATTCAGGAATCCGCACAACATGACCAGTCCAACAAAGTGAATGTTGTTATAGGACTTCTAAGGTCTCAAATGTAGAATAAATGTTGATAATTGCACAAAGTAAGCATGCATGCATAAGTATATAAACCACATGTCTGCAATAGTACAGGAGAGCAATCCAAAAGCCATCTTGGCTCTTCTAAAGACTCTAAATATTTCCTCTGCCTCCTTACTCCCCTTTGCCTGAGAACACTAGGCAGGTAGCAATCAGGGGACATTCCTGAAGGGATTCTTCTGCTATATCTATGAACCTCCTTTGTATTGTCATGGTTTACCCAGATGCTCTGCATTGAGGGATGTTTGACGGGCATCCTGGTTGTCTTATGAAACGCTGTTTTGTGTAAACTGTGTCTGGAACCATGTAAAACTTGCTAAATCCTCAGGAATATCACCCCTTGGCCTGCCTGAGCCACAGTAACCCCACCTTATGCGTGATGCAATTTCTGACCATTTGTAGAGGGGATGTCCTCCTTCTCCACGCCAAAATGCAAACCCTTAAAAGAGATGTTTCTTCTGGGCTCTGCTCTGGGTCTCTCTTGCTTCCTTGCTAGGAGGGGAGGGAACTCCGTTGCAACAGAAAAATGAAGATCTGCCTTGCTTTCGCTGCCCTCTGACTTCCATCCATTCATCTCTGACCGATCCTGGACTTGGGGGACTCAGCCCCTTGGAGAGATGGGCAGCAAAAGCCAACCACCCCTATTTTTCTATACCAATATTGAAGAAGCATTGCTTCGCCTCGGGGATGGATCTTTGCTTCCTGGAAGCCAACCTCACCTGGTTGGTAATACAACTGAGCTTCAGGCTCGATTGGGATGGTTGAGGGGGGACGGCATTTCCCCCCCCCCCAAAAAAAATTTATTGGTTTTTCACAACATTATAAACAAACACATAAAAGAAACAAACATACATAAATCACAGCCTTATTAAAAATTACACTTATTAACATTGTTAAGTGACTTCCTCGCTTCCCCTTGGTTGAATTTCATTGCATATCCTTTTAACGGTTTTCCAAATCACAGTTCTTAAAATTTTTTAACTTACATTAACATCCTTAGATCTTCACATTATGAAATTAAACATATTAATTCATCACTTTAATAAAATCCTAAGCCAATTAAGTATCTGCAAGCTGTTTTCAGCTAATTTAACTTAACATGTTTAACTAAGTAATCATTAAATTGAGGGGGGACGGCATCAGTTGCACTGAACGGCGGGGACCGATTCCGGAGTGAAGGTTGCGCCCGATCCTCACAACAACAACAACACACTGAACGAGGCGGCCTCTGACTAAACTCGCGTAGGCCCGGTGCCTCGGCCCGCCGGCTTTTGGAGGGGTTTTCGGTCTAAAGTGGAAAGAAGGAGCGGCCTCCCAGACCGCCCCGCTCCCCTGGCAAGGCCCGAGGCTCGGAAGCGGCCGGGCGGGAAGAGCCCTGAGGTAAAAGCGCGCGCGTGTAACAAAGCCCTGGTAACGCGGTTGCTACCGCCGGCGCCGGCTGCTTGGTAACGGCGCGCTGCCCCTTTAAGCCGCCGGAGGGCGGGACGGCGGCGAAGGAACCCCCTTCCACGCCACCCCGCGCCCTCCTCCCTTCCCCTCAGGCCGGCTCCGTGCTCCTTTCCACCGCCACTCGCGGCTTGCTGCTGCTGGGGGTGGGGGTGGCCGCCGTCGCCGGAGCAGCGCCTCGCCGGCCGGTTGCCTCCTTGAGGCGCGCGCGCGCACCTCCCATCCCATGCGGGCGGCGGCGGCGGCGGCTGCACAAGTCCAGAGCCAGCCAGGCGGCGGCGGCGGTGGCTGCCTGTTCCCTCAGCATGCCGCGCCGCTGCTGCTGCTGGCGCCTCTGAGTCCGGCCGAGCGGCTGTCCGGCCGCCGCCGCCGCCGCCGCCCAAGACGAAGACGACGACGGAGAAGCCGCCGCCGTTCCGGGAGGCACTCATGAGCTCGGAGGCGCCTTCCCGCGCAGCCACGCAGCTCCGCGCCCTCTTTCGCATGGAGCCGGCTCCGCCCGCCTCGTCCGAGCAGCTGCTGGGAGCCTCGGAGTTCCTCAAAGGTGAGGCGGCGGCGGCGGCGGCGGAGGAGGAGGAGGGGTCTCCCCTCCGCAAGTAGGGGTCGCCCTCCCGTCATATAAAGGAAAGGGGCGCGACGCAACAACTGCCCCCCCCCCCGCTGTCCCGGGAGCGCCTTGGCCGGGGCGGGGGTGAGAACCGCCTCTTTCCCCGGGGCGAAGTTCGGCGCGCGCCCCGGAGCGAACGCGAAACTCCCTTCAGTCCCTGCGGGAGAAGCTGTTTCGAGGGGAGCCCTTGCAACCCCCCCAAATCGCGAGGCGGGCGGCAAGGGTCCCCCCGTCGGCGGGAGGGGAAGGAGAGTTATGGAGGAGGCGGAGACGTCGCCGCCCAGCTGCGAGATCTTGGTGGCAGGTAATGCTTGCTCCGGAGTGAAACCCGATCAAATGCGTAGGGTTCTTTCTTTCTTTTTTCTTATTTTTTTACGGGGGGACAAGCGACTCTCCCTACCCGCTTTGAACTAACACCCAAGTTCCAACGGGACGTATAACTTGAAGATCTTACTTCATGGTCTCCCTTTTTCTTTTTTCTTGCAGACAGACTATATTTTGCTACTTTACGAAACCGACCCAGAAGCACAGTAAACACGCACTATTTCTGTACGGATGAGGAGCTTGTTTATGAAAAGTAAGTTCGTATTTCTTCCGCTGTTGTTGTTTTTTTAAATTCCTCCTTCGCCTTTCTGCTCACTTTCGTTTTCAGCGTTGTTGGTCCCCCCCCCCCCCCTTGTCGCCAAGTGATTGGGAAAAGCTTGGGGGAAGAGGGGAGAACAAACTTAAGTGAAATACTTCTGTATAAGTTAGCGGTATATGTGGCCAATTGGTTGTTTTTATCAAACCCGTCCTTGAGACTTAATTGCGTTTTAGTTGAATTTTAAACAGAAAATGGGCGCCCCCTTACCCCACCTCCGGTTTCCTGCTTTTTTATAAAATGGATTCTACTGTGGCCATAGGTCTCTGTGTAAAGTATTATTCTCAAATCGAATTCACATCTTAAAGAAGAAGCCGGTTGTAACTGTCTGCAAATGTTGGGTTAGAAGTATTTTCTCTACAATTCGATGAAAAAGCAAAACATTGTAGATGCACTACTGATCTACAGATCTGCTAAGTGCATGATAGTGGTTAGCAATGAATATATATTGAGTTTGCAGCATTAAATGTGCTGTAAGATGGGTCATTCAGTTTTATGGTAAGTGAACCTCAGTTCACTGAACTTTGGAGCATGGTTGTTAAAATCATTACTTCATCAAGCTGCTCTTGTGACTGTGTTTTTGTACACTGTGATTAATTCCGCCTGCTGATTGATACTTTCTGGGATGAAACAAGCACTTCAGGAGTTCAGAGAATAACAAGAAGAGCTTTTAAGATAGTATCTTTCTTTTTACACTGCCAACTTTGGTTGCAGCACTGCCTTCCCCCTCCCAGCAATTTCTGTCTCTGATGTAATTTAGCTATGGAGTTTGGGCACTGAAAATTTACAGATGAAAGGGAGGGATTTGCATTAAAGTTGTTGCTAAATAATTCTACTATAATAGTAGCTTGAGTCAGTAGCAGCATAATAAAATGGAAATAAAATAAATAAAGGAAGGCTCAAAACCTTCGTGATTTCTATAAGTGATATTCATTGCCTAAGTACTTTTGCACTCTTCAGAGTACAGTCTGTAAAAAGTGATACTGCTTTGCTTTCAGTGAGATTTAGGCTGCAATCCTGATACAACATGCCTGGAAGTTAGCCCCCTTGAATTCAGTAGGACTTGCCTCTGAGAAGACACAGGATTGCACTGTTATGACTAACTTCTGATAGATTGTGTCCTAGGCATCCTTACACAAATGTTTATTAGTGAAAGACAGATTAGACTTAACATTGGAAGGACCTATATTTAGCAATGCAGTCAAGCTGTAGATATACATAGCAGTTGTGTTAACAATCCCTGAATGCTTTGGTTGTCATTCTTATCACTCTTCATTTTCTAAAGTGGCTCATGAACCTGCTTAAATTGGCTGGCAAGTTTGTTTTAAGTTCATTGTTGGGATGCTGATACAACTTGTGTCACTCTCATTTTCTTAGGAGCTTCAAATCCTTGTTGGCCAGTCACAGATAAGCCCTGACACTTCTGTTCTAGAAATATTTGAGGAATTTCACACTGCTCTCTGAGACTTAAAAAAACACCGTGGGTAACCAGATTGACATCATTTGCTGGACAGACTTAGGATAAGAAGAATGTTAAAAAAAACCTGATGAGAAAGATGGGTGGCAGCATAGCTCCTGAAGCAGAGTATGCAGGGGAAGGTGGAAACACATGTTTAGGAGGAGGAAGGTAGTACAGATTTCTGGAGTAGGCCGTAACCTGGGCTGCTGTCCAAGGTGTCCAAATAAGTAGGATTAATCCTTTGAATAGCGGACAGGGCTAATGTGTAGTGACTGACAGGACTAATGCATTGCAAACTGGAAGCAAAATGCACGTAGATATTCAGTGATGTGGGATAGGAAACATTGCAGAAAGTTTCATTTTCTAAAAAAAAAAGTGTTGCTTCATAAAATAAGTACCGTATTTTTCGCTCTATAAGATGCACCAGACCACAAGACGCACCTAGTTTTTGGAGGAGGAAAACAAGAAAAAAAATATTCTGAATCTCAGAAGCCAGAACAGCAAGAGGAATCGCTTCGCAGTGAAAGCAGCAATCCCTCTTGCTGTTCTGGTTTCTGGGATAGCTGCGCAGCCTGCATTCGCTCCATAAGGCGCACACACATTTCCCCTTACTTTTTAGGAGGGAAAAAGTGAGTCTTATAGAGCAAAAAATAGGATAAGTACATTGAGGAGCACATCATTTTTTATTTTAACTACCCTGAATAATTTGGTATACTATAAGTAACATAGGCGCTTTTCAACTAAATAATTGTGGTAGTGGAAGTCAGCACAAGGAATTCCCCCTTGTGCTACAGGACTTCTGAATCCTCCTTCCCCAGCGACTTTAAACCCCCCCCCATCTGCTCTGGAGAACCCCCAGAACAACACACAGTGAGAAGAGAGGGGAGATAGTTCTGTCAGCGTAAGCATTTCTGGTTGCCCAACAGGACTATCTCCTTTGCGCTATGCTGAATACAACCCATAGGGTGGTATCTGACTGTCATAATTGGAGTCAACCCACTGAAATAGACCACCCTGTTTACAGCACAATCCTATACAGTGGTACCTCGGGTTAAGAACTTAATTCGTTCTGGAGGTCTGTTCTTAACCTGAAGCCGTTCGTAGCCTGAGGTACCACTTTAGCTAATGGGGCCTCCCGCTGCCGCCGCCGCACAATTTCTGTTCTCATCCTGAAGCAAAGTTCTTAACCCAAGGTACTATTTCTGGGTTAGCAAAGTCTGTAACCTGAAGCGTCTGTAACCCGAGGTACCACTGTACATGCTTATTCAGAAGTAATTCCCATTGTGAAGTTTACTTACAGGTTAGTGCAGATAGGACTGCAGTCTTAATGCTTCTGTCTGATACACTCCAAGCCCATCATTAGGTGAAAAATTGATATTTACCCTTAAGGCTTTTGGAGTCAATTCAACTCCATGAATGAATTAAAACACCACCACCCCTACACACATGACAGAGTCAAAGTGTTCCTGTCAAATGCTGTTAATAGATTAGCTATTTGCCATGTCTACAGGTGGTTAGCCATATGACCTGCTCTGTTTATTTCATGTGAGAAAGGTGACCATAGAAGGTGAAAATACTTTTATCTTTTATCTATTTTCATAATCGACAACACACTCACTTGCCCAGACATTTCCACAAACTGTGTTGGGGATCAGTAGTACCCTACAGATTTACAAAACTCCTTTCTGAACTTGATTTTTGCAACATTTCCTCTTCACCTACCTTATGAACCAGCAAAATATTTTTAATAGATTATATCCTATGGTGGCTTTGCATTAGCATATGCACTTACTGTGAAAGGCAGGGCTCGTACTGATTATCTATCTCCCCAATGCCATCCACACTCTTAACATCTACTTGGAATTCAGGGATTCTTTGGGACAGTATGGGATCACAGAATCATAGAATGTGCATAAAAGCTGCAAGTGTTAGGAGGGATTGATGGAAATGGAAGTGCTCCCTCCACAAAACCACCATTGGATATTACCCATATAGTGGTGCCTCGGGTTAAGAACTTAATTCGTTCTGGAGGTCCGTTCTTAACCTGAGGTACCACTTTAGCCAATGGGGCCTCCCGCCACCGCCGCACAATTTCTGTTCTCATCCTGAAGCAAAGTTCTTAACCTGAGGTACTATTTCTGGGTTAGCGGAGTCTGTAACCTGAAACATCTGTAACCTGACGATCTGTAACCAGAGGTACCACTGTAGTTATCATATTGCCCAAAACTTAGCAATACAACTTTGGGTGTTCCAATTGCAGTTGCTAAGGTTGCAAGTAGCCATCACCCTTAATCCAGTATGCAGCAAGACTTAATGCCCATTCTCAGTCAAGGACTTTTAACTGGTCACTTTTTTCACAGAAATGTCTTTACAAAATGGAGGTTCTCAAATCAAATTCACATTACAAATCGAATTACCATCAAGGGCATGATGTCACTGGCTTTCCACCAAAAGGATAAATAAAGTCTTTGGAATTGTTGTCTGGCTTCAGCCCTGGACTACCAGTGTCAGAGAGGAGCTTCCTCCTCGGTGTGACCTGTGGAATATGTTTACCCACAATCTTCCACAATGCTGTTTGCAGCATAATAATGTTACAACTGATGAACAATTAGGGCCATTCAAAAGACATTTCCAGTGAGGCAAAGTATGCTTTCCAGACCTTCAAAATTATGCAACAAGAGCTTGAAACCTAGGCCCATCAGGGGCTGAGAACCTTAAATTTACATGGTTCTAGATGAAATATAACAACTGATAATCTTCTTGCCAAAGGCACACAAAGTTCAGTAGTGGGGAGGGATTGCTTTGGTTGGCTCATTGAAACAATCAAATTAGTAATTGCCCCATAATACCTTGCCTGCAAATCCAGAAGTCTTTCAGCAGCATTTTTGGTTTATAAAATTCCTATGTACAGTATGCTTGTATTGCTATACTGATCCATTAGCTGAAGTTTCCAACATTTAAAGAATTTCACTAATGTATATTCCTATTCCAGATGACCTACATTCCCTGTTCACTTTTATATAGCTTTAATTATACTTAAACCACCAGGAAGACTAAAAAAATTCATTTCTTAGTCATGCGAAAAATAGGGGCTTGTGTTGTTTGGCCACATAACGTCACTTAAAGCCTACAGCTCTTAAGAATAATTGTATTGTAATCATAATAATTCAGTTGATGATCAATACTTTTAAGGGATATTTCAGAATACTCTGTTTTGTACAACAAATTACCTGCCTCTGGTACAACAAAAGAAGCTCTTATTTGAAGTAGCTCATTTTAAACCTAGCATCAGGAGGGATTCTGTAGGTTGTGCACTCATATGAACTGCTTATTGCAAGAAATGAAGAACCCTGGACTTCATTTGGGACCTAAAGCCATAGTGACATAGCTTTCTTGCTCAAGAAGACTTATCTTCTCTTTCAGAATCTGCTTTTTAGATTTATCTTGATTTCTCTGCAGATTTGTACCCCCCTGCCAAATTCTAGCTCCATTACAATTGATGTAAAGTTCAGTTAGTCAGTGATCTTTTGAAGACTAATATCGACACTGTTCTAGGAAAGTTTCAGGTACTATGGGAGAGGAAAGGCCTTGCTCTTTGTCTTATTTTGTTTGCAAAGTGCGCTATACTCCATTTCCTCCCTAAAGCTGAACTAGGATTTTTAACTCAGGCTGATGCTGCCTGACACAAGAGCATCAGGAAACTAGATAGCGCTTAAGATAACAGTGTATTTTTTTCCATCTTTAAAAATGCTTTAAAGCCTATAAACACTGGTTTCTTTAATAAATCTCGTTTTATGTTTGGCAACCAGAAATTTGTGTCTAGGGTTAATCTTGCTCTGTAGTCCTACTTGCTTTACCCGCTTGAACCACAGTTCAGGGGTTTGGAATCTTCCCTAGTCACAGGGATTTAGATTCACTCTCCAATTATTGGGAGGTCAGCTGGTTTTGTTTTATACTGGGTGGCCTACCAGTCTTGGTATAATTGATATGTGGCAACTGCCGTTCAAAAGACTTTGCATACTAAAACATGCGTAACTGAAGCATCTCCATCCAAAAAAACAAAAAATCATCCCTTTGTGGCTTTCTTCTGAAAAATGTACCACTGCATGGTCACTACTGTCAGCTGCCTAATCAGAATGATTGCATGCTACAAGAGCTTTACTGCTGGATCATACCAAAAGGCTAGCTAAGAATGCTGACCAGCGGCCAACCAGAGGCTTCTGGGAAGTTTCCAAGTAAATGAGAGCAGCAGTCATCCCATATTGATGCCTCCAGAACCTTGTAATAAGGGGTATGCTGTTGGCATTCATAAAGCTTCTGCTCAGCTGTCAAAGCTAATAGACCTACTTCTCAGTGAATTTGTCCAGTGCTTTATTAGAACTATTTAAGTTAGGGGCCATTGCCCCAACTTGTGCTAAGGACTTTCCCTACATTAATTATGCTTTGTTTAAAGAACTATTTTCTCTTCTCGTGTCCTCAGTTGACTGCCAAGGCAACTACAGTGGATGACCTCCAAGTTCTGGTACTATGAGTAAAATCTTGTCTAATTCCTCCACAAATGCCCTTTAGCCATCTTAAAAAATAACAACACCAAAAACCTAAAAAAAAATGTCCTACTCTTCAGTGTTTCAGCATATGTTAAAAAAAACCCTCTTTCCAGATTTAAGAACAGTCCTGATGAATCAGGTCAAAGGCCCATCTAGTCCAACATCCCATTCTCATTGAAACCAATTAAATGCTTCTGGGAAGCCCACAAGTAGATCCTGGGTGTAGTACCATTCATGATTCCCTACAACCAGTTTTCAGAGCCATACTGTCTCCAACAGTGAACATAGCCATCATAGCTAGTAACCACAAATAACCTTATCCTCCGTAAATTTGTTTTTTGTCCCATGATCCTTGCACTTTGGTGTGCTGTAGGGCATGATTTGCCTCCGACATCTATATGAAGCTGTTGGGAGTGGTCCTTAGGAGCTTTGGGGCAAAGTCTCGTAACATTTAAGTTGGGAGGGGCTGTACATGATCTGTACCATTGTCTCCGTGGACTGGGTGAAGGCCAGTAAACTGAGTATGAACCCTGAGAAGATGAAGGCATTGTGGGAGATTGGCCTGTTATCGATGGGGTCACACACTCTCTGAAAGAACTGGTACTTGTCTTGCCGTAACAATTTATATTCGGCTTGCTAGTATATATGACCTTTTTTTTCATTTGAGCAACTTTTCCTCTGTTTAATGGATCTGCCTTGCCCTTTAGTCTTCTTGATTCTGTCATTGCTATCAAGCAACATCTCTTGGCCGGTCTAGCCTTTTTAAAAAAAATTAAAAATACTTTCAATTGAACTTTCAATTGAACTTTCAATTCAACTTTCAATTGAACTTTCAATTCAACTTTCAATTGAACTTTATAGTTGTTTTATAAATTGCTCCAGTTCCTTGAAGAATTTGACTGTCTTTAATGACACTTAACATGTTTTAATTAATTCTTTCTTTCACTTTAATGGATGTTACTATTTTAAAACTGAATTACTTTGCTTGAGAGCCATGGCAGTGTTTTGCTAATGATAGTGCTGTGACTGTTTCCCACTTGACCATTTATTGGGGATCACTTGTCTTTCCTTAGCAATGCTGATCAAAACATACTTTAGAGTACATCTGCAGTTTGGTTCCCAGCAGGATTAGAGTGGAGAGTGGTCTTAGCATACTTCAGTCTCTGCCTGGAAGGCTTCTCTGACATCAGAGTATATATGTACAGGCAGTGGTGTAGTGTGTGGGGGGCAGGGGGGGCATCGCCCTGGGCACAAAATTCTGAGGGAACGCAACCAGGCACCCCCATGCAGGTGCCAGTTTCTGCGGGGATCCCCACCCCAGTGGGGACCTAGAAATCTAGAAATTCTTTTAATCAAATTTATGTCAACTAATCAAGTAGTCAGTTGGTCAGTTGCGTTTATTTGTTAGAAACCATTTTCATCGCAAAAATACAAAGATACAACCAGTTTAGAAATACATTTTAACATAAGTGGTCCCTGACACATGGTATGACATGTTCTACAATGGAATTTTCTGATCTGCTAACGCAAATAGAAACTTCCTATGTAGTGCATTTATCCCCATGCCATCAACAATTAACAGATTTTCTCCCTATTATTCAAAAAGGAAACTCTCTGGAGAATTCATTTGAGAAGGCTATTCCTGAGAGAATTATGCGGGAAGCAATACAGTAAGGAAAGAACTAATCAGTGTGAAGAAAATTTAAGCCACCTTTTTTTTGGCTGTCTTCCTGATTTGTGCGTTTTTTTAAATCTCAGAATCATGCTGAGCTTCTGTTCTAGGTGCAGAAGGATGATGGAAAAGTATATGTCACTATTTTTGGTTCAAAGTTCCCTAATGCCATGCCCATGCAATATCATTATGAGTATTTGAACCACCATTAAGGCCCATTCAGTCATGCAACATAAGCAATTTTTAATGTGTGATGGTATCAGAAGGTGGCCTTGCCCATCATAAAGGTTCTTCTGTAGTGCTATTAATGTAGTACATTTGTCATCGTCATTCCTGTCTGTTGGATCAACGGACCAATCAATCGTATTTTGACTTGCAGAAAGTGTTCCATATTGGGGCAGGTATTGAAGATGTTTGCAAAATGCAGTTTCCCATTTGTTGGCAAGCATGGATTTACATTGTTAATCCCCTATTGTGAGATATCTGCATTCTCAGTATCACATATTTCATGTTGACTACACTGGCTGTCAATTCAGTACCTGAAACATCTGAGTACAGCATGTTGTTCCCTTCTCCTCTTTCTGAAGGCAGGTTAAGGCTGTTGTCCTATAATCCGAGTAGCACTTTTGAATTCACATGCATAGGATTAGGACCTAAAACCTTCTTTTCCAGAAATCACAGGGTTACTGTTTTCTGTGCAAGTCTGCTTTTTAAAAAAACAAAACAAAAAACTGTTTACTGATGTTTCATTGCATCTAATACCACTGTCTTAAAATTACTGAATACCATTGTGAAATATATATGAACACTTATATTTTTAAAATAGGTATAGCTTCCTCCCCATCCTGCCACCTATTTTCAGGAATTGAATTGGCTCCCCTGAATCCTCTTCAGGTTTTTTCACATGAAAGAAAGATCTAACTTTAACAACTAAGCCTTACGAGATCTACAGAGATTTAGGCAACTTCCTGCTTCCTATAAATGTAGCAATCAGCAGCAGCAGCTGCCTTTCTTTGTAGCCACGTTGCTTTGATAACTTTTGAGTTCAAGTTTGTACCATAACTGCCATGTCTCAAATGCCAACTATTAACACTCCAGCTCTGCCAAGTCCAATTAAATATTTTATGATTAAACATCAAAACATGTCATGCCCAGGAAAATGAATGTGCTTTTATACTGTCTCATGAAAATAAAAAGCTGAATAGGCCAGCTATTCTTTTCCCTTAAGCCCAGTGTATTGAAAGCGATTATTCATGTTAAGTTGACATACATGTCTTAAATAAATGTCTTTGCCCTATTTTTACTGCTTATCTTGTAATAAATATGGGGAAAAGTAAAGTAGAGGGGAATGATCTGCAGCCACAGGGCTGATTTAGTCAGACTGGTAACTAATTAATGAGTTGGGAACTTGTCATTGGCTTATTCTTCAAGAAGAATGCTAGCTCTTGTTCTGTTCTTTGCAAGCAGATCTAGGCTTGGCATATCACACTTGACTGGTTAATGCACAATAGGCTTACATGGGCAGCACATTCTCTAGCTGGTCTGTATCTGTTTCAAATGGAGGAAGCTCATAAGAACCTTAACTCCTTGTGCTTCGCAACTAAACTCCTTTGCTCCTTCTGAAATCTTAACATCCATCTCAAACGCGCTTTGAAGATGCTGGATCTTTTAGGTGTTCAATCAGCAGAGAGACTATAAACCATGCGTAGGCAAACTAAGGCCCAGGGGCCGGATCCGGCCCAACTGCCTTCTAAATCTGGTCCACAGACGGTCCGGGAATCAGCGTGTTTTTACAGGAGTAGAATGTGTCCTTTTATTTAAAATACATCACTGGGTTATTTGTGGGGCATAGGATTTCATTCATTTCCCCCACAAAAAAATATAGTCCAGTCCCCCACAAGGTCTGAGGGACAGTGGACCGGCCCCCTGCTGAAAAGGTTTGCTGACCTCTGCAACAGTTGCATAAGTTACTGTACCTGACAGTGAGCTACATCATACAGCTTATCTGTGAAAGACTCTGAATTCATTTATCAAAATGCCATACAGAGCCAAGTACCTCTTTTAAGCTAGCGAGTCCCATCAACACCAAAGTGGCATGCTTTAGCTTAATGTGTCTTGTCTCCAGAAAATGAAAACTTAGCTGCACCTTCCAACATCACAGAGCTGTGGGACTATATCTGACATTAGCTTTGTTTTGTCAAATACCTGATGGCGTCATAGGTATACAAATCTTGTGAGACAAAGTAATTGGATTCTGAAAACAGGACTACTAATAAAATGTTAATTAATGGAATACTTACTCAAACTGCTCAAGTGCATACTTTCCCCCAGTCTATAAAGTGCTGCTTTTGCACTCTTTAACCTGAATGGGCCTATCCTATATGTGTGTGTTATGGGCTGGCAACAGTTACTAAGGGCTCTTGGAAGCATGACACTTGGTTTGTGAATCAGCTCAGGTCCTATCCCTCTTTTACAACAGTAATGCCTCATCTTTATTCCTGGAAGGTGATCACAGCCTCCTGGACTCTTTACAATACATTAGCAGCAGCAGCTTATTGTCTCTTATATTTTAATTATTTCACTCCATTTGGAGTTCTTTTTTTTTGACCTAAAAGTGTTGTTCTGCCCCTACATTTGGGTAATTAACATTTACTGAGTTTTCAATACTACTACTACTAATAATAATAATGGGACAAGTGTGAGATTCTATCAGTTTATTAGTGTAAGTACAGCTACAAAATTAGCAAATGCAGGATTACATTTGCAGTTAAAAAATTTTCTGAAGGAGCAGAGTATACATATTTTTCCTTATCTCCTGACAAATCAAGATGGTGATGTTTCTGATTTCTGAACAGCTGCACTTAAATCAGCCAGAAAAACTATATGGCACCCCTGGAAGATTGTTAACTGTCTGTATGTTGATCAGACATGGCCATTGAATATAATCAAAGGTAGTCCTTCAACTTATCCGTGTGGAGCAGACATCACCTTTTACTGTAATCTCATTGTCTCACCTGCCCTTACACAGTAGAACCAAGTGTTAATTGTGCTCTGCTGCTACATACTGTGCCTCTAGGTTTCAGTGGAGATGTTGCTAGGAAGGGAGAGTCTTCAAATAGTGAAATATTTGACAACAGCAAAAGGACTAAAGTACAAGTTTTTTGACCATTGGTATATATTTCTTCTAGTTTTTATGCAGATTTTGGACCTTTAAATGTGGCTCTGGTACATCGATTCTGCTGTAAACTAAACAAGAAATTAAAGGTAAGAACATTGTATTTTCTTCTAAATATTGTTTGTTTGTTTTTGCTAAAATTTAACAAACTGTTATTATTAACAGCCATTTATGATAATTAACAGAATTGCTGAATTTACAGTAAGATTGTGTTTTTCTCTCTCTGAATAAAAAAAATGACAATTTATGCTCCATATGAAAATTAGACTATGGATTTGTTTATGCAGTTCCATGACATCTAAAATATATACCACATATATTAACGATATTCTTCCAGTTAACTCACAAGATGATCTGAAACTTTGTTGGAGGAAAAATAGTTTGAAAATGATTATATTTCATAGAAATTCATGCAGTGGCATGATTCACATATAAAGGTGAGCCAGGGTGAAACAAACCATAGCTTGTAGGGAACAAGCATGTATGCTGGTGCATGCTGTTCAAATTGCAGCCATCTCTCTTCCTTTGCTGCATTAAGAAGAAACCAGCCAGAGTGTTGACTCAAAATTACATGCAAATCAGTGCTTGTGGTCTGTTTTTCCCCTCCAAACCACAAGAGCAAGCAAATAATATACCATAGTTTGTTCCTGGCTTTGTTCCAGCTGTGTGTTTGAAGAGAAGCAAACCATGAGTTGCTAGTTTGAAGATAACACAACGGTTGCCAAACAAGAAAGGGATGGGTGCGATTTGAGCAGTGTGTGCTAGGATTCTGTTTTGTTTCTCTGGTGGGTGTGAAATGGGCCGTTATCTCAATGCGATAAGTTAAAAATTTTCTTAAGGCATAAGCTGTCTTGAACCGTGATCCACATGGCCTATGTCGTAATAGATCACTCTTCTTTAAGATGCTTCATCCCAATGCTGAGCCCAAGAGTAATAATAATAATAATAATAATAATAATTTATTATTTGTACCCCGCCCATCTGGCTGGGTTTCCCCAGCCACTCTGGGCGGCTTCCATAGACACAAAAAATACAGTAAAATATCACAGATTAAAAGCTTCCCTGAACAGGGCTGCCTTAAGATGCCTTCTAAATGTCAGGTAGTTATTTATCGCTTTGACATCTGATGGGAGGGCGTTCCACAGGAAGAAAAACAAGTAGAAAACAAGTCACTGGTTCATTGTTCTCTAACCCCTATTCATGTGAGAGATTTAACATTTGATATTACTGGTGTTTCTGCACAGTAAGCAGCAAGCTAAGAATGGAGCCTGGTGATTGATTTACATGTTCTGGACTTTTCCTTCAAAGGTGTGCCTGTCTTGTAAGCATTCCCTCTGTCTTTATTGTTGTTGCTGAGTGAATACATGAGGAGACTGTTTGTTCCAGATGTCTTAAAGAGGTTATTTTGGTGTCCCAGTTCCTCAGGCGTATTGTCTACTAGAATTTAGGCATTAAGTAGGTTTTATTAGAAGATGAGCACAGGCGATGGGAAGTTAGCCACAGGAATGCCATCACCTGTGGCTGATGTAATATCCAAACCATCTCAGAAAGAGGCTGAAGAAGAAAAGTAAGAAAGACAAGTGGCCAATTTGCAGGCATACTGTGATTGTCTAGGGACAGATGAATCTGTCAGTTTTGTTTCCCCCTGTTTTTTCCTTTTCCGATCCTAAGTTTGTCCCATTTCTGCAGCAGTTTGTGATTTTTATTTATTTTTAGTCTGCATAAAATCTTGTGAGGATTTTTGTGCACATTTCTCCTAATATTTGCATTTTGTGTGTACCTTTTGGGGATCTACATAAGAAAATTCAGAGAAGTACAGATTTCAAAAGATTAAATGTGTTTTCGTTCACATATTAGTTCGGAAAATGCAAAATTAAGTTTTAATGTGAACCAAATAAATGTATTCTCCCATCCCTAGTTGAGGAGCACTTGACCAGGGAGTGAGGTGATTTGAAAGAACTGCCAAGACACACAACGCTAAACTGGTATTACTTAGCTGCCAGTATTTCATTTGCTTAAATTTGTGGTTCTCTGCTAACCATCCCTTCATACTTTTCCCCCCTTTTTAAACAGTCATTCAGTCTTTCAAGAAAGAAAATAGTATATTATACCAGCTTTGACCAGCGGAAACGAGCAAATGCCGCATTTTTGATAGGTGCATATGCAGTAAGTATCACTCGATAAGTCTGTCTGTCTCGCTCGCTCTCTTGCAGGGACTTGCTGACCTATATGTTCTGGCTAAGTACAGATACTATAAATGCTAGTATCACTTTCCTTTTGTTATAATTCTTCTACAATCTAGTCCAGTATTTAAACAGTAGGAGAGATTTCCCCATTCTGCTGAACCTTTGTCTCTTCTGTTGCTCCCTTTCCTGCTTCTGGTCTTAAGCAGGGAAAGGAGGTAAAAAAGATAGTTACATTTAGTGCTACACTGTGTTCACATAATACAGCATTGTTCGTTCTTGTGTCCAATTTCCTTTCAATATCTTCCTTGGACTGGGAATCCAGACTCTACGATTGGTCCCAGGGGGTTCAGTCTACTGCAGGGACTTTTTCCCTTATTCATTCTTCTTGGATTCAAGGGAACTAGCAGGAGAGACTGCCCTGCTGCTTTCATGTTGAGCTGTGCGCACAGTTTTGACCTCTCCTTTGTTAAAGGGCGCTTTGTAAATTATGTTTTTTAAAAGATCTACAGCTGTGCTGGTGAGGCAAGATGGCAAAGTTTGTGTTGGTTTTATTTAGGAAGCTTGATATGATGATGATGATGATGATGATGATTTGAAGCATGCATATAAAATGTTGTAGGTTATTTATCTGTATAGGTAAGCAAGTTTTGTAGCAGTACGTCTTAAAATAATGCTCTTTTGGCTAAATGACAGTAAGTTATGTTTTGGATTTATGCTGTTTAGAAATGGGTCTCCTGTATAGGGAAACGGTGTGTAAATAAATACCTGTGCCAAAAAGAAAAAAGAAATATTATCTCTACTGAGATCATCAACATTACTTTGGGAATATGAACTTGTATAAGTACGTCATATGTCATAATCTTCCTGTATGGAGTAATGGAAACAAATGGGCCCTTTGTGGAGCAACTGAGCAAGAGACAAACAAATGAACTAGTTGAGCTTTTCCTAGAGGAGCATAACATTTGCTTTAACTTCATATGTGTGATGAGAAACACCAAACAATAGTCATATGGGGATGATGTTGACCTGGAAATGAAATCAACAAAGGACCAGTGCTTCACAAGAAGGAAAGGAGCAATTGCCACAGCTACTGTGTTTCGACTCATAGCCATTGAAAGGGAGTTAGCTTTAAATTACATTCTTGTGCCTATCAGCCCTCCTTGGGCAGTAGGACTTGAACCCAATCTTTTTGGATGTGTCTATACATTTGTTCTGTGCTTCTATATGGAAATTCTTCAGCAGGCCCAAATAGTTCCGTATGGTATGACTCAAGGGGGTCCAAGGATGATGGTCTGTAGAATGTGGCCTGGGGGATTTGTGTTTCCTGTTCTGTAATTCAACGATGCCATGATGAACGTGGTGCCCCATTTGTCATCCTTTCTGGCTATAATGTTGGAATTGTTTCTAAGGCTGTATTGGCATTATATTCTGCACGGTTGAGATTATACTTCTTGCTGACAACCTCATCCTGGATCTGACAATGGAAGCCTTCTGTGTTTAAATAAATAAATAAACCTGGTTGCTATTGCAACAGGCGTGATCATGCAGAATCATTAGTGTTGAGAAGATAGTGCAGCAAAAGTACTGCAAACAGTGAATTGTGGTAGAAATATTCCTTTTAATAGTAACTTATAAAGCATGTAGAAATGTCCAAGCTCTGTACAGCACTTAGATTGGACATAGACTGCAGATAGGAATTATCTAAGAGACACAGTGCAGAAGGAATAAGGAATGGAGAGGAAAACAAGCATTGGCGCAGAGTTCTTTATGGCAAGGAGGACGGAAACAAGTTTCCTGTAGCTTCTGCTTCTCTGATTGATAGATGGGGCTAGGCTTGCCTGTCCCTTGCAATTATGTTCATCCTGAGAAGTCTTGGCAGAGCTCAGAGCATGCTTCCCTTTGGCTCTGCCCTCCCACAGCACTCCTTGTGCCATAGATAGCAGAAACAAACAGCCAGGTTAATGTAGAACTGCACACACACACAAAGTGGAGCAGAAGAGCGATTATTCAGCTAGGACAGACACGTCTGCCTGGCTTGTGTATGACTGGCTAAATTAATAACATTAATGGTTGAGTTAAGAGTGCCACTGTTACAGCCCTTTTTAGCATGGACAAACTCTAATGGTCTGGTATACTTTCCTGTAGAAAAGTCAGGTGTGTGTTGTTCATGACGTTTTAACAAGGATTAGGGATGGAGACGCAATCTGTATCTCCAGTTGTGGGGGTAAGGATTCTGCAGGGGTACTAGGCACATCATAGTCTCATCTAATTGCTGTTTCCCAGGTGTGGGTGCAAATGAAGCTTAAAGGTGAGACAGGTAGTGTGCCAGAAGTGGGTCAGTCCTGCTTTGCACAGTATGCTTCTTAGGATAGTAGGCTGCTCTTTGAAGGAAAATAGAATGAGAGTCTCTCCTCTCTTGCCAAAATAACCTTCAGTTGAATTACTAGTCCTAAACTTGCATGCAGCCAACATTTTCCATTCATTTATCTCTCCCTTCATGTGCTAGGTTTATTATGCATAATGCTACTGTTTCGAAAAACAATGTTTCCTGATGTTTGTGTAGTCTAATACATGACATTCTGAACATTGTTAGTTTAGAGGTTTGCTTTTTTACTGCCGTAATGCTAAAATATTAATGTGTAAAATGAGAATAGGCAAACACTAGATTAAATTCTAGAATAGAACTTCCACTGGTAGCTGTGTACTATAAACAGCCACACAATGTGACTTACGTATTTTCCGTTGAACCCAGTTCCCAGGAACACATATTTCCCTCTCATCTTGCTTTATTTATAATGCTGCCTTGAGTGTTGTTCAAAATGCAAGGTGGGAGCCCCATTCTTTCCCCCCATTTCCTCCACACTGTTAGCAAACTGTGCTCCTAGTTCTACCTAGCGAGGTCTAGTTAACATTTGACTCTACCATTGTGTGAAACAAATCACTCATGAAACCAGTATCATGTCCTGGTGGCATAGAGCACATCTGGTTGAATCTGGGACTCATACTGTTTACAGTGGAAAGTAATCATACTGTGTAGAGTATTTTTTTCCAGGCTGCCTTAAATGCAGCTCTATAATTCTCCCAGGATACTTTTGTTAGTTTCAGTAGAACTCCTGGTATAACGTCATCAGCTTTAGCAAGGAACTGTTTAGCAGCCACTGGTGTGTGAAATAACGGAAAGCCTGAAATGATTTTGCATGTGCTACTGAGCATTTACTCTACCTGCTCAGAATTTGCAGAATGTAGTTTAAAATTCCCTTGAAATGTGCCTATGCAGCATCCTAATCATGGAATAGTTCATTCTTTAGAAACAACTTTTCAGGAAACTGAGAGAATGAAAATACGGTTTGCAAAACAGTCCTAGAAAGGTTTCCTTGAATCACGCTATTATCTACTACTGTTAGCAATGAAAACATAATGTACCATATTTTTCGCTCTATAAGACGCACCAGACCACAAGACGCACCTAGTTTTTGGAGGAGGAAAACAAGAAAAAAAATATTCTGAATCTCAGAAGCCAGAACAGCAAGAGGGATCACTGCGCAGTGAAAGCAGCAATCCCTCTTGCTGTTCTGGCTTCTGGGATAGCTGTGCAGCCTGCATTCGCTCCATAAGACGCACACACATTTCCCCTTACATTTTAGGAGGGAAAAAGTGAGTCTTATAGAGCAAAAAATATGCTAAGTTTTGATAAAGGACACAGTTGTCTATATTTGTTAGTAATTTATTCTTTCATTAAAATTTATATGCCGCCTGATGGTAAAAAAGAAAAACAACCTCAAAGCAGCTTACAAAAGATAAAACAGTAAAATCAAGAAAAAAGCACAGCCATACTTTAAAACATACAGAAGTTAAGATACTAAAACAGATTAAAATGACCTCAAATTTCTAAGCATATTGGTTTTTAACAAGTGTCAAAAGGAATACAGTGAAGGCACCTGCTTGCTCTCAGTAGGCAGGGAATTAGAAAGTGTAGGCACTGCCACACTGAATGAAAGAGTTCTTACAAATGCAGAATAGCACCTGTAGTAGTGCCAGTTCTGACAATTGATGCAGTTGAGTGGGTAAGGCGATCTTTTATAAAGACAGATTTCATTCATAAGTTTATTAGCACTTTCCCCCCTTTTTTTCTACTGCTTACTTCTGTAAGCCGTCATGACCTACATCTTCACTACTACAAAAGAGAAGGAAGTAATTTGATTTCCAAGAAGCGTACTGAATGGGAATAGGAGTGCTTTATTATAAGAGAGTCAGGAGAAGAATACTGACTCGAACATAACCACAGAAGTCAGAGGAACTAATCGTTTCTGTGGCTTCAGTGGATGTGTTCTCGTCAGTATAACAGTGGATAGAACTGAACTCAGGATGTTGCAGCAAACTGGGTGGAGTTTCCTGAAATGGTGCTCATAATGCAATCCCACTCATACAAAAACATACCCTTAAACATGATTTATTGGAAAGCGAATTGCAAGTTGTGATGCTTCTATCAAACATGAGATGGGCATATCTACATTAAGAATAATGTATGTTATCCAACCATGCTGCTTAGCTAATGGTAAGAATTATGTCGGTAGAAGGTGAGGGAATATATTTTGGGCAATTCTCCTCCCTGCAGCCCTTTCCAAATCTTCTGGAGCAGATCAGGGGAAGGGGACATCTCTGAAAACTGCTTCCCTTCCTGTTCTTCACTGTCTGCTGAGCAACAGCATTGTATACAGCCTATTGGCATTTCTCTGACTGATTGAAGCATGAAAATACTCTTTTTAAGGCTGTGTAGCAGATGCTAAAGAATGGCAGGTTTCATCCAATTCACATTAAGGTCTTGTTTTGAGAAAATATATTGTACCACTTCAAATACCATTTTAGCTTTTCTAAGACAGTGTGTTGCTCATGTTGGTTTTCTTTTGCAGGTAATCTCCTTAAAGAAAACACCAGAAGAAGCTTACCGAATACTTTTATCCGGATCTAATCCACCATATCTTCCATTTAGGTATGGCTGCCGCAGTAATAATATCTAACATTTGCCTAGCACTTCCATGTGTAATGCATTATCTAGTCGCAATCCTTAACAACAACCCTATAAGATAAGTATGTATTTTTTATCCCCCACATTTGCAGGGGGAGCCTAACAGACAGTGGTTTGCCTGCAGCCTCCTAGTGAGTTTGTGGCAGAGGTGGGAGTCAACCCAGGCACTTCCTGATTCATTGCTCAGCCTCTTAGCCATTACATTATGCCAGCTGTAGTTACAAATTAAACAGATTAGCTTCAAAGCTTCTAAATAGGTGTTTGAGGCTGGCATATTGTGTTGCAGTCGCTGCCTAGCATTTAAATTACCATGATACATGAATGATGTTGTGTAGCTTCTTTTGGGCACCATGATACTCTCTTTAGTCTACATTTCTCTTGCTTCATTTTTGGACCTGTTTTTCTAACTGCTTTCTGTTCCTTTCTCTTGCTACCCACCAAAGGTCCAAAGAGCTGTACATGCTCTAATTTTTTTTTCTGGCTCCCTACTGTGTTCCTTCTCCCACATACCACCTTACCACCTCCCAGTAACAAGTCTCTGGAAGATTGCCAGCACAGATATTTGTGGAAGCTCTGCTAGCACCAATGTTGACAGATTTTGGGCACCAGGTTAAAATGTGCTGTTGTTTTTTTAATCCTCCCAGGCATTTGGATCCTAATATTGTTGGGGTTCTTGTGGCTATCTCAGTTGGAATCCTTGTGTTGTGTGAGGGAAGGGCATTTTTGCTTGGTTTTGGTGATTGTGGATCATCGGTTTTAGTGTGTTGTTGATTTTACACATCATACATATTTGTGGTTGCATGAATGCTATTGTTGTAACTCACTTTGAGACTTTTCTGGTAGAAAATGACAAATAAATTCAATGATTAATATTACTTGAATGGTTTTGGCTTCATTGATAAAAATTAGCTAAACTTTCGCTTTTGTGTTCTTTACTGTGTCATTTGGTACATTTCTGCATATTAAATATACATGTCTTCTTTTCAACCAGATTTAAGAGGCTATGTCTCCAGGCTTGTATTATGGGCTTGTAACTTCTGAGGAACTGATTTGCACTTCACCGCAAAACCTAAAGAGTTAGGTTTAGATCTAGTTAAATAAAAAATGTAGGTCCAACATGGGCTTGACGTGTCTGCCACAGCCTTGGAGCCTTATTGAGACAGATGTGAGTCACAGATGCCAATGAATTAAGTTTGACCGTTAGGTAGATAGTGACAGAAGCCGTTCCTTTGTCATTATCAGAATGACTTTCTACCTTCTGCCTGAAAATGTAGGAAAGAGTTCAAGGATAGGTACATAAGGCTGGCGTTTCCTGACAGTCGTTTTCATTAGGGCAAAATTGCTGCTGATTTAGCTGCTTAAAGAAGCTGGCTGGGTGCCAAGCATCAAAGCTTTCTCAGCACAGAAGCTATTTGTAATACCTGGAGTTTAGATAGCTGCCAGGAATGTATTCTGAGCTGTAGGCATCAAATATTTAAAGCAAGAGCAACTTATCAATGATAGCAATGCTATTTTGAAGCCTACATAGCTACTGTGTATGCTGACTTGGTGGGGTCAGTGCATGGAACATGGTAGTTCTAACACATACACTGTTTAGTTATTTACTTGTTTTTTTAGTTGAGAGCAGAACTGACTTGTGCTGCTTGGTTACTTTTCTCCTGGAGCCTGCTTATTCATTATAGGCCTCCCAGTGCCAATTGTAAAGCGTTTGACACAAACTGCTTGTTTTCCCCTCTGAAATCTACCTGAGAAGGGACTGGAAGCGCGGCTCAAACATGCACAGTCTCTTCATTGTGTTCCCCTGCAGGAATACCCAGTTTTCCCTACCTAGGTATGATTTCAAGAGAAATGCATGTCTGAATCTAGTTGAAAGGTATGAATGGAAGAACAGAAAAAAGATACATATTTCCATGATCCAAATCAGCTTGTTGTTTGTTCCGGAACAACAAAAATGCTTTTCTTCATTTGTAAAGATTCTCAGTTTAAATGACTGGATTCCGGGATTTCTCAGTCTAATGATCCAAGAAGGACCAGTTACGGGATGCCATTATAAGACACTTTTAGGAGATTTTTACATTGTGATATCTATTTAATGGGGAGGGTTCTTGTAATTTTGTTTATAAGGCAACATGCCTGCCTCTTGTGCTTCAAGGAGCATTAAGAACAGCTTACAAATCACATAATTAAAAACAAAGCCAATACTGAAATAAACAAACAATCATAAAGTACTCCTGGGCCTAGAATCAATAATCAAAAACCAGAACCAATTCTAGGAGGCTATCTAGACCCGATGCCTGATTATCTAAAGTGAATCAGATTGCTGGGTATCTTGAGATAATGAATTCTACAATCCATATGCTGCTACTGAGAAGACCTACTCTCAGTCTGTTTTCTGCACCTCGTAGGCACCAGGAGACAATCATTGCACGATCGAGTCTCTTGAAATATGTAGTATTAGTTTTCATTCAAATAGATCTGGTTTCATTTAGCTCAATGACCTGGAAAATCTTAATCTGCTTAGAAATTCAGACATCATTTCATTTTAGGACTGTAGAGGCAAAAGACTGCTGAAATATCAGTATTCAGCTAGATCATATATACCACACAGCCAGGTTCCAACCTCTGTGCATGGTGGAAAGACAGGGGAGAAGTTAATGCTGGCTGAAGGGATTAATATTGCATTGAGGGCACTTAACATTAGGTTTTTAGTCAAATCGCTTTATCAATGCCAGACCTTCTAGCTTCCCAAAGGATCTGTTGCAGTGAAATACGACTGCATTCTTTCACAATAGGCAGTGGTACCCATTTTATAATGCTCAATATTTTGTTTTATAGAGTTTTCATATATGGAAGTGCATACCTCCAGTTTTTCTGCTTAGCCTTTGCCCCTTCATTAGGCAATACAAACCACTGAGGAGAGTCTGCCACATGCGAATTGCTTTCTATGCAAGTGACTGAGACTGCCAGTAGACTGCAATAAGGGGAGGTTCAGCCGAATCTGCCCAGTGCTCCCTTGTCTCTGCCTCTTTGCATTCCAGTGGTGCCAGATACAGTCACCTGTGGCCGGCCCAGGCTACAACAGCTGAGTAAACATTGAGAGCAGAAAAGGACCAAGCTGTATCGGGAAATAGGTGTACACGCAGCTGTCCTTCCTGTTCCAATTGGAAACCATGGGTGTCTTCCAAAGGCAGTCACTTCCACTCATTCAGAAAACTCTTGATTTTAGTTATTTCCACTCTGCCTCTTTAAGGCAAACTCTCACAAGGTAGTTTACAATTAAAATGTCAAAAACAATACAACAATGGAGTATCGTAATAATACAGCGAGGGGCATTTGAATAGAAAGAGTGACAGATATAATTGTCAATAAAAGGCTTGGTGGCATATAGAAATCTTTGAATCTCCTTAAAGGCCACAAGAGGGGACCCACAGAGTTCACAGCAATTGCACAGGTGTGGGACCACCACTGGGAAGTCCCTGGTACCCACCAGTCTGGTCAACTTTAACAGCAGGCAAGAGAGCATTGCTTCATCATGTTAAAGTATATCTAGAATGTTATGTCTACACTATCCATGGCTAACCCAGTGCAGTTTGCTGCCTAAAGCAAAGGACAAGATGGCCCCCCACTTCCAATTCCACATAGAGAAGCTGGCTGGACTGGCGGTTTCTGGTAGAGCTTGTCTTAGCACCAACCTAAAGCAGTTATGCACATGCAAATCAATGAGTTGGGGGGTGGGGTCTGGTGTTTAAAACTTGAGTGAAATTATGGGTAGTATTGAACTAAACTTTACTCAGAGTAGACCCATTGAAATTAATGGATCTAATTTTGTAACATTCATTAATTTCTCTGAGTAAAACCTAGTCGAATACACTCAATTATTTTCTTAAATGTTTGGTGAAATGCCATAACTTTATTTTTATTTTATTCCAAACCCACCACCACCACCACCATTTGGGGTCTTAGTGAACCACTTAATGGTTTCTCTGCTTGCTATGGCATTTGTAATTCCATAGAATTTGAATTGTAAATACAATACAACCTAAGAAATAAAAGACGCAGTAAGAATATAATTAACAATCAATATGAGTATTCAGTGCAGTAGATGTGCAGCCTTCCATCTTCATTCACAAATCCACATACTATTGGCTACCAGAATAAAGCTCGCAAACCACTGGTGGCCCACAGTTTGTGAACCACAGATCTAGGGTATGGTCATTGGTTTTATTGGGACTGACACTTTACCCTGTGATTCCTGGATAAAAAATATATGTGCTGGTAAGTTTTGCATCTCTCTTTATAGACACTAATTTTTATAAAAGAGAGGAATGACGGTTCACTTGAAACTTGGCATTGGTAGGTGCATTTCTTTCAAAAGTAGGACGGGGAATATTTAAGGCTGACTCCATTGCAAGAGTTTAGTAAAGCACATACTTTAAAAGATCACTATACACAAATGGTGTACAGCATTAGAGAATGTTTGGCACGTGAAAGCATTTGTTTGCAAGTGTAGTCTATAGTGACAGTTGCTGCTGTGGAAGGGATATATGGTGTTGCCACAGCTTTGTTAATAGTATATGGCAAAGGCTTTCTGGGCTTGCCTGAACTTGCTGGATTCCTATGCAAAGGAAAATAAAGACAAGTCTTTCTGAAAGCTTCCTTTCGAAAAACCATTGCATTAGTATTGGTAGGTAAATTTTTGATAGGAAAGCTTCTAGAAACAACAAGACTACCTTTGTTTTTTTTATGGTGTTATGTGGCTCTTTCAGTGTTTAAAATCAGGGACATCCAGCTTATTGGTAGAATTGCTAAAACTCCTCCCATAGTGTCACACACACCAATATGCGGGGGGGGGGGGGCACTGACTGCTATAAAGATAATTCCACCGAAACAGGACCTTCCCTGCATAACTTTTATTTATCCCCCCCCCCAGATGTTCATTACTTACTCTTGAGAAAAGGCAAGAAATAGTGACACAACAGAATGGTGTAAAATTACACACGAGATGGAGAAAGCAGATAGAGAACAGTTTTCCCCCTCTTCTCTTAACGCTAGAACGGGGGTCAGCAAACTTTTGCAGCAGGGGGCCAGTCCACTGTCCCTCAGACCTTGTGGGGGGGCTGGACTATATTTCTTTTTTTGGGGGGGGGGAATGAGTTCCTATGCCCCACAAGTAGCCCAGAGATACATTTTAAATAAAAGCACACATTCTACTCATGTAAAAACACCAGGCAGGCCCCACAAATAACCCAGAGATGCATTTTAAATAAAAGGGCACATTCTACTCATGTAAAAAAGGCTGATTCCCAGACCGTCCACGGGTCGGATTGAGAAGGTGATTGGGCCGGATCCGCCTCCCCCCCCGGCCTTAGTTTGCCTACCGATGCACTAGAACCTGGGGACATCCAGTGCAGCTGAATGTTGGAAGATTTGGGACAAGCGCTTTTTTCACACAGCCCATCAACTATGGGATTTGCTCCTACAAGAGGCAGTTTTGGCTACCAACTGGGATGGGTTTAAAAGAGGGCGAGACAAATTGACGGAGGAGAAGGCTATCAGTAGCTGCTAACCACAATGGCTACGCTTTGCCTCCGCGCTTGGAGACAGCATGCTTCCGAATACCAGTTGCTGGAAAAATAAATACTGTACATACCAAGTGAATGATAGCTTATAGCCATGCTGGGGAACCCTTTTTCAAGCAGAGGGCCATGTTCCCTTCCAAGGCTGCATGCTGGTGGTGGATGGAGCAGAGACAAAAATGAGTGGAGCAGTAAATGTAAATATTACCTTTGTTATGGTAGACTAAAGGTAAAGGTAAAGGTACCCCTGCCCGTACGGGCCAGTCTTGCCAGACTCTAGGGTTGTGCGCTCATCTCACTCTATAGGCCGGGAGCCAGCGCTGTCCGCAGACACTTCCGGGTCACATGGCCAGCGTGACAAGCTGCATCTGGTGAGCCAGCGCAGCACACGGAAACGCCGTTTACCTTCCCGCTGGTAAGCGGTCCCTATTTATCTACTTGCACCCAGGGGTGCTTTCGAACTGCTAGGTTGGCAGGCGCTGGGACCGAACGACAGGAGCGCACCCCGCCGCGGGGATTCGAACCGCCGACCATGCGATCGGCAAGTCCTAGGCGCTGAGGTTTTACCCACAGCACCACCCGCGTCCCAATTATGGTAGACTACCCTCACTCTATTCTTTGAGGCAAACAGAAGTTGTTTTCGGGGTTCAATGACACATTCTAGCCAGGTAAAAAGAAGGAAGGAATAAGATGTGAAGTCAGGCCTGAAGTTCTCTACCCCCGGCTTATAGGTTTGTAGTGTCTGAAATCTTGAATACATGTTCAGTCTTTCTTCAGGAGAATAAGTTGTCAGTGGGAATAAGGATTTACCCACAAAGGATAAGATCTCTCACTACAATATAAAACATGGACTTGGTATCTGGGCAGCAGTATTAGGTGCCTTGTAATCAGACATCGTGAATAAAGGGCTTATTGTACACAGAGGGATAAAGCCAGTATTTACATGCAAGTGGGAATGGAACGGCTGAAAGAAAGTGTAAAGGTGGTACGAGGTTTCTAGAAAAAACAGCTTTCAGGAAGAAAATTCCCCTTTTCCACTTCACTTTCCTCTACCTAGGCACAGAATCTGCAGCAATCTTAGTAGCACCTTGCACAGAGTCAGGGCTTGTGCTTGTGGGCGCACTGTTGCCATAATATACCAGTCGGCCTGGGGCTAGGGCCTTTGTATATACTGTTCTCTAAAGCTGAAATTCAGCACCAAGGATGATACATCATATGCCAAGAGAAGCTGGATTCTGCTGGGTTTTAAACCTTGAAAATACACACAGGTCTGTTTCCCACCCTTACTCATAGAAAACAGGAGACTGTTTGTTCTTACCCTATCCGTTGGGGTGTGATGTTTCTTCAGCCATTGCCTGTCTTTGCAGTTATAAGCCCCAGAAATTTGCTTTTTTCAGTGAAAGCTGACAGGTCCTCAGGATGCTGAACTGAGTGGACCACGCAATTAAGCGGAAGAGCAAAACATGATAGTGATCAAACAGCAGAAGCTGAAGCCTTTAAACACTTGGGTTTATTACATTCCAGTAGAAATTATCATATAAAAAATATAGAAGGTATTCTCTTTTGCACACACTTGTGTTAAAATGTGATGTGAGGAGTATTCAAGTTAACGGTTCACATTGAATAACTATTGTTTATTTTGTTTCATAAACTTTATACACCTCTGAAATGTAAAAAATCCTCAAAGCGGTTTATAAAAAGATAAATTTACTAGCAATTAACAGCAAGAATATAAAAGAAATCAAAATATTAAAACCAGCAATAAACTACAAAAACAGATTAAAACACAAATTACCTATCCAGAGTTTTATTTCAAGGTCAACGTTGTTGCAGATCTGGAACCTGGTACTCGAGAAAGCTCAGCTTTGGCCCTAGAGCTGCCATGTTTAGTAAAAAAGAAAAAAGGGGGGGGGAATCAATTGTATCTTTTAAAAAAATCAATTGATTAATAGAACGGCATACTTTCAAGAAATGGTTTCGGTACAATTGGCAAATGATTATCAAATTGCTTTGTGGCTTTATTGTGTGAATAATAATAATTATAAATAATTATAAATTAATCTGGTTGTCTATAATAGCAGCAACTTCTCGCTGATGTTACTGGTGGTTCTGGTAGTCTTGCCCTTGATAAAGAGGAGACCATTCCTGGAATCACCCTTTGCCTCCAAATCCCATCAGCTCCAGGAGCAGATCAGTTGACCATGTCCAGGACAGGGCATTTCCTGCCAAGACAGTTGACTTGATGGTTGTTAGAGTCCTTTATATAGCAGCTTAAGAAGCTGGTACACAATTGTCTGAACACAGCCATTTTCCCCCCCTGTGAGAGTTGTATTATTCATAAGCAGATCTGATTAAAACTCGTGATTAATCAAGTAACACTTTTTACGTTGGCCTTGCAGAGTTCATCAGAGAATGTGCATGTTATGCTTTTCCTTCTTGAGAGTAATTGCAGCCTGCTTTCACACATCTGGGATTCCTTGCACATCTGGCATTCAGATTTTGCATTAAACATCCAATCATTGCCTATTGCAAATTCAGGTTCCCTTGAAGCTACAGTGGTGCCCCGCAAGACGAATGCCTCGCAAGACGGAAAACCCGCTAGACGAAAGGGTTTTCCGTTTTTCAATGCGCTTCGCAGGACGAATTTCCCTATGGGCTTGCTTCGCAAGACGAAAATGTCTTGCGAGTCTTGAGATTTTTTTTCGCTTCCCCCCTTTTTCTAAGCCGCTAAGCCTTTAATAGCCGCTAAACCGCTAATAGCGCTAATCCGCTAAGCCGCTAATAGGGTTGCTTCGCAAGACGAAAAAACCACTAGATGAAGATACTCGCGGAACGGATTAATTTCGTCTTGCGAGGCACCACTGTACCTTTACAACATCCTCCATTAGCTAGTGTGGTTAAAATACTTCTTAATTCGTTTAGCATTGCTTGCCTTAGCCGTATTATGGCAACTAAAGGGGAAAGGACAGCTGGACATATAAAGGGCCCCATTACCTTCAGTAGCTCAGGGCCTCATCAAACCTAAATCCGGCCCTGAGAGTAGGCCTATTGAAATCAATGTCCATATCTAACTTAAGGCCTGTTAATTTCATTGGAGTGAATAAGCAGTTGCTCCAATACTTGCCTTCCTTTCCCCTCACCATCCTTTTTCCCATTTGTTATTTTATCTGTTAGATTATCTTTTACAGACAATCCCTGTCTTAGAAAATGTTAGGTTCTTTGTACGATAATAATAATTATAATAATAGGCTTTCAGACTAATACTGGTTTCTTAGCAAGTATCTAGCCTTTTTTCTTCTTTAACTAGCCCTGGCTAGACTGTCCAAAACACAGTAAAGCGTCGCTGAATGATGAATGATTAAACAGGAATCTATATTTAGATTTGGATTCTCAAAGCTCAGGAGGTCATGTCGTCAGCTTGACTTTTCCCACGCAAACGTTTCAGGCGAGCATTATGTACGGACTAAGTTTCAGTAGCCAGCATATGGTGCATTAGCAAAAGTCTTGCTTCTGCTGCTTCTGTGAATAGACTTTCCAGATAAATGCCATACATATTCTAAATACAGTATTACAAAAACTCATTAAATAGTATTGTCAATGGATGAAAGATCATTCTGCAGTGCACGGGCAAGGTTTCTCTTTAACTTGGTTCCTGTCGCTTCTTCTTTTGTAGCAGTTAGTAATATATGTGTGTCAGGGAGAAGATGCAAATAGCCCTCTTAGAGGTCAGAGGTGTGGGTGCACATTAAGACATATCTAAGAATACTTATAATGGAAAACTGCAGAGTATTGAAATTAGACTTGAAAGTGAATTATTCTCCCAGCTATTTGTGCTGATCCGGTGAAGCACAGCCAAAACTGCTATCTACATTGTAGTTCTAATTTCCCAGTTGTGGTGACCACCCTAGATTTATTAATATCTATTTAAATGAGGTGAAAATAGTCCAAGCAAAGTCTGTGGAGTATCCATTTTAAGTAGAATTGCCAAACATTTAGGAGGATATTGTTTCAAATTATTTTTATGCTCCATTTTTGTCTTCAGTGTTATACTCCCTTTTTTTTTTACATAAGTATTTTAAATGCCGAGGAGTGGTGAAGTATACATAGAGAAGCGGAGAACTATCATCTTAATTGTAATTTGAAATACTAGTCCTGTGTGCTATGTATAGTCCCGATTTTGAGTAATCTCATATATGTGTGAGGCTTCATAGAATCTTATGAAACAAACAAACAAACAAAACCTATTTCTTAATCCGGGAACATATAGTGAATATAATAGTCTGAAAAGCTGGTTTGGGAGAGCATCATTTACCTTCTCTTCTTTCTGCCTTCAGCTTTCTTTTGCATCATGTTCCATTCAGTCTCTGGAGGGAACTGTGATTTAAAATAGTAGCAGTAAAATACACTTGAAAGGTGTCTGTAGGACTAATTCCAGAAGCGTGAATTATATTTAAGTAGCCAGAAGTGCAATGACTAAGGTGCTGGACTGAGGCCAGGGGACCAAGGTTCATATCCCCACTCTGCCATGAAGCTCACTGGATGACCTTCGGCCAGTCTCTCTCTCTCAGGCTGGCCTACCTCATAGGGTTGATGTTACGGTAAAGTTGAGTGCAATGCAGGAGAAACATGTATGCTTCCTTGTATACATGGTATACAAAGTATACATGTAGCTAATAATCAATAATAAAAATCAATTAGTTTCTATTTGAGTTCATCCTATTAACATTTTAGATGAACTTACCATCAATAAATTGAGGAGAATTGTGTGTAGAAGTGTTTTCATGTGTAACCTTCATGCTGAGGTTCAAATTTCAGAAATTTAAAATATTGCCATTTACTAAAATGGGGTATGATAGGTAGATGTTTTTGTATTTATCTGGAATATGCTGATATTTCTCTTTTCATAGGGATGCCTCATTTGGGAACAGTACATATAATCTAACTATTCTGGATTGTCTACAAGGAATAAAAAAGGTAACGTCACAAAATGCATTTGAAAAAGAAATCATATCCTAAGGCACATGCAGGTAAAAAGGTAAAGGACCCATGGATGGTTAAAATCCAGTCAAAGGCAACTATGGGGTGTGGCGCTCATTTTTCTTTAGGCCGAGGGAACTGGCATTTGTCCACAGACAGCTTTCCGAGTCATGTGGTCAGCATGACTAAGCAGCTTCTGGCTCAATGGAACACCGTGACGGAAACCAGAGTGCACGGAAACACCGTTTACCTTCCACCGCAGTGGTATCTATTTATCTACTTGCACTGGTGTGCTTTCAAACTGCTAGAGCTCTGAACTGCTGACAGGTGCACTATTCAGTTTTAGCAGATTTTTTTGTAGTGACCTATAGTGGATGCCCTCATTGGACAAAGCGACAAAACTGCTATATCAGCTAGCCCTGCTATATTATCAGCTGCTATATTAACCCACTCTGACATTAGATGTGGCATCCATACACGTGACAGTGTCTCAGGTTTTTGCTTCCTTCCTCCCTTCCCTCCCAGCAACTCCCCAGGAAGTCAGTTTCGGGCGGGTTATATCAGAACTTTTATCCTTTTTAGGTAAAATAACGGCCGCATCACAACCACCACTGCTCGGGATGGCATGAGTGGCAAGGCTTTATATACAGTGGTGGCTCCACAACTCCATTCAGCCCCAGTGCTCTCTTGACTGGGAGTTAGGATTGCTCCCTGCATTTAAGCTTTTAGTGTATACCATACATTCAGTGTAATTTCAGCTGTCTCTCCAAGTATAGGGCCCAATGTTTCTGATTTTCGGAAACCAGAATAAATTAACTAAAATGCATTTTCAGCTCACCCTGCTCTGTGCTTCTAATGTTATCCAACAGAAACCAACAGCCTTATCATTGCCTTTTTAAAAGTATAATGATAAAAAATAATATCTGGTAATGCTGCTTCTCCACATCATTTAGATCTAAATAATGTTTTGTAAGCAGCTCTTGTATATTTACCATACCATAGATACCCAGTACGTTTCCAAGCACAATTCAAAGTGTTGGTGTTGACCTTTAAAGCTCTAAATGGCCTCGGCCCAGTATACCCAAAGGAGCATCTCCTCCCCCCATTGTTCTGCCCGGACACTGAGGTCCAGCTCTGAGGGCCTTCTGGAGGTTCCTTTACTGCGAGAAGCAAAGTTACAGGGAACCAGGCAGAGGGCCTACTCGGTGGTGGCGCCCGCCCTGTGGAATGCCCTCCCATCAGATGTCAAAGAGATAAACAACTATCTGACTTTTAGAATACATCTGAAGGCAACCCTGTTTAGGAAAGTTTTTAATGACTGATGTTTTAATGTATTTTTAATCTTTTGTTGGAAGCTGCCCAGAGTGGCTGTGAAACCTAGCCAGATGGGTGGGGTAGAAATAATAAATTATTATTATTATTAGAGATGAATTTTGTAAAATAGCTCAATCATGCCCTAATGGTTAAATGTAAATATATATATAGAGAGAGAGAGAGAGAGATAGTAATAGATCCATTTTTTTTCAAATCTCTTACCTAGCCAGCATAAAGGAATAATAATCTAGCAATTTAAATCTTTCATTGATTCTTTTTAATAATATCTGATGATCCTACTGAACTATTTGATTTGTGTCTGTTCTTTTGAAAATAATTTGCTAGATATTTAATTTGTATACAGTGGTACCGCAGTTTACGAACTTAATCTGTTCCGGAAGTCCGTTCTTAAACCGAAACTGTTCTTAAACTGAGGCACGCTTTCCCTAATGAGGCTTCCCGTGGCCTGTGCCCTTCCACCGTTCTTAGACCGAGGTAAAGTTTGCAAACCAGGACACTACTTCCAGTTTTGCAGAGTTCGTAAACTGAATAGTTTGTTAACAGGACTGTTCTTAAACCGAGGTACCACTGTATTAGTATCAGGAACAGAATGTTTTTAACAATACTATCTACAGTTCATGTAGATTAATTCCAGATCGTTTGGATAGGATGGTATGTCTTACAACCATAAAGTATATTACAGTTCAACAAAATTGGGAATATGGGGACAATTGATTATTCTGATTAGTGTCCTTAGAGATGCATCAAATGCGTAGACACATATTTTCATTTCTTGCTTTACTAACTGAACCCCAAAGATAAATCTGTTTAACCTAATTGCTATAGTTTAAAGGTTCAGTAGCTAAGGCAAGTAATAGAGGAGACAAGGGAGACTCCTAAAAAAACCCAAGAAAAAATCCTATGAAAACTGCCTTCCTTTTGCCCCATATATTTGACCAGCTTGGTGCTCATTCTTGGTTCAAAATGTCCTTTGGGTGGTTGCCTGTGAACTTGACTTTTTTTGCTTTCTAGGCCTTACAGCATGGATTTATTGACTTCAAGACATTTGATGCAGATGAGTATGAGCATTATGAGGTTTGTGCGTCTTCTGAACTGAATAGTTTGCCTGAGTTTCAGCATGCACTTATTAAGCACACCTAGTTCTGCTTTGTGGCGAAGCTTGGGTTTTTCCTAAATTGTAGGTGTCGCATAATTGGTGCGTTGCTGCTTTCTTTCCCAATTACCTTCCAGTTATTGATGCACTTCTTTTTCAGTAAAAGAGCAAATACAAAGAAATGAAAGGCTGCTGAGCGCCATGGCATGATCCACCTATAATTTGATTAGAGCAGGGGTCAGCAACCTTTTTCAGCCTTGGGCTGGTCCACCGTCCCTCAGACCATGTGGTGGGCCGGACTATTTTTTTTTGGGGGGGGGTGAACGAATTCCTATGCCACACAAATAACCCAGAGATGCATTTTAAATAAAAGCACACATTCTACTCATGTAAAAACACCAGGCAGGCCCCACAAATAACCCAGAGATGCATTTTAAATAAAAGCACACATTCTACTCATGTAAAAACACGCTGATTCCCAGACCCTCCGTGGGCCAGATTTAGAAGGCGATTGGGCCGCATCCGGCCCCCGGGCCTTAGGTTGCCCACTCCTGAATTAGAGGATCTCTATTGCATGGTACTGTGCAAATGCCATCCTTTAAAAAAATGAGTTCTCAATATAAGGGGGGGGGGACTCCTTCTCTTCTCGTTTTCTCTTCACTTAATCCGAAGAGGGAAATGTATTCTTAGGGTAGTTGAGTCGTGAGTAATGGCTATTGCATGCCTCAAGTTTACTGCTGCGTCATTTTACTGGGCAAGTAATGTCACTTCTATTTGCCTTGCACAGTATTTTATGTGTTCTAAGTCTGAAACATTGTTGTTTGAAGAGCGTACTTGAGAATGTGTATTTAGAACATGTCTGGTCAAGTTTTTCCAACAGGAAGAGTAGGTAGGTGGATTAACCAATGGTCGTATTGTGAAATGCTTGCACTACTTGTTAAATATTAACTTTGGGGTTAAGTTTTTTTTAAAAAAACCTGATGCTTCCAGAAGCACCACCTCTTGTCCTTCAAAAAAAATTAATTTTGAATCTTTTCTATATAAACTTTTTCATTTAAAATTTGCTGCCTTCATTTCATCTCAATACAAATTGCTAAGAATGACAGTGTCACTTATTTTTAATGCTTACAGAGATTTAGCTTCATGCTGTATCTAAGCAAACACACTGGCCAGGATCTAAAGAATTAATAATAATAATTATAAAATGTGTGTGCCGCTCTTCAGCTGAAGATCTCAGGGCAGTTAGCAACAGAAAAATAAAAAATGAGAATACAAAAATGCATAATAAAACAAAAACAAAAGAGCTGCTTAAGGCCTTACAAGAGGGGGCTTGGACACACCTAGCTGAGTTCTGGAATTCTTTTTAATTTTGCATGCCCTATGACATCCTCTCTTTCAAAAATAACTTGCTATTCAGCATAGGTGCTTGCAGTTGCTAGAAAAGCAAGTCTTAAAGCCACAGTGGGCTCATGAACCTAGTTCCACATGCAGTTCCTTGGATCCTGGACCCTGTTATTCACTTCCCTTAAATCTGCCGTCTGCACCCAATTAAATATGCCTAGGCCTATTGATGACCTTGGAATTCTGTTTGTGTGTATGTAAAATAGAGGAGTGTTTTACAAAATACACAGCAGTGAACTACCACAGCCAACCCTGTCTCTGTTGCAAGTATACCTGTAAAATTAAGATTTTATTAAGTGTGCACTTTAAAAAGGAACATGAAGTGGCTTTCATACATTATTGTGGTACTCTCAACATCTAGGTTTAAAATGGAAGCTATTGGGGATGAACGGTATCCAGCATGCTTGTTCCATTTGTATCCTACCTGATGACTTCAGCTGACTCACACCTCTGCTTCATCTCTGCTTCACACTTGGCATAATAAGAGGCTGAAGCATGAAAGTGATAGTTGGCAAGAAGCTTGTATTTACCACATTAAAAAAACAAAACAAAGCTAATTGGCCTTAATTTGTCTTCCCTTAAAGATTAGTTTTAAAAGTCTTAATCATGTCACAGACTTCAATTGCCGCTCTTAACTGGAGGAAAAGAGATTGAGACACTTCTTTGGTCCTGGAAGAAGTGCTTTGGGTAAAATTTGAGCAAACTGACAAATCTTTCCAAGTAGATATTGCAAGCAGGTAAACTGTACAATGTCAATACAGCTCTCTCTTATGAGCAGACAACAAATGAATTTTCAAAAGCTTTGCAGAAGAGGATGTTGTTCAAAAACTATTGTGAAGATAAATATTTTTCTAAGTCTCTGCTTTTGTTTTCACTAGCGAGTTGAAAATGGTGACTTCAACTGGATCGTCCCGGGAAAATTTTTGGCATTTAGTGGACCACATCCAAAGACCAAAATAGAAAATGGTATCTGTTTTTCCCTGTCTTTTTTTTGTAGAATTGTGTGTATTTTGCATGACTAGTAAATTGACTGTGATCCATTGATTCACATGTGTGAAAAGTAGATATTGAGACCTTGCTGTATGCACAGGAACATTGTATGCACCCCTTTGGAGAACACCATGCTATTTGTGGAAACAATAGTTGTGTGGATGTGTTAAAAAGCTACAAGGGTGCGTCCAAATGGGTGTTTAATGTAAGCTCATGTGCACAAGCTTTTTACAGCAACTACATGCTGCCGTTAGTATCAGTATTGACCCTCCTTATTTAACCTTTTCTGTGGAAGATCAAATAGGTTTTTTAAAAACCCAACCTGTTGCCAGAGACCCATTTGTGCTATTGAGCTGTTGTCTGGAAGTACCCATAGAGGCCAAATGAACATTGTTTCATGTCTGCATTTTTTAAAAAAATATAATTATCTTTAGATGAAAATAGCTTATAAGTGGGGAAGACTATGAACCTTCCTTCTTTCATTCTTAAAACTGGCAATTTGCATGAACTACAAGTTTAATTAAAAACGACCTACAAAGCTAACATCTGGGGAGAAGACAGGCACTGCCTATGAGGACTATTAAACATAAGAGTTGAAAATGAAGGCAGGACGGTTGGAGGGACTAGCCCAGCATCTATAATACCTAGATAATGGTCTTAGATAGTTGTAAGGATTCCTAAAGTTATGTTTGAACATGCTACATAAAATATGAATTCTTTATTGCCAATGAGGCAGATTCTGGGGCAGAATGATCGGCCTTCCTATGAGGTCTCTGCCAGTGGAGTCCAGGCATACAGTATGGCAGACTGAGGACTTCATGAATACATACCCTATGATTCTAATCTAGAGTGAAACCTATACAGTGGCATTATTCCCTGTTTTAGATACTGTACTGGCTAAAATAATACTCACTTCTTTTAGACCAATATGCTAGTTTTCTATTCTCCTGTTCAGAATGAATGTTTTATTCCTAAAAGCAAAAAAAGCAAAAATCCAAACTCAAGTGGTTGGGCACTCTTTTTTTGTTGTAAATCGTTTTCCTTTTGATGCCCAATTTAAGCACAGGGAACATCTTGCTATTAAGAATTGCCCTAGGATATTCTTGTATCTCAGACTCTTGCATCTAGCCTTAAATTTGTTCTGCTTTCTTTAAACAAGCCATAGCTCTTATCAGTTTGGTAGCTACTGAACTACAAAACATATCTTCAAAAGCTATATAAAAAGGAAACTGTGGGGGGCAGCATAGAAAGGAAGAGCATGCATATTTCAATGTGTTGCTGACTTGCTGAGTTAGCTGAGGGAAGAAATAGAAAATACATTAGTTGTTGTATCCCACACAGCTGTAAATGTTCTACTCTAATATACAGATACCTGGAGAGTTTTGTGTTAATGCTTGCTTTAATCAAGTCATTTTCATGGTGACGAGGAAGATGCAAGAATGCTGCATTCTGGTCTACATCTAATTGAAGAAGGGGTTTTTCCACTCATTCTTCTACCCTGTTAGTTGTTCAGCTTCTTGCAACGTTAGCTAATATCATTAGTTTGTTCCTTGTTCACATGTCACTGTTACAGGCTTAACAATACTGTGCAGGCTCCCAGGAATGAGCTTGTAGATTCTTTGCTCCTCCTCGGTATTTTCTGCTTCATGAAGATAGGCCAAGGTTTGGCTTAGCGTGACATCTGAGCAAAGACTCATGGCTGTCTACACACCAACCATGAGCTATAAACCAAGATTTGTTCATGGCTACACCTCATAGTTAGGTGAGAGTGCATAACACCAACATGCTAGGGCAACCTTGACTATGGCAACACAGCAGATATATCTATATATCTATATCTACGTATATCTATCTCCAAGGAAAGACCAAAGCAGTGAACATTTGCACAGTCTCACTAAGCTATATTTGGTTTAATGCGTTGTGCAGACAAAGGTTCTGTGACTGAAAGTTTATTGACTACAATTTTAGGCCACTCAACTTTGTATATTTGCACAGATTTTATTAGGAACGTTTGCCTTCTTTTTACACTATGCTGATTACATTAGTAATGTTCGTTTTTAAACGACAAGTGTTTAAAGTCTGGTGTTGTAGTTGTTGTCTGTACCACTAAGAAGTTTTTGGAGGTCGTATACAAACAGCCAGGCATTCTCGCTCTTCATGTTACAGGCTACCCTCTCCACGCACCGGAAGCCTATTTCCCATATTTCAGGAAGCACAACATAACAACTGTCATAAGACTCAACAAGAAGATTTATGAGGCAAAGCGTTTCACAGATGGTGGGTTTGACCACTACGACCTGTTCTTCATAGACGGAAGCACGCCGAGTGACAGTATATTGCAGCAGTTCTTGACCATCTCTGAGGAAGCAGAAGGTGCCATAGCTGTGCATTGTAAAGGTGAGTTCTTCCAAAAGGAAAAGCAATTCAGTGGTATTGTATTCTGGCACGAAGAGGAATAAATAACCAGGTTTGGAAATAGCATCCTCCGATCTTAATTTTAAAAATGCTGCGTTGGGTAAAATAGTCTAAATTATGAAAAGCTTCGATTGTGATTTTGAGCAGAAATTTCATAATGGTTCCCACTGTTTTTAATGCAGACCCTATTTTATTCCACTGAGTGATGCTATTGCCTCTCTTTTTAGTGAAGCGTGTCTTTTCAATATTTTTAAAAATTATCTTGTAGACATAGAAATTACTGTTCTTATGCTGTTGGGATAGCAGTGATAAATTTCACCATTTGTCTATGGTGTGCTGTGCTCTGCTCAACTGAAACAATTTTTATTTGGAAAGCAGGGATGTAAAAGTATAGTGTTGCCCTTTCCTCTCTCTGTGCTCCTTCTTTCTTATTAATTAGCTGAAAGCAGAGGGCAAGGTGCTTTTTTGGCTTTTGTTCATTTTCTTTTAAAAAGCCAGTCAGCTTCTGTTCTTGGGCCCACAACCATCCTAGAGATTCATTTTCCCTACTGTCTTCTGAAGGGAAAATATCAGTGTTTCTTTTGAACTGGAACAAACTATTCCAGAACAAAACTATTTCTGTCTCAGCCTCTCAGGCTGACCAGGGTTAAAACTAATAAAAGACATTTCACAGGAGCCATGTACTAAGCTAATGAAAGAACCTGGAGAGGTAACAGCATTGGACACCAATTGTTGCAGTGCTCTGTTAGCTGAAGATTACCTTGGCTTCTCCATTGCAGCATGTGCCTGTGCAATTCTCATGATCCTGAATTCACAACCCTAAAAAACACATTCTGGATAAAAATGCATCCCCAGGAAATCATAAACTGCTAGCTGAGGCGATGAAGATCAGCTGTGTTGGTGGCTTTTTATTAGGTGCTGAAATCCTAGTAAATCTTGCACTAAACATGTTTGGGGTGGGATGGGGTGGGGAAAAAAGCAGCTCTAATAAACCATGTGTTGTTTTTTTAAAAAAAAGAATGCTTAGGATGGAGGTACACTGAGAATGAATCAGAAATGTAGCGGAATAAATGCAGATTCAGTGTCACCCTGTATTGTGGCATCCTCCAGCTATGAGCAGCCACAGCAGTGGCAGCTAACGATGTGTGACAGAAATACTCCCATGTCCCGAAATCTTCACACCATGTAAATAAATGGTCTTTCCCATTAAAAGGGAAGGGAGACCTTGACAAGGTAATGCCTTTTTGTGTGACGCCTCCGTGGCAAACATCACATATAGTTTCACTTTTTGCATACGCCTTCAGTTTGACTTGCGCAGCAAATCAGTATACCTTTGTTCAGTAGATTTACCCAGAGCAGGAATAGAAAGGGCAGTGGAGGTTAAGACAGGAATTAGCAGGCCTCTGTGGGATCTAGCAGGATGTTTGTACTACGATGGATTCCTGATGTTTAAAATAGACTTCAGTAATGTTCTTTTGTAAAACATTAGCACATGGTACAAGGAAACAAGTTTTATGAAATATCACACATTTAGAGGAATTCGTTGATATTCTTAAACGCGTGTAGTTCTGTACCTAACATCAATTTTATGTCTCTTCCCCACCCCCCCACCCCATGTTCTCACTGTAGCTGGGCTAGGAAGAACAGGAACACTGATAGCCTGTTATATAATGAAGCACTATAGATTCACACATTCTGAAGCCATTGCCTGGATACGAATGTGCAGGCCAGGTTCTATTATTGGACCCCAGCAGCACTTCCTTGAAGAGTAAGTATGACACCTCTGTTAATCATATAATTTGCTGTTCCACACCAGACACTTTCCCCTCTCTGTAGAGCTTAGCAAGTCTGCTGCATGAATGCCAGATTATTCAGTGACTTTCTTAGAATTCTCTCGGCTGAAATTGCGAGTACGATTCCTGCTCTGTACTCTAATTTATTACAGCTCCGATTTATTGTGTTACGCAGAGTATGATGGCTATTGTAGCTTCAGGGCATGGGTTAAGAAGTTGTAAAGTACTTTAATCCTCCTGCGTGACTTTTTGGCTGAGCATAGTGAGTCAGTATTTTGTGTGCATTTGTAATGTGATATCTTTGTTGATAACCACAGACAGCTCAGTCGGTAGAACATGAGACTCTTAATCTTCGGGTCATGGGTTCGAGTCCCGCATCGGGCAAAAGATTCATGCATTGCAGGGGGTTGGACTACATGACCCTCATGGTCCCTTCCAACTCTACAATTCGTATGAATTGTATGAATTAAGGTATCAGGATGTACTTACAATTCTGTCATGAATGCACATAACTTCTTTCAAAGTGGAATACTGGCCCTTTTCTCCTATGTGTTCTTGAAGAGGGAGGAAAGATCTAAAATATATTTTCTGGATGCACTCAAGCCATAGTACCCATAGAAAAGAAAACCAACAAGAAGTAGTAGGGCTACCCACTTCAGATGATAGATTGGCCATCTGAGTTCCCTTAAGGGATTTGTAGTTGTGATAGTGATGCATTTGGTAATGAAGTCGTAGTGGCGCTAAATATTGTAGCTGGTCAGGGAAATGTGTCAGCAAGGTTCTGATTCCATGCCACACATTCTCCATCATTGTATTTATCCCTCACACATACATGCCACATTACTGATGAAACCCACACATGCTAAAACACACACACACTGCAATGCATCGCCCAAGGGGAAAGGTTAACACAGAGCTATATTTTTTTTAAAAATGTATTCGTGTTTTAATGCTGCATGCTGCATTTTGTTTTCCGAAGGGTAATCTACACATCTTTTAAATAAATAGGTGCTACACAGTCTCTAACTCTCCAAAGAAAACTAATTTGTATGTATATGGAATGTCCCCTTACCCTTCTCTGTGGTATCAGTGGCATTGAGGTTGCATTTCTGGGGGTGGCGCAGTCACCTGAAGCCCCTCTCTCACTCGCTCTAGCTTAAAGTTGAGAAACAATCCGAACTTGTCCTCTATGACGAGTCTCTTGCCCTGTTGCCCCATACATAAGGGGTAGGACTCACCTATCTAGCTCCATCAGCTGAACCCTGCACAACAACTTCTGCTTGCTCCATGGGGCTCCCTCCCCCCTCCCCTCCCCATATGCTCCCTGAAATTGGATCTGTGGAATTGGGAGAACCCCCATAACAGTACATGGAGGGAGGAGAAGGGGGTATCATTCCGTCTGGCTTGCACAGACAGCGCAATTGGAAGATGTAATGGCGTTGCCTCCCATTCCTAGTCTGTGTAACCTTGTTACAACGACTGATTAGCCATGAGAGGACTTTTCAGCCCCACCTCCCATTCATGGAACCGTTGACAATTATCTTAGCCTTGTCTTGAATCTGCTTCACTTGACTAATGCATATATAGGCCCCCTACATTAGCTAGGCACTCATTTGCAAGATGCAGCTTAATGTGACGGTGGGCAACCCCAGGCCAAATGTGGCCATTCCTTGACCCTCTCAGTTTGGCCCTCTGGACTCTTCTCTTGCCCCCGGTACATTTGCCTGGCTGGAATGTGTCCTTGAACTGTGATCATTTCCCTTGCTTGCCCAGAAAGGAGGAAGGAGACTTTGGTAGTCTAGGTATATGTCAACCTCCAACTTTCACATGGCTGGAATGTAACCTGTTGTACAAAAGGAAAGAGTCACATCCATTGCTCTGCCCACCTTTACATCTGGCCCCGCATATCACTGGTATGTAGCCCCAGAAGTTTGCCCATGAGGGGATGAAGCAGCCCTTTGGCTGAGAAAAGTTTACCACCAGCATTTTTATGGCCATTTCCCCTGGGAATAAGTCACTATTTACAGCCCAACAGTAATTAAGCAGAATATGCTAGATATTGTTACGTGGTATCCAGTTATCTGACAGGATTAATCCCACCTCTGATTATATAACAAAAACAACAACAAATTATTATCATTATTAATACTCCGCCCATCTTGCTGGGTTTCCCCAGCCACTCTGGGTGGCTTCGAACAGAAGATTAAAAATACGATAAAAGATCAAACATTAAAAACCTCCCTAAACAGGGCTGCCTTCAGATGTCTTCTAAAAGTCAGATTGTTCTTTATCTCCTTGACATCTGATGGGAGGGCGTTCCACAAGGTGGGCGCCACTACCGAGAAGGCCCTCTGCCCGATTCCCTGTAACTTCACTTCTCGCAGGGAGGGAACCGCCAGAAGGCCCTTGGAGCTGGACTTCAGTGTCCAGTGGAGACTCTCCTTCAGGTATACTGTGCCGAGTGCTGTTTAGGGCTTTAAAGGTCAGCACCAACACTTTGAATTGTGCTCGGAAATGTACTGGTTACTGAAAGGTGCAGAGCTAGGAAAGCTGAGGGCATATTGATATTAGCAAGACAGAATGTAGGCGTTTTAACATCCGAGAATGACCACATGAGCACATTGGCAAATCGGCTGAGAAAGAGGTTTCAGAGTTTATCCTCTTTGCTAAAGGTCGCAAGTTTAAATGCCAGAGATGAACAAAAGTTGCTTTCTCACAAAGCGATGATTCACTGTTGGAATTTTGGCTCTTTTCAGGGAGGTTTTTTTATTAAAAAAAAGTTCCGTTTTTAATGCTTTGACACAAATAACTATCTAGAACAAACATCATAAAACAACAGTGAACGATGCTCCTAATTCATACTGCCACTGTTTTGTAGTTTATAGAAAATAATGCTTTTGACACAGGGAGTTCTGTATTCCTGGCTGTTCCAAAAGGCACATATTCCCTAACTTTGGGATTTAAAAGGTTAAACGCATTGAGTCCCAGTTCTTTTTGTAGTGATAACTTTCTCACCTTTGCAGTCCCTGGATCCCTATGTGAGACAGAAGAATAGCACTCGAAAGCATTTGAAACCTGCTAGAACATATTTTAGTTTTCAGTAGGAAAGCCTGAACAATAATGTTCAGGTCCAGGTGAAGAAACCATGTTTTCTCATTAGTGTCAAGAAGACTTCCTTGCATTCTTTTTTTCAATTGTGTCCTGTACATCTGAGAAGAACACAAAATTCTTTGCTTGCATGAAGCTCTGTGTTGATATCGAAGCTCATCAATGAACATGCAAATTGCTAGACTGGAGTCCTAACCTTCCCTGTAAGAACTGTGCTGTTTAGAGTAAAAAGGATGTCATTGCAGAAGCAGGGTGCAAAGGAACTTGAACTGTTCAGGGTCTCTGTTCTTTTAGATTGTGTTTTTCAGTTGCCCAAAATACTCCAAGCGTTACTTCTGGACAGTTAGCCTCCTAACAAATAAATGCTGGGAAATAATTGTAAACAGTTGTTCACATGCACTTTGCAATGTATGAATAAGATAATCTAAAGGAGAAACAAAAGCTTCCTCGATACTTAGGAGAAAGGATAACATATATTTCACCTCTTAATCTTTGTTCATATGTGACACAGATTCCCAGCATGTTATTTCAAGAGTTAATGGCTTTCATCATCAGCAGTATAATCTCAGATCACACTTAATTATACTGGATATCGACTTCCTCACTCTAAGCAGAAATAACTCCCCCCACCCCATCTTTCTAATCCTGACCTATTCACCAGTTATGTAACCTCCCTGTGGGAGCTTTTCTCTGAGTCAAAGTATGTGGATAATGCTATTTCTTTTGGCTCACTTCCAGAGTTGTCACACTTTGTTCTACTAAGCAAAACTGCAGGGGGGGAAATTGCTTGTGGAGGAAATCAGTAAAATTTAGCATAACAAAGTTAAAAAAAACAACCAGCAACACCCAGCTACATTATTTTTCATAAGTGAAGGAAAAGGCAATGGTCACACAAAGTAACTACTTTTTTTAGATGCATCCTGTTTATATGTGCATCAATTGAACATATTTATATTTTCATCAGTTCATTTCATGAAAATATTTAAAAGCTTATTTAAAATGAACATTTAACGACACAATAAAATAAAATTTTCACAATTTTGTAATGCAGTATATTAGAATTGATTTTTTTTTCCTGGTTATGATAAACTTTCCCAATCAAACGTCTGAAAAAGCAAGAACACCCAAAAGAGACTTCCAGATAAAATTATTTAAAATAAAGTTATGTATACTATAATGAATGATTTCCAATGCTACAGTATGTGTAACCAAGTTGAAAGTCCTATTTTACTGTACTCTACCCTGGGGCTACTCTGCAAAGAAGTCTTAAATATTTTTAGAAATTAATAATTGTTTATACTGTGACTCTGACATGCATTTTGCTGGAACTAATTTTGCCCTTTTTTCACTGTTAAATAGAAAGCAGTCGATGTTATGGCTCCAAGGTGACCTCTTCCGATCCAAACAGAAACCAAGATTAGTAGATGAAGACAGCATGAGCAGAATTCTGTCTGGCTTGGATGACATTTCCATCAGTGGGACTTTGAATAAAATAGAAAGTAATTTGGATAAATATGTAGAGGTAAAATTTCACTGGAATTATCTCCTTAATATCCCAAGTAGAAAAGCTGCAATGGAGTAGTTTTTGAAATATAATAATGCTTGATATACGTCTTTTATCCATCTATCTCACTCTTGTGTGTTCAAAGCACTTCACAGGTTCTCAAATAACTTCATATATTTTACTCCTGTAAAAACTGTTGAGTATTATTATTGCTATAGTACACCGGGGGAGGTATGTGCAAGAAGACTGAGAGAGAGCATGTCTAAGACTAGTTCTTAGAATATTCTAAGTTCTTAGAATAGATGAACATCATCAGTGTACACTGACAATTAACCGTAAATCCCCAATTGACCTCTCCGGTGCCCTCATATTGAAATTAAATAGTGTGGGAGACAACAGTTTCCTGACCCACAAGTGTCATGGGTCCAAGCATTCTTCCCCCAAACTACATCCTGGAGTAGGCCTCTTAACTATTATGTTACTCCATGATATATATGCTAAGGATTGCAGCCAACAAAGCTTTACTCAGAGTAGGCTCATTGGGATTAACAGACCCAAACTATTTCAACAGGTCTACTCTGAGTATGGCAAACATTAGATACCACCTTCAGTGCCCTCACATTATATCCTGGTCTCTCACTGACAGTAAGTTCAAGTTTCCAGGCTCAGTCATAACTGGAATACAAGCCAAGATGTTCATTGTGAAGCCAGCGTGGAAGAGCACTTGGCCCCAGCTTGGGAACTACAACTTATGAAGCCAGGAACGATTGACCAAATGTGTTCCAGTGTTAGCACATTGATTGGCATGCAGGTTAATTGCAAGCTAATGCCCCCCCCCCCAACAACGCAAGGTATGTTGGAATGGAGAGAAAGCAAAATGCGGATGTGGCAAACCTATGTCCAACCTTGCTTGTGCTAACTGACGTGACGGCACTACATTGTGCTTTTGGCCTTTGTCCATCTTAGAACCTGGAACAGCATAAATCCAAAGTTGCCTGAGGGCACGTGTAGCTTTGCTTTTATAATTTGAGCTAGAGCAGGCATAGGCAAACTCGGCCCTCCAGATATTTTGGGACTACAACTCCCGTGATCCCTAGCTAACAGGACCAGTGGTCAGGGATGATGGGAATTGTAGTCCCAAAACATCTGGAGAGCCGAGTTTGCCTGTGCCTGAGCTAGAATATCTCCTCTCAAACCACTGGTCATCAACTTTTAAATTCCAACCTGTTAGATAAGATGCACTCAGCTGCTTATGTGTGAAATATCTCTGTTGTGGACAGCGCACCCTGGGAGGGCTTTGTGGGAAATGGCAACTTAAGCCTGTGGGTTATCTGTGTAGTTGATAATGGGCCCAAAACAATATGGCACAAGAAGGAAAGGTAAATTGCCTTCAAAGGGCTGGGCCCCAGGTAAAGTAAAACAAAAAAACACAATCCTATTTTGAATCTCCTTAATTTTGTTGAACTGTACCTATTTTCCAGAATGAATTGGAAGACACTTCAGAGCAGGAAATCAAGAATGGCATGACACAGGGGGACAAACTTCGTGCCTTAAAACTTCGGAGGCAGCCACGTTCAGCTACAACGGGAACTCTTAGGTGACCCATTCACAGTTCTCATGTTTGGGGAGCTATCTAGATTAGCAGGTGGTATTCCACCAATACTTTAAAACACCTAATTTCACAGGTCTGGCACTAAAAGATTTGTTACTTTGGACAACGACGCCTATCTAGACTTTGACAACAACATTCCCAGGACGTGGGGCGAGAGGCAGGGGACAGCTCTTTGTCTAAAGATGTTAGTTTTAATGGGAAAAGAGGCTTAAAACATTTCATAGAAGTCAGATTCTGAGTTACCTGAAGAAATGTAACTTCGTGTATGAATGTGGCCCACCCACATTCTTACTCTGCAACATCTATCTAGGATTCAGGAAGAGGCGTCTAATCACCTGCTACCTGATCCTTTTGTTTTTACTTGAGATGCCAGGGACTGAACCTCGGACCTTGTCCATGAAAGGCTGTGTCTTCCTTCCGAATGTGGCTCTCTGTGCCTTAAGACTGTTGAAGGAGGCCCTGCTTTGGGTGGTCACTATCTGAGGGGTACAGCATGAGACTGAGGGCCTTCTTAGTGCAGACACATGCCCTGTTGAGCTCCCTCCTCAGGGACATTGGACAAGATCCCAATCTTCCTGAGCATGGGTAAAATGTTTTTCATTTCCTTTCCTTTTTGGGAATCAGTTTCCGGATTGAGAGAGAAATGTGGTGAACAGCCTGGTACTTTGTATATTAGTAAACTCCTATTTCATCAATATGTAGTATTTTTGTTGGTTCTTTAATTAGTTATACTGTATATATTTTAAGGATTTTAGGTTTGGCTGTATAGTGGGAATACGTTTGATTTAAATTGCCATTGATTTTCTAGGCTTGAGGATATGAAACTGCACTCCAGATCCAGGTCCCAGCCTTTCAGGTACTTATTTCCATAGTTCACAGAGAAGCAATTTGGATTATATTTTCACTGACTTTTTGGCAGATCTTGAAACGTCCCGTTTCCCCCTCGCCCTCTCACTTAAAAGTGATTGTCCCTGTAAGTTGTGTGTGTTAGAGCCGCTTCTCATAACACGATTCTTGCTCAGAGAACTGTTGTTGGAATTCGCTCCTGTTAACAGCCTTTTGTAGTGGGACATATTTTATACCTACTTCTCCTTGTGAGCCTGCCGTGGGTATGTTAAATGTCGGGAATGTCGCTTAGCCATTCTTGTGTCTGATTCACAAGTAAATATGTATATAAACCTTTCGTTCTCTTAAAATTATCCCACACTGAAAGTGACTTTGAGCATCATTCCAGCGAGCAAAATGTGTATTCAGAAAGCTGCCCTGACTCATCTGCTTAATGGCTTTAAATGCATTCCTCCACACAGATAAGTGTGGACTTCTGAATGTGAGTCTTTGCAGTGATGTGGTAATTGAAACCAAATCTCTAAAGCAGGGTTCGCTAATCCGTGGCCCTCCACTTATTACTGGAATACAATTCCCATTACAGTGGTACCTCGGGTTACATACGCTTCAGGTTACAGACTCCGCTAACCCAGAAATATTACCTCGGGTTAAGAACTTTGCTTCAGGATGAAAACAGAAATCGTGCAGCGGCAGCACAGTGGCAGCAGGAGGCCCCATTAGCTAAAGTGGTGCTTCTGGTTAAGAACAGTTTCAGGTTAATGTGATGAATTAATATGTTTAATGTTGAATTGTAAAGAAAGAAAGATGTTAAGTGATGAAGTTAATTTTATAAGAATATTGGTTTTGGAAAACTGTTAAAATGATATACAATGAAATCCAATCGGGGATACGAGGAAGTCACTTAACAATGTTATTAAGTTTGGCTTAAATACGGTTGAGATTTATGTTTGTTTGTTTGTTTGTTTGTTTGTCAAAAAAACTTTTTGGGAAAATCAATAAAAGGGGGGGGGGGGAGAGAACAGTTTCAGGTTAAGAACAGACCTCCAGAACGAATTAAGTTCTTAACCCGCGGTACCACAGTATCCCTGATCCCTGGCCATGCTGGCTGGGGCTGAGAGTTGGGAATGCAGCAACATCTGGAATGCCAGAGGTTTCCCACCCCAGCTCTGAAGCCTGCTCCATACATTGTAATATACAGTGGTGCCTCGCAAGACGAAATTAATTCGTTCTGCGAGTTTTTTCGTCTAGCGAATTTTTCATCTTGCGAAGCACGAAATCCTATAGGAATGCATTGAAATTCAATTAATGCGTTCCTATGGTCAAAAAAAGTCCAAACAAAGCCAAATTTGGTACAACAAGAGTTTATTAAGTGCTCTTTAAAGTCACACATACTGTAAAGAGCATTTCAAAAATTGAAAGACCAATAAATTAAGTTTCTAAACATGACAGAAAAACATTTAAAAATCAACAAAGTGTACAGTACATTTTCTAAGACTCTGGGGGACAACTCGAAGAAGGTTCCTCTTCCACTCTTTGCTTCTTGCTGAAGAACCCCCTCCTCAACTGTTCCCCCAGCCACCCACCACACAGAAATTCAAATCCAGAATTTTTTTAAAAAAAACAGCAGAGTGGCCCAATGGTCACAGAAAATCATAAAAATTCAGAAAAAACCACACAAGCTTCCAGATTCTTGCAAACCCCTCCTCAACTGTTCCCCCAGCCAACCACCACACAGAAATTCAAATCCAGAATTTTTTTTAAAAAACAGCAGAGTGGCCCAATGGTCACAGAAAATCATAAAAATTCAGAAAAAAACCACACAAGCTTCCAGATTCTTGCAAACCCCTCCTCAACTGTTCCCCCAGCCACCCACCACACAGAAATTCAAATCCAGAATTTTTTAAAAAATACAGCAGAGTGGCCCAATGGTCACAGAAAATCATAAAAATTCAGAAAAAAACCACACAAGCTTCCAGATTCTTGCAAACCCCTCCCCAACACCAAGTCCTTGAATTCCAAACACCCCAACCCAGAATCCAAAAACCCCCAAAAAAGTTTTAAAAGTTTAACTTACCAAATGGCTGCAAAAGAAGTTTTGGAAAAGCTTCAAAAATCACCAAAGTCTTCAAAAACCTCAAAAAAGGCTACCACACCGCGGTCTATGAGTTGCTCCTCGAAGTCAAGTCGCAACTGTATTAACGGTGTTAAGAAAAAGGAAACAAACTTGCAAGACGTTTCCGTCTTGCGAAGCAAGCCCATAGGGAAATTCGTCTTGCGAAGCAGCTCAAAAAACGCAAAACCCTTTCGTCTAGCGAGTTTTTTGTCTTGCGAGGCATTCGTCTTGCGGGGCACCACTGTATTCACTTGGGTGGCTCTTCATGATTCAGATTATCTCTGTGAGCAGTTTCCTTTACAGTTAGATAATGAAAAAACCCAACATCCTGAAAATTAGGGATGGGGTTGAATTTCCATGGATGCATGTTACATGAATTCTGTGTGCCCCTTCATCCCAAAAAGTTTATTTTTGTTTTATTTCTTTATAGAAATATTTTATACCCCCCTTTTTTTAATTCAACAAAAGCACTGGGGAAAATTACAATTTTGCATAAAAAATTGAAACAATAAAATAAACAGCGTTAAAAAAAATGTGAAAGGACAGCGGAAACTCAGGTGAATAACAGCAAGCGCCGCACAATTGAAACCTGGTGGCTAGGCAGCATCAAATGCCCACCAGAAAAGTACCTCTTTTTTTCTGGCTCTGAAAAGAGCAAGAGCAAGCCAGACTTCTCTAGGAAGATAGTAGGTAAGAACCAGCAATCTGCCTACATTAACATCCTGGCAGCTTCATTCTGTGAAACCCATCTGTAGTTTCCAAGCCATCTTAAAGGCAGCCTCATGGAGAGCTCATTACCACTCTTACCATTTTGATGTCATGGCTTGCCAGTCACACAAAGCTGGTGAAATTCATTTCTGGTCACTGTTGCCACCCAGACATCCAAAAATGCACAGCATCTAAGAGTACATCCAGACTGGAGACCTGAGTATTCAGGGCACAGCACTTTGCATGAATAGGCATGCATATAACAGTCTTCAGTGTTTCCATCTCACCAGGCTAGTTTGTTTGTTTGCTGACCATCGCTAACCTCAGACGACTAGAGTGGTGTTTCCACTGCCTCCCTGGGATTTGATGGAACTCTGGGAGAAGATAATCTGCATCTTATCAATATACTGGGGTCACTATATCCCAAATCCCCAGATGACGTCCTCAGTGGTTTCAATCCTACCAATAGGTAGCCTAAGTATTAAGATTGTGTTTCTCAAAATGTTAGTTTAAGCGAGATGCTTCTGTCTAAATGATTAAAACATACTTTTGTTGTTCTTCTTTTTCTTCTTTCAGACTGAATACCGCATCTATCTCTCAGGGATCTGTATCTCCTTTGAAGTCATCCAAAGTGGCCGCTGCTACATCACCTTCAGCGAAGAGAATAAGCAGAAGTTCTCACTCCTCCTCAAGCCCAAATTTTAAAAGGTATGCCTTACTCTAGTCTATCTTTTCCTTTGTGGGGTGGGGAGATATAAAGGAAGGGCAATATCAAGTTTTTTTGGAGGGGGAAATGGATCTCAGTTTCATAGATTCGCATCTTGGTCTTTGTGATTGGACTCCTGATTGTGGTAAATTAGTCTGATAGTCTGAACAAGTGGCCTTGAGTACTAATGCAACTGTGGCTGTGATACTGAGAGGGCCCTGTATTAAAATATCCACATGCAGGGGTTTCTACAGAGTTCCCCCCCCCCCAGCACTTTTCAGCTGTTTATAGAACCAAGAAATAGATAAATAGCAAATGAATCAGCCAGGAGCCTGGAAATTCCAAATATCCATGGTCATCTCTTACGCATGGCTTTGGGGATGGTCTTCACTTACAATTCCAGGCCTTTTTGATGGTTGCTTCATCGCTTGCCTTACGGGAGAGAATGAAGCTGTGTATCACCATCACTTAATTTTGTGGCAAAAGTTCTTTTGTTGTTTCCTCCCCCTTAGTACCTTTTATAAATGTGCCTTGCATTAACCATCACGTTATGTACATTTTGTGTGTGTGTGTGTGTGTTTTTACCCCGCATGTGTTTTCCGTTCAGCATTTCCATAAACTCCAGGCTAGCCAGTTCTCTAGGGAACCTGTATGCCGCTTCAGATGATGCCGAGAGCAAATTGACATCATCGTCCTCTAGGACAGGTTATTCTGTAAACCAAATCTGCAGTCACTTGAATGGCAGCGCGCACCTGCCTGCCAGAAATTACCATGAGCAGAACAACAACATGTACAACAGGAGCGGCAGTAGCGCTACCAACCTCAACAGCTATGCCAATTCTCCCAGCGTCCTGACAGACGAGTACAGCACCTACAGATCCTTTACGGGGCTCGCTGCTTCTCCGGCAAGATACCTGAGTCGCTCAATTCCTGTAAGTTCACAGCCAAAGCAGCCCTTCCAGGAACCCGGCAGAATCTCCCTTAAGCCTGAGCTCTCTCTCTCTCAAAAGGGTTTTCTAACCATTCTAGATCTCTGTTTCTGGTCTTTTTTTCTTACCTAGGACATGCAGATCTTTTCACCTTTGCCATTTCCTCTAAGCCAAACCGATAAGCTGCTCTTTACTTCTGCTTCTTCAACGTTTGCTCTAAAAAGCAGATTCTTTTAACTCTCTAACGTCTTCCATGAGTGTATCATTCTTGCATTAATCTATCCATTTCAAATCATTCATAGTAAAACTCTGAAAACCTGAACCTCACCTGACAGTGTGAGGTCTTCCTGAGTCATTAGATGTATTTAAAGGTAGCATAAACAAAGTTAAATAGGGCGTAGCGTTCTCACCACTATAAAAGAATCGGCCCAATTTGTAAAACGATGTAATGGACTAAAACAATGGAAGTCTTTTACTTGCCCTAAAAACAAGCTTCCCTATTTTTATATCTTCTAAAACTTTTCATCTTTATGGTGCCTTTTTCCTATGTGTGAATGAAATGTGCAGATAACTTAAGTACATACTATTAATGTATAGTATTTGACATACTTTCATTATATTTTTGAAAGTTTCAGAAAGAAAAGCCAATATGTGTTTCTTTTACGTTCCATAATCTACCTCAAATTGTATGTGCTGCAATTTTTATTTTTATTTTTAAAACCCTTTCTTTAACTCCCCCCTTGACTTCTTTGAATACTGTTTAATGGTCCAGCCCAGCAGTGCCTAGGATCAGGCTGCAGAATTATTGCGACTATTAGTGAATACCGCAGTATCTGAAGCCAAAACCAGCACCTTCAGCTGCTTTGGCATGAATTATCTGTCATAAAGGTCATTTGAGGTTAGTGTGGAAACCTGCTTCCCAGAACTGAGAATTGGGTTTCTTCGTATTAATTTGTTCCTGAAAATTTGTGACGGTGCTCTTGAGAGCATCCAGCGTCTTGCTTCACTTAGGGATACATACTGCATTTGATACTGAATTGGGCTGTAGGCCATACATATTGCATTTTATATTTAATGACAGTTCTTGGCTTTTATTTATCTTGCTCAGAAACATCTCTTGTTTAATGCAAATTGATTATATAGCCGGGAATGTATCTTAATAGCCCTTCCCTCTGGTTGCACGGCGGGCTATAATAGGTAGATTACATTTCATATTGGGGGATCTGCATACATAAGATTAGATTAGTTCTGACTGTACATAGCAGCCTGCTTGATAGCATGATAGCAGAATGGCACACACTTTAGGAAAATACAACATTAGAGAAGCAGTTTAGGGCCTGCACCTGTTGGCAAGAAAGTCAAAAACAAATGTACTGTGTCAAAACGTTGATCTTAATCATAAGTGCCTTGCTATACTTCTAATCAACGTCACTTAGACTTGGAAATAGCAAAGTTATTTGGAGGGAAAGTGTAGATGCAACAAATACACTGCCAAAAATTGAGTCCTCCTGGGGTCTGTATCCTTTTTTGCTCCCTTCATCTGAGTAAAAGCTGGCTTAGCTCATCCTTATGAAAGTCTCTGAAAAATCTCAAAAGCATATACAGTGGAACCTTGGGTTACGGCAGGGATCCGTTCCGGAGGCCCCACCACAGCCCGAAAACAATGCAACCCAAAGCATCACGTCTGCGCGTGTGCGTGATTTAGCGCTTCTGCACATGTGCAAACGGCGCGAACCTGGAAGTAACCCGTTCCGGTACTTCCGGGTTTGCGCCGGTCTCAAGCCAAGGGTGACATAAGCCGGAGGCAATGTAACCTGAGGCTCCACTGTAGAAAGTTTTTTTTTTTATTATTGCTACAAAGAAGATAAGGAAGGCAAGATGGGCATTTTGAGTTCCAAAATAGAAAAATCTTCCCCAATACGGAAACCACAAAGCAAAACTTTGACATTTTAATTCTTCATTGCTTGTGCCGTATTCAGAAATTTACACGTTGGGTGTATTGCTATGTTCGCTTTTTCTTCTGTCAAACGGGTAGAGACTGGCTCCAGCGCTGTGAATATGCAGCACAAGTCAAGGCTGGTTCAAACATTGAGTGTCTGCACATTTTCTTCATGTGGTTATTTACATGGGTTCAGCACGCAGCCTGCCAGCAGCCATTTCCATGAACACAGATACGGCTTTCCATCAGCGGCTTTGATTACTATTGAACGATGGGGAGCATATCTCTTTATATAGGTACATACCAAATGGAGAGAAGAATCTGGGCTTGTTCTGATAACATGGAGCATATTCTACTGTGTAAGGGTTTTTGTTTTTAACTTAATCCAGAAATTTTATTCAAACGAGTAAACACAATGATGGGAGAAGTAGTAGAGCAGCAGGATGTGAGTATTGATAGTTGACGGTTCTAATAGTTGACACTTTATTACACTGACCTTTGGACCATTATAAACCTGTGGAGGCTTGCGTACAGCTTTCTCCCTGCTTAGATGCCTTAGTAAAGTTACTCCTGCAATTGAACGAGGTCTTTTCGGTGTTATCTGTCTTAGCTGGCATGTGGCTGGAAGGGTTTCTTCTAACATATTTACCTGGAGGTAAGTCCCATTGACTTCACTGGAGCTTACTGCCAGGTAAGTGAGCTTAGGTTTGGGACGAACGATGAGCAGTGTCATGGATAATATTTGTGCCAGTTGCAAGAATGAGCAGGGTTTCAAAAGTGGCCCTTTGAAATCCACTTTCTCTTCTCAGAGTTCACAGGGCTTTGTTAATACAAATACCGGCATGCAATATACACTAACTACGGAATGCAATTTTATGGCTTGCTCTTAACTCTGCTAACTTTCTCCCCCATCCATCTTTGCTGCTTGCAGTACTATTGATTCTCATTTGTACTTCCTACTGCTCCTTCCCCTTTTCTAAGATGTATAGCTAAAATGTTTCATTGTGCTTTAAAGTGTGCTGCTATTTCAACACAAGTTAGCCATGCTACGCTCACTTCCTGAACAAAGTTAAAACCTGAAGGGCGTTTTTCATTGTTGAAGCTAAAGTGAATGCGATTAAACTACAAATTACTGCAATTTCATCTTGCCACTTTCTTTACGGAGATGAATTTTAGAGGTGATTATGACTGCTCCTTTTGTTTTAAAGCACTTAATGCAAAAGGCAGCGAGAATTCTTAATTGGTAGCAACAATGAAAACGTGGAGTACTGTGGAACAAAGTGGGTCTCTGAAGATTCGTCAGCTGCCAAAAAGAAAAAAGAAAAAAGAAAAACAACACATTTCTATTCCTCATAATTTAACATTCATCTTTAATTACCATAACACAAAAGAAGTTTGCTATAGTAGTTCCGTTGGTTTTTGTGGGACACACTATACATTACAGGAAAGAGTCCTTATTTAAAAGGTCCTATTAGCTGAAGTGCTTTTCCAGCCCAATCTTACTGTTAATTTTTGCTGTCTCTGCATGGCTGCAGCTGATACAAAACCACATCAAAATTAGCGTCCTCAAGGAAGAATGTCCCTTGTGTGTCTGCATGAGTCTCTCTACTGGGGTCGCCTCCTTCCTGATATAAAGGAGGAAAGGCCAGATCAGAGACTCTTGCAGAGAAACACCAGGAAGTAGATTCCTCTGAGGGCGGGTAATTCTTCCTCTTTCACACTCCAAATTGGTGTTTCCCAAACTTGGATACTGAACTCCAATTCCCATCATCCCTGACCACTGGTCCAGCTAACTAGGATGATCTGATTTGTAGTCCAAAAACAGGTGGAGACCTAAGTTTGGGAAGCACGGCTCTAAATGTAAACTTGCCTGGTTGTAAGGGCCCGAGCGTGCCTCCCATTTTAAATAGGGGTGTGCCGCAGCTAGCAGACATTTGGGAAACCTGATTTTACCATTTCCCTTTTACTCCTCCAGATGTCCATTTGTACTGGATTTCTCATAGTGTGAGTGTATTAACTTTGCTTCCTGGCCATGCCCCAGATCTCTCTAGTCAGTGTTTTTGTTTTGTTTTTAGAACAAAAATAATCATAATGACAAGCTTGTTTGATATGGAAAAGTTGATTGTTAATTGAACCTCACTGTGTCTCTTAACTGAATCTTAACACTAGTTTTTGTTTCTCACCTGCACAGTCCCTTCAGTCTGAATATGTTCAGTACTAAAGCCTTGTTGCTTCGGTGAAAGCTGGACAAATCTTAAAATTCGGTTCTCTTCAAGAAGAGCAATGTTGAGGGGAAAACAACCAGCCCAAGGGGACGAGACCTCTTCACACACGATTAGAGCTAAAGACACCAAAATCTCTGAATTACCTAGAGACTTCAGTTAGTGACTACTACGAACGCACTGAAGTTAAAACTTACGACTAGTACAATTTTGTGTATAGATGCAAGATTTTAAAATGGAGAATATTTCTAATGGATTTTAGCAATATATTTGTAATTATGGTTCTCGATAACAGTGTTATTATAATGTGTGTATATAAGTATATATATATATAAATATATATAAATATATATTGAGTAAAATATTTTGTGTGTATATAAATATCTATAAATTGTGTAAACATAGGCTATATTTTGATTTAAGCTTCACTTTTTTAATCCCTCCAAAACTGTGTGTATTTTTAAATGTCTTGTTTTACATTTCAAACATTAGCCAGCACCCAGAGGAAGCAATGGGTGAAAACCACTGCTGTGTACACCTGGAGGGGAATGGGTTTGCTGATAAGGGGCAGCCTGCCCCCACCTCAGCCTTGTGGGTTGCTGCATCTCAGAGGGCCCTTCAACTTCTGCAGCATGCAACAAGGTGTCAGAAGAGGGGAACTAAAAAATCTATGTGCCTATTTGGAAGCCTCCTGTTCATATCTCTTGAACCTGGCCGTTGCGAACAGAGCTGCTTGCTGATTTTATTTTCATGCACTGTGGCTACAGTATTACAAATAATTTTTAATAGTGGGAAGAAAGTTAATATCAGCCTCATTGCTTTGGCTTTGAAAATGCTAATGTTTGAAATGGACATTTTTTCAAAGGGATATAGAATGCCTATGAAGCAGGCCTGTTCTAGCATCCTTAATTAAGTGTCTTTTCCATGGAAAGGGAAAGTAATTTTAAAATAAATAATTAGTATGTTACCTTGTTAACATTTTCAGCCCAGTAATTTGTTCTGCAAAGACGTTCTGTTCTTTAGAGCCTTGCCTTTCTGTATTTTCCTTTTCTGTATAATTCAGTTCTAGAAACTGTACTGTATCAGAATGCAAAGCCAGGATGAAATATCCATCTATGTATAGTGAGCAAAGTGTTTGTGCATAGCACAGAAGACATGTACTGTCTGAATTTGTAATAGTTGCAAAGATTTTGTCGCTGCATATTTAGACATGGAGGCAGGAGTTGCACGTTTTCACTATGGATTGCAGATTCACTGTTAAAACTATGCCCCTCTTTGTGTTTTACTCCTTCCATATTTAGTCATGCTGTCCTACTTACTATACCGGTAAATGCTGTTGCTTTTCGCTCATGTCTCTTTCCCAGTTCAATTTAATCACGGAACTATTTCAAACAATGCTATTGTAGGTCTTCACCATAACCCTTCAAAATTAGTTCTGAAATAACTGCAGTATTGTCAGTGTCGCTCAGAGTGCAGTAATTGTGAAAGTGAAATGGTAACGTTCATTTCACTTACAATTCATATTATGTGAAGAAGAAACCTCTGCACTCCCTGGTCATGTTCAAAGAATCACATCTCAGCCTTAAATGGCCAATATAAGAACAAAACTTTTGCATTCATATGCAGCCCCATCACTCATCTCTTCACAGGGCAAACAATCAAACCCAGAAACCTCTAACCATAATTTCCTATTTCAGCCAAACCAGAAAATTTATGAGCAATAGTTTCAGAAGAAATTGTGATATTAAATCAAGGTTTGAAGATTTAATTTCCCGGCTTGTTGCAAACCTGGTAACTATAGTTTTCCAGTTCTCTTATTTAAACCAAGATATGGTTGTCTAAACCAGGCCACCGCCCCAGGAATGTATTTTTTGGTCCTATCAAGGAGAGATAATTACTAATGAGATTTTTTAAAAAAATAAATCATTATTTTGAAGGGAAATAGTCCTAATTATGATGGATAAATTCTTCTTGACTGAAGCTGGTTTAATCACTGAATTCAATATTTTTTTATCATATGTACATAAAATGTACTGTATATGAGTAAGTGATAGGCAGATTCTAAGGTAATTCTACCTCTATAAAGTTTGACATGTATTTTGTTACTAGCTTATGTTACTAGAAAGATGTACTATTTTTGCAATGTAGAAATAATAAACGCTAATAGATAATAAAAGTAAAAATTATGCACAACTTAATTTCTTTGTTTTAATCAGGTGCTGGTGCACCCAATACTTCAGTTTTGTGAAATGTATTTTGAGGATCCCCTAGAATCTAAAACCTCCTTCCCTCAAATTCAAGCCTTCCTTCACAATAGCTGTCAATGTGGATTCTTTCGCTCTTGCAGCTACCCACTCCTCTCGCTGCTCATTTCTTGAATGCTGGTCTTTCTTGTTCTGGTGGCAACCTTGTCTTAGGGACCCCTCGCAGTCTTCCTGTTCCTGGTCTTGCAATTGAGGCCAGCTTATTTCTTCCCAACCGTGGTCAACATCTCTCCTAAGGTATTCGCATTTGTTTTAAACCATCCTCTCAATCTTGCTGTGCTGAAAAAACATGTTAGCATCACGTACAAAGGTGTCCCCTTGCTCTGTTAGCTGGAAGGTATTCAGCAGACCTTCCAGGAGGCTAGCCATGTGAAAGTGGAGAGTGTTTCTTCATAGAGAATAAGAAAACCCTGTACAGTGGTACCTCAGGTTACATACGCTTCAGGTTGCCGACTCCACTAACCCAGAAATAGTGCTTCAGGTTAAGAACTCTGCTTCAGGATGAGAACAGAAATCGTGCTCCAGCGGTGCAGCGGCAGCAGGAGGCTCCATTAGCTAAAGTGGTGCTTCAGGTTAAGAACAGTTTCAGGTTAAGAACAGACCTCCGGAACAAATTAAGTACTTAACCCGAGGTACCACTGTATAAGCAAGGCCTGGGGAATAGCTATCTGGCCTGAAATTAATAAAGAAATTTTAGAAGTTCCCACACATTTCCACTTCCACTTTTTACTGCTGAAGCGGAACAGACATCAATCAGAACAAAAGCAACATTTTGTAGTGTATATGCACGTTTATATGGAATTCCCAAACAATGCCTTGCCATTTCAGTCTGCTCATAGCATCCCGGTTCGCATGACAGTATATGGCAAGCCATATTATGGCTTACCTTACCCCGATGATGTGGGTACCCAGAGAGCAGCTTGAAGCCTCTTTACTGCTTCTACTCGGTCCTTTTTGCTTTCTCAACACACTGAGCTGTGTGGGTGTGGGTGTAGATATTCTCCTAAAAGCATCTGCTTTACATTTTCTAGTGAAAATTAAGTCCTATTTTTTCTTTCCCTGTAAAACATTTTATACCACTGAAACGATTTCTCGCCTGACATTTTCTTGCAGTTTAGCGCTATTCATGCATCTAATAAAAGGATGCAATTTTTCTGAAAAGAGGTCTCTGTAATGTCGATCCTTCCATAGATGTTTTACTGCAAGTCGTTTCATGAACAGCCAATCCTTCTCGGATTACCTTTTCGGAACAAATTCATCCAGTCTTGAGGAAGGAGGCCAGAAGACTCTCAGACCCTGTCCAAGCCTTCCCAGGAGGAAGGTAGCGTGAGGGCTGGGGGCAGTGTCAAATGCTGCAGAGAGCTGCCCCAAAAGGCCTCCGGGGTGGGGCTGCATGTTGGACCATCTAGATTTAGGCGTTTCAATCTCTGGGTTTAGCAGTTCTCCCCTATGTGGCCAGCTGACAGCATAGGTGCCATAAATGGCACACAGAGGGATCACAAATTCCTTGTGGCATATCCAGCAAGAAGCAGGAGAAACTACAGCTTGTGGTCTCTGGTGCTGGGTCGCTCCCTTGTTTGGTGTGATTTCCGCTTGAATCTGCTAAGGTATGTGAGGCTGTACATACAACTGCAGTATGTGCTAGAGTGACATGACAGTGTTTTTACGCTGTACAATGGTACTTCAGGTTACATACGCTTCAGGTTACAGACTCCGCTAACCCAGAAATAGTGCTTCAGGTTAAGAACTTTGCTTCAGGATGAGAACAGAAATCGTGCTCCAGCAGCGCAGCAGCAGCAGGAGGCCCCCATTAGCTAAAGTGATGCTTCAGGTTAAGAACAGTTTCAGGTTAAGTACGGACCTCCGGAACGAATTAAGTACCTAACCTGAGGTACCACTGTATACCGCACTGTGATCCTCAGAGGAAAGGCAGTACCATATTTTCCGACCGTATAAGACGCACCACACAAGACGCACTGTATTTTTCAGCCATACAAGACGCATATAAGACCATATAAGAGGCACCCGATCGTAAGACGCACCTAGTTTTAGAGGAGGAGAACAAGAAAAAAAAGTTCTCTCCCTCTCTGCTCAGCGCCTCTCCAGCAAAGCGGGAAGAGAAACGGATAGGGCTCTGTTTCTCCTCCTGCTTCGCTGAAGGGGCGCTGCGCAGAGAGGGAAAGCGGCGCAGCGGCTCTCCAGCGAAGCGAAGACAGGAGAGCAAGAGGGATCGATCCCTCTTGCTCTCCTGGCTTCAGCGAAAGCAATGCAAAGCCTCTGGAGCACAGCGGGAGCGCTCCCGCTGCGCTCAGGAGGCTTCGGGCGGCTATCCCTGAAGCCAGGAGAGCAAGAGGGATCGGTGCGCACCAATCCCTCTTGCTCTCCTGGCTTCAGGGATAGCCGCCCGAAGCCTGCATTCGCTCCCTAAGACGCACACACATTTCCCCTTACTTTTTAGGAGGGGAAAAGCACATCTTATAGAGCGAAAGATACGGTATATAAATTTAATACTATAATCATGCCATTTCCACCACCCCCTCCCAAAAAAACAAACCTGATTGCACACTGCCTAAATGACCTTACTGAGTCAGACCACTGATGCATATATCTCAGTATTGTCCACACTGACTGACAGCTGCTCATCTGGCTTTAAGACGAGACGTTCCCAGCGCCACAGCCTTTCAGTGACTGCTAACTGCATTTCTTACCCTTTCTGAAAGTGATCTCTTAAGAAAGGGAACACTTCTCTTTTTTTAACATGCAGAGAACAGGAATTGCTCTGCGAGGTTTTGTCTTTTGTTCCAAGTGCAGGCTGGCATCTTGGGAAGGGGAAGTTACGGAAGAAGAGGTGGCGGGAGTAGCACGTCAGACTGCCATTGCCAAGCTAGCACTTCACAGTTTCGATGGCGGCTGTGCTTTTGCACTCATTGCGGCTCTCGATATCTTTCCAAGGCGGCCCAGCAGGAAAAAAAATGTCTCAACAAATCAAGCAGTTGTGCCCGCCTTTTTGAAGTAGCAGACTTGAGGAGCCTGAACAAGAGAGCTGGCTTAGAGAGGCGGGTTCGAACCATGCTCCTCATTCCAGTGCAGTGTGGGGGCGTCAGGAGGTGGCTTTCAACTCCAAAAGCCGGGGGGGGGGGGAGAGAAGAAATTGCCGTTCCCATGCTTTGAGTAGCTTTTGTTTCTTTGAAATGGTTTTGCCCGCCCAGGGCCTATTCCCACTTTTTGCATGGCGAATGCATACAGCGTGGGGAGGCTGTAATCATGTCAGTCTTTGCAGTTGGATAAAGGCTAAGCCGCAGGGGTCAGCAAACTTTTTCAGCAGGGGGCTGGTCCACTGTCCCTCAGACCTTGTGGGGGGGCCGGACTATATTTTTTGGGGGAAAATGAACGGATTTCTGTGCCCCACAAATAACCCAGAGATGCATTTTAAATAAAAGCACACATTCTACTCATGTAAAAACACTAGGCAGGCCCCACAAATAACCCAGAGATGCATTTTAAATACAGTGGTGCCTCGCAAGATGAAATTAATCCATTCCGCGAGTCTCTTCGTCTTGCGGTTTTTTCGTCTTGCGAAGCACGGCTATTAGCGGCTATTAACGGCTTAGCGGCTTTAAGAAAAAGGAAACAAACTCGCAAGAACTCGCAAGACGTTTCGTCTTGCGAAGCAAGCCCATAGGGAAATTCATCTTGTGGAATGACTCAAAAAACAGAAAACCCTTTCGTCTTGCGAGTTTTTCGTCTTGCAAGGCATTCGTCTTGCGAGGCATTCGTCTTGCGAGGCACCACTGTAAAAGGACACATTCTACTAATGTAAAAACACACTGATTCCTGGACCATCCGTGAGCCAGATTTAGAAGGCGACTGGGCCAGATTCGGCCCCCAGGCCTTAGCTTGCCTACCCATGGGCTAAGGTGTTTGATGGATCTGTGCATCTGGAAGCAAACATGCACCATTGGGCTTCCTGGTGCACGGCCGAAGCATGCACCCTTGATTTTTTTAAAAAATGTGTTTGTTTGTTTTTTATATACCATAAATTGTAAAAATGCAAGGAGGTGTGGCAGATGTTCACACACTACATATCCCCTTTGACATGTTTCAGCTGTTTTTACAGCAAAGAAACCTCTCCACTTTTATAGCATTTAGCTCGACAGACAACACTCCTATTATTTGCAGCTGATATCCAAGTCTAGCTTTGATTGTGTATGGATGCAGGTGTCCAATGATAGCGGCCATCAGTCACAGCCAGTGGTATATAGTCTGAAGCCTTAATTCTCACTATTTACACACCAAAACTCTGGCTCCTCCAGATATTTGTTGGACTCCGACTCCCATCAGCCCCTGCCAGCATGGCTTAAAGGTCAGGGATGATGGGAGTTGTAGTCCAACGACAGGTGGAAGGCTGCAACTTCCCCATCCCTGTCCTGAAACAGGTGAGGTAATACAGAGCAAGCGCTTCTTTAAGCATGTGCGGAGTGTTTTTTTCCTCTCCTCCAATGCCCCCCCCCTACCCCCCGATACAGGATTGTTTGTAGGGAATCTACAGCAGATGGGGATGGATCACATTTTTAAAAAAAGATTCTAACAAAAGCAACCTGCTTTCTGGTAGAGAGAAGGCTGCGAGATAAACCTACCTTGCTGTTGTACTAGAGGTTTTCAACTTTGCAATTTTGGATTTTGTTTGCTTGTTTAACGCACAGGAGCATACAGGCATCTGAAGGCAGCCCTGTGTAGGGAAGTTTTTAATGTTTAATTATGTTTTTGTATATGCTAGACGCCACCCATAGTGGCTGGAGCAACCCAGTCAGATGCACGGGGTACAAATAACAAAATGATGATGATAATGAAAAAGAGTATGTACCCACCTGCTATCTGAACTGGTATGGCCTGCTTAGCTGACTTTAGATTTTATCGCTTCAGTTTACTGCATGTGATCTTCATATAGGCTGCATTGATATAATATATTTAAAGCACATTTCCCCTCCTCCAAAAAAAATACTGGGAACTGCCTTTTGTTAAGTGTGCTGGGAATCGTAGCCCTGGGGGGGTTGAACTACAGTTCCCAGAGTAATTTGGGTGGGTGCTTTAAATGTGTTTTAAATGTATGGTGTGTACAGACAAAGCTTTGCATATGCTGCAAGACGTCAAATATAGAGTTCTCAAGTGATGTGCATTGCTGGGGGAACCCAGAGTACTGGGGAAACCTAGCTAGGTGGGCAGGGTATAAATATATTATTATTATTATTATTATTATTATTATTATTATTATTATTATTGCATGTGTGAGCCGGTCCTCAAAAATATACAGAAGTGTTCACAAAATCTGTCCATAGATAGATAAAGAGAAGATGAATGAATGAAAATGCCTTGCTTTTAGAATGCTGCTTCTTGGGATATTTCATTCTTATCCACTATTTTGTTAATTTATTTAATAATTTGCTTTCAAAATGCTGTCCTTCCATTGATGCAAGTTTGTATTAGCTGTACAGTCTTTTTAAGTTTAATAAATAATTTTGTTTATTTATGACAGTGGCATACAAGGGAATAGCAAAAGGGGGAAAAAGAGCAATAGAAAATCTCAGTAAAATATGCACAAAACAGAACAGCAGCATTTAAAAATAAAAAAATCAGAGTTGACAAAACCTTACCAGTGGGTTCACGTTCTGTCTGGTCAAATGGATACATATTCTTTGCCTGGGAGCAAAAGAGCAGCAGGTCGCTATAGATGAGTCTCCCTTGAAAGGGCCTTCCATAATGGGAGCATCACAATGAAGAACCAGCGTTATGATTTGTGCCTCCCCCCACCCAAAAGAAAGAAAGAAAGAAAGAAAGAAAGAAAGAAAGAAAGAAAGAAAGAAAAGAGAGGATTTGGTTTTAATCCAGTTGTAAATCAGTGTTGGTAACTCTGAATTAGAGACAGAGCAATTTCAGCCCTCTCTGTTCCCGATTCTTCTCAAATCTTAAATCCAGTTCTCCACATGTCTGCAGCAATTTGCAATCCTCGTGAAAATTCTTCCGCATGTTGTTGTCAATTTATCCCAATAAGCACATTTTTGTATGCAGCTTTGACTTACAGAGTCCAGATTTTTGCAAGCAATTCCTCCTAAAAGAACGCATTTTTGAATGTTATTTTCTCCAATATATTCATATTTACGCGTATTTTTTTATCTTGCAAATATGCATTTTTGTAAACCGTACTTGGTTGGAGAACTGCATCATTTATTATTATTTTTGGATGAATGCGGATGGCTGTGCTTCAGTTTTCGTATTACAGGTGTCCCCCCCCCCCAATTTATGTGGGGGGTTACATTCCGGGAGCCCATACACATAAGTGAACTCGCATAAAGTGGGGAGCACCCTCTAAAAAACCTCTTAAAAGCCTCAAAACACCCGTTTCTTCCTGCTGTCCAGCTCTCTCTCCACACAACTCCCTCTCCAACTTGAGCCGAAGCTCTGGGGCCGGCTGGAGGCTGGATGATGCACAGTAAAGCATCTGTGCAGCTACTGCTTCGCTCCCCCGAGTGTCGGCTGCTAGACAGGGAGCTGAGCAGCCTAAACAAAGCCCCACTGTACCTCAGGTCTCTTTGGGGCTTCATCCGCCCTCACTGACATCTTCTCCAGGCTCTGAGGAGATCTCCAGAGCTCTCCTTCCACTTCCTGGTTTGTTGTTGTTTAGTCGTTTAGTCATGTCTGACTCTTCATGACCCCATGGACCAGAGCACGCCAGGCACTCCTGTCTTCCACTGCCTCCCGCAGTTTGGTCAAATTCACGCTGGTAGCTTCGAGAACACTGTCCAACCATCTTGTCCTCTGTTGTCCCTTTCTCCTTGTGCCCTCCATCTTTCCCAACATCAGGGTCTTTTCCAGGGAGTCTTCTCTTCTCATGAGGTGGCCAAAGTATTGGAGCCTCAGCTTCAGGATCTGTCCTTCCAGTGAGCACTCAGGGCTGATTTCCTTAAGAATGGATAGGTTTGATCTTCTTGCAGTCCATGGGACTCTCAAGAGTCTCCTCCAACACCATAATTCAAAAGCATCAATTCTTCGGCGATCAGCCTTCTTTATGGTCCAGCTCTCACTTCCATACATCACTACTGGGAAAACCATAGCTTTAACTATACGGACCTTTGTTGGCAAGGTGATGTCTCTGCTTTTTAAGATGCTGTCTAGGTTTGTCATTGCTTTTCTCCCAAGAAGCAGGCGTCTTTTAATTTTGTGACTGCTGTCCCCATCTGCAGTGATCACGGAGCCCAAGAAGCCCAACTGCCTCCATTTCTTCCCCTTCTATTTGCCAGGAGGTGATGGGCCCAGTGGCCATGATCTTCGTTTTTTGGATGTACTTCCTGGTACCGTTCTATTTATTTAATTATTTCCTGGCAGCGCATGCATGTGCGGTTGCGCACGAGTCGGCTGCGCGTAAGTGGGGGGTGCCTGCATTTCAGAAACTGCGGATTGGGTAGATCTGGCTTTGAAATGTGACCCCAGTGGCCATTTTGTCCTCCGTACAGTCTCTGAATAGGTATGTACCTCCCCATGTGCATTGAAACACACATCCAGAAAGTATAAGGTGTCTGGAATTTGCATCAGCTACAAGCCTAGTAGACAACTTCTTGGGCGTAGCAGGATTTATGTGGGGGGGGGGCACCCACTTGTCATGCTCCGTCTGGCTCCGTCTAGCAGATTCAGAATGAAACGTCTCCCCAACAGTTGTTTTAAATGACTTTCTGTTGACCTCAAGCTCTCGGGGAAGAATCTGCCAAAATCTTCAGTGGTTTCAAAACTAGGGAATTAAATAAAAATAATAACAATAACATCGTTGACTGGGGCCTGAGGGCTCTCCGCAGTATAAATAGCCTGTGGGGAATTTCCAGTCGTTTCTAGACAGGCCTCGCAGGGGCGTACTCTCAGGAGAGAAGGCCAGGAACGATGAGAAGCTTCCAGAAGCTGAGCTACCTGCGATGCGATTGGTCGGTTTGCGGAAGCCACGCCTATCGCTCTGTCGGTTGCATCTCTCGAACGCGCCACGACATCATCCAAGTGACCTCTGTGAGTTCTTTCAAATATTGTGATCATTCCTACTTTTAGTTAAGTATTTTGTTTATTTATTTACTTGATTGAGGGGGAGCCGCTGTCCATCCCCCGCCCCCCAGACCAAGCCCATGGGAAACTTCCACCTTGTTGGATTGGGGCATTTTGGTGCACCCACCTTGGACATTTTCAGGCAGGGAGATCACTTCGTGCGTGTTAATCGACAGCTTTCAATATAAGGACAGCACCTGCCCCCTCCCTCTCTTAGGAAAAGCCATGTACTGCATCCCTCCTATTTTGTACCTTTCTCAGCTCCGTTGCCACGATGCTTTGCGTTCGCAAGGACAGGTTTCCGGAGGTGGGGGAACCCTATGGCAAAAATACACTAGAGAATCGGCACAGTAATATGATGAAGACTGTGTTGCCAAGGAGCAGAATGTTTTAAGCAAGAGCGTGGTTTTTTCCTCCCCATATTGCAACTAAAGATTTGATCTAAAATTAGATTTTTTTTATTTTTTTAAAAAAGGGGAAAAGGAGGAAATAAACCAACCACATCCTCACGGAGGGGAGTCGGAGGAAATGGAAGTAGATGTGAGCAAAGGAATTTCTTCTCCATCCTGGAAATCAGTGCTACAGGAGAGGTCCAGGAAGAGACCAGAGGGGTGTGATTTGAGAACTCCAGTGGGTGGCGATGGAGGCAGGGGGAGAGAGATCTGTCTCTGTAATTGCAGGCTTTTCAGTGCAAGCTGGGTTCTTTCTTTTTCTTTCCCCCCTCCCCTCCCTCTCCCTCTCTCCTGCTCTCGCAAGCCTGAAACCTGCTGAATAATTCATAAAGATGAGAAGCGCCGAATTTCCCCAGGCTGATAATACAGTGTGCATGCTGTAAAGCGAGAGAAGATGCTCCAGGTCTTCAGATGAGCTGCTGTTGCTCTTGAGGCCATTGCCCAGAGGGTGCTGGGACTCCTGGTATTTCCACAGCTGAGGCTTCTTTTTTTCTGCCTTGCTTGCTTCCTCGCTCGCCTGCCTGTCTTTGGGTACTCGTTGCTGGCTGCACTCGACCAGGAGAATCTAACTTTGCTGCAGTCATGGAGATTTGGAGGCAAGCTCTGGATTTCGCCTTCCTTCTGCTTGCCTGGCTTGCAAACACCAGCCTTGGATCCATCGGCAAGCTTCTTCTTTTGTGATCTGGCATACTTGCAGCCTCCTCTGTGTAGAAATATGGGGAAGAAGACTCATGTATCCCTTCTTTCACCTCTGCCAACAACTGACTCTGGAGACCTGTCACGATCTGAGAAGTTGGTGTTTTTCCATGGGATCCAGTCTTGCTCTTTGCCTGTTTTGGAGATCACCGTCTACATTCTGGGACGTCATGTATGTTTGGTACTTTTCTGACGATCTGCTTTGGCTCCTGCTGTGTTCTGCCTGGTCTAGGAGATTTTCCTGGATTTCTTCCTGGCTCAGCTTAGCCTTCTCCAGAACTGAGCAGTGCTGAGGTTGGTCTGGAGAGCCTCATTTGTGTGCCACACAATGCCCAATATCTCCTTCTCCTCTTCTTCCTCCTCCTCCTCCTGGAGCTATAGATCCTTGCAACAGCTGCTTTGTGAAGAAGACTCCCTGGGGACGAGGATCTCTTTGTCTCTCTTCTACTTGCTGCTAGCCATCTACGGGACCATATCCAACATCATGGTCATCTACCTGGTCTTCACCTTCAGGAAACTACGCACCACCAGCAACGCTTTCATTGTCAACGGTTGCGTTGCGGACCTCAGTGTCTGTGGCCTTTGGATGCCGCAAGAAGCGGTGCAGGGACTGCTCCCTTCCGGGTCCCCAACAGTGCGGTCAGAAGGGTACCGCTTGCTCCGTGCTGGGCTGGTGGGCCTTGGGCTCATCGTCTCACTGCTCTCCCACCTGCTGGTGGCCCTCAACCGCTATGTCCTCATCACCAAGCCACCCATCACGTACCAGGCTGTTTACCAGAGGAAGCACACGGCCTGGATGATCAGCTTGTCCTGGGGGCTGGCCCTCCTCCTCGCCTCCGTCCCCCCAGGACTGCAGATGTGGCAACCCAGCCGGCAGGAGTCTCGAAATGGCACCAGTACCAAGAGCTCGAACTACATGGGCCTTCTGGTAGCCCTGGCTGTCCTCAGCCAGACAGTCCTCCTGCTCTACTGCTACATGGGGATTGTCAGGAGGGTGAGGGGCAGTGTCAAGCGCGTCAGCGTCCTCAACTTCCACCTGCTCCAGCAGCTCCCCTTCCCAGCAGCCCCGGCGGCTCCCCGCCGGGCCCGGCGCCTGAGCAGCATCTCCGTCTTGCTCCTCTGTCTCGCGTTCCTCCTGGCCACACAGCCTCTGGTGTGGGTCAGCTTGCTGGGCTTTTTCTTCTGGCCCATGCCCCGGGGGCTGCAGATCGCTAGCTGGCTGCTCTTCTGCTCTCTCTCTGCCTTCAACCCGCTGCTCTATACGTGGAAGAACGAGGAGTTCCGCCGCTGTGCCCGCTTAGTGCTACCTGGAGGGGAAAACCCGGCGGTGGCGGTAGCTGCCGCAGCGGCCACTACTGCCCTCCCTACAGTGTCTCTTCCCTCTCAGGAGCCATCGCAGCTGGGGACCAAGGTGGAAAGTCTAGGCAGCTTAGTGCTTCACTGATACCCCCCCCTAAATCTGCACGCTCTTAGGTGAAAAGGTGTTGGGAGACATTAGCCTTGGACTCAGGCAGGGGTCAGCAAAGTTTTTGTGGCTTGGGCCGGTTCACGGTCCCTCAGACGCCGCGGTGGGCCGGAGTGTGTGTGTGTGCGCGTGCGCATGCACGCTCAAATGCTATTTCCGGCACTCCTTCCTGTGCGGAGGAGGGGTGCGCAGCTTCCCATTGGCTGCAGGAGCTTCCTGCAGCCAATGGGAAGCTGGCCAGCATCGTGGAAGGCAGGCCCCGCTCTACTCTGCGCCAGTTTAGCGTGGCGCATGGGAGCTGACCAAGCAGGCAGCAGGGGTTCCCAAGTGGGCGGTGGGGGTCCATGGGCCGATTAAACGACCCCCATGGGCCGCTTGTGACCCATGGGCCTTAGGTTGCTGACCCCTGGACTCAGGTATCGCATGTGGGCCATTGTCAGCAGGTGGGGATGTTGTCCTTTACAGAGGTTGCTTCCAGATAACCTGCTTTGCCATCATTTACATTGATTCGTTTGCACAAAGTCCACAGGGAGGTTAGATGATGCTAGCTATTTATTGCACGTCCATTCTGATTGGTTTGCAGTGAGGTCAAGTGACCTCATGCTGGGCAAGTGTCACGCCAAACTTTCTGGTGCCACTTTCCTCATGGCAAAAAAAGTTCCCTTTGGGAGAACAAGTGGTTTAGTTGCTCAATATCCATTTTTAATGGTACAACCTGAATTTGCCTGGACGGGACGAAATCCCATCTGAAAATAGCAACAGTCTGGAACTCCCTTATTAGATTCCCCCCCCCCCCGAAATGGGAAGTCTGGATTAAACAGGGCATGGCCGGGGGCGGGGAGGAGGATACAACTGAGGCTGCATGCACGAAGAGCGGCAATCCCATAATAAGCAGCCATCTGGAAGCACCCACCAAATGACTCACTGAACTGCACGGTACTCCACTCCCTACGGAGAGGCTTTTAAAAAATAAAATAATGCACAGACACTTGTCAGCTTTAAAATGTATATATTTGTATCAAATCTCTTTCACACTTTGTGGAGCTTTTCAGAAAAAACTCAGTGCAGTCAAGCGGATGAAAAGATCTGATTATATACCTCATTTTTTGGCCTCTCCATGTCTTCACTGTTTCGCCTGAATGTTTTGCATTCCTTGTTGGCTTTTACAAACTACCAACGGAAGAGACTGGCTTGTAAAGGAGAGATTGCCTTAGCCGATGGATAAAGAGCGCACGGTGGCCACAGATAAGGTGCAAAGGATCTATCTGAAAGATTTCGGAAAACAGAGGGAAAGACTCTCCGTTTGAGCCATTGAAAACCTATCACCAGAGGCAGACAAGGCTTCACTCCTTAGAGAATCTTGGGCATTAATGCAGCAGATACATCCCCCACCCCAAAGACTTCTGGGAACTGTGGTTTCTTAAGGATGCTGGGCTATGTAGTTCTGTGAGAGGCAAACTACAGTTCCCATGATTATTTGGGGATGTTTTTTACAAGTACGCTGGTGCTGTCTTTCTGCTTGGTTTACGAACGGTGGACTTTTGGGGGGGGCACACCCAAGGCAGAAGTAATCTGCCCCTCAGTTCATAATTATCCAAAGCAATTGAGCTAGGGCAAATATCTCCCCTTTTTAGGGTTGAGAACTCCCCATGATGAGAAACGACGGCAGAGAGCACAGAGGGGGGAGTTAAGGCAGCTGCTGTGAGGGCCTAAATTCTCCAACCAAACAGCTCACTGGGCAACCTGTGGGCAAGTAGCCATTTTGGGTTGTATCCGACTCTACTTAGGATAGACCCAACTGGAATCAACAAACTGAAGCGAGTCATGCCTATTAACTTCAATGGGTTGACTGAGGATGGCTAGCGTTGAACGCACCCCTACAAGCTTAACCTACCTCTTGAAAGGGTTTGCGTGTGTGTGACAGGTGCCCTTAGGGCATGAGGAAAAGGCAACAGTGAACAGAGAGGTTCTGTTCATAGGATAGGAGGATCTCTCCTAGGACCCCATCAGTGGAAGTAAAGGTTCCCAGTCTCATGGGCGGTGGTTCAACCCTAGGAATTGGGTGGGTGGGGGGTTCAGTCTAATTTGCATTTAAAGGCGAAGCTTCCCTCGTTCTCCCTTCCCGGTACAATAAGTGGACCAAAGCACTTCTCTGAATTCTCCAGTGGTGTTACCCAGGCAAATAATGTGTACTAAAATGCATATATTATGGAGAAATGTACGTAAAGATGCATATATTGATGACAATGGCATATCTCCTTCCCAAATCATTACATTAGAGGGACTTGCCAGAAAAGGTATATATATTAAATAAAATTGCATACGAAACTTGTGTTAGGAGAAATTCCTCTAAGAACGTGGGTGAATTTTCATGACGACTTTTTAAAAAAAATAAATCACAAACTAATATGTTTTCATGTTTAGCTTTGTAAAAATCATACAAAATCCAATAAAAATGATATTTTTAAAAGACTAAAAAGAAAAGAAATGTGGAGAACTGCTCAAGATTGAAAAAATGAGAAAGAGAAAAATCAAAATGGACTCTTTCCTCATCCCTGATGTCCCTGAATGCAGTCATTCACTTCCAGCCATTTTATGGAACGGCAGCCGTTTTTTAATGGGCAGGAAAACTAAAGCACTGCCATATCCTGAAGCTGTTGACCCAAAACATTGCCAGACTTCAGCACTCACTATTCCTGACCATGCTGGCGAGGGCTGATGGGAGTTGGGCATCCAAACCATTGAGAAACCACCATGTTGGGGAAGGCTGCTGTAATGTTACAGTCCCAGGCTTGCACAAATATGCCTATGCTGTAGTAATGATGAAACCCCTACTGCTAGCTAGCTTTCTTGTGGAGATCTTAGAAAGAATGGAGCTGTGTGACCAATACACTCTTGGTCCATGGATCACAGGAGAGAGAGAACAGAGCGGCTTCTGGCTGAGTCTATGAACATTGACCAAACTTGGTCTACATTACATTGGTTGTGGTAGCTAACATGAAGTTCTCCAGATGTTCCTGGACTCCAACTCCCGCCAGCCCCAAGCCAGCATGGCCAAAGACCAAAGATAATGAGAGTTGTACTCCAACAACATCTGGAGAGCACAGCATTGCCTACTCTTAATAAAGGTAAAAAGGTAAAGGACCCCTGGACGGTTAAGTCCAGTCAAAGGCGACTATGGGGTTGCGGTGCTCATCTCCCTTTCAGGGAGCCAGTGTTTGTCCACAGACAGCTTTCCGGGTCATGTGGCCAGCATGACTGAAGAAGAGTTTGGATTTGATATCCCACTTTATCACTACCCGAAGGGGTCTCAAAGCGGCTAACATTCTCCTTTCCCTTCGTCCCCCACAACAAACACTCTGTGAGTTGAGTGGGGCTGAGAGACTTCAAAGAAGTGTGACTGGCCCAAGGTCACCCAGCAGCTGCATGTGGAGGAGCGGGGAATCGAACCTAGTTCACCAGATTACGAGTCCACTGCTCTTAACCACTACACCACACTGGCTCTTCTGGCGCAACGGAACACTGTGACAGAAACCAGAGTGCACGGAAACACCATTTACCTTCCCGCCACTGCGGTACCTATTTATCTACTTGCACTGGTGTGCTTTCGAACTGCTAGGTTGGCAGGAGCTGGGACAGAGCAATGGGAGCTCACCCCGTCGCAGGGATTCAAACTGCCGACCTTCTGATCGGCAAGCCCAAGAGGCTCAGTGGTTTAGACCACAACGCCACCCACATCCCTTTACCTACTCCTAATAGAATACGTTGGTGCAGGTTTCTACAGAACATTTTTCCCGGCACTGAGCCAAGATGGGATGGCCATCTGGCCCCTTGCATCCTATGACTCAGTGAACAATCTCGTTGAATAACGTGGGAGAACTATTTATACAGGTACAGATTTACCAGCTCTACCTATGAACAAAAGCAGGTTTCATCTTTCCTAATATGGAATTTTCCAGCCCGCTTGAACGTTGCTCTCTCTCTCCCCAGAATGCAGAGGCTGATGACAGCTGACAGTGGGTAGGCTGCTAAGTTAAGCCTCCAAGGGGGCACGATGTGAGCTAGTACTGAACACATGTCATTGTTTGTGCTGCAGCAGCAGATCTAAAAGGTAGAATTAATGCGCTGGGTACAAGGCTGTGCTCCCATGCTTTCCATGGGAAGGATTTGGGAGGGTCCAGCTTTGGGATTAAGCAAAGCAGTTATAGGATATACTTCAGTCGTCAAAATGCTTTTTAATATATTGTTTTCATATTTATTTTTTATTTGTTTTTAGGGCACAATATATCACCATAACAGTTAGAATTCCATATATACTTACCTAATATTGATATTAGGGAAGCAGGTGGCGCTGTGGGTTAAACCACAGAGCCTAGGGCTTGCCGATCAGAAGGTCAGTGGTTCAAATCCCCGGGACGGGGTGAGCTCCCGTTGCTCGGTCCCTGCTCCTGCCAACCTAGCAGTTCGAAAGCACGTCAAAGTGCAAGTAGATAAATAGGTATAGCTCCGGCGGGAAGGTAAACGGCGTTTCCGTGCGCTGCTCTGGTTCGCCAGAAGCGGCTTAGTCATGGTGGCCACATGATCCGGAAGCTGTACACCGGCTCCCTCAGCCAATAAAGCGAGATGAGCGCCGCAACCGCAGAGTCGGCCACGACTGGACCTAATGGTCAGGGGTCCCTTTAACATTACCTTTAATATTGATATTATCCAAATAGATGTATTATTATTTCTAATGCACTTATATAACTCTCATTTCCCCCCTCCCCCCTCAACCTACTGTATTTTATATAAATGAGTTCCAAATTTCATTATACTTGGTCATGAAAAGTCTCCATCTATAAGCAATCCGCTTCTATGTGGAAACTGCAGTCAGGCCTTGAGTCCATTGAATAAATGGAGCTGTACATTTATTGTCCCAACACAGCAGTATCAGTCTTTTGGCCATAGTGTGGGCACAGAGATATGTTGCCCCGTTGTCAGATTCCCTATAGCTCAAAAGAATATTATCCTTTGAAAATGTTTGCCTTTTTTCGCACAGAAGCACAGATTCTTCAAGGCTTGGGAGAACCCTGTCTTGTGTTGCAATACTGCAGTGATAACACTAAATTTTGCAATTAATACGTTTCATTCTACTGCATTGCCGTTCCAACCTAATTGCCAACTTAATCTCAGAGCAATTTCAAAAACCATGGCACTCAAATAAAGTATTTGGAGACTCGGGATCTCTGGGTGCTTTTTAAGGTTGCATGGAGCGTAGGACAGGCAAATATTCAGAAATATTCTGCTTGATCCACACTTTCTAGGCACAGGGGTGAGTGGTTCTCCCGTTGTCCTGCTCCTTTCCCAGGGAAAACCCAGTCTTTAGTGATAAATTGGAACAGACAGCAATCCATTGGAAACCCGAATTGCCGTTTGCTCCGACTGAGCACTAAAGAGCAGTTTTCCCTCAAGGTAAGCAGTGGTACAAGAGGAACTGTAGAGAGGCACAAAGAGTGAGCAGGGGGAAAGGGGTGTTCAGAGGCTTTTCAGAGGGTGCTCCCCACTTTACACAATTTCATTTATGGGGTGGGCAACATAACCCCCATGTAAGTGAGGCAACACCTATATTCAAAGGTGTTGATATCCATGATTGCCTTTTAATAGCCTGTTACTTTGACATAAATCAGAAAGAGGTGCTTCCAAGCTTCTCCAGGTGACTTTCTTGAGCATCCATCCAGATTTTCTTGCATAAAGCTTGCACAGAGGTTAGATTGTGTGCAGTCTATATAGAGCAATCATTCTGATTTGTTTTGGGGTGGTATTTACATGACCATGGCTACTCATCTTGATTTGCTTGCATGGAAGTTTTGCACTTTCCCATTACAGTCGTACCTTGGATCCCGAACACCTTGCAAGTCGAACATTTTGACTCCTGAAGGCCGCAAACCCAGAAGTGAGTGTTCCGGTTTGCGAACGTTCTTTGGAACCCAAACGCCTGATGTTGGTTCCGCGGCTTCCGATTGGCTGCAGGAAACTCCTGCAGCCAATCGGAAGCCGCGCCTTGGTTTTGGAAGTCAAACGGACTTCCGGAACAGATTCTGTTCGACTTCCGAGGTATGACTGTAATTGGTTGGTTAGCCCACATTTTTTTAGTCTATAGTTCCCTGTCACTTTCCTAACTGCAAAAGAAATGTGTTGCTTCTTTTGAAGTTGATTTGTTGCGCCAGAGCATTTCAAGTGCGCAAACTTAAATTTCCAGTATGCAACTGAATCCCTCCCGCAAAACATTGACAGTCTGGAGGCAACTCCAGATGCAGATAGAGTTGGGGGCGCTGCATTCTTCACCTTGCCTTGGGAAATGTACAGTACATCTAAAGGTTTTCCTTTCCTGTCCCTGTTCTTCACAGCACAGCATCTAAAAGGATTTGGGAATCAAAGTAAAGAGAGAGAGAGAGAGAGAGAGCCTTTAAATTTTTTTCTATAAAATGCCATCCTTTTTCTTGGAGGCTGCTTTTAAAGAATGTGCACTTTAAAAGAAACAAACAAATGGAAACCTGAACAAAATCTCACCCGTTTTCAATGTCAAGCTGTAACCGTACTTCAAAGTTGGCAGTAAACAACCAAGCGTCTGCTCAGAACTCGATATTTAGTGGAGTCGTGACAGCTCTCGTCCTCTGTTAAGTAGTTATACATCATGCATTTCCAGTTTTGTCTAATACCCACAGACATTCCAGGAACTATTGAAACTGATGTGTGTTGAATTTTGGGGTAGCCCTAGCCGTGGTGGGAACCAGAGTGGGAAGCCATTTTTTCTGATACTGCGGCTCCATTGTCCCATGTTGATGGTAACATTATGTGATAACTTGTCTGCATGAATCCAATGGCCCGGTTCCCAGGTCACTATAAACTCCAGTTTATCTTAAACCATGGTTTAATTGTGAACATACTGCTCCCCTGCCGACACGGGTGGCGCTGTGGTCTAAACCACTGAGCTTCTTGGACTTGCCAATCAGATGGTTGGCGGTTCGAATCCCTGCGACGGGGTGAGCTCCCATTGCTGTCCCAGCTCCTGCCAGCCTAGCAGTTCGAAAGCATGTCAAAGTGCATGTAGATAAATAGGTACTGCTGCAGCAGGAAGGTAAGCAGCGTTTTCATGCACTCTGGCTTCTGTCACGGCGTTCCATTGTGCCAGAAGTGGTTTAATCATGCTGGACACATGACCCGGAAAGCTGTCTGCGGATAAACACCAGTTCCTTCGGCCTGAAAGCGAGATGAGTGCTGAACAGCTTTTCTCCCTGTCTCAGATGCGTGATGCGCATATGACTCAAATAAGCCAAATTATGGCTTCTCAGCTCATCTGAACCTAGACGAAGACATGTTTGTTTGTTTCGAACAAGCCACAAGTGGCAAGCCAGAAAAGTTTATGTCTGTATCATAGGCAATCGCTTGTTTGAAACAAACAAACTATGGTTTGGGTTCAGATGACATGGCAAGCCATGGTATAGCTTGTCTGAGTTGCGCAGGGACCCCCATAGTGGGGAGAGGCACATTCATAACCATGGTTCAACACAATTTGCTACTTATCAACCAAGACCATAATGTCCACTCAAGCGCAATGCTTTTCCATTTACCCAGTTTGCATAGTCATGCAGTGTTGATATGCCACGTGTTGTATATGGTGATATGAACACATGACAGATGGGGAGAAATTCTATTGAGTTTGCCTTTGAAGATCTACTTAATTTGCACTTTCGGAACAATATTTTATTTATTAATCGATTTTATCAGATTTATATACTGCCTTTCATCATAAGATCTCAGGGCGGCTCACAGAATATGTGAACCGACACAGCCATTCTTTGAAATTTGCACTTCTCCAGATTTTGCAGTTCTCCAAACAATGTGTACAAAATGGCCGCTTAACACCCTTCGCCAAACCTGATATTCAAACTAGCCAGTCCGTAGCAGCCTGGGGGACATGGTTTTGGAGAGTGGACCTGAGGGAAGCAGGCTTCTTTTACAAAAAAGAAAAGGGCCATTTACAAAAATGCATATACTGGGTAAAGTGTACCATAACATGCATTATATTGCGGGAAATTGCTTTGCAATTTTTTGAACTCAAATGCTGAACTCAGACTGGTGTGAAAATGCGGTGAACTGAATTTCAGGCTGGAAAAATTAGAAACGGGGAGAAACTGAAACGAACAGATTCACCCAATCTTAGAATAGGCACCATTTCTGCAGCACAACATCATTTCTGAGGTGGCAGATGGGGTCGTTTATTTCCTCCTCCCCTCATTTTTGCTTCGATACAGCGAACCATTCAAGCATCCTGCACGATCAAAAGTGTGTATGTCAAAAATTATTACAGTCCTCTTGCCCAAAGTTGCCCATTGACCTCGGAAATGCAGCATTGAATCTGGTTTTCCCATTTTCTCCACGTAGCTAAATTCTGTAGCCTGAGGCTTGCTAGGAACTTTTATGACATGAAAGGAAGGAAGCATGGCGTGTGGGCTTCTGACTCATTCAAAAGGGTAACAAAGACCCGCCGTGACATCAGAAGGCTGACGGTGAACAGAAATAAGAGTTTACTAGGTTTCGGGGCTTGCTTAGTAGCAGCAGGAACATGATGAGAAAGAAAAGTAAGGAGGAACAGAGGCAAAGAAGGAACCTTTGGTGACACATTCATTGTACAGTAGAGGCCTCAGGTAGCATGTGAATCATAGATGCTTTTGTTAATACACAGAAGGCTTATACTTCATTTTATGGAAGATAATCCACTAATATATAACCTATGATTCTAGGCTGCCTAAACCCGGCTGGTGGCCGATACTCCTGCCATTTACTGACAGGCCTAGAGAGAAATGAATTGCATTCGCGTAGTGGCAGCAATGGATAGCAGAATCCAATCCTTTCCATTATGGGGCAATGCGATAAGGCCAGAGTGTCTGCTCTACACCATAGAGTTGGGCTAGAGAGGCACAAGCTGCTTGGCTTTCACCCAACATGGGATTTTTCATTTTACCCCTGCCTGAAAGCAAAAATAGCCTGCAAATTGGTTTTTAAATTTTCACACGAAACAAGGCGTGACATAGAAAGGCAATGAATTCCTGCCTTTGCTTGAACACTCCTCTGCTAAAAATCCAGTTACGCTAATGTGTGTATTATTTGCTTCCTTCAAAATGCGGTAAACACATCTTGCCACTCCCTGCCCATTTTTCTGAGTTCTCTCGTGATTGTGCCCTTGTCCCTTCCATCAGCTCCTTGTGCTCTCTAGACGATCTTGGGTCGTGGAAAAAGTAAATAACCCCATCCCTTTACATAGGAACCAGTTCTAAGTGATCGAAATATCTTTGAGCCAATGGAGGCTTTTTCTCAACATCCATAAGGAGTGAAGCTAGATGGTGCTGTTCTTCAGGCAGATTCCGCCTAGCAGGTTGGCTACATTGAAATTGAGTAGTCATATGTCTCTGGCATTTTTCTGGAGGTTGCTTTCTCTGTTCTTTTTTTAGAACAGACAAACAAACAGGCACATCTTAACGCACAAAGCCACACACGCAATACATCCATGACCATTGGCCAGGGTTGCTGCGACCAATGGTTGCTAGTGGAAGACCACAGATTTGCTGCACTGGTTTTACTCTTTGAAAGTTTAGGCCACAGTAAATTTCTGCAATTGAGTTAATTTAAATCAGTGGGATTTAAATTAAGCCACGACTAACTTGCCCTATGGGGACGCGGGTGGCGCTGTGGGTAAAACCTCAGTGCCTAAGACTTGCCGATCGTATGGTCAGCGGTTCGAATCCCCGCGGCGGGGTGAGCTCCCGTCTTTCGGTCCCAGCTCCTGCCCACCTAGCAGTTCGAAAGCACCCCTAAGTGCAAGTAGATAAATAGGTACCGCATTATAGCGGGAAGGTAAACGGCGTTTCCGTGTGCTGCGCTGATCTGGCTCGCCAGAGCAGCTTCGTCACGCTGGCCACGTGACCCGGAAGTGTCTCTGGGCAGCACTGGCCCTCGGCCTCTTAAGTGAGATGGGCGCACAACCCTAGAGTCGGACACGACTGGCCCGTACGGGCAGGGGTACCTTTACCTTTAACTTGCCCTATGGATATTTGCACTGTGGATTCAGTTAACTTGGTCTTGATTCAACCCTTAGTCTTTAAAGCACCACAAGATCTTATTTACTACGAATTATGCTTAGGCATAGGGACGCGGGTGGCGCTGTGGGTTAAACCACAGAGTCTAGGACTTGCCGATCAGGAGGTCGGCGGTTTGAATCCCCGTGACGGGTTGAGCTTCCGTTGCTCGGTTCCTGCTCCTGCCAACCTAGCAGTTTGAAAGCACGTCAAAGTGCAAGTAGATAAATAGGTACCGCTCCGGCGGGAAGGTAAACGCCGTTTCCGTGCACTGCTCTGGTTCGCCAGAAGCGGCTTAGTCATGCTGGCCACAAGACCCAGAAGCTGTACGCCAGCTCCCTCGGCCAATAAAGCGAGATGAGTGCCGCAACCCCAGAGTCGGCCACGACTGGACCTAATGGTCAGGGGTCCCTTTACCTTTTATGCTTAGGCATGAGTGAGCTTGAGCTATAAGAGACACATGCTTGAAACCTTAAATAAGTTATGTTAAAGATGTTCAAGGAAGAAATGTTTTGTTCCCCTCCTGCCTCTTGCAGCCCATTGAAAACTTCTCAGTGTGGTCTACTGGACAGTGTGGAACAAGGTACAGCGGGCTGCTGGGCGAAGAGGGAATTGCCCCCAAATCAGTCTTCACCCAATCCAATACTAGGTGATTCTCTGCTCCTGCAGAAGCCTCTTGCAGCCCATCCTACATTGCCCAGGAGGGGCCCTTGACCCTTAGGATAGGAGGTACAGCTTGGCTGCACAGGAGAGGAGGGAAGAGGAAACTTCTGTGAACTTTGAACAGACATGCTTATGGACTCCAGCAGTGGGGCTAAATAAATACAAACTGAAATAGAAGGCATGGTCGATAATCTTTCTGGCTTTGAGAATTCTGATAGAGTTGTCAGAATTAGTCCGTCGAAATGGCGTCCGGTTGAAAGTATCAAATAGCGGCTAAAGTGTCCGTGAAAATCCAGGCCTAGGGCATCCTATATCAAAAGTGTTGATTTTTCGGCTCAACAACTTTGCCCCCTCCAAAAAAAGACAGACAAGGAAGAGGACAAGCAGACTGCATACGCGCCAACATTTTGTATCCCAAAACCAAGATGCATGTCTTCCTGTTGGTGCTCCCATGCGGGTCACATGACCCGCACAAGATCACAGAGCCAAAAAGACATGCCCAAAATACACACAGTTTGAGGCGTGGTGTGAGATCGCGGCCCTGAAAGTAGCGCTGTTTCAGGGCGAAATCTTGGTGTGAGATCATGGTGCCCCAAATGGCCACCATGCTCTCGTGGGAACGGGATGTTCCAGTTTTTCTGGGACACTTGCAGGGTATAAGCCTGTCCATTTAGTTTTCTTCAATGATTTCTGATAGGTCTGCACAAGTTATAAGACTCCTCCTCACCAAACCAAGCACACCTGACCAACCATGGATCTAGAAGTCACCTTGTTTTGCTGCCTGTTGGGAATTGAAAAACAAACAAAAAACCAGGGATGCTGTCATGCACCTAGAAGGCCATGTTATGTGGACGGTTGGCTGCTTTGGGGCTGGTGGACTCACAAGTTGTGCAGGCCAATCTATATTATTTTCTTCTGTAGTTTTTTGACATAGCCATTGCTAGCAAATACTACCTGTGAGGCCCTAAATCTAAGCTCAGACTTTACCTTCATTAACCGGCAGAGAGCTGAGCTGAGAGCCAATCTAAAGGAAACACTATGGATGTGTGATCATGGATCACTGCCTTGCCGTGGCGAAGGGGCTTGAATAGCTCAGAGAAGCTATGAGCTATGCCGTGCAGGGCCACCCAAGATGGACAGGTCATAGTGGAGAGTTTTGACCAAACGTGATCCACCTGGAGCAGGAACCGGCAAGCCACTCCAGTATCCCTGCCAAGAAAACTCCATGGACAAAGGCAACAGGCATATAAAAGTTATGACGCTGGAAGATGAGCCCCTCAGGTCGGAAGGCATCCAACATGCTACTGAGGAAGAGCAGAGGACAAGTACAAGTAGATTCAGAGCTGATGAAGTGGCTGGGCCAAAGCCGAAAGGACGCTCAGTTGCGGATATGCCTGGAAGTGAAAGGAAAGTCCAATGCTGTAAAGAAAAATATTGCAAAGGAACCTGGAATGTAAGAACCATGAACCTTGGTAAGTTGGATGTGGTCAAAAATGAGATGGCAAGAATAATGACATCCTGGGCATCAGTGAACTAAAGTGGACGGGAATGGGCGAATTCAGTTCAGATGACTATCATATCTACTACTGTGGGCAAGAATCCCGTAAAAGAAATGGAGTGGCCCTCATAGTCAACAAAAGAGTGGCGAAAGCTGTACTGGGATGCAATCTCAAAAATGATAGAATGATCTCAATACGAATCCAAGGCAGACCTTTTAACATCACAGTAATCCAAGTTTATGCACCAACCACTGGTGCTGAAGAAACTGAAATTGACCAATTCTATGAAGACTTACAACACCTTATAGAAATGACACCAAAGAAGGATGTTCTTCTCATTATAGGGGATTGGAATGCTAAAGTAGGGAGTCAAGAGATAAAAGGAACAACTGGCAAGTTTGGCCTTGGAGTTCAAAATGAAGTAGGGCAAAGGTTAATAGAGTTCTGCCAAGAGAACAAGCTGGTCATCACAAACACTCTTTTCCAACAACACAAGAGACGACTCTACACATGGACATCACCAGATGGGCAGCATCGAAATCAGATTGATTATATTCTCTGCAGCCCAAGATGGAGAAGCTCTATACAGTCAGCAAAAACAAGACCTGGAGCTGACTGCGGCTCAGATCATCAGCTTCTTATAGCAAAATTCAAGCTTAAACTGAAGAAAGTAGGAAAAACCACTGGGCCGGTAAGATATAATCTAAGTCAAATCCCTTATGAATACACAGTGGAAGTGAGGAACAGGTTTAAGGATTTAGATTTGGCGGACAGAGTGCCTGAAGAACTATGGATAGAGGCTCATAACATTATACAGGAGGCAGCAACTAAAACCGTCCCAACGAAAAGGAAATGCAAGAAAGCAAAGTGGCTGTCCAACGAGGCCTTACAAATAGCGGGGGGGAGAAGGCAAGCAAAGTACGAGGGAGATAGTGAAAGATACAGGAAATTGAATGCAGATTTCCAAAGAAAAGCAAGGAGAGACAAGAAGGCCTTCTTAAACGAGCAATGCAAAGAAATAGAGGAAAACAATAGAATGGGAAAAATCAGAGATCTGTTTAAGAAAATTGGAGATATGAAAGGAACATTTCGTACAAAGATTACCATAATAAAAGACAAAAGTGGTAAGGACCTAACAGAAGCAGAAGGCATCAAGAAGAGGTGGCAAGAATACACAGAGGAACTATACTAGAAAGAAATGGATGTCTCGTACCCCCCAGGTAGTGTGGTTGCTGACCTTGAGCCAGACATCCTGGAGAGTGAAGTCAAATGGGCCTTAGAAAGCATTGCAAATAACAAGGCCAGTGGAAGTGATGGTATTCCAGCTGAACTATTTAAAATTTTAAAAGATGATGCTGTTAAGGTGCTACACTCAATATGCCAGCAAGTTTGGAAAACTCAGCAGTGGCCAGAGGATTGGAGAAGATCAGTCTACATCCCAATCCTAAAGAAGGGCAGTTCCAAAGAATGCTCCAACTACCGCACAATTGCACTCATTTCACACACTAGCAAGGTTATGCTTAAAATTCTTCAAGGCAGGCTTAAGCAGTATGTGGACCGAGAACTCCCAGAAGTGCAAGCTGGATTTCGAAGGGGCAGAGGAACCAGAGACCAAATTACAAACATGCGCTGGATTATGGAGAAAGCTAGAGAGTTCCAGAAAGACATCTACTTCTGCTTCATTGACTATGCAAAAGCCTTTGACTGTGTCGACCACAGCAAACTATGGCAAGTTCTTAAAGAAATGGGAGTGCCGGATCACCTCATCTGTCTCCTGAGAAATCTCTATGTGGGACAAGAAGCTACAGTTAGAACTGGATATGGAACAACTGATTGGTTCAAAATTGGGAAAGGAGTATGGCAAGGCTGTATATTGTCTCCCTGCTTATTTAACTTATATGCAGAATTCATCATGCGAAAGGCTGGGCTGGATGAATCCCAAGCTGGAATTAACATTGCCGGAAGAAATATCAACAACCTCAGATATGCAGATGGCACAACCTTGATGGCAGAAAGTGAGGAGGAATTAAAGAACCTTTTAATGAGGGTGAAAGAGGAGAGCGCAAAATGTGGTCTGAAGCTCAACATCAAAAAAATGAAGATCATGGCCACTAGTCCCATCATCTCCTGGCAAATAGAAGGGGAAGAAATGGAGGTAGTGAGAGATTTTACTTTCTTGGGCTCCATGATCATTGCAGATGGTGACAGCAGCCACGAAATTAAAAGACGCCTGCTCCTTGGGAGAAAGGCGATGGCAAACTTAGACAGTATCTTAAAAAGCAGAGACATCACCTTGCCAACAAAGGTCCGTATAGTTAAAGCCATGGTTTTCCCAGTAGTGATGTATGGAAGTGAGAGCTGGACCATCAAGAAGGCTGATCGCCGAAGAATTGATGCTTTTGAATTATGGTGCTGGAGGAGACTCTTGAGAGTCCCATGGACTGCAAGAAGATCAAACATATCAATTCTTCAGGAAATCAGCCCTGAGTGCTCACTGGAAGGACAGATCATGAAGCTGAGGCTCCAATACTTTGGCCACCACATGAGAAGAGAAGACTCCCTGGAAAAGACCCTGATGTTGGGAAAGATTGAGGGCACAAGGAGAAGGGGACGACAGAGGACGAGATGGTTTGACGGTGTTCTCAAAGCTACAAACATGAGTCTGACCAAACTGCGGGAGGCAGTGGAAGACAGGAGTGCCTGGCGTGCTCTGGTCTATGGGGTCACGAAGAGTCGGACACGACTAAACGACTAAACAACAACAACAACTACTACCTGTGAGGCCCTAAATCTAAGCTCAGACTTTACCTTCATTAACCGGCAGAGAGCTGAGCTGAGTGCCATACTAAAAGAAAAACTATGGATGTGTATCTCTTTTGCCTTTAAAAGTCTGGGGAAAGTATCTATGGGAAGATTAGGGTCACTTTATGGCAATGGAGGAAAACTTTCATGTTTGTATTGTACGCTGCCCCTTAACAGGGCAAATAGCAGCTGCAGAGGGGTGGTTTTCTTCAGGAAAATGGTCCCCACAAAATTCTCCCAGCATTGTAGTCTCAGTCCTCATCAGGCCTTCCTGCCCCTGCTTTTTACAAAGATTTAGACTGGAGATTCAGTCAGTCATTTCCAAACATCTCCTGTAGTTTTGAGTAGCCAAAACAAGCAGATTCCTACCTTATTTGGGAATATAACATTGCACTGGAAATCCCTGCTAAGATTAAAGTAACCAGAACAATGGCTGCACTTAAAAGAACAGGACTTAAAGTAGAAGAGATGGAAATCAGTAGGGATTTTCCCACTCAGAGTGGGAGAGATTAGTTTACAGGTCCCTGGGATTGAAGTTTAATGAGTTCCCATGGTCCCAGAAATTGTGAATAATGCCAGCAATGTTATCCTGTGGGGGATTTTTCAAACTGAGATCATCAACTCCTACATCTGGGGTCCCAAATATGCCCCTGGGTACCATGGCGCTTTCAGACCATGGCATCTGTTGAGGCCCTATAGAAGGGGTCCCAAGGATTACTGTATATTTTGCACCATAACACTCACTTTTTTCCTCCTAGAAAGTAAGGGGAAATGTCTGTGCGTGTTATGGAGGGAATGCCTACGGGTGGCGGGGGGATCTGCTGCAGTCGTGAGCAGAGGATCCATGGTTCCCCTTCCTTCCCTCCTCCGTGGCTCGCTTTGAAACAGCAAAGCGGGAGAAGAGCCGCTGAGTGGGGAGGACAGAGGGACAGAGAGCCTGATTCTTTAAAGGGGCAAAGCGGGAGAGGAGAGGAGCCGCTTACACAAGTGTAAGTGGCTCCTGTCCGGTTGGTTCCTTTAAAGCAAGCAGGCTCTCTGTCCCTCTCTCCTCCCCACTCAGAGGCTCTTCTCCCGCTTTGCTGGAAATAGCAGGAAAGATTTTCAGCTCGCTAAGGGGGGGGGGGGAGAAAAGCAGATCCTGCTTGCTTTAAAGTAGCAAAGTGGGAGAGGAGAGGAGCCTTCTCCCCTTATACCCCTCTTCTTCATTATTAGCAGCATGCTTCTCCACACACCCCATGCGTGTTCCTTCTCCCCTTAAACCCCTCTCCTGCATTATTAGCTGCATCCTTCTCCACCCACCCCACGCGTGCTCCTTCTCCCCTTAAACCCCTCTCCTGCATTATTAGCAGCATCCTTCTCCACACACCCCATGCGTGCTCCTTGTCCCTTGAGTGCTTTTCCTTCCCTCCCCACTTAAAACGTGGTTGCAAAGCACGGATCCACATGGATCCTCAGGATTTTTGCATTGGGCTACTCCAAATTCACCGTCAGATCACATGTCTGTGGCCACAGCATGAACCACAAAAATCATACATCCACTATTTTGTTTAGAATATTTTTTTTCTTGTTTTCCTCCTCTCAAAACTACGTGCGTGTTATGGTCGGGTGCGTGTTATAGAGCGAAAAATACGGTATCTATTCAACCCTCTGCAATGCTGAAATCTAGGCCAAAGCATCCATGTCAGATGCCATCCTTCTGTCTTGCACCCCCCCTTTTTTTAAATGGCTTTGGGTGTGGAGTTGTTTGTTGCTTGATTTTGGCGGGATGTTGTCTGATTCCACCCACCAACCCTGTGCATTTTATTTTTATCGGCGTTCTGCCTGGGTTTGGGTTGAGGGGAAACCATTCTGAACATTGCCATTTTCTCCCTGTTGGTGAAATGGGTATTTTGTGGTGCGCACAACAGTTTCTTAGGTTTTTTTCCTTCGATAAATATGTCCCTGGATCTGCAGAGGTCACAGACCCCTGCCTTCATTGAAAGCTAACGGCTCCAGGAAATGGCCACAAACCATGTATGCTCTGAGCTTAAAGAGAATGACACAAAACCCTGCGCCAAAGAAGCCCTAATTTGGCAAGACAGATTGACCTTGTGAACTAAGGATATTTCCGTGTGTGTGTGTGTGTGTGTGTGTGTGTGTATTTCTGCTAATCATAGTGAGGGATGTTAAGCAACACGCAGAACTCTGAAGCCCTGACTTCCTGACTCCTGAACATCCTGCTTATTTCCCCCTTTGCTTTCAGCGTAGTCTGAAAGCTGTCCCTAAGTAACTGAATCTCCTGATGTGGGAGGAAATAAAGCAGCCACACCTTGTCTTGCTCAGTCCTTGCCAACTCCCTCGCTTGTTGTGTGACATGCCTGGAGTCTAGCCCTTGTGCAATGGGCCAGAGAGAGAGAAGGGCCTATATACTGCAACTGCTTTATCTCCTTTGGCCCCCAAAGGCAAAGAAGTGTCAAAAGATGTAAAGGGATAGCTGCATCCTCCGGCTTCGAATCCAGGCACCCTATCATAGAATCATAGAGTTGGGTCAATTGGTCCAACCTAGGGTTGCCATCTTTCAAAAAGTGAAAATCCGGACACAAAAGTTGTTGAGCTTTATTGGGCAAAGTTGCTGAGCTCTTTTTTTGCTGTGGGGAGAAAAGTTGTTGAGCTTCTCTTAGTTTTGCCCAAAGTTGTTGAGCTTTCCCTCCCAAATCTAAACAAAACAAAACATTTTTCAGCTACCGTATTTTTTGCTCTATAAGACGCACATTTTCCCCTCCAAAAATTAAGGGGAAATGTGTGTGCGTCTTATGGAGCGAATGCAGGCTCCTTGGCTTCAGCGATAGCAATGCAAAGCCTCCGAAGCACAGTGGAAGCGCTCCCGCCGCGCTCTGGAGGCTTCGCGTTGCTTTCGCTGAAGCCTGGAGAGCGAGAGGGGTCGGTGCGCCCCCACCCCTCTCGCTCTCCAGGCTTCAGGGATAGCCGCCTGAAGCCTCTGGAGTGCAATGGGAGCTCCTGCTGCGCTCCAGAGGCTTCGGATTCCTTTCGCTGAAGGGTAGGTGCCCCTTCAGCTAAGGCGCAGCGCCCCTTCAGCTAAGCGGGAGGAGAAATGGAAGGGGCTCTGTTTCTCCTGCCGCCTCACTGAAGGGGCGCTGCGCAGAGAGGGGAAGAATTTTTTTTCTTGTTCTCCCCCTCTAAAACAAGGTGCGTCCTGTGATCAGGTGCGTCCTATAGAGCAAAAAATACAGTATTTTTAATGGGAAATCGCCAAGATCTACACTGCTGACATGGGCTGCCATACATCCAGATTCCCGCCCAGAAACTGCTAACGATGGCAGAATCCTGGCTATGTCTGGGAAATTCTGGACGTACGGAAACCCTAGACCAACCCCCCCTGCAATGCAGGAGTCTCAGCTAAAGCATCCATGACAGATGTCCATCCAACCTCTGCTTAAAAACCTCCAAGGAAGGAGAGTCCACCACCTCCCAAGGGAGACCGTTCCACTGTCAAACAGCTCTCCGCGGCATCAAGTTCTTCCTAGTCTGCCCCATCTGCCCCTGGATCTCTTGGCATTTGAGTAGGCAGTACCTACAACAATACGTTCAGGACTTATTTTGCACCCAGCTGAATTTAGGGCAGAAACAGATGCAATATTATACTTATAATTAGTTTCATAATTATATATTATATATTTTTATAGAAAATTTATTATTTTAATACAGTTTATTATTGTTGGTGATGATGATTTTGCTGGGCTCCCAACAAAAGATTAAAAACACAATAAAACATCAAACATTAAAAACTTTCCTATACAGGGAAATTGCAGCTTCCTCCCAGTTTGCGTTATATATGGCAGGTGTGCGGATCAGCAAATCGCATGCTGGGAGCCCACCATCAATTCTGACCCTTGCTGGCTCCTAACAATAAAACAATGAACAGGGTGCGGATACGATGACTACTGCAATCGGCACAAGATAACATCACCAAGGCAGCTATCTGTAAACAAACGATAAATATCCATTAAAAATGGCAAAAGTAGTTTCCTTCCCAAATCAGTTTTATCTTAAACAATAGCAAACACAGTAAATAAAGAGTTTGCTTGTAATACACCAGTGGTTCAGTGCTCATTTCTTCTCTTTCAAAAATAGATTTTATCTTGAACAATTGCAAACGCAGTAATAAAGAATCCACTTGTGATATACCAGTGGTTCAGTGCTTGGACGTCGTTCCGGTAATCTGACGTTTTGTCGCTAAAGATCTTAGTCATCGAGTTTTGTAGTAAATAATATACAAGATAAAACAGTATGTAAAGGACTTTAAGCAGGGGTATATCTGTCCCCATCTGCATGTTTCCATCAGGGGAGCATAGAAGGATGATGATGTCTGTTAAGTTGTGGGTAGACATAGCAGACGACACAGCGATTCTTCCAAAGCAGCTCTTTATTTGTAAGCTGGAACAGAACTGACTGAGGAGCTCAGTCAGCCTGCTTATATAGAGCTCCAGAACAATGTAACTGTTGCCATTTTCTAAAACTATCCAATCACTGAACGTCACTTTCGATCCTTCATTTGCATACAAACTATCCAATCACTGAACGTCACTTTCGATCCTTCATTTGCATAACTATCTACAGTATCCCCCTGCTGGCCCAGGGTGAGAACTTCAGTACATAACAATGTCCTTCAGTTTGTTAAACCTGAAGGAGGTTGATGACTAAGTTCTTCAGCAACGAAACGTCGGATTACCGGAACGATGTCCGAAATTCTTACTGAGTTTCTGTGCCATTCCAGAGGCTGGGAAGACAAGTGGAAGGCCTTGCGGAAAGCCCCTTCTCTTGATGCCCCCTTCTCAAGTTTACAAGAGAGGGACACATTCCAGTTGTGGTGGAAGTGGTGGAGCAAACAGTGGGAGTGGGGAGGGGTGCAGTGGTGGGGCAGGGGAGCCATTCTTATTGTGCCTCAGGTGGCGAAACAAGATGGGCCAGCACTGGTGGAGGGGCGTGGGTTGGGGTGGCGTCTCATTGGGAGCACTGCTCTGACCTTTGTAACCCTAAACGGCTGTGGCCCTATATATCTGAAGGAGCATCTCTGAGGGTGGACCTTCTGGAGGTTCCCTCACTGCGAGAAGCGAAGTTGCAGGGAACCAGGCAGAGGGCCTGCTCAGATGTCCAACAAATAACCAGTTATGCAACTTCTGTAGACATCTGAAGGTAGCCCTGTATCGGGAAGTTTTTGATGTCTGATGTATCATTTGCTCTTTTATATTCTGCTAGAAGCCGCCCAGAGTGACTGGGGCAAACCAGTCAGATGGACAGAATACTACTTCTTCTTCTTCTTCTTCTTCTTCTTCTTCTTCTTCTTCTTCTTCTTCTTCTTCATCATCATCATCTGTTGTTGTTGTTGTTGTTGTTGTTACTACTACTACTACTACTAGTCCCCTGATGTCTGGTGTCAGCCCTGACTGTGGCAAAATCCAATCTTCCTGGTGTTGTGTGATTCCTTTATTTAGTTGCTTCTCAGTGCAGAATAGCTGGTCTTGCTGTATGCCAAGTTCTTATCTGACCCAAAGAGCAAGCTTCTATTTAAATTGTTGTCAACTAAGCACTTGAAAAAATAATGCAGAACTCATATCAGGCTAGGCTTGCCCGCTGTTCTCAAGCACCTTGGGTCCTTTCCAAGATGCTGCTGTGCAGAAGTTTGAGGAAGAGTTAATATTAAAAACAAAACAAAAAAGAAATGATATTTATAAACTATGCATTCTTATGCTATATGGCTCAAGTTAAATCTAGCATGGAGGCTGGAGACACACAATTCCCTGAGCCTTAGACAAACAAGAGACGCTGCCAGCATTTAGTGATGAGGGATGCAAAGATTTCCTTGTTAAATCTGATACCTATTTCCAGGAAATAACATTGGTGCACACTCTGTCCTCCTCACTTCTTCCACAGTTGCTGCCACTCATAAAACAAGTTCCTTTTGCATCTTCCTTAACTGCTCCGACCTATAATAAAATATGGCTTACTGGCTATTTTCCCAGGTGCGTTAACTTTGGGTTTGTTTTTTTAGGAAGTGCTTGTGCCACATGCAGTAGTGCTGACTTTGGATTCCCAAATTGTGGACTCAGCTATGCAGCTGCAAATATAATGTTTTAAGTGCATTATACAAATGTGGCACTAGATGGCGCTGATGAACTAATGGCAAATTCCATATATATTTTAAAACATTTAAAATAAAAAAGCTTCTTCCCCCAGCCTCTATCTTCAGATCTGAGACCCTTCTCCTATCCTTCCCTGCTTCCCAGCCTTTAAAATTAGCAACTGCAGCAGTTTCCCCTAACCTGATGGAATCTTGTGTGGGTTTATGGAGGGAGAGTGGAATGATTGCAAGGTGATCATGCCATGCAGCAGAACTAGCGTGGCACCAGCATGTCAGGGTTAGCCAACCCTGTGCCCTCCCAGTGTTGTTGGACTACAACTACCATCTGCCCCAGTCAGCATGGTCTGTTGTCAGGGATGATGGGAGTTGGAGTCAGTAGCTGAGGCCATGGTTGGGCTGTGTTGCTTAGTTGGCTGAGTCACTGCTGCATAGCATGAGCCCGTGTGGCATAATGGTTCGAGTGTTGGACTGGGACCTGGGAGAGCTGGGTTCGAATCCCCACTCAGCCATGAAATGAAGCTCACTGGGTGACCTTGGGCCAGTCACCCTCTCAACCTAACCTTCTGGAGCAGCTGTCCAAATGGAACTGAACTGAGTTTGGTGAGCCTTACTTCTTGGAAAGTGCACTGAAATATACTCAGTCGAGAGTGGATTTCATGCTCTTTATTCAGCTCATAGTGGTGAGGAGGAATGGAAGTTTCCCCCAAATATCGGCTTTATATACATTATTTACACAATGGGCTGCACGTGATTGGCTAATTCTGGGATTCTCCTGTAGGCCAATCAGGTTGTGGATTCACTTCCACCTGGAGCTGGATTGGGTGGCTCCTGCGGACCAATCATACTGCTGCATTGTTCTAGGACCAATCAGACTGCTGCATTCTGAATCCTATTGTTCTAGGACCAATCAGACTGCTGCCTTTTGGATCCTATTGTTCTAGGACCAATCAGACTGCTGCATTTTGGATCCTGTTCAACTCAGTACATAACATGCACATAGGATTGTGGGAGAGAGGTGATACTTGGCTTAACTGTTCTATTGAAACCAAAGCGCTTGGCTTCTCCTGGATCATGCGCTCAGCATCTAGAAACATCCTCTGCTGCCTGACTCTGGGGCGCATATCTTCAGAGAGACCCTTGAGGACCTCTCGGTAAACCTCCCGTGTGGTGTAGTGGTTAAGAGCGGTAGACTCGTAATCTGGTGTCTACATGCAGCTGCTGGGTGACCTTAGGCTAGTCACTCTTCTCTGAAGTCTCTCAGCCCCACTCACCTCACAGAGTGTTTGTTGTGGACGAGGAAGGGAAAGGAGAATGTCAGCCACTTTGAGACTCCTGAAGGGGAGTGAAAGGCGGGATATCAAACCCAAACTCTTCTTCTCTTCCTCTCCCATTTTATGGCTCCTTTTGGGTTTCCCCTTTTTCTTTCTATGAGCGAGCGATCTGGCAATTCATTCAGCTCCTGGGTTGGATTATCAGCATTGCCAACACACCAAACGGCTGAGCTGATATAAGCAGCAGCGCACCAGCATGAGATTGCCCACCCAGATAGCTCAGTTGGTAGAGCGTGAGCCCAACTTAACCTCAGGGTCGTAGGTTTGAGCCCCACACTGGGCAAAACATTTCTGCATGACATGGGGGTTGGACTAGATGGCTCTTGTCGTCCCTTCCAACCCCACAATTCTATGATTTATTATCTATGTTCAGAGGTGCTAGATGTTCAGAGCCAGGTGACCCCGCAAAACCCCAGAGCTCCCGTGTTTCCTGCCGAATTCCTGCTGATGAATGTTTACTCAGCAGACTGAAAAGAAAAGGAGGGAAAATCCCCTTTCTTTTCCCTTTCCTATTGTGTATCTAAAAACCGAACTGAGGCAAAAGTCCAAGCCTTAGCTCCACAGTGGGGGACCTTTGGAGAAAGGGAGTATTGCTAGCAGCAGAGAGATCGGATCAAAATAAAAGCTGGTTAAAGAAAGGCTTCAATAAACATTCAGTGAATTCAAATAAACGGTTCTGCAAAGGAGTTGAAATTTTCTTTCCCACTTTTAAAGATCAGGTTTACGCCTTCGCATTTCCTCTTTTTTGCTAGGCTAGGGTATTTCCACGGCTTCATAGACCATTCAAAAAATATCTAAGTAAACAGGAGCTTAAAAATATTTTGTATTAAGATGGCTACCAGCACAAAAGGCTGGGAAATTCCACTGTTCCTGTGTCATGTTGATTTTGGGAACATTGCCCAGCCCTGGATAACATGACACCCAAAAAAATAACGCCGTTATAGACAATGTAAAAGAAATAAGCTACTATATGGGGCTGAAAGTATGTTTACTATTAGTGCCTGAATATTTTCATAGGCACACCTCACATTAAAATCACATTTATATCCCATTCTTCCTGCAAGGTTCCTCCATCCTCATATATATCACTATTAAGCACCGTTGCCCTCAGTGGAAGAATTAAGTCCATGTTTTAATATATTTCCCATTGAAATCATTGGAACGTTAAAGGTGCTTAGCTTGGATCGTGTCCATACTGAAAACGAAGCGTTCCATCATAATACAAACACGACATGTTTCTTTCTGAACAGTTTGGCAAATGTTTTCTACTAACGGTGAAATAAAGAATGTCAGCACACTGAGCCATAGGGCTTTTGCAAGTTGCACCGGTTTATTTTCAGCTCTTTTCAGTTTATGCCATATGTTCAGGAAAGTATGCACTATGTACAAGGAAAGCCTAATGGTCCTAGGATTTCCTTCCTTGAAGGCAGCTGTACCAGAAAATAAATTATTCTCCTACTGTTAAGGACAATGTTTCCCCCACTAACAGTATGCATACAAACACATTTTTAAAAGTTAATTATCATATTTTTATTAAGCCCTTCCACTAAAGGATGAGCGGAAAGTACACATATAGACCATTCCCCAATTTTATCATTACAAGAGGTGGGTTAGAGAGAGAGTCAGTGAATTGCTAAAAGTCAGCCAAAAAACATAGAAACTGACTGTAGTCCTGGTCCAGCAAAAGGACACAGGAAGCTGATTCGTTCTGAGTCAGATCCACTATATTTTATTTTTAAATTCATATCCTGCCTTTCTTCTTAGACCAGGGCTCATATGTTTTCTTGACCATTATTCCTCGCTGTCAGATCTAAATTTACAGAGCCAGTTTGGAATCTGTTCTATGTACTATATAATAAGTGCAGTTCTAAGCATGTTTACTCAGAAGTTTCATCAAACTCAATAGGCTAGCTATATTTATTAGGGTGTTTAGGATTACCGCCAGATTAATATTTGTGTTTCATCATTAGGTATCGGAGAGATTCCCTCTCTCTTTCGTGTATTTATTAAATTTAGATGCTCCATTTCCACGCATAACACCCTAGGTGGCTAATAGCATCATTTGACATGGTAAAGTCAAAGCAAAAGAAATTTTAGAAAACACATTTATTTCCATCATTTATTTACAAGCTGTCTATGCTGCCCAAAAGCAAAAGTTATTGCTTTGCAATGAAGGTTGGTACACAAGATGATTGACTGATAAATAAATAAATAAATAAATGCTCTCAGTGTGGCTGACAGGCAAAAGGAAACAAATCAGATAAATGGCTTAGGTCCGCAATACCTCAAGGACCCAGATTCTGCCCTCATCATTTGAAGTCCTCCTTTGTGTGCCTCCTCCATGCGAGATCCGGAGGGTGGCAACACGAGAAAGGGCCTTTTCTGTGGTGGCTCCCTGTTTATGGAATGCTCTTCCCAGGAATGTTCAACTGGTGCCTTCATTATACATCTTTAGGCGCCCGCAAAAACGTTCCTCTTCAACCAGATCTTTGGCCGATTAACACCTGAAATCCTTTTAAATGTGTTGGGGAGCGGGATTATTAGTTTGCTTTTGTTCTTATATTTATTATGTGTTTTGTGTTTCTTTTATTGTATTTTTATGTTGTGAACCACCCTGAGATCTTTGGTTGAAGGACAGTATACGAATTTAATAAATAATAATAAAGCCATAATCAAATCTAAGTCATTTGAAAGAGAAAGAGAGAGAGAACAGAGTACCGTATTTTTTGCTCTATAAGACTCACTCCTAAAAAGTAAGGAGAAATGTGTGTGCGTCTTATGGAGCAAATGCAGGCTGTGCAGCTATCACAGAAGCCAGAACAGCAAGAGGGATTGCTGCTTTCACTGCGCAGCGATCGCTCTTGCTGTTCTGCCTTCTGAGATTCAGAATATTTTTTTTCTTATTTTCCTCCTCTAAAAACTAGGTGCGTCTTGTGGTCTGGTGTGTTTTATAGAGCGAAAAATACAGTATATCAGGCTTCCTCAATCTCGGCCCTTCAGATGTTTTGAGACTACAATTCCCATCATCCCTGACCACTGGTACTGCTAGCTAGGGATCATGGGAGTTGTAGGCCAAAAACATCTGGAGGGCCGAGGTTGAGGAAGCCTGGAGTATATAATAACAGTCAAAGTTACTAAGCCTACTTTTTCTTTCAAATTCAAACTGTGGTAATGTGATATGGTATCAACGTCTCCTCTCTCAAAGGTGCTTTTTTAAAAAAATTCCACCCAAATCCTTGTTTTCAGCTCACATAGATTCCCCACCCCCATCTCAGCCTTTGTGACTAATATCACGCATGACTCAGCCCCATTCTTCAAAGGCTATCTCTTCATGTTGCTGATCAGAGGCTCATGTACATTGAAATGAGTCAACTTCTAAACTTATGCCTGACTCCTTGAATGATTTCCCATTCAGAGGAGGAAGCTGGAGTTGGCCCCGATTGCAAACAATAAATGAAAGAGAAAGGATTACGTGAAAGAGAAAGGAATCATTTTCATCTCTTGAGAGAATGTAAAAAGTGTTGGTAGGAACATACTGGATGTGTCATTAGTGAATTATGTAATTTAACGTTTGCATTTTGTGTAAATATCGTTTTGTGCAGTTATGGAATGAAATTTAAACAAGCGTTAAACAAAATCTAACAAAAAGAAATTCCAGATTCTGTTATTCTCCCTCTCTCAGGAATAGCTCGGTTAGAACATGGTGTTGATCATGCCAAGGTTGTAGGTTTGATCCCCATAAGGGACAGCTGCATATTTCTGCATTGCAGGGAGTTTCCCAAACTTAGGTCTCCAGCTGTTTTTGGACTACAACTCCCATTATCCCCAGCTAGCAGGGTCAGTAATCAGGGATGATGGGAACTGTAGTACAAAAACAGCTGGAGGCCAAAGTTTGGGAAACCCTTGTTGATCCTCAGGGTCCATTCCTATTCTGTGATTCTCTATTATTCTCATGAAATTAGAAGCCAGGGCCAGTCAATAAAGCTGAATGTTAGAAGATCCAGGAGAGACAGAAAAGGAAGTCCTTCATAGATTTGCATAATTATACTATGGAGCTTTTGGTTTCTTTTTACTTTTAACTTGCTTTTAGCTTTTCATGATTTTATTGTTTGCTTTTGTGTTTGTTTTTTTCATATTCTTGTAAACCGCTGTGATACATGTTTTATGATGCACTGGTATATAAATATTTTTAGAAATCAGTAATAAATAAATTCTTACCGGGAAGAGGTGTAAGCACCCTGCAAGCAGATCAGGACGAATGCTTGTTGCCATATAACTGCCCCCTAAACAAATCAGAATAAATTGCGCAATAACAGCTGGGCGTAGGTCTAATGACAGTGTAATTTTGTGCAGGCAGATCCAGACAAATGCTGAATAAAACAGGTTATCCAGAGCGCTGTGTCCCTGCCTGCTGTGATAGGTGTCTTCTGTTCTAGAAAACCCAGGTGCTAATAAATGGTAAATCAGCAGTTTAACGAGAAGATCTTAACTAATTTGCCCCTTCTAATCAATAAGGAGGCTTTCAGTACTTCTGATAATTGAACCATAAACATTTAGGAAAAGATGAACCCCACCCCATAATAGGCAGCCGCCAGTGTTGATCAGAAGTGAATGTAGTCTATCCTCTATTGTTCAAGATCTGAGAGGTCAACACAAGAATATTAAAGGTGACACAGATTTGTTTTTTTGTAATGTTGCCAGGTTCTTGGTATTGGAAATACATGCTTTAAAAAAAGAACCATGCATCCTGTAAGATGAAAAGCTGCCCAGGGGAGTATCAGTAAACGTTGCAGCCCAGCCAAGAAATGACAGTCACTTGCGACAGCTTCCTTTTGGGAAATTTCAAACTGATAATTTCTTAGTATAAAAGAAAAAATAAATAAATGACTGCTCCAGACCCTGGGTGTTGTTAAGGAAGACAGAAACATTATCGCCAGGAGAATAAGCTGTGAGGGGTGAAATCTCCATTTTAGATTTCACTTCAGCGGCTAGCTCCCAACATGAGCCTCCCACATGCAATTCAGGATTAAAAATATGTAACACAGGGTTTTTAAAATAGGGTTTGCAAAGATTTACTGAGCTTGTGTGTGAGAGAATCATTGAAAAACAGCAACACTGTAACAGCACAATCCTGTGCAAATCTACTCGGAAGTAAGTCACATTGACGTCAGTAGGACTTGCTCCCAGGTAAGTGGGTATAGAATTGCAACCTAAGTATTATTCTGGTCTAATATACATGCACAGGAATAATGCAAGTACTTTATGGCAAATCTGCCACTGGTGGGGTTCATATCGTATTTCAGAGATTTGCCCCCATCCTCCCCGTAAATAGCTTTTATATAATGTCAAAAGAGAATCCGCCTTTGTATTGTATTCCCCATCTTCCAAACTTGGCATGTTATTGACAGGGCCAGATTTAGGTTTGATGAGGCCCTAAGCTAAGTGGTCTAAACCACTGAGCCTCTTGGGCTTGCTGATCTGAAGGTCAGCAGTTTGAATCCCCGCGACGGGGTGAGCTCCTGTTGCTCGGTCCCTGCTCCTGCCAACCTAGCAGTTTGAAAGCATGTCAAAGTGCAAGTAGATAAATAGGTACTGCTCCGGCAGGAAGGTAAACAGCGTTTCCGTGCGCTGCTCTGGTTTTGCCAGAAGCGGCTTAGCCATGCTGGCCACATGACCCAGAAAAACTTTCTGCGGACAAACGCCGGCTCCCTCGGCGTGTAAAGCGAGATGACGCCACAACTCGAGTCGTCTGTGACTGGACTTAACTATCAGGGGTCCTTTACCTTTACCTTTTAAGCTACTGAAGGTAATGGGGCCCTTTATATGTCCAGCTGTTCTTTGTCAACAACAAATTGTCACTGTCTTTAGTGTTGAATATATGCTATACGGTAATATATGTACCTAATAGGTATCTAAAGCCATTTGCACATAACAAAATATGTACGGTACATCATAGGAGCCTACACAACACAAATCACTGTTGTTGTATGTAGGTTTTATTTTATTTGTTTTTGATCTTATACAGTGATACCTCGGGTTACAGACACTTCAGGTTACAGATGCTTCAGGTTACAGACTCCGCTAACCCAGAAATAGTACTTCGGGTTAAGAACTTTGCTTCAGGATGAGAACAGAAATTGTGCGGTGGCAGCAGGAGGCCCCATTAGCTAAAGTGGTACCTCAGGTTAAGAACAGTCCTCCAGTTCTTAACCTGAGGTACCACTGTATTTTGGAAATGTACATCAAGTTTTTTCCCCTTTAAATTTATTTAGGGCCCCCAAGAGAGTGGAGCCCTAAGCTATAGCTTGTTTAGCTTATCCATAAATCTGGCACTGGTTATTGACAGTAGGACATGCAAGCTGGAAGGAGGCAGGACACCTGCAGTTAGTGCATTATTTTGGCCATTGGTCACATTTTATGTCCATTGTGTGTGCAGAGGGCAATGATTACATCTTTTTCTCCCCACCTTAGGATGGTTGGAATGAAGAGTGCCACCCAACTTGAAAAGAATAATGGGACGCTGCCGAAGATTACAAGATGAGAGACAGTTCAGAAGAGAGGAGAGACTCGGACTGCTGCAGTTAGTGGGGACAGGAACCTGTACGAAAGCAGAAGACTAAATTTCATTAAATTAAATCTGAAAACAAACCTAGCGCATTGAATCGGCTTCCTTTTAAATAACGGAGAGTCAGTCCGCAGTCCTGAATCTCATCAATTTACAGTGGTACCTCAGGTTACATACGCTTCAGGTTACATACGCTTCAGGTTACAGACTCCGCTAACCCAGAAATAGTACCTCAGGTTAAGAACTTTGCTTCAGGATGAGAACAGAAATCATGCTCTGGCGGCGCGGCAGCAGCAGGAAGCCCCATTAGCTAAAGTGGTGCTTAAGGGTAAGAACAGTTTCAGGTTAAGTACGGACCTCCGGAACAAATTAAGTACTTAACCTGAGGTACCACTGTATCAGTGAGACTTGCTGCTGTGAACCCTTTCCCAGAACGTCATTTTTGCAGTGAGCTTGTGGTGAATTATTTGTGCTCATGATGGTATCTGAGGTGGATCTACAACCTTTTCCAACACTGTTTGCAGCTTGGGGGCAGACATACTGCTTCGTTTCCTATCAGTGCACGTCCCTAAACTTCACACTGAGATCCTTTAACTTTTCATACCACCAATGATCCCGTAATGCAGTAAGGATGATATGCCGAAGGTCCAGTATAAATCCACCTCTAATTCACTATTATTGCATCAGTGACGTATTACAGAACACACCCACAAAATAAACGCCAGTCCGGAGGGCCTCCGAGAAGACATAAAGAAGATTACTCTGTAAAAGCATTCATCAATCAGTATAGCACTGCCTTGAACTGGCAGGGGGCACTGGAAGGTGGGCACTGGAGGAGGGTGGGACTCTTCCTTTAAAAAAAAAAAACGATTTTCAATTTTATACATTTCAATAATTTTACAATCATTTTTATATTTCGAAACTCTACTTCCTTTCCCCTCTTTCTGTGGTCCCTTAAATTTATTTTTTATATTTTCTGCATATTCCAAATTAACTTAACTTACTCATTTATTCGTCTACTTTAAATATATACGCTTATAAAACTGGAGGTTATGGCAATCATCCTGCCAATGTTCTGTTTACGATTTGTCTGCAAATATTCAATAAACCATTTCCATTCTTTTATATTTAAAAAAGTTTGTTATCTTGATTTCTTATTTTTCTGGTACGGTAAGTTTCACCATTTCTGTGTATTCCATAAGTTTTTGTATCCATTCTTCTTTTGTCAGGACTTCTTCTTCTTTCCATTTTTTGGGCAGGTGACATTCTTGCCATGGATGGAGCTCCTCCTGTCCCCTTTTGTTGGCACCCTTCTGTCTCAAGAGACAATGGAAGAGTGCACCGTTAGGAAAAAAAATATTCAGGGCACAAGCCCGGGCAGTGTGTTTGGAGGTCCTGGGTAGAGGTAGATTTAGGGGAGCACAAGTTGTTTGGCCACACTAGGCATCGAGCCAAGAAAGCGCTGCAGGGGCACCCCAGCAATGACTTAGAATGAAAAGCGAGAGGCGGGGGGCACCGAATTTTGGCCTTGCACAGGGCACCACTGGAATTTGGAAGCCCAAAGTCTGCCACTGTCCTGGGCTGCCCAGACAACAAGACCTCTTGGCCTCACTGATGTGGTCTAAATGAAAGCAGAGCAATATGTTTGTCACCAGCTTGGCTGCAGGAGTTGCCAGAAAGAGGTGTTCAAGGCGCCATCCAACCATCTTAAGCACACTGCTCTAGATTTGTGTCGTGTTTACTCCGTCGCCTTTTGCGTGTTCAGACCCAGAAACCTCCCCCCTAAATAAATTCACACTTGACCTAAATTTTGATTTGGTTTTTGAATTGAGGCCACAACTTTATTGATTGCAGAAAGAGACTGGTTGCATAGGCTCTGGTTCGACTAGCTTCCTGCCACACAGGTAGCGCTGACCCAGGGCACCAGCATAGGTAAGCCAAGGGTGAACACCTGGATAATTGGAAAGCTGGGAGCGCGCTAACTTTGCCACCTAAATGTCCCCCTGGACTCAGGCACGGGCACAACCCCCTCTCAGGGGTTGACCAAACCATCGAGTCCCTGGATTCCTTTAACGGAATACCCTTCACATAGGGATGGTGAGAGTGTTCTCCCATCCCTATCACCTGAACCAGAGCCTATCCGCAACCTTACAAGTTGTGATGATTTGCTATGCGGCAGGCAAAACCCAAATGGCAACAGCCAATCAGCCAAGTGGGGGAAATTTCTGCCGTGCCCCTGTCCCAATGACAGACGACACACGACGGCATAGCAAGGTCAAGCACAAAAGACCTAAAAGTAGGGAGAGGTGGTTGGGTGTTCTGAATGCATGCGCCAAAAGAGGAAGCTCTGGGTCACGTGCATGGGCATAAATAGGTCCCTTGAACCTTTTGGACTGCGTCCCATTGGCCAAATTATACCCAGCTTTGAGGGACCCACCAATCGGGTGTTGTGGCTTACCAATTGTACCCACCCACAACACAGGGTGTCGGTTGCCCAGGCCTCACCATAATACGTGCCCTCTTTAAGGGAGGACCCAATTTCTGCTCCCAAATATGTCCCGCAAGGCAGTGGGTTCAGGGTTTTCCTCGGGGTTTGCTCCCAAAGCCTTTCTTACAAATGAGTATACAGTGGTACCTTGGTTCTCGAACTTAATCTGTTCTGAGGGTCAGTTTGACTTCCGAAACTGTTCAAAAACCAAGGCTCGGCTTCCGATCAGTTGCAGACGCTTCCTGCACTCAAGTGGAAGCCACGTTGGACGTTTGGCTTCCAGAAAATGTTCACAAACCGGAGTACTTACTTCCGGGATTGCGGCATTTGGGAGCCAATTTGTTTGACAACAAAGCCATTCGAGAACCAAGGTACCACTGTAGCAAGGCAGCAGAGATTTAAGGTCTGTGTTTTCCTTCTTCCCAATGGGCTACCTTCCCAGATTGACACGCCTCATCTGGCCCTTGCTTCCCTCTACAGCACGTGCAGAGACCACCTTCTTGACCATTGGACTCATTTTGGGTCGCGTCCACTCAATCTGCCAGAGCCTGTCTTGCAGTAATACCCTGCTTTACAGCTGTATTAAAATTGCTCATGCTTGGAACTTCTTTTGCATCTGTCACACAAGGCAGGGGTTTATAACCTTTTGGCTCCAGGATAGATATTTATAGATTGTGGCTAAGGAGATAGGTACTTGGCTTCTAACTTCAGATGTGGGAGCACATTGGAGCCAAAGTAAACAGGCATGTGTACACAGCCTAAGACAGCTCTTGTCTCCTTGTTTTCCTAATATATTTATTGCAAACAGTGAATCACCCTGTGCATTGTTAATCTGTTTAATTGCCTTCCCATTGGGAAATATGCAGCTGTGAGTCATTTCAGTTTTCTTGTTATGGTGGCGGCCAAACCTTTTATCTTTTGTCAGATTGCTGGTTAATAGTTCAGAAATGACTTTCATCAAGTCCCACCCAGGCCACCCATTCAAAGCACAGTTCTGTCCTTTTAACAGTCATGGTAACTTTATCCTGGCAACTTGTAGTTTAGACACTTCCATTTCCCATCATTCTTAACAAATGACTGTTCCTGGGATTATCTCTTGATTGATTTGGGAAGAGACCTGCCCACTCTCACAGAGGAAGAAGCAACAGCATTCTGTGTTGCAGATATTAATATTGTGCAGTTTGAAGCGACTGGAAGCGTAAGAACTGACTCCTTTTGGAAGAAATTGTTGTCCAGGCCCATAAAAGTACTATTCAAACTTTTACTTGCAGAAGTCTTCAAAAACAGAACACAAGCATCAAAGTTACATCCAAAAATATCCATACAATGTCTTGTGCTGCCCAGCACAGGCTCAGCATCTTAGAAAATATGAAATAATCCAAACAGACTAATGAGCAAAGGTTTCTCTCTCTTTAATAGCATCCATTTCCCGTGAGAGCTTAACTTACATCAGGGTTTCCCAAACTTGGGTCTCCAACTGTTTTTTTGGTACTACAATTCCCATCATCCCTGGACACTGATAGCTAGGGAAGATGGGAGTTGTAGTCCAAAACCAGCTTTGCCTTTGTTTGCTGGTGAACACAGCGAGGCATTCTTCTCACTCATAATCTGTTGTGGTACAGTCAATAAAGCTACTACCTGCATTATGGTTCCTGAAATCAAGAATATTGTTTCCATCCATGTTTGGGTACAACTGGACACCATTTTGAATCAAAATGGTGGACTGAACCTTTCAAAACTGCACTGATTTCTTTTGTTTCCTAGAATTCCCAAGAAGCACTGGGTACGAGTCTTATAGTCTACTCTAGTCTAGTCTAGTCAGTGCTTTTTTCAGGGGGGATGCAGGGGTACGCATACCCCTAAACATTTTGTGAATCCAAATTTGGCCTCATTGAAGGGCAGTATTTCAATATAAATGAGAGTACTCTTAAACATTTTTTAATAGAAAAAAAAGCACTGAGTATAATATAGTATAGTATAGTATAGTATAGTATAGTATAGTATAGTATAGTACAGTGGTACCTCTGGTTAAGAACTTAATTCGTTCCGGAGGTCCATTCTTAACCTGAAACTGTTCTTAACCTGAGGTACCACTTTAGCTAATGGGGCCTCCCGCTGCCACCACGCCGCCAGAGCACGATTTCTGTTCTCTTCCTGAAGCAAAGTTCTTAACTCAAGGTACTATTTCTGGGTTAGAGGAGTCTGTAACCTGAAGCATCTGTAACCTGAGGTACCACTGTATACCAACATCTATAGGTATCTTCAAGTTTTAAGATCAGACCTTTGCACTCCCAACTTTTCCTGGAGCAGAGAATGGTTTTTGGGTCTGTACACCAGAATACGCTCAGTCTCTTACAGGCAATTTATACACCTACGTGCCATAAAATATTGGGCCTTCATTGGAAGTGACATAGAGAGTCTTGTTGGCGGTGCTTAAAGTGCACTTCCTGTTTCACATGGCAATTCATCAGTTGATGTTGCGGTCCTGAAGTGGCGAATACGCATACACAAACACCCTAAGAAGACAAATGTGGCTATTGTTGTTTGCTTGGACTGGGAAAAGGATGATTATGGAAGTCCCAGGAGTGTGGATGACCCTTCTTCTCCTACCCCCAAAATGCCCCGCAAGAGTTGGAAGGTGGCTAGCTTAAAGAAAGTCCCTAAAACTACCT